TCTGATCCACCTAGTGTTACTTGCTCGGCTACTGATAACCGTGTTAATTCCAACTGTGCCTTTAAATGCCCTGCTGGGTACCAGCTGAAAGACTCTGAGGTGCGCGTTTGTCAATCCGACAAAACATGCTCTGGAAATGCTCTGGAACTCCAACGACCTGAGAAAGTATTAGACTTTTAACTCTAATTTAAAAACCATTTGCTTTTCAAAGTTCTTGATGCCTAACGTGCTTACTATATACTTAGTGCCTGATATTTTGTGTAGCGAGCCGGTGTGAAAACGAAACAACTGGCAACTTCTTTGTAATAATATATATAGTTTTGTGATGTTTAACGTAACTATGAAGAAGTAGTTAAAAAAATTAATACTGTTCCATAAACGGCTAAAGCAGCCTTAATGTACGAAATGAACATTTTACAAACTTAGTTGTTTATTTGAGATAAAAAATATATATATTAGTGTAGAATCGAGGGTTGTATACAAGTACTAACGCAACCTCTCCTCCTCACTTTTACTCTCCAGTTCTTCACAGCAAAGGTGTTGTCACTCTTAACATAGTATGCGCTCTCTCCTTCCATCTGCAGAGGCTCCCGCTGGGCATTCCAACAAAAATATGTAAAAGTGATTAAAAAATCCACCTATCCTCGGGCCGTGTCCAAGAAATATTGTCAGAGAAGAGGAAAACATAGAAGTGAGAGTACTCTGGACGAATCCAGTTTTCCCCGACAATTCAGGAAGTGTTAAGTTCTCTTCAAAATAACAAAGCGGAGAATTATTTGCTGTTCCCAGCACCTATGTAATTGTGTATACCGCAAAAGACCCGTCAATATCTTACCTTGTCTACGTAGTTGAAGCCAATTATTTTTATTCTCCCATTTGCTTTATACATTGGTTTTTCTAGGCTTACTAGACCCTCCTCTTGCTTCTGACACTGCATTGGAAACGACAAGTTACAGCACGTCAATTCCAGCCTTTGTTTAAAACATCAGTGCATTCCTTAGTTTTCTTGTTTGTATAATTACATTGTTTAACAATTGTATTTATTTTTAGGCACTTTTTACCTATTTTTACACTTACGTTATTCTCGCCTTATCTATCTACTCCTTTCATAGAACGAAGGAGTAACAGCGATTACGCAATAAAGCCAAAAAAACAGGGATCTTGTTTACTGTGGGTAATGTCGACCGAGATATCGGTCGATATAGCGGTCGATATAGCGGTCGATACTCGGTCGACAGTCGGTCGATACTCGGTCGACAGTCGGTCGATAGTCGGTCGACACACGGTCGACAGTCGGTCGATACTCGGTCGACACTCGGTCGATACTCGGTCGACAGTCGGTCGACAGTCAGTCGACATAGCGGTCGATAGTCGGTCGATAGTCGGTCGATAGTGGGTCGACACTCGGTCGAGACACGGTCGATAGTCGTTCCAGATGTGTCTCGGCCGATATAGCTTTTCGTTCACCGACACTTCGCCGACACTTCGCCGACATTTCGCCGACACTTCGCCGATAGTTGGCCGATAGTTGGTCGATAGTAATTGGTCGACACTCGGTCGATGGTCGGTCGACACTTAGCATTTCCTACATTTTTTGGCTTGGAAAACAAGAAATTAGAAAGCATTTTCTAGCTTGGACCTAACTGTTTTTTTAAATTGTTTCTGCTTTTTTAATTTCAAACTTCAATGTACTTAGCCAAAATTCCGGAATAATAGCTATTAGTCATTTATCTAGCCTTTTCTTTTAATTCATGTGGACGGGATTTAGCCGCCTATCTGTATCGATGCCCACCACCTTTTCGCAGACGTTTCCTCCCCTGGTTCTTTTTAAGGGGTGGGGGTGTCTCGCTACGCGTAGCCGGCTAGAATTGAATCATGAAGAAGTCCGCTAAGTGAGAATGATAGGCCTTCAGTATCTTGTTATTTGATTTATTCCCACCGTGTAAGGCCTATATCTGGCTGATTTTTCCTATGCCGAGAATTTTTCAACCGACTCAGAACTACATTGATGAAAAAATGTATTTACAGTTCATTTTTTTTTAACTTGTTTTTCCTTAACAAGTTAAGATAATATCAATGTTAATGCGGCGCATACTGTTTTCCTTTTATTGGATGACCAAAAGTTACTTACCATTCAATATTAATCTCTGTATACGCATGGTCGTCTTTATTTTGAACACAATATAAATATAAAGCGAAAGGACAGAGCAAAAGGACAGGATAATGTAATGAGAACGTATGAGTATTTTCCTTGCTGTAAATTGAAATCATTCCCACAATAAGTGAATGTGTTCAGTCTGCTGGATATTTTTGTCACCTTCCTCGGCGCATTATCAGTGCGTTTTATCAATAAGTGATCGTTAAACAAAGGACTGTTCCCGTCTTCAATGCAGAAATATATAGGTTTAATTTGTGGTCTCTGCACAAACGAGAACTTGGCGTGATGAAGCAGGTCAAAGCCCGATAATAAAAGATGTGTATTCCTCGCTCTTAAAGCATGTCATCAACTGCCTTTTCCTATTCATTATTCGTCCACTTCGGGACTGCGGGAGCAGTCATTTCACTCGTCCTTATTAAGTATTCTTCGACTGCGGGACCACAGGAGCAGCAGATTCAACTTAGGCTGAGACAGGTTCTGTTTAACAGCTAAAACTCAGACGATCGGTGATGATACAAACTGGAAAAAAAAAGGTTATCATGTCCTTAGTTCCCAGTGCTCTTCGGTTCGCTTCATAGAGTAATCGCGCCTCGCACTGCCACATGTTCCCACATCGCATGATAACAGTAATTAATGACGTCTTTGCTTCAAAAAAAAAACCATTGGACTCACCTGATAAATTAACACACGACTGATATTCGAACGACAGTTGACCAATATACCACCGACAGTTCACCGATATACCACCGACAGTTGACTGATATACCACCGACAGTTCACCGATATATCACCGACATATGACCGATAGTAAGTCGAGGTGCGTCGTCGAAATATCGACCGATACTCGGCCGATAGTCTATCTCACTATCGACCGACTATCGACCGACTATCGACCGACTATCGACCGACTATCGACCAACCATCGACCGACTATCGACCGACTATCGACCGACTATCGACCGACTGTCGACCGACTATCGACCGACTGTCGACCGCTATATCGACCGCTATGTCGACCGCTATGTCGACCGATATCTCAGTCGACATTACCCACAGTAAACAAGATCCAAAAACAGTAAAACGACAAACAGACACCAAAACGCAGTGGAATAGATTGCAGGTAAGACTTTTTTAATCATTTCATTTAAGAAAAAGTAAGGTCTAGCGTTATTTAGCGTTCGCAGATCTCAGTAATATATTTCTCACACAAAGTCTCTTATATTTTCAACGATCGCCTGTAACGAGACACCGGCGCGTCACCTATGTTATGTAAATTACACTACAACCTTTTCTCGCAACGTGAGTTTGGGCCGCCTGTGAAGAATTTATTATTGGTACAAAGAAACTAGGAAAGTCATAAAAAACAATACTAATATTTAAGAAAAAATGTAAAAATGAACCTACAGACGGAAAACTGTATATGACCTAGACTGTTCCAGGCTCAGCTAGGCTCTCAGATAGTAGGGATGACGCGTAAGGGAATATTTTCGTGTTCGCACTTTTTAAATTTCGCGGACCCGACTCGATCTCGGAGCCTGGAACAGGCTACACATTGCGAAGCAGTAACGTTATGCATGACAATTTACAAGAGAACTGGTTGCAGTACGGAAAAGCAGTAAGAAGACTAATACCGTAGAACAAATGACTGTACGGAAATGTGTCATAAAGACAGGGCTGATATCGTAAAATTAAACGAAGAAATGTTTAGAAGTGGAAAATACTGATGCTTAACTTCGCCTTTTTGCGAATTATTGGAAATACAAGTAAGTTTGCACGAAAAAGTTAAGCTGAGTAATCATCGGACAACATGACCCGTCATCCTAGCTAACTATATAAGGTCACGTCTCACTCTATCACAAGCTCATGAGTCGGCTTCAGGGGCGTAGCCAAGTTTTTTAAGAGATGTGCACAATTACCCAAATGCCGCTGACAAATGTAATCTAGCGGGATCTCAGACTTTTATTTGCAAATGAGTGATTCTTTTACAGCTATTTGCCACATTGTTTTTGACCGACTAAGGCTAGCACCCTATGTTGATGTAATTATTCTTCTATAGTGCGAAGACAGGCCGAAGTGAAAACAACGCGCTTACACTTTAGCTAAACTCGCTGTTTCTATAAATATATCTTTAAAGATTCGGTCCACCAAAGTATAACGCCTCTTTTCTGAAGCCGACATTCGGGTGTAAAACTGAAAATTATACAGCCCGTTGTTAAATGAATTGAGCCAAACTGCGAACGTAAAATAATTATATGTTACCTATCTTATCCTTTGCTTTAAATTTGCTTTTTTCTTTTTGTTTTTGTTGTTGTTGTTTTTTTTTCATTATTCACTTTTGTATCTTATTTTATTATTATAATTTTTTTCAGCCTCGACTTTTTCAGGTATGCACGTGCGTACTGGTAGCTACTCCCCTGGTCTTTAATCCGTCAACACTTCACTTTAAAGTCAAGTTTCCAAATCGAATTCTAATTCGAAATTAAAATGTAACTCGAATCCTCAGTCGAATCCAGACTTGAAAATCCAACTCTAAAATCTAACTCGAATCCTAACTCGAAATCCAAATAGTATATCGCGAGGACATGCCTCGTTCACAGCACGACTGGCCTTGAAAACAGGTACTGAAAAGAACACTCCTTAATTATGTATCGAATGAGAGAATTTCAGCCGTCAAAAACACTTTAATGTTTTGATTTGGTGCGTCTTTAACTCTTTACTTCTTTGCCGATCAAGTTGGTTTTACTTCTTTTTGACTGAAGACAATGTTCATGTATAGTTTCGCTTTCATTGAAAATTGCTAGTTGCCGCCAAACATCTATAAGAGCCAAAATCCCGGGGAACAATGCAATGGTCAGCACTGTGGTTAACCGTGTGGAAAGTGATTTTGATTTTTCCTTATTCAAGAGTATCGTCAGTGGCTAAGCCAAGTGTATCACAAGCCAAATACCTTGATTATGAGATCGGAGCAAGTATTCACTTCAACATGCAGACGTTTAATGGAACCATGAAGTCGGGTGAGTGAGTTAATTTACTTTGCCGAAACGAACGGAGAGACTTGAAAGCGTATGAAAGGCCTTTCCCATTTCTTCACTCTCCCTTTTCTTCTCTAGCAACCTGCTACGCCGACAGGGCTATCTGTCTGACTGCTTTCAAAAAGCCGGACAGGGTTAGAACTAACAATCGCGGCGACATTTTTTTAAGGACTGAAATACCTTGAATTTCATACGACGGCGTTTAGTCTTCATAATTAACGTCGATACGTGAGCTTACAGATCCATTAACTTTTTTTAACAATGCCCTCTGATATTATTTACATTGAACAGGACACGTGGTTTCCCCAGATGCTTTTAACCCAACTAAACTGTCCACGGATCAATGGCTCCGGGCAGCGAAAAGTTTTGGTGCGAAGTATGCTGTGCTCACACTCGATCACTTCAGTGGCTTCCTGCTTTGGCCTACGAAAACAAATTACAGTTATTCCGTAAAGAGCAGTAACTGGAGAAACAAGACCGGAGATGTAGCTCTAGATTTCATTCAGTCTTGTGCAAAATATGGTATTAAACATGCGTTTTACTACAGTGTGAATAAAAACTGGTACATGAATGTCAGTAACCACAGGGCACCCAGTTCAGGAGCGCAGACAGTTTATAATCGTATTGTTGAACAACAAATACGAGAATTGTTAAATCCAAGCTCGAAGTATGCGAATCCTTTTCTATTTTGGTTCGATGCTGGTATTGTTAGCGGAATCAGCCCCAATGTTGTGCCAATATTTCACTCTCTAGCCGAAAACATAATTTGTTTGAAGTGTCCAGCTTCTTCAGGGATTGCAGGAGCGCGATGGATTGGTAACGAGAGAGCTGTGGCGTCTTTGCCTGTTTGGTATGCAGTGCGCGATGGAGGATATAATGGTTAGTAAAATTAATCATAAAGTCGCCTCCTTTTGTTGGCGCTGTGATTGATGGGAAAGTTCCAAGGTCCTCGTTTCATCAGGGGAATAAAGAAGGCTCTTTCCCAAGGTGTATTTACAGGCAATTTAATAAGGCCAGGTACGTATTGTAACAAGTCAGTGGAAAATTTTCCGTGCAACACATGTCTAAGGACAACCATTTTCTTAATAGAACTATCATTTTTAGCTTTTGTTCATTCCCATTGACAACCATCGGAAGAGATCAGTCCCCTTTAAGGCGAATCCATAGGGTGGAATTTTGTGGCGAACTGGTTTCTTATGGCTGCCTCGACAACAATTATAATGGGTTCAAACACATTAAGCTAGACAACGTTAATGTTATTATACTGATTGTCGTTTCAGGGGATCCTTTAGGTGAGCAGTTCCGTCCTCCGTTCTGTGATACTGTTATACGTGAACATAAATGGTTTTGGCTCCCAAGTACAAGGAACAGAGTCAAAAATGTGAGTACACTCATTAGTGAATACTTAACCAGCGTTGGACGGGGCTGTCACATGATACTTAACTTGAACCCGGATCCTTTCGGCTTGATCGAAAACGAGGATCTTCATGCCTATAAGGGGTTTGGTCAAGCTATTGGTCTGCTCTACAAGGATCTGATCATAACTCAGAAAAATGCGACGTTAAAAATCGGTGTCGAGAAAGTGTGGAGAATACCCAGAATTCTCAATCTGGCAAACGGATCAGTGGTTGTAATGGAGGATGTAGCAAAGTTTGGTCAGTTAGTGAGTGAGTACCAGCTAAGATTCAACACTTCACATGGATGGGTTAATTATCCCGAATATGGAAGTACTATTGGACACAAGAGGATACATCCATTTCCCCAAGTGCTTCGAGGAAAAACTGTTTACGCTATCAGTTTCAAAATAGTGAAATTAGTCACAAGGGATCCGTCAATCACGATACGTGAAGTTTCGGTTTATGATTGGACTGAGGCAACAAGGAAGCGATATATTTGAAATGACACCTCATCTCAGTGCAGATCAAAGGACGGTTACGTACTGTAGATAGATGAAGTAATGACAAGCAATAAAAAGTCATGTTATAAAAGGGTGACGTGTAGCCTCTGTGCAGCCACCCCATCCCCTAAAATGAGGGAAGGCCAGGGCGCCTGTGCAGGGGCTATATGACGTGCGGGATTATTCAGTTAGTTATCATTCCGTTATCACTGGAAAACAAAGTTTAACAGGCAATACTACTCATTCTATATATCACTCTATATCTTCAATATGTTTAAGGAGCGCTCCCTAAGGCCTGTTTCAAACGTCGTGCTACTGCCATGCTAAGCTGGCTCGACTGTAGCGCAAGCTCGACTGCAGCACACTAGCACGACTTGGTTTCAGACGTCGAATAGAACGGCTGTTGCCGAAAACAAAACACAAAAATAAAGAAATGGTTTAGCAAACTTTCAAATGTATTCTAAGGTATTTTTAATTTATAAATTGAGTTCGGCGCGGCGGTAGCACGACGTTTGAAACGACGTGCAGCACGGTAAGCTTTGCCGTGCTACACGGCAGTAGCACGACTTGGTTTCAAACGTCGAGCTACTGCTGTGCTAAAGTCGAATTTAATTCGATCAATTGAGTTCGGCACGTAGCACGACATTTGAAACGGGCCTAAATTTCTGTTTACATGGCTCGTTTATTGTGCGAATGTTGACCTGATCGTTATTCATTTTAGTTTGTTCATATTTTATTTTTGTTTTATCTATTTACCTTCGCAGGCATTCAAATAGACTAGGGACTAATTGGGGGAGGGGGAGGGTGAAGGGAGAGGATGGATTGCAACTCCATGCACCAGGGTCAAAGCAAATTGTTTGCGTTCAAATTCTCCAACGACGAGGCACTACAGTTTCTTACAAAATTCCAGACATGGAAAAGGCTATTTAGTCGGATCACACACATACAGTGAAAAATTTAACGTGTTTATAAATTCACCAATCTTTAGTATTACAGCTTAAATAATACAAATTTTAAGTAGAAAGGACAAGAAAATGTAAACACTGTTTTGATAACAATAACAATATTTTAGCTATAAGTTCTCTTCACAAAGACACCGCTGAATGAAGGACATAAGTGACAACAACACAAAAATAATCGTGGGAGGGGGGGTGGGGGGATCGTTCAAATTGTTCCTTTTTAAAAAAAGTTTCGTTTGAATTTATGTAACGATGTAAATGAATTCATAAGGGAGACCACCAGCAGGGGTTACCGTTTTTGTCGGGTTCGATTCACAATGGCGCCATAATGATCGTAATAATAATAACCATAAGCACCGTTACGACGCGTCTATTTTAAATTGGAGCATTGAAAAAACTGTTGGCAATTAAAGACGCTTATGATAGATATAATCGTCATAACAGAGAAATTTATCGATCCTTTAAATGATTGAGTATGTCTGTGATTAGCCTGTTCCAGGCGTTCAGATAGTGGAAAGTGACGCGAAATGGGGGGTGAAGAGATAAAAAATGTAAGAGAGGGCGAGGAGGAAAAGGAAAGAACTCGCTCCTTCTCTCCCCACCCGCCTCGCTGCGCCGTCACCACTATCTGAACGCCTGCAAAACGACAACAACAACTCTTAAAATTCGTATCGTCATCGTTCCTGTCGTTGTTCTTTTGCCTCTTTTTCTACAGTTCCGCGGAACCTGTTTGCACTGAAATAGTCCTGTTACACGCTGAAAACTTTAGACCATGTTCACTGGCTAAACCGGATGATTTTCGTGCAGGCACAAAAAGCGATCCGGCCGTAGCATGAACAGCAACGGCACAGATCTGGAAAAAGTCGTTCACACACATGGAACATCGTTCTGAGGCGGTTGGCCGAGAGGGTTTGGTTCTCTTAATCCCCATGCTAACTTCTGAATATTTACCTCCGTCTCAGTGGGTCCCAGTTCTCGCTCCAAATTATTTTCCACTACGGTCCGAATACCAGTTCACACTAGTGTGGCACAGAACCTATCCGATATGTGACGCCCCAACGTCGAGATCTCCATGGCACAGCTTTGCTCTGTTACAGAAATCGCGCCAGAGAAATCACCGTTGTTGTGTGTGAACAGAAGCCCTATCCGGTATGGTGTCTCGCTTTTGCCGCGTGGGGTGATTTTCACGCGCGCTCGCGTTTCGCTTGCTCTACTATCCCTGAGGAAAAATGGGGACTACTTGTAGTCTAAGTGTGAACATTGCCTTGGCCCACACTAGTGCCCAATTCTGGCTTTGCCAAAAAGTCAATATACTTTAAGTAATGGTCCAGACAAGAAGGAAAGAAGCAAACGCAATGAACGCGTCGGAATGCATAAAGGTGCTAACTTTACTGCTGTCTGTACTAAATTTCTGATTGGTTAAACATCAAATTTTACCAAATCTTCGCAAAGCCGCATGTATATTAATCTCGTCTGAGTCTAACTAACACAGAAATCCTATATGAGGAACATGTAAATTGTAAACTTTTCTTGGCTATTGTTTGCAACTCTCATGATTTGCCGAAATCTTTTAACACAAAAAACGCCCTTTAAAAATGGTCTTTAAATACATTTTATTTCGTAAACTGCATTTTTGTAGGTTTATGCATTCTCTAGGTAAAAATGAAAAATATTCCTATGTGAGGAACGCGTATGGCGACATAACCATAGAAATGGCTTTCCGTGTTACCCAGATCGTTACTTTAAAAAACTATTCCCGCGCATGCTTCGCTAGTTACCTTAAAACTTCAATGTGTAACAGGGCCATAAATAAAAGCAAGGAAGATCATCGCAGTAAAGACGCATTTAACCAACGCCGTTGCGAAAAGAAAGCCTGAAAAATTCAGGCTTGCCAGGATTCGAACCCTGACCTCTACAGAGAAACACTGAAATACTGAGCCTGGTGGGTTCAGAGACCATGGAGAGGTGTTAAGGTGGGTCCCCGGGGTTATGATTTTGAGGAAACTACAAAACATTTTCAAGAAAATTCATTAACATTTCTACAACGATAGAATACCCTAGAAAATAATAGTTTCTATTACACTGAAAGAAATCTGCATGAAATACTTTATACTCATATACCTTTTTATCAAAATATGAGATATCTTTTGTCATTGTGGAAAATGTTCGGTGACGTTGTTCGGTTCTAGCAGTGAAAGAGTAAAGAGTCGTTGGAACACGAAGTTAGACGTCATCTTGATATTATTAAATGTTTCCCAGGTCTGCGACGTGAATGCTGGAGTTATAGAGAATTAAAAAAAACTAAAGCTCATCCTTTGCTTGATTTGAAGAATCTGTGGGAAAAAAGCATCGAAATACAATCAAACCTGCCGCACAAATCTTAAGCAGTTACCCTTGGAAGATGGGCAAAAGACCGTAACACTGACAATTGAGTTGACTGCTTTTTTGCGTTGGGCAAGAAAAATAACACCTGATGAAGAAGGTTTGAAGGGAAAACAACGTCACTAGACGATTTCTGCATGTTTTCTCATGTTTTTTCGTGCAACTTTTTTTTCAAACAATTGAATGCAATTCGTTATCAACGAATAAAATGTATTCCAATCACCAACCCAAGAATCCACAGAGACTCTTCTTGCGGTTGAGTCCACAGTAACCTAGTATTTTCGAGTTAATCACAATCATCAAAAACATTTCGAGTCGTCGTCCGAAAAATTAAAAAAATAAAATTTTTGCCTTTTATCAAAGAGTTGAAAGAGATTTTCTCAACTAATAAAATAAGGCAAATCACCAAACAGTGGTTCTGGCATAAAAAACAGACGACCCGAAAGCTCCTCTTCAATGTAGCCACAACAGTCGGTGAACTTTGCAAAGCTGTTAATACGGTATTGTGTTTACACTTTCATTGCTTGAAACCATTACCTGAACTCGTACAGTAAATTTACCACTATCGCCACATTGGTGAAAAAATAAAAAAGAACATTAACCTTCCCGTTCCACCAGAAAATTTGTTTCGAATGAAGTTTAAATGGTTACTAACCGCTTGGCGTAGCTGTTTGTGATTTTGCCGAAGCCATCTTAGCGGCCACAGATTCTTGCAGGTTTCTGATTTCATTGTCGTAATCAGGCCATTCCTTCACTATGCGTACAGCACTCTCAAGTTTTGGTTCCTTAGTCATTGGATTATTACACTAGGGAAAAAACAAATGAAATAATATATCAAATATATAGATTTAGCCAGGGCTAACGTTTGTTAAAAATGTAATGAGGGTAAGGATATTTACTAGCTTTTCTGGACACAGGCCTGCCCAGAGGGAATGTGCACGAACAGGACTCAGGTCCCATGCGCGGTGCCATCCCTACCCAATCCCACAACCCGTAAAGGTTGGCCACACCACCGACCACTACGACCCCTACTCTTTTCGACTAGCTGGGCTCTTTTACGTCCCACAAGAACAAATCAGTGAAAGTGCTGTGAGACGGGACCTACGGTTTTTCGTCCTTACCGCGAAGACTAGAAAGTTTAACCATTTGCAGATGTCATTACAAAGGCAGCACTTTCTTCTCAGTTATTAAAAGACCCTGAGTGTTGGTCCGGCCGGGGTTTGAACCCGCGACCTTCCGCTCGGCAGACCGGCGCTCCCAACTGAGCTAACCAGGCGGCGGTATCGGTATCGGATATGGAGTAATCTAAGAATTACACGCACTGTAAAATTAACTTTTTGTCATGAATGCACATTTATAAAATGGCTGGTTTGAATATAAGCTTAAGTCTAAATTAAAGTAGTTTCAATAAAAAGCACTACTTTTGGCGCGAAACTCACACACCTGTGGCTTCTGATTGGACGTATCATTTTTTCATGTGTGCAAAACATCGTTCGTCCTTCTGATTGGCTAGAACTCATTTGCGTATGAAAATTTACGACATAGCTTTTCGGTGAGTATATCTCAGTATGTATATAATAAACGTTATTTTGTATATTCGACTTTGTGTACATGTGTGAATGCGCGTGGCTTACTACATCGATCTCAAACCGCTACCTCACGTGGAGTCCTGATTGAGACTTCAAATTATCCACAGTTTGAAATTGAAGATAATTATTGCAAACGACAAAGATTTCCGGACGCTTCGAAAAGATGGCCCAGGCTATGACTACGTACGTTGCTCTCATCTGCAAATTTTGTTCAATATACTGTACACTATCATGTAACTTAACTCGGTCGATAAAAGTTAAAAAGATTAGTTTGTGATCCGTACCAGGTCAATAGCTTTAGCTCTGCTTTTGGATTCATCATCACACCATGTTTCACACCAAAGCCACTCCTGAGGTAGGGACCTGATGGGAACTTGATGAATCATGTTGTTGGGCAAATCCTGAAAGAGTACACGCGGTTAAAAGTTAAAACGGCAAAACTGAGGTAACAAACGACTAAACTGGCTAATAGCACCTTAGAATTTCTCCACGGCAGAACTAGTGTCTTCTTTCAGTTGTGCTCAAACTAGGCCACAGTCACGCGCTTCTAGTTAACTTTTAAGCGGGATATTCTGCACTGTTCGGTATTACTTACAACAGCAATGAAACCACTTAGAAAAACGGAAAACCTCACCTGATCAAGGTTTGAAAGACTGTTTGGATCTTGACTTAAGCCCTAGAAAAAACAAAACACAACAAACGAGCTATCAGCATCGTATATCGATAATAGAATCCTAGCGTTACTTTCAAAACTCTAATCCAGAAAATCTTGGATGTCTTGGGAGGTGATCGGGAATATTCTGCTGTCAAAACATAAGGGAAAAGGAAAACCTTGTTCCCGGGGCATTTCTCTTAGAAAACAGGAGCTGGACATTCTTTAAGCATGTCAGTATAATCAGTTTGCCCAGCCTTACCTGGTATTGACCTCTGAGTCTGTCACCAGCAGCGAGGCGCCTGAATCGATCCAAATCAACAACATACAGTGCACTACACAAAGAGAAAAGAAAATCGTCAAAACAAGGCTCTCTTTCTCCAAAGACACCCATTAGATCCTCCAATGTAATTACAACGTTCCCTTTGTGCTTAAGGTTAATACAGTCTTAACCTTGAGAATACCGAAGTTGCAGTCGCCACTGCATGTTTCCTGCATTTAATAGACTGTTTTCATCTGACGTCACGTCCGCCATATTGGTGTCCCGAAACAATGAGACGGCGGCCATGTTGGTGTCCCAAACCAATCCTGTGGGGAGTTGAACCAACCTTTTTCCTATGTAAAAACTTTCTTTTGTTCCAATAAATTTGTATAGTTGCTAGCCACGCGAGTGAAAACGCTCTATAGCTCCTGAAATCAGTACTAGTTTTAACACCCTTTAAGACTACGCGCATACCGCGAAAGTGAAATGAAAACACCTAAACCTCGGTCTTTTATGATTTGTGTCGCTAAATCTCTCACCTGATGTGATAAGGCCGTCCTCCTAAATGACTTCTCCAGTAGCCAACATTCCAGAACCTGGCAGAAAACAAGAAACGAGACGCTAACATCAAAGCAGAGACTGAAGTATCTAGGACAACGGGTGCTTTCCCCACGACGATTTCACCTGCGTTCAAACCAACGATTACGTCAAACGCGGAAGGAATTCGTTGTTGAACAGGGCCTGGTCCTGCCCAAAGACCGATTAGCGCGTTAATGCAGGGTTAAAAGTTAATTCCACGATAGTGGACCGCGGTCCAGAGTGACACTTTGTCTTACTATTACTGGATCTCGCAGTAAAGGTTTAGCATAAATAATTTAAAGTTAAAGATGCGCGCTCCTTGACAAGTAAACTTCGCTTTAAAATTTGGCTTAACAAAGGTTAAACCACGCCTAAGATCAGCTCTTTCATATGAAGTCCAGTTCAGTCTAAAAGAAGAGAGCATCGCCTTTCGTTTCCTTTTCTTACTAAAACCTTTTCAAGCAGTTTTGGAATTCACAGTTCGTTCGTCACCCAAAGCTGTCGGTAAACTTCAGGCCCGAAGGAAGAGTAATCTCTAACAGTCCAAGAAATAATTGATCATACCTAAAACCGTCCATCTCCTTGCGACTGCTGCAGAATGGAGTGTAAGCATAGGGTGCACCATATAAATCGATATCATTAAGCTCCTTTAAATCTGCTCGAACAATCTAGAAACCAGAGAAAATCCAGGTGTTACTTAGTGATTGGTAATAAGTGCATGCCCGTATAATATTGTATCTTAAGACCCGTCCACACCTTTCCATTTTCATTTGAAGGCTATAAATAGCATTAGGGCCTGTTTACATGAAGGTGAGGCAGATAGGTGAGGTAACCCCCTTAGGTGGGGTAAAAAATAACCCTCCTTTACACGCAATCTTACAACCCCGCCATCCCGGGGTGCACTTTCTCAAGATTATTGATTGGTCGCCAAGCACGTAAACAAGAAAAATGCTAGCAAACCACGTTTTTTTGTTGATTAATGCTCTTCTACACTCATTTGCTGCTCTTGCTGCAACCTTCAGTGCTGTGGCTTTCTATTGTTACCTTTAATAATGATGGAAAGCTACCGCTAAAGTGAATTTTGCGGGAATTCAGTATCGCGAATCCGACCCCGGATAGGCGGGTTACCCCATCTTGAAACGTTTACACGACAAAATTTGACTCCTGCTGAGAGGGTAACACGGTCTGGCAGACCAGGCTACCCGCCTTGGCCGGTCACCCCACTTATCATGTAAACGATATCAAATTAAAATGATACATTATATGGACGGGCGGGTTACCCCACCTTAGCGGGTTACCTCGCCTACATGGGGTCGCTCACCTCCATGTAAAGAGGCCTTTAGAGAGTGGATGAGATAGAGGAAACATGTGGCAGACTGGAGTTATAGTCACAGTAGTATCGGGAATTAACCAACTGCTGTTATATCAAGTGTTCTAACCGTAGCACTTAAGAACTAAGGCTTGAAATGCCTAACTCAAATATTGAATATCGGCACATTTCACTTTCACCTTCCTGTTTGAAACTAACAAGTGCAATAGTCCTAACCTGCGATCAGGCTTTCTTTTTGTTTTGTTTTTGCCTTTCAAGGGGGGTAACAGCCGGCGGACGGTAAAGAAAAAAAGGGAAAAAGGACCACCTGATCGCATGCAGGCTATAATACTCTACGCAATTTGGGAGAGAACTGAATGTTGATAGAGAGATACGTACTAAATCTGCATCAACAAAGATGATTTTCTTGACATGGAGGGGAAAGAGTACATCCAAAAACAAAATTTTGTACCTGAAACAAAATTAATGACGACACTGAATTATAGCAGTAACAAACACAGTGATAAAAACTTTATGCAAGTAACTAACAGGCCAGTAACGGGACACTATCAAATGTCTTGACATCTGTATATCTTCATGAACCTATAACAAAGTCATTTTCCATTTTAACGGCAAACTGTGTAACTTCCATTTTCATAATTATCGTCGATACTAATGACCTAACTGACGCCCAGTTCAAACGTCAAACTTTTCATGTGCCACACTTGATACCTATTTGGGTCGACCCAAATGATACAAATTCGACGCTTGATTTCGACGTCGAATTTAGGCTAAATTCACTTTCACCATGTACAATGGTCTACAATGCTTACCAGTGAAAATAAATTATAGTAAGTTTGCATTAGGTTCGGCATATGAGAAGTTCGACGTTTGAAACGAAGTCGCTCCACATCTTAATTCAGGGTCGACCCAAAAGACATGTCGGACTTGATTGATTCAAACGTCGATCTTTTCATGTACTTAATTGAAGGGATTAGGTTCAGAACATGAAACGTTCGACGTTTGAACCGGGCCAAATTCAATGGTGAAAAATGCTAAGACGGACACAAATTTCTAAGCTTTATCGGAGGAATACAGTTTACATTAGGCGTTAATCACAATTATGATCGAATTCTAATCGGATTATATTTGAAAGAAGTCCACCTATTAGTTCTAGAGTCCACACCTCATACTTTACGTGAATGTAATCAAATGAGAAAATGGCTTGACTCTACTGCAACGGATCATAATAACGATCACTTAAGACCAAGTCACTGGCTCTGATGAAAAAAGACATACTTACCCCCAAATTATCCTCTGCTTTTCCGTTTGAGCATGCAGCCAATGTGGCCAGTGGTACTGCACAAGTTCATACTTAAAACCATATTCTTCTGCCATGTGTGGTAGAAAGGCCTTGTAAGAAAAGGTGACAACATGTTAACACGACAAAAAATAGAGATTTCCTCCAAATATCAGGTAAGCTTGGCTTTCAATTAGCCAAAAATCCTTTACATCAAATCAAGAAAGCAGAACAAACCTCGAAAAATGAAAATAAAAATTATCAAAAATCAAGGTACGCGTGATAGCGTTATAACTTACTTTACCTTTATAGTAGGTGAGAGGTAGTTCTTCAAGAACCAAAACTTAACAGGATTCTTGGTATTTTTAATGACGGTCAACATCATAATTCTGCGGTAAAAAAGTTTAAAATGTTTCTTAGTTTGGTCCCCAACTAAAGTTTACAAAAACAAGCGGAATGATCACTTTTCAAAAATTCACCACCGAATTAAAGTACAGGATGATTGGGGAGGGGGGGGTGTTTTAATGGAGTTTTCATTTGCTATATGTAAAAATGAGTTGATCATGTGTTTTAAAGGCAGTGTTGTAAGGAATAATAAAAAAAAATTTTGCTCATTTCGCACCTCAAGAACCTTTCATAAAGATGCCCAGATGCAACAGAGAAAACGTTGATAGTCTCGTCGTCGGAGGCTTTCTCCTTGGAGTCACTTCCGACGATACTAAATGAAGAAAACCACCAGTGTTAGTGTGCACTAAAACAAACGTAGCACGAGAACAGTAAATATGACATCAACCACTGAGACAAAATTAGCACATAAAGTTTGTTTAAAAATGTCTGGCTGGCGAGAAAGCCCACTTAGCCCACTTGACGATCTCTGAGCTCGGCTTAGGGGGCGGGTCCTCTAGTAACCCCTCCCCCCGCCCAACTTCCAGGTCCGAGGGGGAAAAGCCGAGAGAGCTTGCTCGCAGGCAAAGAAAAGACAAAGATTTTCTTGTCGTTGACGTTACTTCGTAACTGTAGCAAACTTTTAACGACTTCACACAACTAAAAATCACAAAGGTATTAGACAGTTCTTTTGAGTGTTTTTTTTTTTTACAAATTTACTTTTTTTACTTTTCTCGAGCCCTAAACTAATCAATGCTTATCGACCCCTAGCTATTTAACCACAAATAAATGCAATCAATTACAATCACAATTTTTACAGCAAGAAACACCTGAAAACAGCGTCCTCTCCCAAACGAAACTGCTCGAAAGCCATGTGGACCGCCCATACAGATGGAAAAATATTTATATCTCTTTCTACAAGGTGTAGTAACATTACCTTGACAAAGAATCCCATATGCCTCTTGACTGAGCGTCTGAATCACCCAGAAGATCTCTTCCTTCCATTCCAGGTTTTCTCTTTACCTAAGTACACAACCACATTTTAGTACAAATCATAGGTCGGGTGAGCACTCAGCAATGCAATTACTCTAAGTACATGTGGACAGAAACCAGAAGCTATTGAAAAGAATGTTTTTTCATTAAAAAAGTAAACACCATATAAACACAATTTCACTATACAAAAGCTAATGAGACAGACGTAAGATTCGTAATTTCACGACCGTGAGACTAAGACAAAATCGGAGTACCTGACAGGATCCCATGGGTTAAAAAACCCATCGCATATTTGGCGCTTGATCGTCACATGATGAATGTTGCCTTTTCTTATATTCACCGAGTGTCTGTCATTATTTACCAAAGCGAATAACTCTGTAGAGGTACCCTCACCTTTACTTTCATTAGTTTTCCAATAAAACTGTCCACTACAACTGTGAAATGTTTATCCTCTTTGATGCTACCAGAAACACTAGACAATTAAAAAGAATCACTGACTGGTTACTCTTTGTTGGGTTACTTTATTGTTATAACAGTAAGAAATAGAAGTGGTACCTTTCAATGTCATAGATTTCAGATGATCTTCCCTCTCTCACGCTAAGTGACCACGCCCCTGGATAAGCTTTTAGCTGAAAGTATCCCTGAATTAGATGAAAAAAACAAAATGGTAAGTTAGAATGGTAGGGGTACCTGTAGAACTTGGAAAGACCAGGAACAATGTGCGTGAGCAAATTGTATATACCGTCACATCAGCAAACAACATTTTATAAATACTCAGCTATTTTGAAGAGCAAGTCAATAACGGCAAAGAATCTAACACAAATTAACCAGACACAGTTCTAACTGTTAATCGTCAAATGGTTCTGATCTTAAAACCCCAACCATGAAATTATGTGAAATTTTAACTGTAAAGGACGGGTATCTAAAGTGATCTGTTAAAACGTTTATAACTATGAAAGAATACTTTTCTTCAACATTTCCGCTCTTACCAAGTTTGCCATAACAATTGTGTCAAACATAACAGGCTTGGTTGGAGTGCCAAGTGTAAACTGCAGTCCCCTTGGGGGCTGTCTGGTGTCAAAATCAGAGCAGTGGCCTGCAACAGAATCGCTAGGAGTTTAATTGTAAGCATTTTACCAATTAGTTGGATCAAAGGAAGCTGTGGTAAATTGCTTTTAACTGTATGTATGTACCCTTAAAAAAAAAAATTAAAACGGATTCAAAACTTCCCCGACAGGCAACTGTACCTTCGATAAAGATATATTCCAACTCAAATTTGGCCATTACTTGATTCTCCACCTAAAATCAGAAAAAGACTATGATGAAGAATTAATAAAAGAGTAATATGAAGGACAAGCACGTGATGAGGTTATGTCACCTTATGTATTTCTTCCTTTTCTGCGAGAGGGGATTTATACTTGTTTCCCTTCTTTTCTGTATCAGTTGTAACAAGCCCAAACACCTTTCGAACCTCACTACAACAGTCCCTTTGGGAAAGGAGATAACTGTTTGTTGTAAAGGGCTTGGCGTTATGGGGAGGTAGGGATGTAAATACTGCACAAATTTTTAGGGGGAGAAGGTTAGAACAGACAAACAGCCAATAAAACAGCATATCAAGATATAACACACTCAAAATATCTCAATAAACAAAAACCAAATGCTCAGCACAAAAATGTTAACGAAACAAAGCGAGTGAGGAACAGTAAAAAAGTGAATAAGTGGAATGGAGGGATGAAAAAAAGTCATTGCCGCGAGGTGAGAATTAGAAGAAGAATGCTGTAGAAGTCAGTCACTTGTTCACCGTCCTAACAACAATAAGAATCCAACTAGCAGGTTATTATACAAGGTCTCTGGAGGAGTAGACATAGCCTACATGTACCGAGAAAATCTTCCAGTTCAAGCGACTTAAATCCCAGAACCTCAGATTGCAATTCCAGCTCACTGACCATTCGGACACCCTCTCTTCGGTTGTTGTAGTCTATCATCCTTACCTCCCTTAACCTGATGTTGTCCAAGTCATAAGGTGAATACACGGCTGCCACCATCCATCCAAGAGGAGTATCCATTCCCATTGTAAGTAGTACCGACTGTGGCATGTCTGAGAACATGGCAAATGGCCCTTCTGTCATGGCGCCGTTTTCATTAAAGGAGACGTAAGGTTCCAGGACATAACGGTAAAAGCGATTTAAGGGCAACTCTGACAGCTTCTCACGCGAATTCATCGCTAGTTTGACGTTAACATTTGTAGCATTTTGAAGTACCTTAGGTAAGGAAAAATACATTTATGTAGGCAGTCGGGCTCATGACACTTACATCTAATAATAATAATAATAATAATAATAACTGGTGCTCAATCAGATTGGATATCGGTTAGCCTGTGTCAGTAGGTCTAGTTCAAAGCACTATTGAGTTTGCTACCGGTACATCTTCACCAGAACATTCTGTCACGTTACATTATCGCCTTGTTTCCAGGCGCCATTATCACTTGGTACACACTAAGACAAACCATGGGCGGTAAGTACATGTAAGTACAGGCCTGGAGGCGGGACAGGTCCCCAGCCTCGTTCTACACGGGAATAACCTACTGGGCCAAAAAGAGTGAGAACTACTTAAACAGAAACTGCTGATACGATTGACACTTACCATGAGAATAGGGGCAATTTTCTGGGCAGCTACAAACAAAAACACAGGAGAGGAAAATAAAAAGGACAGATATAAACAAATTGTAGATGATCAGGGAGAATAGGGTGGAGGGTACATCGCAATTTAACGTATTAAAAAATAACTTCCAACATGATGAAATCCAGCTAAATATCTGATTTCATGTTTTTCTTGAAAGTTTAAATTGGTAGAAATAAACTTGTTCGAATGATATGTTTCCTATCAAAGCAATGACAGTACAGGTAAGAGATTAACCTGAAACCAAACTTACTAAAACTGTAAAAAAATTTGTCCAACTAAAGAAAGGTGTAGCGTTGTTACCTTTCGACAGGGGATCCACAACAACTACAATATCAAAACTGGCGCCTTCCTGCTTCGGCTTGATGCCCATGACACTAACAAGCAACATAACACAACTTGTCTGTAAGTCGTACTAATAGATGGCTTTGCAGCAACAAACAATGTTGAAATAAGTGTGGCCGGAAACGAAAAACACTGTAAAATGCCCTTTAGGAAATCTATGATCTTCAATGGCTGGTCCACAGATTTCGACCATGTGAACCATGAATAACTCTTTCGAGTAGCTCTTTCGATGCGCTTCTTGGTTATTTTTCACAAACTCATTAGTGACAAAGCCATAAATAGAAAAACATGCGAGAAGTCCTCTTGGATTTATAAACTAATAGTTGCATGATTAGGGTTTAAATTAAACCTAATATCGCCTCAAAACAGAACTTGAACTACACAAAATTAAAATTACATTGTAACGACCAGCAGAAACTAAAGGATTGTACATACTCCGCAAAGGTATTAAAGAAGGTCACGACTGTATTTCCTGTATGCTCCTCTCACCTGTGATCACTGCCCTTGAAAGTTATTTCCTGTCGAGATCGCTTTTCGCGTCTAATCAGCGCTGATGAGGCCTTCATAATAATGTCACTTCTAAACTCACTGTAAAAAGAAGAGCTTTTGTTATGTTCCATCGTAATAATAAGCAACCGCTCATGAACAGTAGGTTCGTCACATGTAAAGTTCCAAGTTTGACTGTGGCCCCAGGGTTCGTTCAATTGACCTTATTCTGCAACAGGAATACAAAGCTCGGAAAATATGTTTGATTGACCTGAATGCTATTCCAATTATGGAATAAGTGGAATATATTCCATGCGTTTTGCCCCCGGAGGCAGAATGCCTGGAACAAAACGAAATGATGAGGGCATTTTTCTAGCGACGCGGCTAGTTTTTGAAACCACAGAGAAAAAAGTGGACGTAGTCTTTTCACAAATGAAATGCACTTGCACAAGCGAGACAAAGCACTCTGCATGAAAAGATTTACATAGAGCAGAGAAGAAACTCTTCAGAATATTTTCTTATAGGAGGAAACGAGAAAGCCAATCCTGACTCTCTCAGTCGGTAATCTAAACTCTTCCAATGCGAGCAGCTTCCTTCCGCGTCCTTTGTATTCCGCAATAATAAAGAATGTTTCCACATTCTAGAATAAGGTCAATCGAACATACCCTTAAGTCTAAACACTGAGACTGTAAGACTCTAGCCTTAAATGACATTGGATTAGTAACGGATTTCTAAAAAGGAGGGACTAAGACACGAAACTAGCAAGAAATATGAGTATGAGATTAGGACCGTGTACATAACAGAGCATAACAGGGATTTGAGTCCGGCATATGAAAGGTACAATAGTTAACCGTACCTGGTATCATCATCAGCTGACAAATCCTCAAATATCATTTCATCAACCTATCAAAATATCATGGTTTGAATTGAAAAAAGACACGGTGGTTCCAGTTACAACTGGCTAGGTAAAAGGTTATACACAATGACTTAATTGAAACGTTTAACAGCAAAGAGAGCAGAGAATTGGTGAGAAGTACCCGCAAAAGGATGCGAGTGGTCAGGGGAAGAAAACAGACTTGAGGCCAAGTTTTAAAAAAATGTTTCTCGTCCCGTCAGCTTTATTTATTGGGGCCGCCTCTCTTTTTTTATCATTTGTAACAGGAAAGTTGGAAAGAACAAAACCTAACGAGCGTTACTTTCAGTTATTCCAAAGACTTACTTAACACGCCTTACTTTTCATAACACGAAGCACTGATTAAATACAGTAAAAACCCGCGTTTAAGAACGCGAAATTTAACAACCTGTTAAGCTAAAATTTTCATTTTAGACTCCCTTTTCATAACAACCTATTTAGCCTAAAATTTTCAATAGGGTCTTATTATACAAAAATGAAGGCACAGATGAAAATACAGCCGGAGAAAATTTTAGTCTAGGTTTCAGTCAGTAAGATTCAAAGAATCAAAAATGTAACACTGCATTTTATGGACACTGCAACATGAAGGACATGCATGCTAGTACTTTGGAAAGATACATTTACTGTATGTTTCTCATCTAAACTGTATTCTAGATAATTATTCAATACAGCAATATATTTCACATATGCCCTGTAGTAGTTATCTGTGCTGATCGCTGGTGCCCCTATCAAATTAAGAACCTAATTAAGAACCTAAGTAGCCTAAAATCCACCTAAATACCATTTCTATAAGAACCTATTTAGGCTAAGTTGGAAAAATCTATGTTCCTATCCGCGAGTTTTTACTGTACTGAGTCCAATATTGACTTTTTTAATGTAATGCAATGTCATGGATTAGAGGACAACAAGACGCCCCCTCTTTACGTTATACATTGTACATTAACATGTTAACAGTAACCTCGGGCGTCAGCATACTAGGGCGCCAGTGGCAGCCGCTATCAGCCCATTGCACCCTACCTATTGAGATATATCTTATGACGCCGGATCACGCTGTTTTAAAACATGTATCAAAATAAACCAAATTTGTGTTTAACTCTTACTTATCCAAGGGGGGAGTAATAATTTGTCAAGAAAGCATTCAATTGGTAATAATAAAAAGACGAAAAAAACGGGGAAAAAAAAACGCGTCCGCCGCTCTCTTTTTTATAGAAATCCGGACGAGAAACATTTGTTTGTTTGCTGTTGTTTTTTTTAACTTGCCCCCAATGATACATTAATAGTCACACAAAAGGACAAAATCAGAAGTAAAAAATAAATCTTCACTGAAGACTGACGATGAAGCATGCCGCACCGTATGTGCTCGTAAATGCAGTCCTCCATTATAATGGCTGAACATAAAACAAACCTGATCCCTGACTTTTCGGGCATACAGATCCATGTCAAAGCTCTCAAGAAGCTTAAAGTCATCCTCAGTAAGGAGCGTATTTCCAGCAAGTGGACCAAGAACCTGAAGTCAGAAGACAATGGAAAATATATATACTTAACATGGGACATCAGACATCGGACATCAGACAATAGACAATGGACATCGTACATTGGACATCAGATAACAGACATCGGACATCGGAACTCGGACATCGGACATCGGAAATCGTAAAGATTTCACACATGGGTAGACAACTAAATGCGTTTACTTGTTCCACTTGATCTAGCCTCTTAGTGTTGATCTAGATTACGTTGCAGCCGGCCTACCTATCACTGTCTAGACCATCTGTATATACAGAAGGTTTAGAGTGTCTGCGACGCAGGCTAAGTTTATCTAGAAATTTGAGAAATTTCTGACTTTTTGAAAAATAAAATGAAGCTTAGAACGCTTGAATCGGGAAATTTAATGCCCTTCTTTTCATATTTGCCTATCGAAATCGCAAAAATAAACACAAGCGAAATACTATCTCGCTAAAATCGCAATCATGAAACTTGTCACGGTTGTCTTTTACAATCAAAGAAGGTGGGGAAAAGGGTTGCAAATTGAAAAAATTAGATAAGCTTTTTTCAAGACGTGCCATTGTGAGTCAGACAAACTGCTAATAATAATTCTTTGTTAACTCCCTTCCACTGAACATCTCTTTGGTGCTGCACTTGTAGTTCGTGAACTAGCAGAAGTACTAGTCCACAAGTAAACAAACTTATGGCGAGAATTCCCGCGACGGTGCCTTTTTAAATCTGACATGAACTAGAAATTTGATAATCACCTATCAGAGCTTCCCTTCACTGGCTCCAGGGGGGACGGGGGTTGGGTCAAAACGTTTCATAGCTACCTACCCTTCCATTAGTTATAAGAGCAGACTCTCCTGGACGAAGATTAACAACTTGTCTACAGAATGCTTGATGAGAAAACAACTTCCCTTTGAAGAGATTCGTGCCCATCAGCTTGGCCTTAATTGTTTCTACTTTCAGACCCTAAATATGGTTTAGATAGTATGCATTAAAGAGGTGATGTAACACTGTCCTGGACTGAGAAAAAAGCGATAACTCCCTTGGATGACTGATACAAGTATTTAACTAACCACAACAACGTACGTAAGCAAAAACAACATCATAAAAGGTAACTAAAAATAAACCCAAGTCTACTCTACTTCCACCAGTTTGTCTGGTGGTTACTCCTCATTTGTCATCATCATTAATCCGCAGTCATGAGTTTTATGGGCATAAATAAAGAAAAACAAGCTAACACATCCCTGCGGTGGTGCTGTTGTCCGGTTGGTAAATAATGAAACCTTGAAAACTCCTTTCCTGACACAGATTTAAAGTACGTGCTTCTTGTTGTGAAGCAACTGTCGACAAATCGCGGTGCTTCCGACGACCTATCTTTGGTTTGTGGAAACCATCAGCGAACGAAAATGGTACATGTCAAAGTGTATCGCTCTCTGGGCCTTTCTGTTCCTTTGTTTTATCGAAAATGACTTCAGGCCAAATCGTAAAATCAATGACCACCTACATGTATGTGGCCACTATTTGGAAACGAATTCCCCTTTCGCCAAGCTCCTCCTTAACCTTAATTTCATGAGGTACGTAGTTCGCTCATTTAGTATTACCATATTTTGGACCGATGAAACACAAGGTGAAGGACCCTTCGTTCAAGGTGGCTCGACTGGATTTTTTGAGGGGGGTACCTCCCAAGTTTGAGCATTAACTACGTCGGCATGAGTAAAGATATGGAAAAAAGGTTACAACAACTGTATTATATAAAGATGAAATTTTTCTTATGATCTGGGTTTTATTGCAATCGGAGTCGCCATGGCAACATCATGACGGCATTACGTTTTTCATTTATCGTTGTGTTTCTCTGTACCAGGAGTTTTTTGAGGAAATCGCTTAAGGGAGTATGTACCTGCCATAATTGCCTCCATTATGGCAAAGTTTGAAGAAATTCTATGAGAGCGTTTTCGAAATATTTTGAAATGCAGTTTTAAGAATCATAAAAACAGTGAAATAGCATGCTAGCCGCACAATTCGCTAATATTTTAAGAAAATGATAAGCTTTGGGAACGCGGTTTCATCTCATAGTGGTTTGATTCCATTGTAAACTTCCTACAAAAAAAAGAGGGGAATTGCTCTGGGCGATGGCGAGTAAGAAGGATTTTCTTAACTTGCATTCAGATGCTTTTGATACAGTTTTTGGAGATAATTTGGTCCATGCCTAAAAATGTCGCATTTTTCCAAAAACCGCTCGATAAATTTTTTTACAAATTCGACAATCCGGAGATCAATCGTTAAGAAATATTCCCTGCAAGTTTTAAGAATATTGAAAACGGGGAAGACTTTTAAATAGGGCCTCAAATATAGCCAATTTTCCCCTCAGATTTTGTGTTTACAAGCGAGCGTCCTCATTATTCACTGGCATTGTTTTCAAGTTTCATATACACGTGCACATTTAGCAAAAAGATAGAATTTGCATCAAAAAGGACCCTCGGTTAAATCTCCGGGATATGCTAATTACCGGGTAAAGAGATTAGTGATACATTATATAATATCAGAGCAAGTCTTTGTGAGAGTTTCTGTGATGTTATAACCCGAGCAAGATAATCATGTATTGCATCCTACACGATGAGCCGTGACGTTCACCGTTTCGGCTCTCACTGCTATCTGTGAGGACAAGCCAAATATTAGCATATTCCGGATATTTCTTCGGAAAGTAATCGAGAGTTCTTTTTGATGCAAATTTATATCTTTTGCTAGTTGTGCACGTGCACAACTCATTCTTCAAACTTTGCCATAATGGAGGCAATTATGGCAGGTACATACTCCCTTAAGCGATTTCTTCAAAAAACTACTGGTACAGAGAAACACGACGATAAATGAAAAACGTAATGGCGTCATTACGTTGCCATGGAGACTCCGATTGTAATGAAACCCAGGTCATAAGAAATTTTCATATTTATATAATACAGTTATGGTAACCTTTTTTCCATATCTTTACTCATGCCGACGTTGTTAATGCTCAAACTTGGGTGGTATCAGCCCCAAAAAATCCAGTCGAGCCACCTTAAAACAAAACAAAAATTGATAGACGTAGCAAAGAATCTTAACAAACCGAGATCTTTGTCAGGAGTTCCACCATTGCCTTGGTAACTGTAGACAGTTTGTCAAAGTCATTGTCTTCTGCCAGCAAGCTCTCCATAAATGTTAACATGGCTGGAGTCACATGCGACTTTGAAGCTAACACAGCCTCTACGGTTCTGGCCAACTCCAGCAGCTCTTGTTGGCTATTATCTGTTTGGTTTATTACTGGATTGTGGATTAGTCCGACTCTTGTACTTGAAGAAGATTTCTGCAATTAATGAGAAAAAAAAGCTCAACCAAAAAGCTTCAAGGGTTCTTAGCTTCCTCTTCCTTATTTTAACTTTAATAACCAACATCCATAAGTGGACTGTTCGGATAATTTTTGACGACTCAATCTTGTTCTAAGGTTAGTGTAAAGGGGCTACCGCGCGTCTCCAAGATATTGCAGTTTTAGGTCAATTCTATGTTTAAATAATTACTTCATGCCTTTCTTCATACACAGCACGTACCTGTAGAGTTAATAAAAAGATATCACACAAATTTCGTCCGAGAACACTAACCAAATATTTTTGGTGATTTTTGCAAACAAAGCATTAAAGGTTGAAAAATTGGGTCAAGTTTCTGTCCATGTCCACCCTTGCCATCCGGAGCAACAGACAACAGGATAGAGTTTCGATGCCGGCTAAATATACTGGACCAATATTTTTGGATTTCAATAAATGCGAAGACATGTTTAAGCTTTTCAAAAAGATAGCAAGTAGCGTGATGACATAGCCCTTTTAAAGATTAATATCGCGTCAAAACATTGTTGTAATGTTAATATGAAGTAATCAGAAAACAAATTCAAATCAAAAAAAGAAGCTTAATAACATGCAAATCCCACTAACTTTTCGGGTCCGAAATCAAATATTCAAATCGAAATATAAAGAATATGAGCGCAGGTCCTGGCTTGCAAACTACTCCATTTTGTTTCATTAACTGATAGTTTTATCACGTTAGATGCAAAACTATTGAAACCTCTATCTTGCATGTAAACATTACAACAACAGCTTAACGGGCCCGTTAATTATCGGGACTTTCGAGAAACGGGCCCAGGCCCCGCATTGGAGGAAAAAAATATCGGCGAGCGAACTGAGCCGAGAGGTAGTCTGCGGAGCCTGGTCCCAGGCTAGCAACCTCAAGTCTGTTATTACATACGCTCATAGTTACCATTTGTTTAAGCGCGGCCATGACAAGGGCTCTTCCTTCTTTAATGGACAAATCAGCAATAACCCAATTAGTTACCGGCTTCAAACTCAGCTCCTCTGAAAAAAACAAATCAAACAGTTTAAAAGTCAGAGTAAAGGCCAAAGGAGCATCTTGACTCCTATAAATGACTGAATAAGAATGAGGCTGATTCATTATCCTTTTAGTCACAGAGTCAGCTGTAGGATATTCGGGAAAAATGACGTAGATACCGTTGAACAATGGAAAGCTGAGCGTCCTAAGAGAACAATAAGATGAACCGGGGATAGGCCAACAAAACTATGAATGAGGAAAAATGCATGAAAGGTTCAGTGTGCAGAATAACGATAAAACAGAGCATTCTGACAAGTTTAGTGTCTGGTTTCATTTTTGAGTTGCAATGCGTGTTTACCTCCTTGTTTAGTGAAGTATTTCAAGTCTTTTTCAACTACAGAAACCATATTGGCGTTGTCAAGCTTAGTAAATTCTTCTGGGTTATTGATATCTACATCTAAAAAAAAGGAAACCAAAAAACGTTATATTTATTGGTCTAAACTACCTATATCCTCTAATAAGCCTCCGAGGGGCTTATTCATTTCAAGCACGTTCGAGGGGGGCCTTTAATGGACAGGGAGGGTAAATTGAGAGGCAGGGCTTATAGAGAATTTACGGTATATTACGATTTGCCATTACGTCATTCACAGTTGAGTTTCTAGAGTGAAAAAATTTAACCATCTTGGTTTACGAGGACCATAATTAACTTGTACTTTAATACTGCTGTACAACTTAGCAAATGAAATAGCACTCAATTAGCAGTAAGGTTAAAGTGTGAAAATCATCTCTACCGTCCACGTACCAATTACAATATCTTTGCGTCAACTTCAGAGAAGGTTACCATACTAGAATATACTGAAAAATCACTCCAATGGCAGTCAATTGTCAAACCCATTTCACGGATACGGAATTTCAAAAGAAGCTACGGCGAATATGTTGTTTAGAATTGTGAGACTCATGGCGGTACCTGATGTGTGTTGCCTGGCTGCTGCTGTTAAGTCAATGTATGGTCTTTCCATGGACTGAACCATTGCATTTACTCTGGGAACCACATTAGGTTGACTCATTAGATACTCATATACACTGGAATAGCGGTATACAGCGCCCTAAACAACAAACATTCATATTAAGCAGGGCCGAGTTGTTCAAAGCTGGGTTAAGATAACCCAGGGTTAGTGCGAGATTTGAATTAAGATTTGAAAGCTTAAAAAGCATTTCAGTTTCATTTCTTTTTGTGTTCAAGATGATGATTGGAAGCTCTAAAAATAACAGAGAAAATTATCGGAGAAAATGCTTTAGAACACAAGAAAAAGAAACCCCGGTTAAATTTAACTCCGGGTTAAGCGCTAATCGGCCTTCGAACAACTGGGCCCAGGAGTTTAAAACAACAACAAATAGACCAAAGATTGTAGTGCTCAGTTATTGTAACGAAACTAAAAACTAGTGCTGAGGTTGGCTCATATAAGGCACTGACAATGAAAAAACAGCAGATTAATTACCGGTACTTTCATAGATTTCATACCGAAAACACTGCATGCTGTATGGGGCCCGTCTGCATCATCACTTCACGAATAATTGCTTCATCTATGCTGTCAAACTAATGAACCGAGAGAAGAACATTGAGTAAATGGAAAAACAGAGTAACTGTCTTACAGCTGCAACTCCATTTCGAGGGATTTATCAGCAAATTAACAGCTATTGTAGAAAATACGAATACAAAGGAAAGTTTAATAATTAATATACATAAATATAAATATAGTAAGAAAATACTTTTCAAAGATTACTGACTAACATATATAGCGTGTCCGCTGTCTGATACACCGTTGTTTAATCACTGCAACAGAGAACCATGTGTCAGGGGGAGACCACATCCATCAATGTAAGGTTTACATGTGGGCCCTCTTAAAAATAAGAAACATCATAGTTTTCAAAAGAAAAATCATCTTTGTTTCCTGCTCATACCTCTTCTTCATCAATCTGTACTCCGTTAAGGATCACTTGTGGCAATTTATGAAGTCCAGTTTTGCCAAAGAAACGCTGTGAGGACTAAAAGATAGATAAGAGATATTAAGCCGGCTTCACTTTAACTAGCAATGATAGCGTTATTAGTGAAACAGAAGTGAGTCAATAATTCCTTTGGAAAGGCTGAATAAGACACAAGGAAACCCAGTTACGAACTGTACTGTGTTGTAACAAGAAAATTAATCATAATGTGTACATTTTCAAAAGCATAATTAGGCGAAAATGAGCGAGTGAGTTTACTACTTGACACCCATATAAACATTACAGTTAACGTTTGAAAAAAAAAAGGTTGAAAAGTCTGTTTATTGTACTACTAGGGCTGACTCGTCCCCAGTCGTCGTCGCGGATAACGCGCACGGCGGGAGCAGGGGGCGATGGCAAGACAGAGGTGAGGAAGACTCTCTCGCGCTTTCCTCCTTCCCATCACACCCCGCGCGTCACTAGAGAGAGGTTTTGAGTGACGACTGGGGACGAGTCAGCTAGTAAGGTGCCTGCGTTGAGTGTTTTTAAATCGGGGAAAACAAGTATGTATGTTAGTCTGTAGACTGTTTGTTAATGTAGTGTCTGTTAAAAAAGCTCTTATTCTATAACGGGGTGTTGTTTTTTTCGGTAGGGTGGAGAATAAAACAACGATGGTAAATGAAACGTTTAAGATTTTGAAATCGTACGAGAAACAAAAAAATGATATGAAGCCAGAAAACCTCTCGGATACTAGTTGGGCAGCAGGGTATCAGAGGGTATTAAATTAGGTTCCTGGTCTCACTGATGTGCGCATTTAAATGAGGTGTACAGGGCATGTCGTGTGTGTGGATTTGACTGTACCTTTCTATATTCATCGTATTCTGTGTCTTCACCAAACACTTCTTCTGTTTCATCTTTACTGTACCAAGACGAAAATGAATCCATCACCTTTTCGGCAGATGGGGATTCACCCTCAGGTAACCTGTCATAAAGCTGATAACAAGACAAGGAAAAACAGCTACCTAGTTTGTTGGCGACAACCTCAGTAGACCTCAAGCTAAACGTTTGAAAGCGAGTAAATTCAAAACGTATTTTGATCAGCACTGAGTTGAAGCTTGTTTTGAAACGCTTTTTTGGTTCGGTCATAAGCCCTCCGAAAAAACCCTTACGAAGTTGTATAAACCCAAGGCTCATAAAAGGACGTTTACGATATGCTATCTTAAAAATACATCTGTTCCCCATTATATTACTTCTCTCATTCCAGAAATCCTTGCTCGTTATCTTAAACTCTTAATTAAGACTAGGAAAACAGGACCTTGCTCTTAGGCAAAACAACAGGATAGGTAACCAGAGAAACTATCAAGATAATTAAGAATGTTTCCTGCACGCTTTTGGCGATTTCATTAAGCATTTTCATTTCCGGCAAGACACGCTACTTGAAACAACAGACGAGACCTGCATTAGCTGAACCTTGCTTTAATAACCGGAGGACCCATGCGTCTGTATACAAACTAACCTGCAACAGCCAATCAAATGCCTGCCGTGGATCTTTGTCGGCAACAATGAAGCTGAATGCTCGTGTGATCCCTACAGCGGCATCCGTTTTGGCATCAACACCCACTGGAACATCAGCAACCAAGCATAATCCAAACCTGCAGCATAGAAGAATGCACGGACTCAAAATACAGTAATTTCAGCTTGTTTCACTTCCTTTCGCAAAAGTTTATATCTTCTCTCATAACAGTTATTCATGGCGTAAGATTAAGTGATGACTGTGGTTTAATTAGTTCTTAATCTATACCCGAGGGGGAAGTAAGTTATCTTTTAAAAATTACGAGCATGAAGGGTCACAGACAAGGCTCTTAAACGCCTCGGGCTTACTCTGCTTGCCGCTTGTGCGTGAGTGGTTCTTGTGATTCGCCTCCAATAATTTATTTTCAACAAGGTGCTCGAAAAATATTTTGAGGTGGTGAAGTGCTCATAATAACGTTCCAGGAACATGGAACCCTTACAACAGTTCCAACCAAACTTTGATTTGTATACCCCAACCAAAAGCTTTACTGGGTATATCTCCCATTGACGCACTATAACGTATAATTTATTTTCAATGTACAATATACAACCCTGTTGATGACAAAGATGACAGAAAGAACGAAAACCCTAAAAAAAAACCGACACCATGCTTTGTGTGTAAAGTTTTAACTAATACATACCTAACTGGAAATGAATTATGAAGAAGCTCATTAGCAACCTTAAGAAGCTCAATGCTCTTGGAGTCCACTGGATTGACAAAGAAAACCTTTAAAGAAAGTTTACGACAACCAATTCAAAGGGGACAGACAGCAAATTGTTGTCGCTTGAAATATCTGTATATCGTAACTGCTCATTGGCAGCATGCATAAATGTGTGCAATTCCACAACTGAGTTTCGGCTACATTAAATTCTCTACTACATATATTTGTAAACCATTTTAGGAGGAGGAACCCACGATGTGAGCACAGTTACGGACAAGGTGTATGAGTAGAAAAAAGACTAGAGAAAATGTAATGCGTTAAATAACGAACTAAATACACACGTCAAACATTGATTTCTTTTACTAATACTATAGTCACACATTTTAACAAAGAAACCCTGTCTTATTTAAAAACTGTTGACTAGCACTCTACATGTATATTCATTCCGTTGCTTCTGATTATCTCTTACTGACAAGCACTAAACTACTCTGCGAGCAGAGCCGGGTTTCTCTCTTGCATGGCTTTTAGTTTTTAGAAAGTCGTTCTCGTCACTTGCCACCAACTAGGCGACTGACAAGCGACGCTACGAACTTCGTAAACGCTAAAAACCATGCAAGAGAGAAACCTCTGCTCGCTCGGTAACACAACTTCCAGTATATAATCAATAATTTACAACAGTTTTAATATTAAGCAGTGTAACGTATTTTGTCTTTTGCATTTGACCAAAAGTAGAAAAACACCAACAACAACATTTTCTGCTGAACCAGCCCTTTGCCAACGCCTAACGAAACAAGAGAGAACGTTCATTTAAAGTTCTGCATTTTCGATTATCAAGCGTCGGTGGAAGTTTTAGGAAGTAACTTAAGGACCTAAGCATGAAAGAACAGATAACTACTAGACCTGTTTTGTGAGATTTAAATGAGACGAACCATAAATAATCAACTGACAAAGTGTTGTGTATAGTACTCAATGTGACCTGTGTGCCTAATGCAGATCTGTAATGTGGAATACATGTAACGTATCTACTCGACAGGGCGCTATCCCGAATCAGTACACTGCACCCTGTCAACAACAATGCGACAATTATTGCAAATGTTTTCTTCTTTTTTTTTACTTTTTTACATTGCGTAATGTGTACTGTTATAAAACTAACATTTGTTACGTTTTTCCTTGGCTGTTATTATTCTTAAATCAACAAAGAAAAAGAGATACTGCGTAGTAGTGCGTCATTCCAAAATCAGAAGGGCCATCCCCCAATTGCACAGACAATTGTACTTGTCGAACAATGTAAGGAGGCGCCGCAGCGCTTTTCCCATGATACCGCGGTATATCACAGGTTGGGTTATACAGCTTAGACACTTCCACTTAGAGGTCCAACAAGAGTCCTGTCACACTGTATATAAAATATCCAGGTAAGGTCCCTGATTACTTCCTGCATTCTTAGCAGATGCGTAATCAAGATGATTACGAAGTTGACTGTTTAGTCAGTAAATCCAACATTAATACGACAATTAAGACCAAGACCCAGTTGTTGAAAAGGTGAATAACGCTACCCAGTGGATGAATCTCAATCCAGCGCAATCTAGCGCCATTGATTTTTTTCTAATACTTATCCGCTGGATCGTCATTTGTCCGGTAAATAGCGCTATCTATATTAGAACAAATGAGGGTCAATTGGCAACTAGCAATCAGACTCGAAATATCAAAGTAAATTTTACATCCCATGCTGTTTAATGCCTTGACGATGGCGTGACGGCAAAACGTTGGTTTTCCTTCAAGTTTTTACTTGGTTATGTCAAACAAAAAAGATGGATTTACCAGATTAAATATGTTCTTCGCAATGTAACGCATCATTCCAGGAAATGTTGGTCGTAATATCTGGAATCAGAGATTAAAGCATACTATTATATTATCACTGAACACTCCAAACGCAAAAACCAACGATCGTGAAAAACCTTTGTATCCACATATACCATCAAACTGTCTAAGTAAACTACATCACTAGAAAATGTTTAGTTTTTTCAAAACCTGTGTTCTCAATCTTTTAATCATCAGCAGACAATTGAAACATTACTTTCAAGCTAAGTACATCACTGAAGTGGTTACAATTCAGGGTGCACAGCTTCAAAAATTTACACCCCGGACTGCAAATTAATGATCCTAAAAAATAACAGTACCTAGAATGAACAAGGGTAACCAGTCAATTCTCGCCCGAAGTAATGTTGCCCAAAACCAGAGTTATGTCGCCCAAAAGTTTATCAGTTGTAATACACAGAGAAAAAGTGGAATAAAGTAGTGTATGTGATATATCTCTTTCTCTAAGCCATGATGAGAGGTAATGAGCGCGAGAAATGTGTAATAGGATGTTGGGATGTTGTTCAGCATGTTAAAATTTCGGGCAACATAATTCTGGTTTTGGGGGGAGACGACTTTTTGTCTCACCCCTAGGTTTCATTTTTCGGCGCGGCCGATGCGTTTTGGGTCACGTGTTCCGAGCGAGATAAATGAAGGACTGGGAAGACACCGTACGTGTACTAGGCAGGTGGTCACCTGAAGAGTAGGCAAATGACATTCAACCAGGAACAAGCTGACAACAGACATCCTAACTGTTATGTACAGACTACAGTGGAACCTCGATATAAAAAACCTTTATATAACGAAGTCCTCGGTATAACGAACGATTTTCATTACCCCAGTCATAGTAAAACATATGAAAAAGAACCTCGATATAACGAAACCTCGATATAGCGAACACATTTTGCCAGTCCCTTGGCACTTCGTTATATCGAGGTTCCATTGTACTACATAACTGCGTTCACCTACCTCTTGTAGTTCAGAGGGCCAGCCCCAATACTGTCGATCTTTTTCAAGGTCATTAATAAACTGAAAACAACAGTAACTAAATAAGACATAATTCATGTTACATACAAGAGGCGTTTAAGTAAAAATATATGATTGAAATAAACTGCAGACTGTTATAAGAAAATACAAGAAGCCCAAAGAATACTGCAAAGCTGTTACAGTACGCTGATGCACATGTATTTCAAAACAATATTTCGGTTGACCTGACCTGCCTTCTTCGGCTTGCAGATGTAACGCTGATCTTAAACAGGATGCTTGACGGTTACTCTGGCCAGCCAAAACGTTCTTTTGAAATATACATGAAAATGTCATTTCAGTTGTGTGGTAGTCCGTGGACTTCTCGCACCCTATGTTATCAATATACATTCTTTTTTTGGAACTTTCTCCCTAGACGAAGCTGTAGGTAGGACTGACTAACCTCAGAAAAATAATAAAGTGCGGAGGAAAGGAAGAGTGGTTTTTGTGCCCTAATTTTGTCAAAGGTGATATTTCCTTATAAGCCCGCCACACCAGTTGAAGTTGATATTTTTTGTTTTGATATGGCAAAGCAAACTTGAGGTAGACTAAAAGCTGATTTCTTGATTCTATCAAGTTGCATGACTGTGTGTAGCTTGTTTTTGCTTAAAACAAGGAACACACATGCAGATGCTTGTCCCTTCTACCATTATTTTGTGATGTCACCAGTTTTAACGTTATAAACAACTTGATACCTTACTTGTACAGTGGGAAAAGATCGTTTGCATGATTCAGTCCAAAAGGCCAGAGAAAGATAACTTACCACAATAGAGTCATGCCTGGCATCTAAAACAAAAGACTCATGTTCTGGTTGAGTTGAAAGGGACACAAGCTTGCTAAGGGCGTCCCCCTAAAATAACAGAAAGAAAAAAAAAACAATCATACACAATGAGCCTTCTTTAGTTTTCTAGTGGAAAGCACACTGGATATTCCCATAAATCAGGTTAAGGAATTGCAGAAAGCTAGAACAAGGATCCATGGAAACAAAACTCTGCTTTTTCTGTAGTCCCATGAATCATTTCTCTAAGTTACTGCAACACTCATAAAGGCTACTTAACAGATTATACTAGTTTGTCAGCTACCTACATACATATGTACCTTTCCATACATGTATGTGTTATGTATGCTAACACACAGGCCTTTAGGAGTGACTGAGACCCGGGGACATAGACAGAGAATTGCTATACACAATATTACTATTTTTTTTGAAAACTATTACCTTGATTCCAACAGAAGCAAGTCTGTCAATTGCAAGTGCTTCATCACGTAGCAAGTCTAAAAGTCTGGGGAACAGTAGAGTTTGATAAACTTGCAGGTATGGATACAGTCATAGTCATACATTCGCGTTTCAGTTAAAGCCTAAATATATAATACATGTAGTTAAGATGACAAAATAATTCTCAACTCCGTTGATCCAAACATCTTTTGGCACCTTGAGTGCTACATATTCACTTATTATTGATGGTTCACTCATTTTAACCTCCCCTCTCTCTAGTAGTGCTCTGTTTTAACTCAATTCAATCACACAAGCTTTTGCGGGAGAGTTATAGTGAGAGTTATACCCATTACATCATCGCTATTCCATGGGGCCAATTGTGCATAATTATTGCATACTTGCCACAAAAACCAAGAACTGTGAACTTACATTGCGTTTTACAATTTGAAACAAACTTACTGAAATGGATTTAGATCATCAACGGGAACTAAAAGTCCATTGATCAGCAAAGCACTGTCTCCTGCATCAATTCCCAGGTGAGCAAAATGCTGCAAGAAGAATCAGAATTGGGAAAATAGGAAAAGTACAGCTTTAATCAAATGTATCTTTAAAGAAATGGTTTAGTGAATATATTATTACTAAGAGATTACCAAAACCACATGTATCAATTAGGTGATTATTTACAGCTACATTGGAGAAGGAATGATTAGATGCGTATTTCACAAATTGACACACTAGAAGTAGTAAGCTAAAAGTTTTAATGTGCCTGTGTTAAATGTTGTACCTTTTGATTCAACTGAATCTCTTTTCTCATTTCCTCCTTGACCTTTGTCTTAACGAGAGATCTAAAGCACAAACACAGACATGAGTGCTCTAAAAAGCTATGACAACAACATTTGTTTTGTGGATGGAATAGAAGTTTAAAAATATAACCCCCATTCATAATAAGAAGCCAGAATGAACCATTTATTTGAAGATTTATTTTCACAAGAAGGTTGTAAAATCCCAGTTTGTGAGCAACTCGTTCCCTGACCACTGTAATAGAACATTTCTAATTTTAAAATTTGAATTTGACCTCTAAGTCAACCAGGTTTTAAACAAGTCTGTAAGATGTAATGCCAGTATTGAAACACACAACATTTCAACAGTAATGTAGATGTTGCACACCTTCTAAAAGAAAATCTAGCAGCACATGGTACATACCCAGTAACCCTTTCACCACAAAAATAACACACATCAATCAAAGGTTACAAACCTTGTTTGCATGGGCAGATTCTGACTGATATCTCTAAGTACTTTTAATGCTCCTTGTGGATCAGATGACATGACCCGCTGGGCTGCTTGGAAGCTCAAATCTGCAAAAAAAACCCCACTCATTTCAGCTTACAGACGAGATGTTAGATAGCCAATGAGGAGTATTGGATTTGTTTTTGTATTTGCAGTTGACTGGAGTATCACCATGTGATCTCACTACAGTCTCATGGTATGGAGAGGAACAGTGGAACTAAACCTACACAAGTGTACTGGTATAATTAGTTCATCATTCGCTCCTGGTTGCATTTAAAGGGGAAAATAGAACAGTCTGAAGATGAAGATGGCCATCTATACATGTATTAAAATGCTGTCCCCGAACAGATGAGTTATTACTGCGATATCTACAAACCTGAAACTGAAGTTACGATTCGGAGGTCAGGACATACATTGTACAGCAGTGTGTTGGACATTGGTCACAATGAATTCACACATGTGGGCTTCTTTTTAATTTACGCTTAATTGAAGAATTAAAAAAATACTGGACAGCACTAAAACTAATATTACACAGCCACATAGCACACAATTATAAAAATAATGATGGAGAAACAGGTACTAAGACAAATTAACTGGCAAAAAATTGCACAGCATATAACTAACAACTTGACACAAGTACAGGCGGCAGAGTAACTCTATGCAAAGTTCACAGTAAATACCTTGTAACTGCCACACTTTTAAAGCAGCCATTTCTTGTGAACCTTCCTTTAGGTGTTTCCTGAACTGCTCTAAGTTCTCTTTCAGACCTGGATAAAGTTTCCTGAAATTGAAACCAAAAGCAAAAATTGTAATGTTGATCCAGAAAAAAATCCAGAGATATAAACCACCAAGGAGCAGTCACATAGAACATTATATGGATAAGCTAGTCTTATGCTGGGTTAAAATTACAGTATCTACATGTACCTCCCCAGGAACAGAGAGTAGCTCTTTCTAAACAGATAATAGCCAACATAAAACACAAGTAGAAATAACATTATTGAACTCAGAGCTCAGATGATGAAAGGGTTAGTTTCTAAAGAACCTGTGGTGTTACATCAGGGGGGAATGAAATACAACTGAGTTGTTTTACAAGAACCATAGATTGGCCACTGTCCTTGGAATTGAGAACTTCTCATTCCCGAGGGCAGTGGCCAATCAACCTCAGTAAACAAATCAGATCAGAAAAACAAATTTTTGCATGTCAGATAATTAATAAGTCAGACATCTTAAGTTTATGTACTGAATGCACTCAATCTACAAACCTCAGCTTCCCAAAAAGGAAACCTTCAACTTCATCTTCATCTGCTTCATCTGTTTTCTGTACTTTTCCTTCTGTGTCATCTTTGACTTTACTGTCATCCACAGCTTTGTATTCTGTTTTCTTTACAGCAAGTTCTACTCCATACCCTGATAGTCGCATCTTTTTACCTGTTGTTGACTGCTTTAAGAAAAAGGCATTGCGGCTCAGGGTCAATTAAGTGACCTACACTGTTCCTAATACCAAAATCATAGGACATAAGTCTAAAAGTATCCAAGATTTAGAGAGTCCATGACACATGAATGTATTAAATATTGATGATGATCAAGTACCATTACAGTATGATTAATGTTATTATACAGTATTACCTGTAAATAATGTCTGAGGATGTAATGAACATTCTCATACTTTGCCAAGTGTTCGAGATGTTGGTGAAATTTCCAAAATGACTCAGATCCAATCACTGCGTACAACACTACAGCTACTGAATTGTTTTCTGACTTAGGATAGTGATGATCAAATTCAAAGCTTTGTGATACTGGCCTGTATAAAGAATAAAAAAGACAACAGCTTGCTTACATCAATTTTCAATGATCAATGAAATTGTAGAGGGCTGGGTACATGGGGAAGTCAGTTTTCTTTGACATGTCACACAATAGAGAAAATCCACCAAAGGGAAAGTGGATGAGGGGGCTACTGGTGCGTACAACATAATGGTATATCAGAGTTCTCGATAAAATGGATTAGAAAGGGGGAGGGGGCAATCGCATTTATTTAATCATGATTATATGTGTTTTTTCTTTAAAGAGACTTCAAATGGCCATTACATTCAACTCTCACCTTGCAGACACCCCGCTATAACGGACAGCAGCTAAATCCCATGCAAACATAGACATTTGACTGAAATGGACTCCCGCTATTATGGGCTCTCACTAATGAGGACACTAACTCAAGGTCCCTACAGTGTTTATGATAAAGGGAGTTAACTGTGTACGCCACCTTGCATGTAAGTAACAAACTTGGGCACAATTTGTCATTTCAGAAATAGGGCTTTGTAATGAGCACACTAATGAGTGGGACATACACATTTTCTGCTTGCTTGATAACAGACACTGCCTTTGTGACATCACAGATTGTCTGAGTGCCAAGTTGAATAAACGCTTCACAGTCTGGTGCTGGAATTTCGTGCGCTACCTATAAAAAAAATCAAAACACAGCAAATATTCCCACCTAATAAAAAATAGTCTCAAAGACCGTCCTACTGGCGATAAAATTAGTTTCATGGAAGTCACAAAGATAATATATAATGAAAACAACAAATTAGAAAGAAAGTGGATGAGATGGAAGAATGGGTCCCTGGAGAAGAAAATGTTTGTTCCAAAATGGTACACAAAATGTTAATAGCAAATTAAGGTATCATAACACATAGGCAATTAAAAAATCAATGATAAATCCAACAGTGTTTCAATGTCATCAAGACTCCATTTTCCAGTTTGAAATGTTTAAAGTCAACTCTCTCTGTGATGGACACCTTAATTGCAACCAGCACTAAGTGTCCTTCTTAGAGAGATGTCTGTCTTATATAGAGTCAACTAAAAGGAGTAAAGAAAGGCAGGGACCAACTCTAGGTGTCCATCTTATTGAGAGTCAACTAAAGGGACTAAAGAAAGACAGAGACCAACTCTGGGTGTCCCCCTTATAGAGAGTCAACTAAAGGGAGTAAAGAAAGGCAGGGACTAACTCTAGGTGTCCGTCTTATAGAAAGTCAACTAAAAAGAGTAAAGAAAGGCAGGGACCAACTCTAGGTGTCCGTCTTATAGAAAGTCAACTAAAAAGAGTAAAGAAAGGCAGGGACCAACTCTAGGTGAACGTCTTATAGAGAGTCAACTAAAGGGAGTAAAGAAAGGCAGGGACCAACTCTAGGTGTCCAATTTAGTGAGATGTCCATCTTACAGAGTTGTCTGTAAAGAGGTAGTCGCCTATAGACCTATACAATAAACTACCATATAAGGTGAGATATCATACTTTGCTGATAACTTGTCAGGATGAATGCTGCAAAGTCATGCAAACTATTGGGCAGGTGTGACTTTTGCATAATAAACTATCATACATTAATCCTCTACCAACCAGTTTAACAGATTATTCTTAACATCTGGACTTGAAACAGTAGATACATGTATTGATGTAGAGTGAGAGGTTTTTCAAAATTGCAAAGGGCTTTAATAAGAAATACCATGACAAGTATTATTATACTCACCCTATTAAATAATTCCACCCTTGGAGAGTAATATCTCAGCGACAAGGAAAATTGTAAGAAATCCAAACCTAAAGGAGCTAGTAACTTTTCAGCAACTTTTATAATATGTTGATATTCATCTGAGGAGAAAAAAAAATCAGTTTCAAATCTAAACCTATTGCTGAAAACATTATGTTACTTTATTTAAAATTCACACAGTGCAAAAGACAAATAAATCACAAAAATGATCTACCACTAAGATTAGCAGAAATCAATAACACACTGTATGAAAGAAATGGTGACATGCCAAATTACTTTAAAATAATAATCAAGGGTATATGGTCTTGAAGTTTGGTGGATGATGAGACATCATTTCAGAGTTAATTACAAATAACCTCATAAGAGCATGTTAAGCTTGAATAATGTGTATAAGTGAAACTAAAGGCCACCAATGTAATTAGATTCAAGGTGCCCCACAAAAAGGCTTTATGCAATCCATTTAATCTAAAATTTCCTTGTTGTCTAAGAACAAAAGTAAGCTGTAAAAGTGTCAGGTGGCCATGACTGGGTTGCTGCAGGAGCACAGCTATAATTTACCATCCCTTATTATGCATTAAAAAAAGAATTATACCATCTGAAAGTTAAAATCATAAAAGTAGGGGTATAGAATGGTAAATTTGAGACTTTGTGTGCCTGCGAGAGCCCGGTTTCAAAATTTGAGAACAAGACTCAAGAAGTATTTGAGACTCTGAGACACAACATTACCCAACAACAAGATTTCAAGACCTATAAAATCACTTGTACGATTTCAAGCTGGAGCCAAAAATTTCTGAGACCCACATTTTTCGAGGAACCATTCTATACCCAAAAGTGTGCTTACATCCTTTAATAATCATAGCTTGTTTGACATAAATACCTGAATCATGACTGAATGAAACTGTCTGTGATAAATCTACAAACTTCCAAAACTTTTCATTGCTATCTCTGGCTAAATATTCACTGAAATGAAAAAAATAAAACATTGAATAAACTATCAAGTAGATCTCTTGCTAAAAAGAGATAAAAGGCAAAAAGATAATCTTGATGCCACATCGTTTATGTTTTCTTCAGCGTGCAGTAAGGATCTTGTTAGGGTGCTATTTGGGAATGGCTCATATGAAAATTAGCATGCAATTCTGCCCATCCGAATTTATGTGATTGACAACCAATCATGTTTTGTTCAACAAGAAACTGGTAGTAAAAAAGGGTGAAACAATAGTGTCCTCAAAGGCATCATTTCTATTATTCCTAGTGCTAGAAAATCTGTGAGCCAGCAAGCCATGCGATTTATGTGAGCCATGGGAAAAAAAGTAACATTTTATAAAACTGCAAATACATGAAAAACGTTTTCTGCATCATAGTTCCCTATGGGTATGCCAGGTTTTGCTGCTGAAATATTTGCACAATCATGCAGTCTTGGTCAACTTTCACTGATTACGGTTAAGTGCTCATTTTACTGACTAGGGTTTATCACTCACTTTATGGATAATTTACAGTTATGCCCTTTTTAATGTGAAAAACACTCATTGACAACAATTAGCTTTCATTTCATTTTTTTTCTCCTTATTATTGATTTTTTATTTTTTTTTGCAATTTTTCGCTTGGCTTGCATGGTATCCTAAATCTTTTTCCTTGCCCCACTATTACACTCTAGTATGCCTTACTTTCCCCTTTTCCTGCCTCTTCAAACTACTACATTGTACCACAGGGTCAAGCTACATGTACCATAAAATTCCAAAAATAAGCCCCTCCATGAATAAGCCCCTCCAAATAAAAGCCCCCATGGCGGCTTGCACCAGCGCCTTACAAACGACTTATTGACGAGATCAAGGAAAACTAACTACGAGAGAACAACTGGAGAACTGACAATTTGACTAACAATAGACGACTGGTTAACCGTGACAATAGACGGATCGAAACGCACCAATCACTGATTACAAGTCTTCATAGCCAATAACATCATGGCTTAACTGACAGACGACCAATAACATTGCGACGTAATTGACCAATCAGATCAATAACCAGAGTATAATACCATCAACTGACGTGACACAACTCACTTTGACTCTGAAGATGACTACCGCACAGGTTGTCGAAACGTCAGTCACTGTCAACAACAACAGTCCTATTCAGGACTACGTTCACCCGGACGATCAAACTCAACCTTTTGAAATGACCCCTGGGTTCAAACCTTTCACAGTGTTTATCAAATTAACTAACATATCACAAAACTGGGAGATCACATATGTATCACAATGTTTTTTATCTAACCGTAATCCCGATTTTTCAAACCACTTTAAGAAAAGCAAATTGGTTCAAATTAGTGGGAGGTTTGGTAAATCAGGAGTAAAATTATAGTGTTTGACTGGCGAAGGAAAGTTAGGTTTGGTTCCAATAACTATTATCATTATTCATTCAAAATATTTCTCCATTTCTGATTGGCTAAAATCCCACAAATAATTCATCATAACCAGGTATTGTCGACCAAATTTGAAATGATTTTGCGATATGTGAAAAATGATGTCAAGTGTGCAGCCAGATTATTGAACAGTTAACCAAGAAGACCTGGAGGCAAGGTTGAGTTGTTTTGGTAGTGAGTACAAAATGGTGGAACATTTCACTTGTTTCACGGGGAAGAAATAGGCAGACTGTTGGCTGACACCATAGCAAGAACAGCAAGAAGACAACTCGACGGACAACATCTGCTCTTTGGAGAATATTTACAAAAGTGAAAAACCCTTTATCTCCTAAACTTGCTGATAATCATGCATTATTGAAGATGAGCTTAACATTGATGGAGGTAAGCATGTTTTAACTTGTTTTTAAACTAAGAATTATTTTGAATGAATAACAAAACAATTTTTGAATTTGGCTTGCTATCTGCCTAGGCCGTAACACCCACCCAAGATCTCCATCATTGTTCAGATGATCATCAGCCTCATTTAATTAACAATTAATAAATGAGGCTGAGTTTCTTATGAAGAATTATGGAGATCAAGGAGGGTGTTAACACCCCCCGAGATCTCCATAATTCTTCATGTGATACTAAAGCCAAATTCAATAATTGTTTTATTATTCATTCAAAATAATTCCTAGTTTAAAAACAAAACTAAAACATGCTTACCTCCATCGATGTTAAGTTCACCTTCGATAGTGTACATTTAGGGTTGTTCAGCTCCGCAAATAATCTCCAAATAGCAGATGTCACCCTTTGAATTGTGTTCTTGCTGTTCTTGCCATGTTTTTAGCTATAATTTCACCTAGTTCTTACTCTTGAAACGAGTGAAATGTCCGCCATTTTTTGTTTTCACAACCGAAACAACTCAATCTCGTCCGCAGGTCTACTCGGTTAACGGTGCATTAACCTGCAAGAACGCTGCATTTTTACTGTCATTTCCTCATTAAACACAAAATTCTTCTAAATTTGGTCATTGGTAACTGGTTATGGTGAATTATGCGGGTGCTTTGAGCCAATCACAATCGGGGAAATATTTTGAATGAATAATAATAATAGTTAATAATTACAAAAATGGTCAAAACCAACGGCTAGAAAAATTCTACAGTAATGTATATTTTTTAACAAACCTGGCCTCTAGAAGTAAAGGTGTTGATGCCCATCTTGCATCTAGTGTAGCAATTATTGACTTTGAGGTGCTAGGTTGACAATAGCTAAGCTGGGTTTTACATATAAGAGTCCACACGACGGCCAATAGAATATGTGTAACCTAGAAAATATTGACATCATCGTTTTATACAGCTCAAAATTAACCATAAAAAATTTTAGGAACATATCACGACTACTAAAAGGCACTTTAAGTCAACGACTACGAGCAATGATGTACATTTGTGTAAATTATTTTACTAAATTACTAGACTAACAAAAAATATAGAAGAAAAATCCGTCAAATTGAAACAGTCGAGTTTCTTTACCGGGGCTGACAAAATACGATCTCTTTTTCATCGCAAGACTGATCGGAAGCTTAAATCGGCTAAAATAATGAAAAAAGTGAATAAAGCGGAAGCATGTGAGCTGCTCAAGAATACCGGTCCATTAATTTGCCGCAACACTTTAAAGAACGAGGCACATCACAGTAAGCACTTCTATTACGCAATGAAAAACAAATAAGTGACCGTTTATTCTGGAGATTACGAGGCGATATTCCCTAAATAGATGACTAAATTCTGGGTTTAAAAGATTATTTTTACTTATACAGAGTACCTTGCATCTGATCGCCGCCATCTTGAAAATAAAACCAATGCCGTGTAACCCCGTCGTGCCGCTAGTGCCAGGCAGGCGCCAACACAGGCAGCCCAATCTCTTCTCAGACTGTCTCAGATTCTATCAAATCTTTCCTTCTTAGTGTTTTGAATTGTTGGCAGGTCAGTTTCTAAGCCCACACATGTTTGATGGCACACTACTTTCAGTGGACCGACTTGTGGAAGGGCCGGCCCGGGCCGGGCTAACAAGTTTTGATAAAAATTGTCTCTGCATCGGTCGGGGAGTGAAACATAGCTTTCGCTCGTAGCAAGCGTTTGCGTTTGGTTTCGGAGCAAAAAAGACCGAGGAACGGGATTTTCGGTTTTGGCCGCGCAAAGAATTGAACCATAGCCACCCTTCGTGCTCTTTTACGCACGCCATTTTTCGCGCGGTCTTTGACTCTCGTTTCTCGTTCTTTGCCCCGAAACTGCACGGAAACGCATCCTAAGTAAGCTATAAGTGAAACACAACAATTTGGTGATAAGGTCAAGCTGTACTATTTATTCCATTTTGGGGCAAACTTAAGTTTTTGGGGATGATACTTTTCTCTGCCTGCTAGTGTGGGTATAGGGCATCTCATTCTTTTCCTTTAGTGACGAAAAAAACACAAAAGTAGGAGACTTTTTCCGAGAAAATCTACGATATAATGATCTTGACGAGATCTTTAAAAAACGAGAGAGATACGCCTTTTCCATTTCAACCTGCCGAATCATAATATAATATAATCATGATATTAATATTATTGCAAGTTCGTCGAAGAGGCTAAGAATGTGGACAGCTCTAGAATGAGATCCCTTAACTGAGAGACTCTCCCTTCTAACAATGTAGGGGATGTAACAGCAATTTAAACTCCGATGGCGGTTATTCGTGCTTGTGTTCCCGACAAATCGCTAAAATTGTTAACAAGCACTTTACCTCAGTTGGTAAACGCGTAGTAATATCTTTCTCTGGAGTTAAAAGTTGGTCGGCGTCATTTATTTCCGACGTTGCGGTTGAATTTAAGCCTGTGACAGTGGCTTCCGTGGCAAAGCAGCTAGCGACAGCGGCAGGCCTGGACAACATGAGTGCGCATATGCTTCGTGACTCATCAAATATGATTGCCCCACCTTTAAGTTACCTAATTAACATATCTCTTCGGGCGGGAACTTTTCTTGACACCTGGTAATGTGCAAAGGTAAAGACCTTGTTCAAACAAGGGGATAGAAGTGATAAGTATAATTACCGCCTTATTTCCATTCTGCCATCTGTGTCTAAAGTAATTGAGCGTTTTGGACATTTCCAGCTTTATGGCCATTTAATTATAACTCAAAACAATTTATTATTTGATAAGCAATTTGCTTTAGACAACGTTGCTACTACTGCTACTGCTTTTTGTCAGTTTACCGATGATTTACCTGTAGTGTGTGCTGCAGACTGGTGCGAGGAAATCGCACAGGGCATTCGTCGGTGCCTCAGTGGTATCGTTCTACATCGTTCTCAGATCGATGGATAACTTTCCAGATGTTTTTTTGTTTCGTATTTAGCTATTTGACCGTCTTTTTAAAGGATTTGTAAAGTAAACCGTAAGAGCAAAGAAAGCCGTAGGAGGTGACTGACTAGTTATTCGAGAAAAGAAGTAAGGTTGAAACCATTGTTTGAATCGAACTTGCTTTATTTAGTGATGAGATGTTACAAAAAGTTAGTAGAAATCCTGCTGGAAACTTTTCTTGTTTACGTGTTTTTAACATTTTCCCAGCGTATGCTTGCTTCCTTCTTCAGAATGGCGGAAATCGCGTTTGCGAGGACTTGAAATTTCAAAATTATCCGGGGGAGGATGTCCCCGGCCCCCCCTTTCAAGAGGACTGCCTTCGGCAGCCCCATTTCATCGAACCGCCTCTGCTAAAAAAAAAGCTGGATCCGCCCCAGCAGGGCATGTTCACAGGAGTCATTTATTTTGACTTGAAAAAGGCATTTGACACTTTGGATAATAAGATATCTCTTTTAAGTGTGCCGCAGGGGTCCATTTTAGGACCCTAAAGCCCCACAGGGGGTACTTCCTAGTAGTAGGCTAATGGGTAAGTGCCGCTGGATGAGGTCGCATTTTCACGACTGAATTGACTATTATGGGGTTGCATTTTCATAAGAGTTACTAGAAAGGGGTCGTTTACCTTCAGGATTTTGTGCGTCCGAAACTTCAGGTATGTAGGGATTTACAAATAGAATGATTTACTCCACATTAAGTTTAACAAATGTATCAGTTGCATAGTTCATTTCAGGGCGACCAGGTTAAAAGGCTTTATAAGGCAGATGTAGAAACAGAAAGTGACTAAGCTGACTTTAACTGCGTGTTGAGCGCTGTGTTGAAGAAATCGACCTTTGGATGTGCAAAAACCTATTAAAACTCAATCAAGACAAAACTGAACTTGTCGTCATTAGCTCCAAATTTCGAAATAGAGCAAATCTTGAATATGTTCGGGTTGGTGATGAGTTCATTGCTCCTAATTTGTCTGTACGTAACCTAGGAGTCATCATGGACAATTGCTTTTGCATGGAACAACATGTAAAAAAGATATGTAGTGAGGCAAATTATCATCTCAGGAATATATCAAAGATCCGCAAATATGTTACCCAGGACTCTGCTCAAATTCTCATCCATGCTTTTATTAGTTCTAAGCTTGACTACTGTAACTCACTTCTATATGGTATTCCAAAATACTTAGTTTGTAGATTACAGCGTGTTCAGAACAAGGAAGTATGATTCGATTACCCCAATAATGTTCAAGCTGCACTGACTCCCCGTACATTCACGTATTATTTTTAAGCTCCTGTTATTAGTCTATAAAGCACTCAATGGCAAAGCACCCTCTTACATTTCTAGTCTCCTGAGCCATCGTAAGTGCTCTCGGTCTTTACGTTCCAGTGGGCAAGAACTGCTCACTGTGCCACTGGCTAAACTAAAGACTTATGGAGATCGGGCGTTCAGCATTGCTGCGCCAAGGCAATAGAATAGCTTGCCTCTTAGCATTCGTATATCTCCATCAATCTCTATTTTTAAAAGACATTTGAAGACTTATCTTTTTAAAGAAGCCTATGGTTTTTAACTTTTATTTTTAATACGCGGTTTTTTTTATTCATTTCATTATCTGTAATTTTATCTTAGTATTTTTAGATCTTAGATTTTAACTTTCATTTTTTCTATAATGTATATATATATATATATGTCAAGCTTTCTTACTAATTTATCTCGGTATTTTATTATATTTTTTAGTTTTTAGGTTCTACGTTAACCTGATTATTAGTAAAGCGCTATGAAAGGGTAGCTGAATAGCGCTATATAAATTATTATCATTATTATTATCATTATTGAATTACTTTTTCCCAAAGATGGGATCTGCTCCGCTCCCTCAACCCATATTTAGTCTAGGCCGAGATAGGGCAGCATAACCAGCAAGCTTAAAATATCTTTATATAAGGTAAAAAAGGAAAGAGCTGACATAGGCTTAGATTGATGTAAAAAAATCTTGCAGGTAACCAAGACAATGACTATCATACTTTGCTAAAAGAAATCCGAGGGTAACAGATTGACCAATCTTACAAGATCTGTGGCAGATACTATCTCTAAAATGACTAACGAGGTCTCAAGCGGAAATAATCACGAAACAGAAACATTGTTGTGAAAGGTTTGAACCCAGGAGTCATTTCAAAAGTAGGTTGAGTTTGATCGCCTGGGTGAACGTAGTCCTGAATAGGACTGTTGTTGTTGACAGTGACAGACGTTTCGACAACCTGTGCGGTAGTCATCTTCAGAGTCAAATTGAGTTGTATCACGTCAGTTGATGGTATTATACTCTGGTTATTGATCTGATTGGTCAATTACGTCGCAATGTTATTGGTCGTCTGTCAGTTAAGCCCTGATGTTATTGGCTATGAAGACTCGTAATGTAATTGGTGCGTTTCGATCCGTCTATTGTCACAGTCAATCAGTCGGCTATTGTTAGTCAAAAATTGTCAGTTGTCCAGTTGTTGTCCCTAGTTTTGCTTGATTTCGTCAATAAGTCGTTTGTACGGTGCCAGTAACTGTTGACTACGATTCAGTGGCGATTATTCTAAGTTAGTAAACCAGCTTTCTAAAGTGGTCGTTGATAGTAGTTTGTAGAATACGTAATACGTGTCGCAGAGTCCCAGTAGATTTGATGTTTCGTCTGTAAATAAGACCAACGTCAACTCTGGCCTGGAACGGCAAAGCGATAAATAATTTTACTATCGGCTCTATCCTCAGGAACCATGAGGCAGTCCTCTGACTCTTCAGCTCCGACCTAATTTCCCCACTTTTAGGTAACTGAAGGACGAAAAATAATGGAGAAAAAGTTTTAAGACACGCGAAGTCTATAATTCAGCGACGTTTTCACTGGAGTCGCTGGTGTCGGATCGTAAGTTCCTTATTAGGGAGTTTATGCAACGACGAAGACGACGGCAACGAGCACGGCAAAAAAGCAATAGGTTAAGACAAGCAAAACAACAACTTTGCACGTGCATCATGCTTTTTTGTACATTTCTCTGCCGACGTTGCACGGCTAAAACGTGAAACTGCTCAATTTCACGTTTTGTCGAGGACGGGAACAACAAAAGACAACAACCTTCTTTTTCTTTTCCTCAACTTTGATGAAGTCCTTTAGAATTCAACTCTAAAAGAATTCGCTAACATTTGACGAATTAAACGAGATGGAATAAGCGCGATAAAGTTTGAGGCAGCGCAAATTCACTTTGTAAGTGACGTCTTCGTAGCCCTCGTCGTTGCGTTAACTCCCCGATTGTGGACTTTAAGATCCAACGACTCGACGGCAACGGGAACGTCGCTCAAAAGGTGAATTTGCGTTCTTTTAGTCTTTACAGCGATTATTCCTGCCCACTTACTTTGTCAAATGTAGGCGAACCCTCCTGATCTGACTGTCAAGTGACCATATTCAAGCTCAGAAAGAGAAATAAAATTTCGTCGTAGCTTGTTTACGTCCTCCTTAAAACGCAAAATTAGGCATTTTCTCGTCAAAGTCGTACAAAAACAGGAAAGAAATGTACAAAAAAAGCGTAATGCACGTGCAAAGTTGTTGTTTTGCTTATTAAACATTTTGTTTTTTTGACGTTCTCGTTGCCGTCCGCGTCGTTGGATCTTAAAGTCCCTGTTATCAGTCCGTGCGCACGTCTCCCGAGGGCCTTTAGTACACAGTTTGGCTCTAGCTTGGGAGTGATTGCTTTTGTCGTGTACAGTAATAGCCCGCGTACAAGAACCTGGGTTTTAAGAACCTGTTAGGCTAAAATTTTCATTTTAAGCCCCCTCCACATAAGAACCTATTTAGGCTAAAATTTTAAGTTAGGTTCTTATCAGTGGGGTTGCTGTAAAAGTGTATAGGTAGAAACTGCTGAATTGAGATCATCATCTAGGACATATGCTGTACCTGCACTGAACTGCCTATATAGGCATTGCTCCATGGTACAAATAAATGATTTATACTGTATTATCAGATGCTATTTATAATATGTATAGTATATTCAGATGAAATTCATATAAAATTATAAGAACCCATTTTAAGAACCTCGGTAGCCTAAATTTGCTTTAAGTACCATTTATATAAGAACCTATTTAGGCTAAATTGAAAAATTCAGGTTCTTATACGCGGGCTATTACTGTATAATAACGTAGGTTCTGATCCTTACATGAGGCGCGCTCGGATCATAGACGTCAGCGAAACATACCGTAAAATTCCGAAAATAAGCCCCGTGGCTTATATTTTTCAAAGGCCCTTTTTGAGAGGCTTATATTTGGAGGGTGTTAAGTACGGAGGGAAATTTGCGTCTCAAAATCGATTAGCCTAGCCTTATTCTTGGAAGGAAATTTACTGTTTTTCTTGGTTTCACTTTACATTTGAGGGCAGTTTCCCAGTACAAGCCCTCGGTGGGGGCTTATATCTGGAGGGGCGATTTAACGGAGGGTTTTTTGCGTTACCAGTTTGGGGGGTCTATATTTGGAGGGGCTTATTTTCGGGATTTTACGGTATTTTTGCACAGGATCTGCCGATTCCAGCAGTGTTTTGACCGCATACCTCAGTACACCGGTTAGTCACGTTCGGAGCCTCTGTTCTTTGGGAGGTCTCAGCTTCCTGCTCCTCGCCGTGCTTCTTTCCCGTCTTGCTGGATTCACTGCATCTCGCTCTGCCCCATCAACACGACGCACGGTCACGTGTCGCTGGTACATGTTCCGCAGTTTGGGGTGAAGGTGCAGTCTTTCGCAATGTGACTAGACGATGTAACGCAGCGAAAGCAGATGTGGTGCCGTGCTACTTAAGTCCAGGCGCTCAGAATACGGTCTACTTCCCAGTTCGCGACAGACTCGCAAGGGGCTAGGTCTTTCATGAAGAAACCACCACTTGTCAGGACTGTTCTCGACGGACTTTACCTTATCAGGGCTCTCAGGAGTTGTAACGTCAGTTTTGGCAGTCAATATGCCATGGAAACTCTCAGATTCATCTCAACTGTATAGCGTTAGGTAGTGGTCGTTTCTTTGTTGAGCGATTTCTTGAACAAACCGCGAAAATTCAGCGAGGGGGGGCGGGGTAGTGTACCACTTGCTGTGTTTGAATGCGGGAAAAAACTAAAACAAGCAAAATACATGAAGACCCCAAAATAAGCGCCGCTTTCCCCCAAGTTGTTTTATTTTTTTCACATGACTTGGATGCTGAAATGCTAATACGGTTGTTATTGTGTTATGGCCACTCAGTTACTGATAGTTTAATTTGGATCTGGAAGGGTCATAGACCTTTCAAAAAACTTTTATTGCGTCCTCCTTTTCGAAGGAAACAAAGAAAAAAGTTTGTTTCGTAGCACTGCTTTCGCAAAACAGCACTGAACCACTCTTTCGAGTACTACGGTATGGAGCAATGGGGCAATGTAAAAAGACAGGAGGCCAAAAGATGGAAAGCATGCCCAGTGCCCGTATTATAACACAAGGTGATGAAGAACCGTCTTTCTTTCTTTATTAACTAACTACATGACCTTTAGATCGCATTTATCTTTACTTACTCAGGAATATCACTGTTTAAAACCCAGGCCATTAATACTTTATATACAAACTCCTGTATTTTAAAAAGTTACACTGAAGTATATCCGGGTCCATCATTAGCGAAAAAAATAAATTATGAAAGCGTTTCTGGTCCTTTTATAGCGAAAATGTGTGATCATTACCATACACCAAGAATTTTGTTTTGCACATGAAATACGATGGGGCATTTAGATGTCTCTCATTATGCCAAAAAGACTGACTTAGATATTCACGTTAACGAACAGACCAGTAACGCTTACAAATATCACTTCCCGGGAGCGAGGGAGAACAGGCAAATTAATGCACAGTCGATTGAAAATACTACACCCTCAAGTTCGCAAGACAGCTAATTATCCCGGTAACGGACTGACTAAAGTCCCTTTCTCCCGTTCTCCCTCCCTAACCACCTCCCACCGAACTTGCCCACTAAAGAGAGCCACTCACCAAACGGAGGTTCGGTATTTCGGTCGGACCGAAAAACCGAGCCTCCGTTTGCTGTATCCGAAGGCTAGCTACTACTCGTTCCTTCCTTTAAGTGAGTTTCATTAACTTAATACTGAATAGAGCACAAACGAGAAACGAAATGTTACATCGACAACCTAGAATATGCTCTGCTAAATATTCATTCTCATAAGTAACCATTTGTTTGTTTGTTTTTGGTTTTGGATGTCAAAACAACTGAAAAATACATTACTGTGTAAAACCAATTTATTGCCGGAAAATATGATGGTTTAACACTAACAGAAATTTCACGCGACGGAATATCCACTATTCTTCTCCCCCTAGTACCCATCTGATTATCTGCTTAAACGTTATTTACCACAGAGTTAGAAGAACGTATCAAAAAATTTTCAATTAAGCGATACTTCGAATTGTTTCAATGCCTGTGTTTGTCAAAATAACGGTAAAAATCGCTCTATTTTCATGACCTGCATGCCTGGCTCTGTACTGATATTGTTCATAAAACTCCATAATAACTGGCAAAGTATAAGAAACAGCGAGCTTTGAAATGATGTCAATTGAAAATTAAATATAACTAAAAAGCCTCCTTCACTACATACAAGCAAAAAGTTATTTAACGAAATATTTAAATGCCAAACATCAGATACTCTAGGCTGTTTCGATGTTCAACAATCGTCTATTAACTTCGTCTGTTCAAGGCAAACTCAGCTGTCTAGAAATGACACCAGCGCGATTTCACCACGAAACCTCCCAGGTCAATGTGACGGTCAAGAATAAATGGCTGCCCTGTCAAACTTGCTTTAGATCTGTGATTGTGACTCGTATTCCGCACCGTCGTCGCTCCAGTAGGTCCAGTTGGCGGAACGGCCTCCTCGACGCCATGTTGATGCAGCTTCATCCCGAGAGCGCCATGTGTGCCGCGAGGAAGCCGTAGAAGATCGGTACCCACTGGAGGCCTGCAAATAAGAGAATCGTGAGAGCGAGAAAGAGAATCAGCGAAGGCTAAAAAACAACAAACAAAGTTAAAAAGGCTAAAAAACAACAAACAAAAAACAAAAAAAAGAACATTCTCTCTAATTTAAAGCAAAGAGTCTGAATAACGAGCGGAAATAACAGAAGAAAAAGTGTTTTAAATGTGTGCACCAATAATCATGTATTCCAAACGAGTAGTATAGTAGACACCGAATTATCCTTTTTTGCGGATTTAACTAATTTTTGTGTGGAATACATTAACGCCGAATTACGTCATACCTTTTGTCTTATACCATGAATAAAATGAGGAGGAATCTCATTAAGCTAAGGTCATGTGCATATAATAGTTGGTTTAACCGGTCTGACAGGTTTTCAAGTAACTTTAAGGTCGATAAACGTCTTGGATTTCGATTGGTTGATTACAAAATAAGAAACGTTATCATTGCTTAATTCATGATGTTTATGGAGTAAACTCAACCTTGCCTACGACTTAAAACCACTGAGTCGTAACGTTATTATGCAAGTTCTATTCCTGCCGCTGCCATTGTCCTAGTTCCAGTTCAAGGGTTCTTGGCTTGTAAATCGTGCATATTAATGAGGGCGAAAGCAAACTAAGTCTTTTTTTAATTTTATTTTCCCTCCATCACATCGACCCCACACCAGCCTTACATCGACCCTACATCGACCCCACACTAATTCTTTCTACACAGCTGCGTGAACAGCAAAGTTATACCACCGCCACCACCACCACATTTCTATTGTTTTCCTCCTCCACCACCACTACCACCACTACATTTTTATTGTTTTCCCTCCTCCTCCTCTTCCTTATTTTTTATTGTTTTCTGTTCTCCTCCTTCTCTTCATTTTAATTGTTTTCCCTCCCCCGCCCCCTTCATTTTCATTGTTTTCACAGACAGGTTATTTAGAAGGAAAGACAGACCAAAAAGGCCAAGCACAGCCCAAAAAGGCCAAAATCAGGCCGAAATAGCTAAAATCAGGCCAAAGTGAAAATCTAAATAACCAGTCTGTGAAAACAATAAGAATGAGGAGGAGGGAAAACAATAAAACTAAGGAGGAGGATTCAGAATAAGGATTTCGGCGCTTGCTCGCAGTCAACTCAACCAGAGGTTTAGGTTCGTCTGTAGCGCAGCCTAGGCGTGGGCACAGCACATAGCAACAACGCAGATTTCAACTGGTGCTCACATGCACCGACTGCTTGCTTTTTCCTTCCCTTTCACGCCCTGAATGAACGACCTTACAATCATGATCGACTTTCCAACGGTTTTCGTTCTAGACAATAACAGCACGACAACTGAGATATCTTAGTGGTAAACAGAAGTTCAATTTTAAACTAGGTTTAAATTTCATTTTCCTTTGTTCTTGGGTATGGTTGTGTACGATAATGACTTTGAAACAAAGGCAAATAAAATTTTAACCAAGGGTATAATTGAACCACATCATCTACATTACAGCTGGCGACCAAACGACTTTGCCTACTCGTTATTTAAACATCTCTCGCGACATGAAAACAGCTGAATTCGCCCGTAGGTCCTCTTTCTTAAACTGCAATAAGCTACCTTTGTACCCAAAACCGTATACATACACGGCAATCGAAAGAAAGAAAGGCGAAGGTAAATATGCATTTACCATGTACTGTTTATTGGTTGTAGTAAACACATCAAAAGCCACAAGACTGTACCGTTTGACGTACTGAAGAGTCAAATGTTAATAAACTCATGGAGAACGATCAGTTCAGCCTAAAATGTCTGCCTTAAGCAATGTTGATCTTAAACTACGGTTTTAAACTTACAACAACAAACATGGGATAACGTTCTAAAACCTGCTCCAGAACCTCCTGCCGGAAACTTCTCTCCAACTAGTTTCGAAAGGATAGTTCCGTTACCCTTTTTTTAAAAAAAGCATGCCAGGCTAAACAATAGTTCATGTGCTTCGAATTCTGGTTCTAACAAGCTAAGATGACACTCTTGATTTACATTAAAATTCTGCGTAGAGAGCAGCTGGCAGGACGTTCTGCGCAATTCAAAGCAACGTTTACAGGGTATTTACTGTTCTCATTACCCTTCAACTGTACACAACAATGAGAAAACTTCGACTATGATGGTTTGCAATTACAGATTTCAAATGATGGTAAATAGGAATCTTCTTTCAACGCTCTCATACTTGATACATATCTTTCTTAGCCTGTTGAAGATAGATATCGTGCTGATAGAGACAAACGTTGCATAAGAACCTAATGAACGCCGGCCTACACAAATCACAATGACGTTCAATAGACCTCAGAAAACGAGAAGGAGATAAACTGTTGGTTTATATTGAGCACTAGCTGGATGTGGCGTGCAAAAGAATACCGAATGACTTACCACGTGCTATACGTCGTAGCATTCGGTGCCAATTGCGAGATCTGGATTTGTTAGCATCTTAATAAAATTAAATAAGCTTCAGTTACTGGTTAGAATGTGGGCTGGGGGTGTAGGGTGTTACATATAACACAGCACAATCCGAACAACAACAACAACAACAATTTGTGCGTTAGCTAATGTGTGATTTTAAAGCTATAAATAACCAATCACATGCTTGCAACACGTCTTTAGGTCTCTTTAGGAAGGCTTCTACTAACTCTCAAAAAGAAAAAAAATATACCACCCATGTAACTCAATACACTTCTAAAGGTATCTTCAGCAGTTATACTGTTAAATTTGCACACCATTTTAAGAAAAATGCTTTAAATCCTGTTGTTGAAAAATTTAATAGAAATACTATTTGCGCAAGACCTCGTCATATTAAGGGAAAAACATATGGACCACATAATATTCTAGATTTGAAGCACTGAACTGGGTACAAACGTATAAAAAAAACATGCAGAGAAGGGATAACAAAGACTGATAACTTACCAATGAGCTTCTCGTTCGATACCCAGAAAACGACGAAGACCGCGTCACTGGTTCCTGTTAAACCCGCCAAAAACAACAGCTGTTAGTACAATAAGAAAGGCCACTGCCAAATAGTAAAGTCTACAGGCTTATAGTACTTTGCGAAACGAAACGAAACGAAACGAAACGGTACTTTGCGAAATGGTACTTTGCGAAACGGTACTTTGCGAAATGGTACTTTGCGAAATGGTACTTTGCGAAACAGTACTTTGCGAAACGGTTACACAAGCACCAATGCACCTAAATTTTTTGCGTTGGCGACCAAATCCTGAAAATTAGCAGCCTAGAATGCTTCATAACACCTTATCTCTAGTACCTAGAATGCTACTGAAAGCTTAAGATTTGTTTCCAAAGAGCAATGTATTACCAGACGCCATCTTGGATTTAGGTGACTTGGAACGTTGTGTATGAACTATTTTAGTGTCGTCTTTGTAACACGTGTTAATTTTGCGGGCGCATCTTTCACACGCAGACATGTAAAAAGAGCGTTTCAGAGCGTTTTTCTTGTAAATTTATTTTTTAATTACTATGAGTACCATATATGAATTACAATCAAAGCAAATCAAACAAAAACATTAACAGTAACAATGACAACAAATGGAACAATGACAAATTTAGTAAAACCGTAACAATTCTTCTTTCTGTGGCCCATAGACTCTTTTTTGTTTGTTTAGAGACAAATTGGCACAGATTGCATGTTTTAATTTGCTTCAATTATGTTGGATAAGTTAGATCCAAAACTTAACTGTGTAAGAAAAATATAATAAGAAGCTCTGAAGAACACTGTTGTAAATAACGTTTGCTAGCACATGGGCAGACGCCGGTCTCACATGCATGACCCCAAAGCGCGGGAAAATTTCTCACGCAATACCTCGCGTGACGAAAGAAAGACAAACATTTCGCAAAGTATCATTTAGCAAATTGCCAAAATCAATTTTTTTTGTTTGATTTGCTTTAATTGTAATTCATATATGGTACTCATAGTAACTAAGAAACAAATTTACAAGAAAAACGCTCTGAAACGCTCTTTTTACATGTCTGCGTGTGAAAGATGCACCCGCAAAATTAACACGTGTTACAAAGACGACACTAAAATAGTTCATACACAACGTTCCAAGTCACCTAAATCCAAGATGGCGTCTGGTAATACATTGCTCTTTGGAAACAAATCTTAAGCTTTCAGTAGCATTCTAGGTACTAGAGATAAGGTGTGATGAAGCATTCTAGGCTGCTAATTTTCACGATTTGGTCGCCAACGCGAAAAATTTAGGCGCATTGGCGCTTGTGTAACCGTTTCGCAAAGTACCGTTTCGCAAAGTACCATTTCGCAAAGTACCGTTTCGTTTCGTTTCGTTTCGTTTCGTTTCGCAAAGTACCATAAGCCAAGTCTACCACCTTCGAGAAGAAAGAAAGCCCGATGTTCATCATATATTTCCTTGGAAGAAAAGGATGGACAAGGTAAAGAAGATGAATCTAACGTATATGATAAAAACGCTGCATGCGTTTCCCTAAGTCAAATATTTCACTCACAATGTCACTATAACAACCGGCACCAATGTCTGAATACTGAACATTTTGGTGACAAGAATATATCATTTCTAGACTTGACGTAAGGCTTCAACATATGTTCAAACCGCGTTTGCAACTACCACAAATCAACTCAGCCTACTACAGTTACAAGGCCAACAACCTACCCAATAAAACAAACCAATAAACAAACAAACACGGTGGTATTACTTAATAATAAACTGAATTCACTTTGGCTGGAGTCAAACCGAGTAGTATATGTTGCATGCATTAACTCCTGTTTATACAAACGAAAGAAAAACACTGTAACAAATAAAGAACTGTTGTCTGGATGAACAAAGACTAAGTGATGACTAGGTAATAACGTGTCTTAAAAAATCCCAACCAACAGGAAATCCCTAACAAAAGCCTAACGAACCATACCATGTTATCTTCAGATGCCAAATAGTCACTAGTCTCTGATAACCGCGCATAATCTGTTTACAGAGAAAGAACATGAAAGAACATCAGAAAGTAGTACCATTGAACTACAGGCTATACGCCACTGCTTCGGACAATAACACAATCGACATTCAATGGCTGTGTTGAAAGTGGGAAGGTGGTAAGTTAAACGCTGATAATTGCAAATAAAACTACGACGTTTCGGCAATGCTGCCTTCATCAGGGAAAATGTCAGTTCAGATGTCTGACGTCAAACATCTGATGTCAGACATCTGATCTCAGACGTCTGATGTCACATGTCTGATGTCAGACGTCTTATGTTAGATGTCAGATCTTTGACGTCTGTTAGATGCCTGATCTCAGTTGTCAGATGTCTGATGTCAGATGCTAGACGTCTGATGTGTGATATGTACGATGTCTGATATCAGATGTCTGGCAGTAGACGTCCTAAGTCAGAAGTCTAATGTCAGATTGCTGATGTCAGGCATCTGATGTCACATGTGTGATGTGTGATGTATGATGTCTGATATCAGATGTCTGACATTAGACATCTGACTTCAGACGTCTACTGTCAGACATCTCAGTTGTCAGACGTCTGATGTCAGATGCTAGACGTCTGATGTGTGATATGTATGAAGTCTGATATCAGATGTCTGACAGTAGACATCTGACGTCAGATGTCTGTCAGATTTCTGATGTCAGGCATCTGATGTCACATGTCTGATGTGTGATGTATGATGTCTGATCAGATGTCTGACATCAGACGTCTGACATTAGACATCTGACTTCAGACATCTACTGTCAGACATCTCAGTTGTCATACGTCTGATGTCAGATGTTAGACGTCTGATGTGTGATGTATGATGTCTGATATCAGATGTCTGACAGCAGACGTATGATTTCAGATGTCTGATGTCAGACATCTGATGTCAGACGTCTGATGTCAGACATCTGGTGTCATACGTCTGATGTCTAATGTCAGACGTCCGATCTCAGACGTCGGAAGTCACATGTCCGATATCAGACGTCTGATGTCACAGGCCTGATGTCAGACGTCTAATGTCTGATGTGCCTGTGTGATATGTGTTATGTCTGATCTCAGATGTCTGACGTCTGATGTCAGACGTGTTATCTCAGACATCTGGTGTCAGACGTCTGATGTCTAATGTCAGACGTCTCATGTCAGATGTCAGATCTCAGACGTCTGAAGTCACATGTCTGATATCAGACGTCTGATGTCACATGTCTGATGTCAGATGTATGATGTCTAATATCAGATGTCTGAGAGCAGACGTTTGATTTCAGATATCTGATGTCAGACGTCTGATGTCACATGCCTGATGTCAGACGTCTGATGTGTGATATGTCTGATGTCTAATCTCAGATGCCTGACGTCTTATGTCAGACGTCTGATGTCAAATGTCTGATGTCAGACATGTGATTATCGGCGTTTAACTTACCACCCTCCCACTTTTAACACACAAACGCTACACAGGAACCCCCTTTATTTGTATTCAATGGCAATGACCATGTTTGGAGACCCACGGGCAGTCAATCAGGTCGGGAAAAACTGCAGCGAAAGTTTTCCAGAACGGGCGAGAGAGACCCTGAGTCTCCGAGGATGGGCAGTGACCGGCACCGACATAAAAAAAAGGGTTTTTCTCGAGCTGGAAACCGGGGATCCTGTTTAAGGTGCTTTAGCTTGATGGTATTCGTTCCATAGAACTGACGCGAGGGATAGGCCAGTTTCGAAATATCAAAATACGCACAAAACTGCGAGGGTTTTGTGCGAGGCTGGGGAGATTCAGGCGTATTTGCCTTAAGAAAAATATCCATATGTACGTGTTGTACTCCAGTAGCTTTGAGGTCTCAATATAATGGATTACATTTTTTAGCAGTTCCTCTGAACAACCCCATACTCAAATACGATCAATCAAACGCACCTTTACACGTAATATAAATAGATCCATTTTCAAAGATGGTCAGTTTTTTTTTTCCTTCAAGCACGTTTAGGTAGTTTTACTTCCAGGATGCGAAGTTTGATACCACCTCACAAGAGAGTTAGTCATTGGCAAAAAGCTCCTTTAAAAGCCCACGTTTACCCATGTTTTATTTTTTCTTCAAAAGCACGTATTTCACACACCCATCCCTACCTATCAATAACCCTTCCATACAGTGAAACCGGTATTAAAGCGGACCGCATATTGAACAATTTGCACCCTGAGTCATGAGCACTGCACACGCATCAGTAAGTCGCAAACTTTTCTTCCCATATTTTCTGTAAAACGGCTCTATGAGGAGGACACTAGCGACAGCCCCGTGGGCCGGGTATCCGCTGACACAGGTTTCACTGTATTGCCTTACAAAATTTAGCAACAAAAGCAAGCATCATACAGTTGCATCAAGCAGAAGTATCTTAACAAACAGCTCCATATAGATACAAGCTGCGCTTACCCGAGTCTAAGTCTATAGTAGACGAAGGAGAGCTGGGTCGAGGGGAATCCGATTGGAATCCTGGCGAAAACTGCTCATCGTTGATAGAGAACTGGGAACCGGGAAGTTCTCTTACGCGGCGGGATGATGAACGGCCCTGTTTAAGGCGCTGAATTTGCGAGTTAGCGTATTGAAGGTCACACCGTAACCTGCATTACAAACGAACACAGAAACTGTTCAGAAGTCAGTTTTTTTGAGGTGAGGGTTTCCAAGCCTTGACTAACAAGGGAAACTCATTCCAGGTTCCAGCTTCAGAGTGCACTGTATGGGGTAAACATCGCGTCAATCGGAACAGGGTTTAATGACACAAAATTCAACATCACCCTTCAAAATCTAAAACGTATAAGTTTACCTTTCCCTTGCCATGTCTCGATCAGTTATAACTCCCTGAAAGACAAGGAAATTACAGGTGCAGGTTAAGCGCTCGTATACAGCAACGTAACAAACAGCAGCGAAGTTTCCGGCCTTTTTTTTTAGTACTTACAAGTAAAGTTGTAAGCTGCTCATTCAACACCGACGTTGACAAAACAAGTTGTTGCTAAAATGAAAGAAAAATAAAGTTATGTTATGTACATTATCACAAATTCAATTGACTGTGATTATGATCACATGAACTCACTGTCGCTCTACTATGATGCGTTCGATTGATCGTATTTTAGAACAAGAATACGCCAACGTTTTAACGCATATCTCTTCTACCGTGATTTTTGGGCCATTTAAACTCTCCATACACTGGAATATTTCATTTCAAGCACATTTCGAGATATTGCAATGCAATATACGAATGCCAAAACAAATAATTTCTAGATTTTCATCCATCTATTCGTATTGCGAAATACGGCCAATCGAACACACACTAAGTACTTGTTACCTAACTAACAGCCTACTTATTAAAAACGAGTTTGTCTAACTCTTTTATAAAATTAAGTCCTTCATAAAGCAATCATAACAACACATAGGCACTTAGCTTTGACATTTTAGTTTCAACATGCTAATCCTTTCGGTTGCAAGCCTATGGCCTACCTAAAATACTGTATTGGTTAAAAATATATTTAGGTATGGTGAAAATGAAACTAAACATTAGCCACGGTAGTACCTGCGGCGAGAAGTCGCTCTGGACACCATCACAACCCAGTGATACCAGACCACGAGAAACGTCGTCTATATTTGGATTTAGCACATCGCTCACAGCAACCGTCAAACGATTTGCTAAAATAAAACATAACAAGATCACATCAGAAGTAACAAAAGCCGATTTCAGTGACCAATTCTGAGAGGTAAAGCACGTATATTATCAATCTAGAGCAATAGCAGCTAAACGGTAGATCAGTAGCACTAGTCTACATATAAACTTTTAGATCGATCAGTCTACACTTAATCTGGAGAAAAAGTTGAAGCGCAGAAGGCATATGCGATAAACGATCGGAAACATCGGGATTCTTGCGAATTTCTTACTCTGTGAAAATACTGTGAAAAATGACAAATCAAAAAAATATTATTCACACATACAAAGAGCATAAGGCAAAAAATTACGGCAAAAAGACAGAATTGTTAAGATTCCATTTCTTTATATTTTCGTACAATTTCGAAAGAAAAGCCCCTCCATGTATAAGCCCCTCAAAATATAAGCCCCCCAAACTCGTAACGAAAAAAACCTCCGTAAATGGTAAATGTAACCCTCTTAAATGGCCCATCGGAATCTAAGGCCTGGGAGGTTTATACTTGGAAACTGTTTTAAAATCCGAAATTAAACAAAGCAAAAACGGTACAGGAACACAATTTTGTTTTATTTTCCAAAAAACTATTACGTGTGCAAAATGATCGCAGTCAAAAAGTGTCACAGTTTATTGCTGTTTGCGTACTTCACTTTTCACTCTTGGCTTGGATTTCTTCGGTTCATAGAAAAAGTACTTGCAAGGAAACTACGTTCCGCTACCGTGCACCCTAGTTTTTTTAAGTTTGCATGGCTACATAGTTTTAGGAAGATCTAAGTCTCGGTTAAAACTTCGTGCAATTTACTAACATAAAATTCCTTCCAACTAAAAGCTAGCTCAATCGATTTTGGGACGCAAATTTCCCTCCAAGTGTAAGCCTAACCGATTTTGTAACGGAAATTTCCCTTCGTACAAAAATAAGCCCCTCAAAAAGGGCCTTTGAAAAATATAAGCCTCGGGGCTTCTTTTCGGAATTTTACGTTATTTTAATTCATTATGATCCTTTTCAAAACAACCCTTACGATAAATGTGCGTTACAAGTTTTGCCACACGACCTTATGGCAAAATGTGTACATGAACTTCAGAATAGGTAAAGTTCAAGACAACGCAAAAGTTCCACAAGTCACCACTATGAATATTACAACTAACCTTGAAGAATGGCGGCTAGTATCAAATCCCTACCAAAGAAGACAGAAAAATGAATTAATTTCCTCGAAGATACAAGACATAATAACATGTTTTGCACCATCTGCAAAATATTTACAGTATCTACAAAATAATACCTATAAAATCTACTGAGCGACGGAAACTAACAAATAGGTAAAAAGAATCAGAGCAAGCACTGCACCCAGTTCGTTGCAAATAGGAACAGTAATTACCTAGCCTCCACTGAATCACTGTTGATATGACTCTGAAACAAAATGCACCCAAATAGTGGTAAGCCAAAGGATAACTCCAGCACGCAAAAACTCCTGCTAAACATAAGTCTCGCACTAAACCAGAGAAGTGACGTCTGATTGGGTACGAGATTTCCTTAAACTTTATGAATAACAAGCCACATTTCGAAACGTCAACGCTTAAAAAAGTACTCTATTCGTCGACAAAAGCACTGAGCTACAACAAAAATGGCCTTGATTACGTCAATAAGTGAGTGGACTGATGGTTGCAAACATTTTGAACTTAAAACTTTAATTCAATTCTGCATTAACAAGGCAAAATCGACACCTACCTCACTGGTTGATGCTCCTACTGTCATATTCGCTCCCTAGGTAAAAAAAGTAATAAAAAGTAATCTAATACGGACAGCTGCAACGGCCCACGATTCCAGAGGGAGAAAAAATTACACCATCGAGCACTAAGCTGTGTCGTCTGTTGTACCTATTATAACTGACTGCGCTGCGGTACAGGAATCCAATATATTGTCACACACTAAAAACAACCTTCACTGCTAACCAGTCATAAAAACAAGCTAAAGAAAAAGATCGATGGTTATTTAAGTGTGTTCCAGTGAAATTGTGTTAGTGTATGTACTGTGCTAGGGTTAATCGTTTCTTTAAGTATGCAATCTTATCAAATTTACGTAACGAAATGGCAAAAGTTTATGGAGAGAAAAAGGGTCGGAATTACAGTGTAACTGTATATTATACAATAACGTTTTACCCTCAGTTCAGCAACAAGTCTAGATTTTTCTTCTAAAATTTTTCTAAGCTCTTCATCCTTTGACCTCAGCAACTCTAAAAAACAAACAAAAATAATGTAATGTTTGCCCGAAATACAGACGTTATTAGCCATAAGACTAAGACTTTAGGCTAATAACTATTGTTCTTGCTTCTAGTGAAATTACGTGAATATTACTTAAAACTTCGGAAGACTGGTAATTTATAATCAGCACATACAAACATTTGGATTCACGAAATAAAACCTCCTGCAGATAGACAACGAGCCAAAACGTACAAACTACGTTAAAACAGAGCACCAAACCGGTAGTCTCGGATGTCTGAATTTGAATACTGTGGGGGACCCAGATTTTTTATATCCCACGCTAGTAACATTACCTGTACAAAATTTTCTCAGAGTAACAGGCCTTCCACTGCAATGATACAAGTACCGCAAAATACCCACTTGTCTGACATTTGTTTCACCCGAATCACGGATTTCGAATTTAAATGCAACCTCGAGAGTAATAGTGATACTACATGAAGATTGATTCGCCCATGTGTTAGACAAAGAGTGGAAACCCAGACCAAGGAACATTATAAACACACCAGTTTTTCGGATAAAAAAGAAAGGAAAATAGGGGGATACTTACCAAGCAACATGACTGAAGAGCGCGCTGGATTATTGCTTATAGATTCATCCTGTTCATCAGCAGACATGTGAACAAGGCTTCCTCTCATTTTCAAGGTGTCATTCGATGAACTGGAAGAACTGTCAGAGATAATGCTGTTACGCTCCAGAGAAGGTGATCTGTCATCTACACTTTCCTCATTTGTGAGCTCCGCTAACGAATCTCTGTTCACAACTGACGAATCTACTGGGGCTTCACTGTCTTCAGCTGAAAGAACCTAAAACAGCAGATACAAAACTGTTAATCATAACTGTCTGAATTGTTTTACCCATTTTCAATTTTTGGACTGTTAAGATCTAGTCAAGTACCATCTCTATGACATGTTGGGGTCTGGAATATACTTTCCCCGAAACCAGTAATAATCCAATTATAAAAACTTCTTGCTGGGCTGGTGCTGATAATCTTCAGTTCAAGCAGTCGCACTTTCCTAATTACAATAAACAATTATAGCAAGATCAGCTGAATAGTTTGAAACATACATCAGTCTCTGAATCACTAGGAGGACTGGACTCTATATGCAACTTTGGTGGTGATTCCACTTCTGACTCTTGTTTGACTTCTGATTCAGACTCACGGTCAGACTCGTGTTCAGATTCTGTTTCAACCTGAGACTCTACAGGTGGCTCAAGAATCTTAGGAACCGGTACTTCCTCCACAGCTGCTTCTCTTGGCGCTTCTTTCTCAGTTTCCTCTTCGTCGTCGTCGTCATCATCATCTTCTTCCTCCTCATCATCATCCCGAGGTTGTTCTTCTTCCGAGTCATCATCATCTGCATCATTCTCTTTATCTGCTTCGTCCTCTTCTGTTTTTGTATTAACAAACTTCTCCGTATTGGAAGATTCCCCCTCTTCTTTAGCTGCTGTATTGACTCTCCTTCCTGGTAATTCGGTTGGGTCACCTGGATCCATTATTGTTTGTGTACCGCCAACTGATAAAGCAAATCGGCGACCTCGCTCTGTAGAAAACAAACCACCTTTGTGGTTAGTTCCAAAAATGTAAGGATAACCTGGTTAGTAGACTTCCTTACTACTTACACCGCTGTTGGCGAAAGACGGCATGGTTTGATTTGCCTGCTACTACTCATAGCGGCCAAACCATACGTACTTTAATGGATTACAAGAAAGAAAACTCCGAGGTCGAATTTAGAATTAAGAGAGGATGCTGACAAGTTGACTGCCTTCCCTCACAAAACTCTAAACATTTACACGCCTTGTTCAGAAATAAAGTTTGAAATTAACCTACCTTTCCCTTTGTATGCCTCGGCGGTATCTGTTATGTACTTAAACCAGCTGTGGAGAGAGAAGCTGTATCATCAATACCATTATAGCTATTAATAAGATGAACGCTCATATATCACGGGATAACATGCGTTAAACACACAAAGCGAAAAAAGTCCATAGAAGTGAAGGAAAGCTTTTCAGTCAAATTTAGAAGCTAATTCTCAGATAAAAAATTTTGATAAAAATTATGATATAGTAACCTCATAGTAACGATATTGGGAGTCCAACACATCATTTTTAAACTAAACGACGCTCAGATCAATACAGGAGGTAGGTGGGAATCGACTCTTGATCGCGTGTTGTAAGACTGCAGTTCCAGTTGTTCCGAACCAAAAATCAAAATTAAACTTTGTACCAATAACAACGTCCAAACAATTGTGTACACAGATGGAAACGCCTGAGATGCAGTTGGAAGGTAACAAACTATGGAAATTTAATATTTGGCGCTTAATCAGTGAATGGTCAGTAAAAAATTCAAGCTAAAAATACTTTGACCACAAAGGACTTACTTCTTCCGATCTGTGACTGTTGCTGTAACTAGTTCATAAATCTGTGGTCCAACAGAGGATGAGGTGCTCACAAGAAAGAAAGCTCTCTTGTCTGTTGGACACAATACAAATAACTTGTTATCCATTTTATTGGGGCTTTTTAGTGCTAATTCACAATACTGAGCTATAAATGCACCCTAATGAAAGTGTTATTTAAGACAGGCACTCACTGGCAGAGATTTTTTCAACAAAATGTTCAGTCATATGAACCATTAAAATTATATTTTTCTTAGTAGAAAGAGAGAAAGACCAATACTTCTCTGCAGAGCTGTGCTATAACTCAAAATTGAACTGGCCCCTAAGTAAACCAACGACCACAGAAGCTATGGCCACTATACATGCCCATGATGATTTAATAGTTATACCTTTTGTAGGAATTTACTAGTTCATCTCAAGTTAAAAAGGACACTGTGTACATAGTTAAACCCACCTGTTGCCACATTTCTTGTCAGAACGCTATTCAGTTTGATTATAGGGCTGTGAGTAGTCTAAAGGATGAAATAAGAATACGTCTAAATCTTTAACCACTTAGGCATAATCAAGACCCGCTAAATATAGTGCCATCAAACACATCAAACAGAATTGCACACACACTAAGACAATTAAAAAATAGTCGTCTGGCTGGACATGAGCTTACTGGCAATGAATAGTCTCTACGAAAAAAGGGGTAAATATGGGTACCTATGGTCAAAACATAAACGTTTACCGCCGTGTGCTACAAATGTACGCGGACAATTATTTTCCAACGAAAAAAATGAATCATTTAATAGTTTGTTTCACTCAGTATACTTTGTTTTTTCCACAAGTTGGTTTTCTATTGATTGTTTAGTATTGGTTTGATGGATATTTAGAGGAACTTACCTTTACATCTTGGTACCCTGCCGAAAAAGTTGTACTAAGACACTTCAGAACAAGCTTATCATCCTGCTTTTGAAGTAGAATTAATAAATCTTCTAAAAGAAGCACATGAAGATCTGAGAATAACAAAACAACATTCGTTACATTCATTAACTGATGAATCAAAAGAAAATTCATCGAGGCAGAGCCCCACTGCACAAAAGAGGAGTAAGCGTTGAAATGAACCTGACAGACCTGATAATATATTGCTTTCCAGTTCACATTTGCGCGACAAAAAAAAAAGATTGAAAAAAACAGTTGTGGAGAAGAAGTGAAAATAGACGAAGAAACAACCCATACCCATTCAAAGCGATATTCAAAACAGCTTACCAATAGATTTTGTTCGACTTATTCTCCAAGTCAGTGGACCATCATAAACCAACTTTTTCTTAGTCAGGTCCAAGTCCTAAAAGAATATGAAAAGTCAATTTACAACACAGAACAGATAAAACGTACAGCAAAGGTTGTAAAGCTACAGTAAAACGGGCAGCAAAACAAGAGCAGCCTGTTTTGCAACATTGCTGCAAAACGAGTTGACTAGCGATGTTGCGCGCTTTACCACCCACGTTCAAATTTGACTGGCAACAAATAAGGTTGCGAGGTTTTTTTACGTGGGTGGCAAAACGCGCACCATCGCTATTCAACTCGATTTGCGGCAAAATCGCAGGACAGGTTGCACGTTTTTGTGTTGGCCATTTTACCGTACCTTGAGAGACAACATGACTGAGTATGTACTACGATACTGACAAAGGAATGTACACAAAAAACAACTGCAGTGTTAGCTCCAGTGGCCAAGTAATAAACCGATTGATTTACTACTTGTTACCCTGCGAGCACAGGTTTCTTTCTGGCCTGGCTGTTAGCATTAACAAAGTCGTTCGAACGCGCGACTGACAAGCCACGAGAACGACTTCGTTAAAGCTTAAAACCGTGCAAGACAAACCTCTGCTCGCAAATCTGACGGGCAAATTTCCAGGAAAATTCGCCTTTCGTTCGACTGTTTTTGACTATTAATATCCTGCGCTAAAAATGCCAACATTCGTTGAGCGTGTTGCGAAACCTTTTCCAACTGGAATCATGTCTTGCTAACAGAAATGACAAACAAAAACCAAGGGAGAACAAGATGAAAACCAAGTGTCAAATATGGTTCACTGAATTACCAGGTTATTCAGTATTTGGTTTGACGTGCATAAAATATGTCAAACAAGAGACTTTGCAAAAGCCAAGCTAAGTCCTTAAAAGCTAAGGTTATTATTTTCACCAGTTCAAGTTTGAAACATTAACAATACGCTGCTCATTTACAAAGTACTTTGAACGTTTACTAACAAAGCTCTAAGTGTCTGAAAACTGAAACTGCACACTTGCTGTCGCCATTTGTCAATAAAAATTAGGTCGGGTGCAAAGGTTTTTCAAAAGCGGCAAGAAGCTCTTTACTTTGAGAAATGAGAAAAGAATTACATTCACAATATGCTTTAGATATATTTGCACGTGTTTCCACTTCATAATAAGTGAAAAACGCCTGGGACGTATGACCGCGGTGTAAGATAATCCATGGTAAAAGCGAAATTTGAATTAAGATTTTCTAAGGTACGGAAAACTGGGCCACAGAAAACATGCAACTTGTTTTGCTACATTGCTACAAAACGAGTTGAAAACGATGTTGCACGTTTTACGACCAACGTTCAAACCTTTCAACAACCTGATTTGGTGCAAGACAGATTTGATGCGGGTGGTAAAACGCGCAACGTCTCTTTGCAACTCGTTTTGTAGCAAATGTTGCAAAACAAGTTGCATGTTTTTTGTCGCCCGTTTTTTCGTACCTTAAATCTGAATGTTGACAAAGCAAATTCCTGTAAATGGTTTGGCCTACAAATTGATATTTGGATGCCCTAAAATAGTCCGCTATAATTAACGGAGGCAATGCTTTGGAAAAACAACAACACAAAAAGGCAACCCGGATTAAAATTTAACCCCTGGTTAGGAATAATAGGCCTTCGAGAAAAATGGGCCAAGACGTTAACTCCGTGACAAAGATTGAAACGTTTTGCTCTATTTTATCTAGATGTTAGCCAGAAGACGACTTGGGTGGCGTCATACTAAACGAAGCCATCAACTTTGGTACCTTAAACTCTTCCATTGTTTTATTGCTAGTACTTTCAAGAGGTCTTCTGTCAATTTTTCTTTGAAAGTCAGCAAGTCTCTGTAGGGATAGGAAAAAAAGTTAAGAACATTCTACACTGCACGTTGGCTAACGCTTGCTCTTTTGTAATACAAGCCACAGGTAACCCAATGTTAAAGTAAATAATGATGATAATTAATACGGTATTAAATGCGCGTACTTGTCTATTTTCGCAGTCCTTCACACTCTGGTTCACAAACGCTAGTAAATCCTGCAAGAAACAAAAACGCATGATCAAATATGCAGCACTAACAAGCATTCAACTGAAACCCAGAGAACACCGTTTAGATCAATAATAATAGTGACCGTGGATTAAACTCACTAGCCCATTACGTTATTGCATATTATGCCTTTCTAAGCCGTGTAAGGAAAAAGAAAAACCTAATGCTTCCGTTTAGGATGCAGTGAGCAACACTCCTTCGGAAGTGGTAATCATTCAAACATGTATGTTTCTCGTGATTGGCCTGCCAGTTTAAGTTAAAATTGGCACAAATTAGCGCAAAATAAGTTCATCTTACCTTGGTACACTGAATTGCTCTCTCGATATCTTTACTATCCGGATGAGAGCCTAGGTTGGCAAACAGTTCAACATAATTACTCAGCGCAATGCCGAACATAAGCAACACGCGGGATCTCCAACAACATCCTGTATTCAACTTCAATTTGGGATGATTAGGCTGGCTTGCAGATAGCCCAGAGCTAATCGCGGCAAGCCAGACTGTACAGAGATAACTTTCTTATATAGATATACATTTTAAAAATACAGAACATATACATTAACATAAAATTTTGTGCAACTTATGTACGGTAGACTTCATATTATTAAGTAATTAAGAAACAAACAAATATTGTCAGCTTGTCGAATTGAAGAAACTTGGTCGGATAGTCTAGTTCTAACTTCTTCTAATTGTTTTTTCAAGTCTTTATTCTCCTTCTTTAATTTTCCTGTTGCTCTAACTTTACCAGTCATGTTAAAAATCAGAAGATAACGAGCTGGAGATCAGGGGAGCAGTGCACAGCGTGACCGCTACACTCGAGTAACATCCTCTTCATAAACGTAACGGACTTACTTGGAGTATTTTTCTGTATTCCTTCCAATAGAAGTGGGTATTTTGTCAATCTCTGATAACTGGAGGAAATTATATCTTGTAGTCTCAACCTTCTACACAACGGATCGTTTTCACAACTCTAAAGAGAAAACATAACAGTAACGGTAAAGACTGTGATAAACTGAAATCCACAATCTCAAAAGATATTAGCGAAAATACTTACAGCGATAAATTTTTGTAAGGTGGGTTCTTTTCTTTGACGATGCTGAAACAAGAGAAAACAATGAACGTAAGATCAATTTATCAGTCCACAAAAATTAGGCGTCTCTATGACTCATGACACATTTAAAGCAAGTAACCTAGATACTAGCCTAGTGCTTGAACAAATAACAAGGATGAAATCAAGCTGTACCAACTTTTAAACAACAAAAGCAGTGGACCATTTGCGAATTTCCCTAAATCTTTCCTTCAGGGCAAGGGTAAGTGAGAAATTCTTATGCAAATAAGACTCATTTTCATGCCAGGATTTAGCACTTAGCTCCCGTCCACACGTAACTGTTTTTGTCTTTTCCTCCGGTTTCGCCTACCGTCCACACGGATTCGGTGAAAACTGTCACCAAAAAAGCATTTTTTTCAAAAACGCTGGCTTCTCGTTGACGTGTGAACGGACGAAAACGGAGGTTTTCGAATACGATGATGTCATGCATCATATACTACTAGCATAACACATGCTCTGTGAAAGAAGCTATCATATTTCCATCGATATAACAAAAGGAAAAAATCTCCGTTTTCAAAACTATCGGTATACGTGTGGACGGGGCTTAGCCTCTCTTTAAAAGTAGTGTTTGGAACTCGGATTTCAGTAAACAACAGGTGTATAAACTTTGTGGATCGCTTTAAAAAGTTACTACCGTCTGCAGCACCAGCATACCTTGAGCTGTTCCAAAGCTAGTTTCTGGTGATTACAAAATGTAGCACAGGCATCCTTGGCTATCTCACCAGGTTCATCATCAAACTGCAAAACAAAAAATACAAAAAAGAACTATTTTTCAAGTTACATAAAAAAATCTGTTTACTCTTTAATTAGCTTACTCATTTCCTGAATTATTTGCTTTGGAAACGGGCTAAAATAGTTTTTATCAAGTATCAGTAATAATGGCCTACTAGTTTTAATTATAGTTTGCACTTACTACAGACTATGATACAAAACTGAAATTTAAATCATGTAAATTGAGAAAGCATGTGAACAACAAAATTTAAAAAACATACTCAGTGTTCAATCTAGAAATTATGGAAAGTGGGTCAAATGTCCCACGTGACATTTTAAATTGGGTCATTTCAAAAATGGTCTGGGTCAAATTATTATGATAATAATAAACTTCGAAAAACTGGCAATATCCCTATTATGCTATACACTACCAGTATATTTTTACAACTTTTTAGCATTTTAAGTCAGTTTCAACGTTTTCGAATTTTTTATCCCTATTATAGTTTTTATGCTTTTCACAGTTTTGATTTGCTTATTGCAGTAACTGGAAACAGTCAAATAATTGTAAAGCCGAAAAAGACCAATTATGGCGTAAAAAAAGAGACTTAACTTTTGCTGGCGTTTCATGAAACTAAAATTAACGTAGACACAAGAACACACCCTGAACAAAGTCAACGAACGAAGCGTGAATCGATCGGCAACGTTGCAGAACGTCGTAGTAGCGTCCAGTCTCTCTCGGAATTGGAACGCCTGACACAAAAAGTACTCGTACAAACGTAGTCTGAAACACCAGTCATTTCGCGATTTCGCGCGTTCATATAAGGCTAGTAAGCACACATATTTGTTTTTAAATTTACTTTTATTATTGCCTGCTGCTTTGGAAGTACTTATATACGAGAAAACTTATTTTGGGGGGTTTTTGTTTGTTGCTTTTTTTTGCGTCAGTATGACCCCACGATCATTTCATTTTGCGGCGTAAATGACGCAAAAACGCGGCCTAGATTGAACACTGCATACTGTAACTATATCTGTGTGAGCTGAATAATATATAGATTTAGCCAGGGCTAAAAGCGAAGCTCCAATTTTAAAAAATTTACAATTTAAATCAAACAATAAACTTTTAATCGGCAAATCATTTAACTTAAGGGCACATTCATGTGACTTTTGAGGGAAAGGCTAAGTTATTTTAGAGTGAAATATCTTACAACGAATTGGTAACCTTATATGTACACCCAAAAAATAGCAAACATCTTCGATCACATTCAAGATCACAGTAGATTAGGCCTCGAAAACAAATTCTTGTAAAACAAATCACGCCAAATTTTTTTGCGTTCGACAGGTTTACTTTACAAATTCTTGCCAACAAATCTGGGGGTGTTTAAAACCAACCTTTTATAATTTTTATGTACCACATTTGAGGTGAAACAGTACTATTTATCATACAGAGCTCGGACAGAATGCGGTATTTCACAATTTTTCAAGACAAATTGCACTCAGTCAATATTCAGGACGAGCCAAACCGTTCAAAAATTTCAGAAAATTTCCAAAATCACTCATACGGCCAGCTGGTTCTCGTTTCTATAGTGCGAGCTGTCAGTGTGGTCGAGTGTTTGAATGAAGTTTAACAGAGTTACGCTTCAACATAATAGCGAATTTATTATTTGTTTTGTTATTAAATGGTTTCAGTTATAACGATATGTAATCTCATAAAGCGTTTGATACGCGCGACATTTTTTAGTATTCCTGCAAGCGATGGTCATGAACGATGAAAACAAACGGCACGGACAAGCGATTAAAATTGCAAGAGACTACTAACAATCAAAAAAAGAGATATAATTCCGTGAAACATTTACAGAGACAACAATTTTCATTCACGAAGACAAGTATTAAAGTGTCTCTAAAAATCCTGAGTCTTTAAGCGTAAAGCTTAAGTTTATGTTTTAGCCGGCTTCTCGCGCGGTGTTTACTGTTTTCGAAGGTGAACTCCTCAAAGCAAGAGAGTCGCTCAAAGTTTTCTTTCTACAGCCAAATTTATAACTAAATATTCTTCGGAACGTTTTCTTTCTATTTGTGGTCAGCAAATATAGCTGAAGGCTTTTTAAAGTTCTGTAAGCTTATATCAAACCTGATACTAGGTCAGATCATTGACTCAAATCCTACAAACGTGCATAAACTTGCGGCGTAAACTGTCAGCGTGAACTGTGCAAGACTTCATGAAAACATCAAATACAATAATTACTTAGGCTTACCATTCGAGATTCAGTTCCTGATAGCTATCAATGGAGGCCACAGTTGCTTGAGACTTTTAAACCCTCTTACGCATTAAGCAAGGTGAAAAACGAAAACGATGCCATCCGAAATCGAATTACCGAATTTTGACAAGCGACGCATTTCTCAACCAAGACCCAGTAAACAAATCAGCCATGAATAACAGAAGGCTCTTGATAGCAGCTGTATTTCATTTTGTACATCCAGAGGAAAAAGACAGTTAAAAACATCACAAGTTGACACAAAACTCTGTCAGCTTCAGCTGTCAAAGTAAACTATTTTCAAGATGCTGCATATTTTCCGCATGAACTCACCTGTCAAATTTTGACCAATCAGAGTATAAAAATTGGACGTAGAGCGTGACCAACGCGTGACCATGGTAAGATGAGGTCTTCCCCGCCTGTACTTTAAAAAAAACTGGATGAATTTTTGCTTCCGAGGTCAGTTTGAAATCAAAATCCTAATAGTGCGGGGCCATAGTGACATAAAGACAAGAATGATAAGATATGAATCCTTGGAAAAAATAAACTTGAGCCTGCGATCATTTGAAACTGGTCATTTGTCAGCGGATAACTTTAAAAAAATACTCGACCTCGATGGGTCGACACTTGAGCCCACGGTACGGTCAGGTGATACTGGTCAGCGGATGCCCTGTTTTGATAGCTGTCAATTGATCACAACATTGATGTGCAGCCTGTGCAATTAGTTTTCTCTTGGGCTCCCAAACTAGCTAAAAGTGCGAGAGTAAACATTGGTTTTCCTGTGGTGCGGACGGACAGCGGGCGGTCGGTGTACAGTCACGTGATTACCAAAGTTTCTCGGATGGGTAGATTTACTTAGCAATGGGGCTCCGCCCACGCGCGCGCTTCGCGCGCGCGTGGAGCTCCGCTAAAAACTGAGGCAACTCGACTTTTCTCATAGCCTGCGAAAACATCCGTTTCTCCTCGCTCTTCGCCGCTGGGGACGTTTCGCGTGGAGGAACGTCTGCGACTCAGTGGCAAAAATTCCATACTGATGACGCAAATCAATGTTTACATAATAAATCCGGTAGTCATGGGGTTCCAAATACAAATTTGTACAGTTTTACGTGTCTTCTGGTCGATTTTGGTAAATTTTTGTGTTCATCTGCCAACGAGCTCCAGCAGAACTCAAATTCTTCTTCTAGAGAAGAGTATATTCAACAAATATTGACTGTTTTGCTAGAGATTCTTCGCGTTTACATTTGACCTCTGTGGCCTTTTGTCTTTTGTCTGTCATTCGTAAACAATAGCTAAAACAATGTAACTACTCTGTCGACCAATCAGCACTTCTGACCAGATTCCGGACAGATTTTGCGTCATCAGTATGGAATTTCTGTCGCTGAGTCGCAGACGTTCCTCCTCGCGAAACGTCCCCAGCGGCGAAGAGCGAGGAGAAACGGATGTTTTCGCAGGCTACTTTTCTCAACAACATGCATTTCTTTTTAATCATTGCAGTTAGAAAGAGAAATAATTATCTAAGTAATTTATCCAATAAAATTAACAGAAATCGACAAACGTAAAGTTTGCATCATGTACGGATAAAAACTCGTAATTTGAGTTAAGGGGTGTAATGACGTAAAAAATACAGCTTGCTTAACTTATCGACCCCATTTGTTTGTTTGCCATGCATTAATGCCCGGAAGAATGGACTAACTTAATCAGGATAAAGAATAACTTAAAGTCATGCAGATTTTCGTTACACTTTATTCATTCAACATAAAATTTTATCGTTTCAGGTTGCCTCTAATGCCCTGGCTAATCTTAAAGCAGCTACCGCTGACCAAATATGCAAGACGTTTGCCGATATCAATCCAATTGACGCCACCAGTACTGACAATCGACAGGAAAAGGGACTACAGAAGGTGCGGTAGCTCAGCTGTTCTGGTAGAGGTTGAGAAAATGGCGGAGGATTTCATTTTTCCGCTGAACAAATAGCCAAACTACTGCCTAAAAACGTGGCAAGAATAGCAATAATACCACTCAAAGAATGGCAAACGCGTTGCTATTTGAAGAATATTAGTTGGACTAAACATCCCTTTATATCCGGAAACTGCCGCGGAACAGGTACTTTAAGTAAATAATAAAACAATAATTATTGGAGTCGACTTTTGCCTGATATTGAAAATTATGTTGATCTCTCCATTCGTTGCTAATTATGGCGTAATAATTTGGAACTCACCCTTTTCAGCATAACATCGCCTATACAAGTTATCACTTCCTCAGAAGACTCTTCTTGCTTTTTCATCATGCTCTCCATTAAAGACACTTGAATAAATCAATTAACAAATCAATTAACACACGACCTAACTTTCTGTGTAAAAAGGGGAAAGTCCCGTTAAGAGTTGCGATTTTCTCTAAAAACTCATCAAAGTATTAAACAAGTTATTTACCCAGCTATAGAATTCTAGCAAAAAGTTTACAACAAATCCTACATTAATGTCTCTTCAGATTTAAAGCAGGAAACTTCGAATGCTTAATACAATTTAAGGTATTTTATCGTACTAATTATAATCAGTAGATACCAGAGTACGAGTAGGCATAAAAGTAAGATTCTTTTGTAGGGTCATCCAGAAAGGGATAACGGGTTGCAGAGTGGGAGTATGAGAAAAACCGTGGATACACAAGTCAAGCATGCATCTCTTGAGAAACAGGTAAATTTAACAGCTACAAAATCAGTTACAAACTTCACTGCCACTTTTGTGACTGGTCATAGCTAAAAAAGTTCTTGTAACCGTCTAGGAATTCGTGTGCCATCCCTAAGCATTTTATGTTCACTTACCATGAATTTTAATCAATTCATCTAAGTTGGGAAAAAGTTGATTAATATGCTGCTTGGACATAACGTTAAATTTTAACATTGGTCTGTAGAACACCTGAAAAAAAAAAACATCAATAACCATTCTCTTCCAAGCGTACAAAAGCGCAGTAAAAGCGAGCTAAAGCAAAGGCACTTTGAGAGAGGGCCATTTGAAGCTACCAAATTTGTATTGCTAAGTGTCTTTACTCTTTAATTTAGAAACGATATGCCCTTCAATTTGGGTAAAACCACTTCAAAGGGATTGCAAACGTCAACTTCCGGTTGGCGTGCGTGGCCCAAAAGCGCCTTTGCCTAAGGCTCTTTTAATATGGCGAAAAGTTCACCAGACTATCAGGAAAAGGTAAGAGGCTGGATTTCAACAAACGGCGTGGAAAAAGCCTTTTTAACGGTAAATAGAAATAAAAGTTTACAAATAATGAACTGACGATAGAATTGTCAATTCAACAACCAAAGACTAGAACGACATAAAAAAAAAATTGCGCTCCGTAACATGAGTGAAATGTTGTTGTAGGTACACCTTCCATCTTTGAATCTCTTATACTTATTTTTTGAGTAAGGGGAATAAAGATCACGTGACATTGATGTCACAATAGTTTTAGCTCTAAATCGAAATTCTGCCCTTATCGGCATTTTCTTTGGAAATACTTTACACTACCTAAACTTTGGGTGCTTGTCTTCTGTTGTGAGAAGTTTCACAAATATCTAAAAGAGGAATTTCGAGATGTCTTGGAATTTCTACAAAAAGGGTTTAAATTATGCATGAACTGAAGTCTGGACTTAGTGCAGACAAATTTGCTATCTTTTGGAGGTTTCGGAAAAGTTTTGATCACTCATTCGTTTTGCGAATGACCTTTATACACTCTACAACCAGCTAAACGCACGAAGACTTGCGCGATTTCGAAAAAAACATGAAAACACGTGAATCAGTAAACGCAAGGCTGAGTTTTTTTGTATTTTTAAAGGCTACTTTCACAAAAACAGCGATTAAACAAAAATTCGTCGATGGGTTTTCTTTAAAAGACTTCAGTGCTGCAATTGATCAGTATACTATGAAATCCCCGAATTTCGTGTCCATTGAAAAATTTTTAAGCTGTCCAACGCAGGCCCAAAATAAAGTAAATATCGAAGCGATGTCAAATATCTGACTAAGTTTTTTGCTCTGGGACTTCCTATTGTCTAGAGTTTAGCACAACATCAAATTCCCATGCAGTACGCGAAAATTTAACGCGCTTGGTTGCCCTCTGAAATCTTTCCGAAATATGGTAATGCTGTAGAATGGGAGAAAACAATAGCGAATAGATTACGGAGGGCAACTAAGCGCGGTAAATTCTCGCGTGGTGCATGGGAAGGTGCATTGGTATTTGATATTTTGCTAAAGTCGAGACAATAGGAAATCCCACAGCAAAAGCTTAGCCAGATCTTTGGCATCGCTTCAATATTTACTAAATTTTGGCCCTACGTTGGTCAACTTAAAAAGTTTTTAATGGACACAAAATTCGGGGATTTTATAGTACAATGATCCATTGCAGCACTGAAATTTTTTTAAGGAAATCTATCAACGATTTTCTTTAATCGCTGTTTTCGTGAAAGTTGCCTTAGAAATTACAAAAAGAGTTCAGCATTGCGTTTGACTGATTCACATGTTTTCATGTTTTTTTCGAAATCGCGAAATTGCGTTCAGCCGGTTGTAGAGCGTATAAAGGTCATTTACAAAATGAGTGGTAGCCTGCGTGGCAGGCGTTGGAAAGGGAAGGGGAAGGGAATTTGGGCGCGAGACCACGTCCCTCGCGTTTCTCTCGAACTTAAAACTCCCTTTCCCTTCCCTTTCAAACGCCTGCCACGCAGGCTAAATGAGTGTGTGATAAAACTTTTCGGAAGCATCCAAAAAATAGTAAATTTGTCTGTATCAATTCCAGTCTTTGGTTCATGCATAATTCACACCCTTTTTGTAGAAATTCCAAGATATCTCGAAATTCCTCTTATAGATTTTTGTGAAACTTCGCACAACAGAAGACAAACACCCAAAGTATCGGTAGCGTAAATCATTTCCAAAGAAAATGCCGATAAGAGCAGAAATTCGATTTAGAGCTAAACTATTGTGACGTCATTGTCACGTGATATTTATTCCAATCGCCCAAAAAATAAAATCAAAATAAAGTTTAGTCTATGTGTAATAAATGTGTTATAATCGGTTCTATAGTAAAGATCAATTTGTTTAAGTATAAGAGATTCAAAGATGGAAGGTGTCGCTGCAAAAGTACTGGGTCGAGACACCAAGGAATATCAGATTGCTGTATTCCTCGTAAGCTGTCACTAAAGGTAGTTTTCATTCCTGTGTAGAGTTTAAAGCTTATTCAATTTAGTTCAAAGTAGAAGCGAAAAAGATATGTGTATATTAGTTATATATGTTCTCAATTTCTAACTACCAACTCACCTTGCTCAAAACTTTAAGATTCCTAACATGTGTTCTTTCAGTATGAATAAGCTCTAAAAGAGAAAAATACAGTTAACATTAGAATATTCTGATGGTATTATAGTTTTTTTGTGTGAATTCCTTACAATGAATTTTCCACTAACACTTCAAAGTAAGCCGGTCACTGCTGTAAGAATCAAAACCTAGCTTGGTCTATACCGAGGCGTTTTCACGTAAACAAGAACGCATTCAAAACTTTGCGTCCACACCAGAGTTTTTCCACATTGTTTTCGACCATCCACACTAAGCCAATGCATATGGAAATGGGATACGTCTTCGTTCCCAGGCTGTTGAAAGACCGCACGTAGACGGAGGTGTTGAACTTCGATCAACATTTACGTTTACGCGCGACTCTCTTCTTTATTTTTATTTACGCGCGTAATATATGTGTGCGTAAAAAATTACGTGCCAGTGGAAATCCACTTAACATGACGTTTGCAAATACGTCAATTTCCTCCGACACAAAGACACACGTAGCTCAACCTTGAAATATGAACGATATAAGGTTATATGGAGGGAGTAAACCAGTTGCACCAAAACCCATATAATGGCCATAAATCGGCTTGGGGACTACACAAGAAAGGAGAAACTCAAAAAACTCAGTTAGGTAAGCTGTTGTCTATTTATCTTTCACATTTGTAGGATTCAGAAACAATCGTTTATATTTTTCACACAAATCCTAAAATTTTGAAGGTTACGCAACAGTATCGACACTCATTCCATCTACTATCTACTATCTACTATCTAGAAACTGTTAAACACTATTTTTAAGTCTCGTTCCATGTCTTTATATAAAGTTCAACTTGTCTTACCATGAATAATTTCTTGACGCTTGATTTCCTTTCCTCTTAGTTTTCTAATGACCTAGAACAAAAACATTATAGAGGTCTAGCCATTTGCAGGGCAAAGAAGTAGCTTCATTTCTCAGTTATTTTAAGACTCTGAGTGTTGATCCGGTCCCAGTAATCGACCCCACGACCTCCGCTCCGCAGTCAAGCGCTCTACCAACTGAGCTAAGCCTGCCGCGGTTAAAAATGTCAATAAAGAGCAAGTATCAACACTAGAACTATCTTCAAACCAACTGTTTGATAAACCGGCAGTCAGCAGTCAGGAGACACGTTTACATGATTGTACGGACTTATCTACCATATTATTGCCGAACACGACCCACATCCTGTAGGCCAAAACCTTTTCTGACCGATAAGCCGACTATTCCAGCTAAACGTTTTTGTGTGACGTTAACTGCATATTTTATGTATGTTAATCTTAAACCCGTACAAAAGGACGCAACATTGTTGGATGTTACATGTTGCGTCCGTTTGCACACACTGTTGCATGTTGGTGGGAGTCGTTGCGCAAAGTTTGAAACCAGTCAAACTTTAGCGCCAGCAACTCCCAACATTTCTTTCGTTCCGTGATCGCCGAAGCAGTTGTCCCTTTCGTAAACGGTCGATGCCATTTGTAAGACACTTAGACAATGTTCGACCCGTTATTGAGAGTGTTTCTATTAAGAGTGTGTCCATGAGAGAACCAGGCAGGAGGTGATAATGCTCAAATCACGGATTTCGCTCAAACTTGGCACAATTGATGGGTGGGGTGAGATATTCACCTCGACAAAAAACAAGGTCGCAATATTGAATTCCCTGGGATTTACAGAGACCCCCCCTAAAAACGACAAACTCTTCTCATTTTTGCATAATTAATTAGCTGACTTTGGTTTGGCTGTTCAACAAGAAGAAAAGACAACTTCAAATCTAATCAACTTTATCATCTTCTATGTTTATCAAACTTAATGCTCAGTAATTTATTTTTACTCTCTAATTCGATTTCTTCCTATTATTTAGCCTAAATTAAGGACATCTTGTCACTGTTTTGACCAAACCCTAAATTTAAGGTATTTTAGTGGCTAACATCTCCCATGAGCAACAACCTATGTACGTAATTCTCACATATTCTTTGAAAGACATCTTTAAGGTTATCAAATCAATCATAAAATATTTGGGCAATCTCATACTTTATCAATAATGACGTATTATGTACATCTGACTTGACGCTTATTTGTCATTTGACCAAAATTGGAAGAAACGTAACATTCGTTTTTTTAAACAAAAATAGCACAAAGTTGACGAGAAGTCACAAATCAGATGCGTCATTATCGATACTAATAGCGGAATTGTTAGAACGTGTCACCTGAGGCATGTTTTCTGTGTTATTTGTGGACGTTTGGATAGATATTTTATGGAACGCTCGAGTAAACACAAGGAGCAAAAGAGTTGTTCAAAACTTCCATCGGTCCAACTTGTAGGTGAAACAAGACCCAACAAGGATAAAAGATAGTGAATAAATGTTACATACACGTCTCTCAGGAGCTTTAGTCCAGACTTGCTGCCCCAGTTTCGTCTGGTCCTTTGTGGCGTTACTTCGTGACGAGGTAATGAAATCGAAACATCTTGAAACATTGCAGAATGAAAAGTGTCGGCTTTTCACCGACCATTCGAAGTCTTTGAAATACGTTGTAGTCAGAAAGAACAAAATCATTCTCAAAGGACAAGAAGGATCACGGACAATCCGTCTATATCTACAGAAAACAACCACCTGCTCGAACGCCCTCCATCTTTGACTTTAGACTCTGCCAAAAGGAAGGAATCTGTGACGCCGGACTACCGGACTCCGGAATCCGGAATACGCTATCTATTGTTGTACGCGCCAATATCCTGTTATGACTGGTGTGTTGAAAATAGGTTGTGAAAGTTGTGTTACTTGAAATTTTGAGTTTATTCGATGTTGACATTAATTACCATGATAATAATGGTCCATAATATCCCTTTTTGTAGTCAGACCGTGCCGTGCAGTTTTTAGACAATTAATGACTTACCACTGGGTATAATTACTTACTTAGTTGTATTTTAATCCTCGTAGTCTTACAACTATACAGGTTGGTATCTGTATCTGGGTATATTATTGACTACAAAAATATAATAATAATCGTTTATAAACGTGTTGAGGAAAAACTTCTGAGGAATACAAAAGACCCAAAAGGGGGCACTAATACATTGCAAAAAAAGTCGGCCAGACTTCTTTGGCTATAAGGAAGGTGTAAGAGAACAGTTTCTTGAACACAGACTAATACACTATATTCACTTCTCATTTAAGCTGTCATTTGCGGATTCATACACTAGATTAAGTTCTCTTAACGGACACTCTCGTATATAGCGAATAGCTCTACTTACGACCGCCATCACAAAATACCGTTTCAACTCCCACACAAACTCTGGATTTTTACATTCCCGTAGGCGGCCGCGGACACTTAAAGGGTTTACTGGCGAATTAGATGTTAGCTTTGATTTAAAGTTCTCCTAAGCAGACACTCGAAAGAAATCTTATCCGCCTCTGAATGTTGTTTTTTTTTTTTCATATCATGTCCACAGTCATATCGCTGTTTGTCACTGTTATGAATCATTCTTATATATCCATTTCAGAGTTACCGTTTTTTCACATACTCGTCCGGTTACACTTGAAAAGACAAACTGAATTGTATCCTTTTACCTAAATTACCACAAGGCAAGAACATCAGCGTAACCATACACTAAAAAACAGTTTTTTGCTATTACCAGTGTTAATTTGTAGCTGGGAGGAGCTTCCGTAAGCGGCTATCTAACCTTTACACCACTTTTAAAGTGGCTGAATTCCACTTGCATAACTATGCTGCATATGAGATTCATTCTTGTAAGCGGCCAGATCCAGTTAAGGACACCTTTTTCCCGTCCCGAGGGCGCCCTCGTACGAGAGCTTCCACTGTATTACAATTTTAGGATTTCTCTTACATTTTAACAAATTTTCGCTTAACGAGGCACCGTCAAACCTACGTGCGACCATCCAACTTAAGTGACCACTTCCCAATCAGCGATCACTTATTCAACACACCAAATATATTATCAAGTCAAAGCGCTTGTAGTTGGAACCTCCTGTAAACGAACACATCCACATCCAGTAAGCGACCGCGACCACTTTTTACGATGACAGTCTAATTGAGAATTTTCCATGATGCAATGGTCTGATCTCTGCGTTCCCTGTATGTCCTAAACTACTCGGTGTATGAGAGGAACTTTAGAAACAAATTAGATTTATCTATAGTATATTGTAACTTAAAAATTGCATGCAGCACATTCACTCCAAAAAGTAGATGTGTCCGCACTTTTCCTCGTTAAAGACCTCCTGCAGTTCGACTCTCGTAAAACCCAAATTTTCCTTGGGCAACCCCATGGGCATTATTTACTGGGTGTCGTCCGACCACGCACGGACCGGAACATCAAATGTCTGTAACTTAATTGTTGTGTCTGTCCATAATTCAACATCTGCCTGCCTCAGCACGGCACACGGCTGGGCACTAAACTGGTTTTGGCGCCCAAGAGTACGCAAAAAGGCCCTTCCGAGATCGATGTCTAGGACGAGAAAACTGACCTTACCTGGGTAGGGTGAGAAATTTGAAAGCGAAGTATTACAGTTCAAGTATCTCTCGGAGGGAATGTGGGAAGGGTGTTAAACATATGGAAGCGGTTGTTTGAGAAAAATATCTAACTCAATGTGAAAGTGTGGTGTATTTTGAATTCTACTTGGGAACATTAGTGCCACAGTTAGGCTTTATAAGACCCCCAAAAGACCGTGCGAGATAAAAAAATTCTCTGTTTATGACAGTCAAATCTGGTGTCAGCAGGGTAGGGCATTTGTACGCAACTTGGACACTCCCCCGGGGATAAGGGACTCCAGTATGAAAAAAAAAATGGAATTCTTGTCGCACGCCAATCTGGACGTGTCTCACGCTTTATTTGTCTCTTTGAACTGGTCTGCACCAACATCCAGCTTCACTTCGCTGCTATTTCACGTGCAACTAAAATAGAAAAAATAGTTCTTTCCAAAACACGAAGACAAAACGACTTCTATCTCCGAGTTTGAGAAGACATGGGATCATTTATAATCATGGTCTGAATAAAGTTGCCAATAGATTTGGAATTCTAAATTATTTATCAGCATACAATAACAATAAAATAATCTCAGAGAATGTCGGAAAGTCATTTTGTTCACTGAACTCTGGCTCCTGGCTCCTGGCTCCTGGCTCCTGGTTCCTGACTCCCGATACGATGTTTCCGTATGGTGGCAACCGCTGCTTAAAAATGCGGGCTCCATTTAAAGATGTCGGGCGTTTGCAACATGTGAATTGCGCTACAACAGTGGCAGAAATAATTCTTTCAATGGGTTAAGGATCGGCTTTCTACCTTTCATATTGTTTTGTCCTAAAACAACTTGATTTGGATTTTGGTGCATAAACTGATGGCTAAGGAATTTTAGTCGTACAGCGAGTCACGACGCTGAACTACGCTGAACTGGACATCGAAGGTGGCATGAAGGGGAACAAATCAAAGCGGGCACAAACTAGCAGTTGAGACATCTAAGAGATACGTACATGGATTTTATTGACCGTTTATTATTGTTTTTAGGGCGAAATTGTTAAAGTAAGTAGAACTGTGAATTAAATCTTTGTATGTTGTTTTTACTTGAAAAGATCGCGTATATAGCTATCAAAAATCATCGTTAGCGTTTCTTGCACAACAATTTTTATGATTTTACCCTTATTAATGTTAAATCATTGTCTGATGAGTTTTTTTGTTCGTTTTCTCCTCATTCAAAGGCAAACACACGAATATTGTGAGGGCCTGAATTTTGATGAAATATGCAAAAGTCGTTGAGTCACATGAACAGTTTATGTCAACACATGGAAGAAAGTGAATTGCCCAAACTTTTTATGATCTTTTTCTCAACTTAAGTGATGGCTTTAACTACTCATGCAAAAGTTATAAAGATAAGCGGTTGCTCATCAGAGATATTTGGGAATAAAATACCCTAATTTTACGTCTTACTCAAAACTTGGAAATGATGACCCAACTTAAGGGGGGCTAAGAGGGGGAATCGAATCGGCGACTTTAAACAGTTTATTGTGCTTAAAGTCTTATGATGTCTGATTATCTCTCAGTGCATTTAAATTCCAGGTGGCTTTTCTGTTTGTTGCACTGGCATCGTAAAGTTAGCTAATTAATTATGCATAAACGGGCAAAATGGCGATTTTTTACAGGGGGAGCCCGGATCTCCCAGGGAATTTAATATTTTGACCTGACATTCTGTCACATAAGCTAACTCCTGATACCTAACATTTGTGCCAAGTTTGAGCGAAATCGGTGATTTGAGCATTATCACCCCCTGCCTGGTCCTGCCTGGTTTTCTCATGGACACACTCTTAAAAAGATAGAAGATCGCAACCCAGAGTGGAACCCGGACCTCGAACCTGGACCTTTTATATTCTGTTCTCTCCCTTGCAATTACACTACCACCAAAACCCATTCCAAAACTTTTAACGTAAATTCAACTTAGGCTTCAACGTCGTTCTCTTTAAGTTCCCGTCCACATGTATCCGGTTGTTTTTTTTTGGGGAAAACGAAGTTTGGCCTACGGTCCACAAGTATCCGGTGAAAAAGTCAGAGGTCACCAAAAACGCATCTTTTCAAAAACGCTTTCCAGAGTGGAGATTGAAAACGCCGGCTTCTCGCTTTCGCGTGGACGGACGAAAACTGAGATTTTCGAATATGATGATGTCACCCATAATCGAGAATTACGAGAATTACGAGAATTGCGCATGCTCCGTAAGGGATGCTATCGTATTTCCTTCGTTTTAGCGTTTTCGTGTGGACGGACGAAAACGATTCGAATAAACTAGGTGCGGATGCGTAATTTTTTTGAAAAAGGAAAACAATCTCCGTTTACAAAAATATCCGGATAAGTGTGGACGGGCCCCAAGACTATTCAAATACGTATCATTTGCCTTAAGGTGACTCGACCCAGTTTTTTTGGGGGGGTACCATCCTAGTTTGAAGCTCTCTGGTATCCCCACCTTTACTTTTATCGTAAGTCTAACACATAAAATGGATAACATATAGATCAATCTACAATATAACATAAAATTTTTGGCGATCGGAGTAAATGTCACGTGGTTATAATGCCACGCCCCTTGAGGTCTGAGTCGAAAATCTGCTGTTGTCGGCATTTTTTCGTGAAAATCTCTTGGCTACACATAGTGCCCTTTAGTGCCTTGCGCTGAAGAGAGTTTCACCAAAATCGTAAAGACCCAATTCGAGAAATTCAGCGGTTTCCAAATTAAGGTCATAATTTATGCGAAAATGATAAGCAAACTTTACACGGATTATATCTAATAAACTATGAGATTCATCTCTTTATTTTGGGCATCGTTAAAACAGATGGGTCCTTGCAAGTCAGCAAAACGCTTTAGGGCCTTGTAAATGCGCGCGATTTCTAGCAAAGCAAACATATAGAAATTATAGTTTTCGCTATTTGTTGACGTTTGTCAGCGTTTAAGAGTCCTTCTCACGAAAAAAGCATTTTCTTAAAAATTCGTAGTTTTTTTTCCTTCAAATTTTTTCAGAGCCACAATTGATTAACTAACTACCCGGACTCTGAATTTCATGGTCATTGAAAAACTGTGACATTATCTTCTATAAGCCCAAACTTGAGTAAACATTGAAGATTTTTAGCGCTTTGGCTGAGTTTGTGCTTTGGGAGTTGTCTATTGTCTCTAGTCTGTCATTATACAGCATTCGTGTTCAGCACGCGTGCAATGACCGCGCTTGGCTGACTTCCGAATGCTCACCGAGATATTCCCGTCACGAGTTGGTTTAATTATTGGCTTGCATTAAACCTATGAAAAAATGATATTTTTGTAATAGTAAGTCGATTTAGTGTGTAGCACTTCTTGATTTTTTTGCAAAGGCACAAGAAGCACTACCCTGGGTACCAGAGGTTTTTCTCGCGTGCGGCGGGAATTTTCGGTGTTTAGCCGAAGGCCGACACATCTTCGGCCGTAGGCCGAAGCCACGAGCGGCGAAGCCGCGAGAAAAACCTCTGGCACGGAGCGGTGCTTTTTACCGTTCCCGTTGACCTTTGTGCTTTTTTATCGGATTACATTTACGCCAATCAGATTGAAAGTGTCCAACTGTGATCGTGTGGGCCGGCACGTGAAGAAGTGTCCAAAGACCCACATTATCCTTAGCAAAACAAATTCGAGTTTAAAATTCATTGCTTTAAGAGCAATCATCACTGGGTCACATCGCAGTTCTCCATAGTTGATGTAGCTTCAGTTTAAGCTGCAATCTATTCTTCAAGATTTGGATCTGAAAATCACTATCCGTGAAAATTTAACACCCTGTTAAAAACGCTAACGAGCTGGGCCCAGCGTGACAAAACATTGCAGGAAACCGTCACTTTCACGGACAAAGAGAAAATCGCTTATAATTATTCAGATCCAGGAGGCACTTTGAGAAATAAAACAACCTAAAACCCTTATTTAGAAGACCTTAACATTTCAAAAGAGGTCAAAGAAAATGCTCTTGCATCAGAAGGCAAATCATGTGCCGACCAGACACAATAACCGCAGAAAATCAATATACCTGTCACGACCTCTCAGTATGAAATAATTAAGCGGCAAAAATCAAATTTGCTTAGTCAAAACGTTTTTCTCCAGAGCATAATCTACCAATCACGGAAAAAAATTCATTGGAACAAGCAGCATTTTGGCATGAGGTAAAAGTCGTGTGTTGCCTTCTGACCCCCCTTTTATACTAAAAATACATGTTTTGTTCTTATATTCCTAACCCATCATCACAAACTATTTCAAATTATGTTGTAATCGTTTGAAATAGGAAACTAGTAAAGCTTAAACCGTATTTGCTACAGAAGCTGAATTGGTGATAAAAGCTTAATTGCGTTGAATAAAATTAAATACTCCACTTGTTTGCTCAGAGCTTTTAACTTGTCCTTCTAGTACATTGCTTATCATGCTCTTTCAAAACTTTCCAAAGCCAACACACAACACAACAGCAACACTTCTCGCTAGTACACTTAAGTCATGTCAACAGCAAAGTTCGAAATATTCTTTCACGTGCTGGTCTATTCTTGTCAACCAATTGTAGCGTCTGTTAGATTCAAAGTCCCTCAGGTGGTCGTTAGTAGCCAATCAGCCGTCTTGTCCAAAATCTGGACCAACTGATTTAACCGTGTTAACGATTGGATCGGCGCCATCAAAGCAATAGCGCTCTGCTCCAGAGGCTTTTCGCGCGGGTCACTATAAAGACTTGACAGAAACCGGAAACCGCGCTAGAAAAGTCTCTGGTACCCAGGGTAAAGAAGCACGAGAATTGATTAAAAATTGTGAATTAAACCTCTATGTATCACGCGATGGCCTGTCTCACTGTACCAAAATTATCATATCTCGGTGAGCATTCGGAAGTCAGCCAAGCGCGGTCACTGCACGCGTGCTGAACAAGAATGCTGTATAATGACAGACTAGAAACAATAGACAACTCCCAAAGCACAAACTCAGCCAAAACGCTAAAAATCTTCAATGTTTACTCAAGTTTGGGCTTATAGAAGATAATGTCACAGTTTTTCAATGACCATGAAATTCAGAGTCCGGGTAGTTAGTTAATCAATTGTGGCCCTGAAAAAATTTGAAGGAAAAAAAACTACGAATTTTTAAGAAAATGCTTTTTTCGTGAGAAGGACTCTTAAACGCTGACAAACGTCAACAAATAGCGAAAACTATAATTTCTATATGTTTGCTTTGCTCGAAATCGCGCGCATTTACAAGGCCCTAAAGCGTTTTGCTGACTTGTAAGGACCCATCTGTCATAACGATGCCCAAAATAAAGAGATGAATCTCATAGTTTATTAGATATAATCCATATGAAGTTTGCTTATCGTTTTCGCATAAATTATGACCTAAATTTGGAATTTGGAATTTGGAAACCGCTGAATTTCTCGAATTGGGTCTTTGCGATTTTGGTGAAACTCTGTTCAGCGCAAGGCACTAATGCGCACTATGTGTAGCCGAGAGATTTTCACGAAAAAATGCCGGCAACAGCAGATTTTCGACTCAGACCTCAAAGGGGCGTGGCATTATAGTCACCTGACATTTACTCCGATCGCCAAAAATTTTATGTTATATTGTAGATTGATCTATATGTTATCCATTTTATGTGTTAGACTTACGATAAAAGTAAAGGTGGGGATACCAGAGAGCCTCAAAGTAGGATGGTACCCCCCCAAAAAAAAACTGGGTCGAGTCACCTTAATTCAGGGAATATATAACATCTATCATGACTAAAGGCTTGGTTGCCAATGAGGACATCGTCCATTAGAAAAGGCAACGACCGTTTACTTTACGAAAGGAGAACAGGCATCCCCAAAGCATAGCGCAAGATTGTTGGATCCGTTTGCACAGCTCTTCCGACATTGTTTGGGGCAAGCGCACATGGTTATGGGTTGTATCCTTCCCACCATGCACTATTGGTCCCAACATTGTGAGGAAGTTGTTCTATCCAAAAATTATTTCTGACAGTCTGCGAAATTGAAAATGGCGTCACGATGACACCGAAACGACGTTCGACGGATTTTATCTGCGTTATTTTTTACTTGTTTTTTGACAATGAGAAAACCTGTTTAAATAATCGATCGTCCAACGGAATTCAACGTCCATTTCTATCACCAACACCTACCATGGTTTACACCAAAGAAACAACTACCCATTCAAACCGCATAATTCATACACAACTGTTTGCTAAATACCTTTTTATCTACAACTTGGTGCCAAGGTATGGGTTGGGCATCAACCTCCATGTCTGGATCCTAGCAAATCAAAATCATAACAATTATTGTTAACACTGTAGATTTACTCTTCCGGCGCTGGACAAATTGGGTCAACTTTGTTTTTGTTTGTTTGTTTGTTTGTTTCTTCAAATTTTTAACTAAACATTTCACAATCAATTTCAATCAAACAATTCACAATCACTGAAAATAAAACTGCAAAAGAAGACTATCGCCAGAAGAACTTTTTTTCTGCTCCTAATTCCCCTATTGCATCCACTGTCGATAGAGATCGGACACACATACTAAGACGCAATCTGTTGTTGTGATTTGTGATTTGCACTGATGCTAAATCAGCCAATCAAGCGATCGTTTCTCGGACAAATTCATCATACAACGTGTATATAGGACCAGCTTTTTAACTTCCGCAACTAGCAGTAGTGTTCTTTTACGTTGACCTCCAATGATACAAGAATACAAAGAATTTTGACATCTAGCATAAACTTTAGCAAACACTGTTAGTTGGTCTTCTTAAGGGTACATCTCAGACTTTTTGCAAGAATGAAGATAGGGAGGGGATAGATTACGTACACTGTATGTACATGTTCACAAAACTATCTTGGGTAAGAAATACACCCCTATGAGACTAGTTACAAAAAATAGCTCATAAATATACATAACCAGTGAGAACTGTGAGAACGGCACAAAACTAAAGAATCGATAGGCTACACGTGCGTTCCACATTTTGGTAAATTCAACGAAACGACACTCCAATGAACTCTCGTCTCATACCCTCAATAAGACGGCGAATTAACGTATACAAACTTACATTATATTTAAAAGTGGAACTGATTTATCACGTGACTTTGATGTAAAGGTTGCTTGCAATCCCTAGTTTATTTAGAATCCTTAACCATCCACTGCCTATCTTCACAATCTACTAACCAAACTATTTTCTGTTGTATAACGGTGATCCAGGAAGATCAGGGCCCAGTTGTTCGAAGGCCGATTAGCGCTTAACCCGGGGTCAAATTTAACCCTGGTTTCTTTTTCTTGTGTTCAAAAGCATTTTGTCGGATAATTTTCTCTGTTATTTTTAGAGCTTCCAATCATCAACTTGTAGACAAAAAGAACCAAAACTGAAATGCTTTTTATGCTTTCAAATCTGAAATCAAATCTCGCACTAACCCTGGGTTATCTTAACCCGGCTTTGAACAACTCGGCCCAGAGTTCTTTGTTAGGTTTTTTAAAAAATTATCATAGTAGACTTACTGGTTCTTCTTCTGGTGGCAGAAAAGAAGGAGATCGTGAGCGCCCACGTCTCCCTGGGAGAAAAACAACTTGTGAGACACAACAAACATAAACGCATGGTAATGTTAATGATGACAGCTTATGTTAAGTTATTGCAGGTCAATAGTCAATTTGAAACATAATATTGGTCACTTACATTATTCATTTAAACGTTAACTTCATACGAATCCAAGTCTACGTTTAAATACTTTTTTATTATTTATAGCCGTAGGAAAGTTAGGATTAACAATTAAAACTGCAAAGAAGAAACAACTATCTATAAAAAGAAGACAGATGTACAAAATAGCAGCAAAATTTTTTTCAACATACAGTAGCTGGATACTCATCAATTTGCTTGCTAGAAAACACGCTTCAAACGACACAGAAAACCATTTATTACCATTTGTTTTCTTTTCTAAGTCTTAATTTAACTTCAAATTAAAGACTTACCTCGAAAATTTATGTGTTTACTTTTAAATGCAACTAATTATCATAACACCTGAACCGCTACATGTAAGAAAATTAAAACATCAACAGTTTCATGAACACGGTATGAACGTAAAAATGACTGTTATGATGCGGAAGGCTATTCGTTATGATTAGTTGAAGTTTAAGGTAAAACGAAATATTCAATAAACATATAAAAAAGCCACGAATTTTATAGCTGCCACATAACGTAGAAATTAGCAAGGCTTTTGCATGATTAAATGACACTATGGTTAAGCATTTTTGTTTGATAAAAATGATGAATGGTGAATTTTTCAGACTTAAATGAATGCTTGATAAATTACAGCTCGCTGCTTTTCACGTGGGTGATAAGACTAAAAGTTACTTCTTGTTAGAAACGATTATTACGATGATGATTGGCACAATTAAAGGTCCTGTCATTGGGGCTAATGTAGAGAAAAATAGTAAAAATATTTGTACATGAAAAAAGTCGAACGTAAACTACCTCTACGTTATTAGCAAGATTACAAGAGTAAAAAAAAACAAAATTAAATACGATGGTCTACTCACTTTATAAGTGTTCGCAGCGACAACCAGATTATATACGACGTTACTCACAACATCAGTTAAAATAATATCTCATTTAAGAGAGCGCAGTAAAATTAGATTATAGCTTTTTAATGTTAGTTTTGCTTTAGTATCATTAGTGAATTTGTTGATGATTTTATTGTGTAATTACAGTTATCACTGTCATTATGTGAGAATGAACGTTTACATGAATGTTTTCATGATGATAACCACTGGGAATTTACGGTAAGGTTATGGAAGGGAAATAAAAACAAACTAATACACGACATAAACATTAACAAGTTCTGCCACAACACACACAGGAAACGACTTGTCTAAAAAGTTTTTCTGGAATTCTTGTTTCACCCATTTAGGAAACAATAAAACAAAGCTTGGATAAGCTGTTTCATAACTATAAAAATATCAAACCAATGAAAATGATAGTTAAATCCTGTTCAGTAGATCAGCAAAACCTCTTCATTGTTGGCCATTTTATAAGCCACTATCCAAAGACGAAATGTGTTTTTTTAATCACGGAGAACTGGTATAAAGGATTATGTACAGAATAGAAGATTTAGCAAACAAAGACACAAATGTGACTTACCGTCCTCAGACAAAGGATCCATTACAGGGGAATCTATGCCTCTAAAGAAATAATTAACAACACATTAGGCTTAAAGTAAACATAACGTGATATTTTACTACCAGATGTGTTTATATCTTTACATATTTTATATGCTCCAAAATTCAATTCTCTCTTCCCCTTTGTTTCTTGATGCTTGACGTCCCTTCAAGAGACTAAAATTTTCAACATATTACCCGCCGGACGCTTCCAAAAGGTCATCATGACGTTGTTCATGAGTATTATGTCTTTCAAATGATTAGAGATCGCCTTCAGAAGTACTTGAAGCAGACTCTGGGTAACTCTTTCTAATATTTTAGTTTTTAAAAAATAACTGTAAAATTTTTGCAACATGGGTGACTCAGTGAAGAAAGCTGAAGTCAAACAAACAAATGATTCAAATAATTCCCTTCAATTTCAAAAGTTTTGCAAGTATTTGGATTCCTATAAATATTTGGAAAGCAAAAATTCCCAGATTAGTTTTCACAAAAGCTATACCGCATGTAATTTTAAAGCAGCAGCAAAGGAAAGCATTGTCTTTTACCTCTAATCAGCAAATGGCTGTGGATCATAGCAATTGAATCACTACTATAACTAATGGTGGCATCTATGTTACAAACAAGTTTTCCTGATGTTTAATGCAGTGACACAGTTTAACATTTCTAAGACGGTTATGTACCCAGGGCTGTCTTCATTTCTTTAAAAAAATAGCAGGTAGGGAGGCAACTCGCCAGGAAAATGTGTGTTGGGTGTTAACAGTTCAGGTTTTGATTTTTCTGTGAAATTATGTAAAACCTCATAGAAAGAGAGACTAACTTACTGGCAGTCCAGGAGCACCTCATTGTTAAGACACCCTAAAATCGACATTATCTGTACTATATGCATCAAGCAATAATGGATGAAAACTTGAAAATTAAACTTTGACTTATATTACTGTTACTGCAAAGGTTAAAATTCAGTGACACTTACACAGACTCCATTGTTCCCGCCACTGATCGTCTTATTCTTTTAAGTGGCGCAAGTTGTGACGTAATGTCCCTCTGCATAGAGTCCCAAAACAACAACAATCATTATTGTGTACAGTCAACTCTCTCCTTTAGGATCGGCACTAAGTGTCCTTTTTAGAGAGATGCCCCTCTTATAGAGAGTCAACTAAAAGGAGTAAAGAAATGCTGCAGGAACCAACTCCAGGTGTCCTTCTGATATTGGTGTCCATTAAGAGACAGTTGACTGTAACTTTGTTCCTATCTTAATTCTGATTTGCTAAAAGTGCACTGTTAATGGTGACCTTACGCAACAGGACGGGAGAGAAAAGAAGACGGTGAACCTTGTGTGACAAGCGTGACAATAATTTTGTTTGGAAAACTCTTCCGCCGAACTGCACCCTCCTTTAAACAGGTCTTTTTGAAAAACACCAGAAAACATTAACTTAAGTGAAGATCACGAAAAACACATAAGTAATAGGCCTGTCACGTTTGTCACACACAAGAGTTTTGCCGTCCTGTTCTTTCTGCCATCTTGTTGCCTAAACTCACTAATTCCATCTGGCAATAGGTTTCAATAAGTCGTTCTTACAGATGAACAAATTTTAAACATTCCAAAGTGACGAAATTTTGCTGATAATCATAGTTTTTGTACGACGCCACTTTACAGGCTGCCAAAAGGTTGGAGGAACATTTTTCGCCATTTAAAAGGTCTTTCAAAGAGAATTCTACAAAACTAGAGGGCTTTCGCATTTAATTTTCGTCGTGAGTGAGATTGGTCAGGAAACTTTTAGAGCGAACTAAAGTTGACACAGGTGAAAACTTTCAAACGTTGTAAGAAAGACGATGGAGCACTTGGTGTTTAGTTCGTCTTTTAACATAAGCTTATGTGTGTTCATAATAAAAATAATTCTATTAGGTTTTCGCATAATATCAGGTATTGCCAAGGTTTCAGTTTGTGTTATTTGCCTCAGCCTTGATAATTCTGTCTATCAAGTTCAACCTCATCCAATGATTGTTAATTTTTCGAATTAAAATACCGACCTGGGAAACACTAACAGTTACAACAATATTGTAGAACACTGACAAGTCCCTAATGGTAGCAAACAATGGAATGTGTTGCCAGCTATAGCTTAAGACACACACACAGAACCACGAGGCAAGCAGTCATGGCAGACACCTACCAGTATTTGTCAAACTGAACATACAAACATGACCAATCTAATTACATAGGTTCCACTGGTATCTGGCATATATTACTTACAGTAATTTTCATGCTCTCGGATCTTCCAACTTGTTTTGGTAATTGGGGTTTCTCAAGGTAGAGTTCGCTAGTGCTAAAGCAACAAAATAGAAACCAAATAATTAATACAAAGGTTTCTTATGAGGGATAGGGTGCTAACAAGGAGAATTTTGGACTATTCTCTGCCTTTCTCTCTTACTTTGGTACATAAAAGGCACGCTGCTCTGTGCACGGGCCACCAAGTAAAACCTAGATGCTCAAACAGTGATAAGAAACAGCCTTAATTGCCAACATTTGAGGGTTCCAGCTATAGGGATTGATTGGGATGAAAAATTATTTTCTTTTGGATATGTGGTCGCTCATGGGATATGAAAATCTTTATGTATGGATCAGAAAATAACATTTCTTCAATTTAGTATACGACTTGTTTTAGTTCCAGGTCAGCCAGCTTCTTTGGTCCTCTCACAAGAATCTGTCGATAGTCTAATCAATGAATTGTCCGAGAAAAGGTGTTCGAAAGTTTATGGTTTGTGTCAAGAGCTTTTCATATCTGCAAGTGAAGAAGAGTCCTTTCATATTCATGTTCAAAAGCTTGTCAAAAAAATATACCACGGAACCTGGAGGAAGTATTCAAAAAAGTTTTTTACGGGGAGGCTCTGACCCGAGGTCAAACCCATTACCCTTTTATAAACTATTTTTGACCGAAAAGGTACCCCTCTGATATACCTTCTATTGACAAATGGTACTCCTTTCACATACCTAATTAAGAACTTTGCAACGCTTTCAACTGCTGTTAATGCACTGTCTTCAAAAATATGAATAAATCACAAAACCAGAACGTTTTTGCGACTTTTTCACAGCCATAAAATATATCCGGTAACCCTTTTGGCCGCTTTTACAGACCGAAATAACAGATTTCCCTACCCTTTCATATACTTCAACTAGTGAAATCCCTACCGTTTTATATACCTTAATTGTGAAAAAGGTACCCCTTTCGCGCTGAGCCTCCCCGCAAAGGCCATAAGAGGGAATACCCTGTCCTCCCGGACGAAACCTAGCTGTGCAGTCAGGGAACACCATAGTTAATAAGTTGGCAAAGGCTCACCCAATCAGTGGGTAATGTTGGGAAATTTTATTTTTCATAAAACTTTCCATTCTCAAAAGAATAACTTTTCAAAGAAAAATTGAGCTTGGATTACAGAGTCACAGAGTTTTAGAAAACGTGTTTCGTGAGTCAGTAAGTTGCATTAAAGATTCTGACCTTTTAAGTCTTGACATCCCTTCCTGCAAGGAAAAGAGAAAACCTCAATCAGAATCCCTCTTTACAAAGAGACGGCATGATTGATAGATGAAACTTAAAGATAAATTAACTGTAGGGAAGAAAGTAAGTAATTCATTTTGTTTAATAGCTGATGAAACTTTACCCTGGGTGCCAGAGACTTTTCTAGCGCGGTTTCCGGTTTCTGTCAAGTCTTTATAGTGACCCGTTTTTCTCGCGGCTTCGCCGCTCGTGGCTTCGGCCTACGGCCGAAGACGTGTCGGCCTTCGGCCAACACCGAAATTCCCGCCGCACGCGAGAAAAACCTCTGGTACCCAGGGTAATGAAACTTACTTCAGGTCCTAAATATCCGTCCCTGCAACAAGAAAAAATTACAACTGTTTAATGGGCGAAAAATAAGAATATACTTACTACTTCAGCAATAACACTGTACTAATACTGTAAAGAGCTTACGTTAAAAAAGCCACTGTTTCTCTTAGGCTTAAATTTGCTTGATTTTTGCATGTGACTTTGTGTTTTAAAGATTATTGCCCAGGCCCCGGTTGTTCAAACGTTGGATAGCACTATCCAGCGGATAAATCACTATCCAGCGGATAAGTATTAGGGAAATCAATTACGCTATCCGCTGGATAGTGATTTAGCGCTATCCAACTTTTGAACAACCAGGGCCAGATCTATTTGCTCAGAATAAAATGCTATCATTGGTATTACAGAGCATTTTTAAAGCACGTTTCTCTCATCTGTGTCATTATTAAAACATAATAGATATATGGGGAGGGTCTGGGATTTGAAGCAAAACACCTCACCCAGCAAAAAAAAAGGTTCTAGCAATTAACAAAGCACTTTAAACCTTAACTTGGCACCACAGAAGGATCACAAATTCATTCATTTGGAGCTGTACATAATTTTTTATGTTACTCATAAAATTCTGCGATGTTACTTAATCAAGGCTTGTATAAAATTGTCTTAAATGAAGTTTATTAGAAAGCATGTTAAATGAAGGGTGGCGACTTGTATGATGGTAATACAATTTCAAGCTTAAAGCAAGTTTGGATCCCCTTTAACAAATAATGTTCCTAGATCCACCCTTGATATAGCCTGCATACTGAGGGAAGGGGGAAAACAGGCTACCCTTGTTATGGGTAAGAAAATATTTAAATTTCCCAATCAGTTTCTTTGGGTTCTACATTATGTTTTCCAAGAAGACAATTAATTACAAAAGATAGTTGCAGCATTAAAAACATGGTAAATCATATTACCTGTCTGTTCTAGACTGGTCATCACCCATTATTCTAAGGTAACAACAAAAAAGACCAGCAAAGCAAATTAGACATCTGATTCTGGTTGTTCAAAATGTGGATAAAGCTATCCACTATCCACTGTCTACTGAGTGATATATTCAGTGGATATTACTGTTCAACGTTTGAACTAGGGCCTGGAGTTACTTTTTTGCCCACATCTGGAACAAACACACGAATGACAATGGAAATTCTTGTTTTCAATATACATGTTAATAATTTTCTCACTCACCATGGTGAACACAGCATCATTCTAGCATGGAGCATTGGGGTGAGTTGTTCAAAGGACAGGTAGCACAAGATTGAGGGTTACTTTCTATGACAACTCTTATTCTTTGTTTACAATACCTGAATGCAGATGTGTCTACTATTTCCTTTGTTTGAAAACGAAAGGAAGGAAATTGGAGACATCTGCAGGCTTTTTACCAAGATTAGAGAAAACGGACTGTACCCTGCTCTTAACTCAATTTTAAGTGTAAGTGACAATGGTTGCTTTTACCTGTTCTCCCTTCCACCTGAAATCTGTCAAACAAAACGTGATGATTAGTACGAACTCGCTTTATTCAGATCAAGAAAGAAATGTTCAAGATGATTCAAATGTACATGTGATAGAGTTAGAACATAGCTCCCTTCAATGTATGATTTAAGTATAATCAAGTTTCCGAAAATGTCACCTGGCCCGCTGTACCAGTCGGCCTCTTAGTGACCAGGCCCTGCTTCCTGTGATTCCTGTTTGATATGTGACATCCAATGTCATGTGTGCAAATTAAAAAAGGCTTTAAAATATTTAACAAGAAACTGTACTTGGGAAAGGCACGTCTGAGTATTTTACCAAGTAGAGTATGTGACACTGAAAACTGCCATTAATACAATAATCTGCTTATGCAACGGTAATGGATTACTTACCAAGTCGTCATCAAGAGAACCACTTTTTGTTTTATAATCAACTGAAAATGTAAAAGGGAATACCACTAAGATAATTATTACATCTAATGTGGCTAAATATCATTTAGGCAAAGTTAAACTCGAGCAATCACAGCCAGGGGTCTTTCCCATCAGCAATACATGACCTGTGGGGTGGCCTCCAGGGGTTTTGAGGGGTTTCAAGGTTCATTGCTTTACAAATACAGTGTTATCAGCTGATTTTTGCAGATCAAAAGCTCAGCTATCGCTTGCGAATCATTGCGGATTCTTGCACCCTCTCCTCCCTCCCACTGTTTTGTTTGGTTGCCAGGGTAAGTATCCTTTCAGGGAAGTTATTTCCACTGAATTATTTCAGTGTGACTGTGCCGGTTAGCAGGCGCTCATTTGGGTGGTTCCTGCGTTCCAGGGTTGCCATGGATACTTCCCTGCCACCTATGGCATCTGGCACTCCACTAACCTTTAAGGTACCAGTTCTCCAGCACATGTATTTGTAATGAGTTTAACCAAAATACTAGAAAATAATATTATATCAAGAAGCACTTGACAACCAACTTAATGATGCCCTCTGCACAGCCCAACCAAACTCAAGAAGGACAAGACAACTGGATTCAGTAATATATGGAGGTTTGCCATCTCTTTCCAAGTTAACACAGCCTCTTCATAAGATATTTTACTGTCTGATTTTCAGCTGTCTTTTAAATGAATGAGATAACCTGGGAGGGGGGGTGGATCTGTGAACACATCTTACCTCCAGGGCCATTTTCAGGGTCATCATCATCTTGACTGTCATGATTTTTCACCAAATCTAAAAAGGCAATAATAAACAAATCATGTCAACATTAAACCCACCCTCCACAGACAAAAATGACACAAAGTTCAGCAAGTTTGTTAAAAATAGAAACAGTCAAAAAACTCAATATACACAATTACAACCATTCATAGTAAAGTTTAAATTAGAATTCTAGAATTCGGGGCATCTTTTCAATCCTGATGCAGTTTAGTTTAACTATGAGGTTGATAAGGTTAACAACAAAAACTGCACCAAAACAATACAAAATGTTCCATTACTGCCACTGCGTTTTTGGAAGATAAACACATTTAGACACCTTAACAACAAATATTGTCTACTATATTAACGGACACTCTGTTTCACTCACATTTTTCCCCAAATGGCTGACTAATTTTCCGATTATTATTTACAACTGACGGTGACCTGACAGCTGGTTTCTAAAACAAACATACAACAAGTGTAAGAGCCTTTCAATTCTTTTAAAGAAAATTTTCACCGTCTATATTTTACAGGTAAATTGCAAGTTGTACATAAAAAGAATTTGTACGCTGATATTCAATAGTAAGTGCCTGCTTTAAAATAAGTTTTTGTGACCACATTACTTAACTTAGCCTGTGACGTAACCTAGCAAAACCGTTACAATTTGTTGAAAATCACTTGTGTGTTTGTAGTTATTTACAGAACTGGAAACGCTATATTATAAGAACATGTCAAAAAAAGTCTGTTAATTAAAAAACCCTAGAATGCAAACTACAAAATATACAAAAACACAAAGAACCAATGTGGCACTATCAATCCTTTACACAGTATAAAAAGCTAACCAGATAGTAAACAAAAACATAAGGATCAATCCAGACTCACTAGATTAGAGCTTGGGAAAGAACTGACTGGTAATCATATTAACAATAATATCCTGTTTATTATTTCACCCTTATAGGCAAATGGTCCTATATACCTGCTGATTAACAGTTTGCTTACTTACCCTTTTCTTTTTAGGTCCAGGGCATTCCTCAATTGCCTCAAAGCAGTTTCCTTTATGCACATTATACTCACAAGCTAACCAAAAAAAAAAATTAACTTAGCCCTGATAAGCTGTAAGGGTAACAACGGGATTTCTCTGATGCTCTGATGGTATGCACAGCATTATTTAGGAATCAATATTGCCATAGCAAGGTTAACAAAATTTAAAGCAAACCGATTATGCATGGTTCATAAATTGAGCTACTAATTTTATGGTACTTATCCCAAACTCGCAACAGAAGTGAAAATAGGAACTCTGTTTTTGTTATGGTAAAAAGACCATTTTAATAAACTACGGCTGTAGCTTCGGATGATACTGCTATTATAATCATGATACAACAGGGTTGTCATTAAGAGCCGAGGGCCGGGGATTTTCCCCAACTACTAAGAGAGTGGCCCCCGGCTACTTTTATTGCAAAATAGAACAAAAATAGAACCAAAAGAAATCCCTAGCCATTTGATTCCCCGCCTACTTGTTGTGTTTACCCAGCAACTTGAAATTTTAGTGACAACCCTGATAAAATGATTTTTTTTCACAACATGAGCAAATAGATTTTCAGGTTTGAAATAACTCCTTTTTAGTGTTGGTCCCATAACAACTTGCATTTTCATTTCACAACTAGTATGGCTTTACGTTATGCTACATCATAATAATAAATTATTATTGAAATGCTTCTAAGATAGCACAGCTTTATAATCTACAGCCTACATCTCTTTTTAGTGCCTGTAGTGCCACAACAGAAATTATCATAGCACAGCAATCCATAATATTACTGTTAAACGTAATGCCAGGAAGAGGATAGTAAAATGACATGAAATTAAAGGGGCTGAGTCTCGGCTGTCTAGTTCATTTTGCAAAAAAATGCCAAATATGTGTCCTTATTCGCTCTTGAACTTGCGAAATCAGAGCTTTGTGTCCAACAAATATGGCCCTCAAGCATTATATCAAACATTACAAACAACAAAAACGAACTTCGAAGACTTGCAAGGCTAAAAGTTTTCAAAAACCACAATCGCAATCTGCTTCAATCTTCTTCAAGTTCAATCCATCCATGCCTCTCTTTGTATTTGACAACTGCATAAAATTAGGTCTAATCTTCCAGTGCAGTCAAAAAGTTTTTAAGTACCAGGCTGATAATGAATGGTAGGCAGCTTGTGGGCTGAGGCACCTAGGGATATTTTGAAACTCAGAGTCTTGGAAATGGCGTTTCCAGGGGTTTTCAAGATGTATTTTCCACTATGGATGCCATGTATACATGCACGACTGGGAACAACGCTGTCGAAATGTCCCAAGCATTCCACAACATCACACAGTTTGAATGTTTCACAGATCGAAACCCTTTTAAAATATGCGTTCAATGTCATTCAAAACTGGGAAACATATGCTTTACAATTTTATTCGAAGATCCCTATTTTTGGTCAGCAGTTATAGTAGAAGGAAATGAAAGCAGCCAGCTAAGGATGGCTAACTACCCAGCAGTTTTGGCCGGCTACTGGCCCTCATTGACAGACCTGTCTTCTTCACAAGCATAAAACTCAACTGACTAAAACAACCTCCCTGGTATTATTTTCACTGAAGTTCTGAAAAATAACCAAACATACTTGAGCACTGGAAGCCTTGGTCTCCAATGCCCCACAATAGGCCATTACAGTGGTTGCAGAAGGTTAGACTTGTGTAGTGTGTACTGACAAAATGGTGTCCTTTTATCTATAAAAAACAAACAATTTCCTGCAATTGTCTTACAACATCAGATTGAAGAACATACTGCAGTTAACAAGAAACCCTGCCCAGATCATTATTTTTCTAGTATATAGTTTTCCTAAACACTGTCTTTTTTTGTTTCTTTGCATCTCATCACTACCACAGACATCAGGTACCTTTTTGCTTGCTTTAATTTTAAACAGTGCAGGTCTCTGTTCTTTTCTTGTGAAACTTGAATATCGCTCTAGGATATTTGTATTGTTTCCCTGTTGCTGGAAAAAGAAACACATGCAAAAAATATATAAAATGTCAATCACCAATTCTATTATTAATTTAAGGGAAGATATAATCGTTGCAGTGGTAATTGCAATTTAACCAATTGCAAATTAACCCGGAAAAAAAAAAATGGGGGGATTTCAACACTAATGCAGAGGCCATGGGTTCGAATCCCGTTGAAGTCCTCCAATTTTTTTTTCTGAATTAATTTGCAATGTTATTGCTTAAATTGCAATTACCACTGCAACAATCTTCATTTAAATTCCACAGTTCACATTATCTTCATTCCAATATTATTACTGTTATTCAGAGGAAAAACAAAAATTGGTATGTTGTAATAACACTGAGTCGCTTTAGTTCAAACAACAATTGTTTTCTTTTGTTCAATATTAAAAATAATGTCCTTCACAATCACAGTTGTTGCCCCATGCTTGTTTGATGCAACACACCTATGACCCAATAGTGTCCTTTTTACACACCATCTCTTCCCAGACAATGGTGAGCAAAAAAATAATAACCTTACTGTTGTAAGGTGAGAAGCTAAATGATAATTCTGACTGACCTTAAGAGTGAGTCCAACTTGCTTTAAAAATGTAGTTAGGGCAGATGCCATTGCAGTGCTGCAAAATAAAGAAGGAAACATTGCTGACAACATGGCACATTATATTTTCAAGGCTGCTGCCTAACGGGCACCAGGTACCAGAGGCACCTATGACTTACCCTCACGCAACCAAAATTTCAAACAGGGAACCTTAGTGGGCGCCTAAAACTTATGATTCTCAGGCTAACTTCCAGTGAACAAACAACAAAATTGCCTGCTCATTCCACACTTTTGAAACGATGATGGAAAACGTTTAATCGTCAGCCATAAGCAAAAAATATTTCCACCGATAAAAGGTAAACAAACAGCATTATGTCTTGAAATTCGCTTCTGTGACTTCCGCTGCAGAGCATTTTAAAATGCTCATCTGAAAATGGCATCACATGAATTTAATAGTCTTTGAAAAAGCTTCGATAATAAAATCATGACTTTTCCTTCAGGGTTAGAAACATACGTCACTACTGCCTGAAGTAAAAACTGATAAAAAGTCACGATCCGTGGTAAAGCAAGCTGGTTTCAAATCACACGTGACGGCTACTAACTTTTGCAAGTTTCAGGCATTTTGTATCTTGCTACGAACATGAACGGTACACTCAGTTTTGCCTCATCACGCAAAGCTCCTTAACTTATCTAGGAAGATCAAAGGGTCTCTGCTCACAGGATACAAATTGATTAACGACAACTTCTTTAAAGATAGATCTTTCCAGAGATATCTCGTTTTAGATATTCTGACCAATCCTGTCAGAGTTACACTCACAAAAAAGGTAACATTCTGGGAAAAAATCCACTGCCAATTTCGCTGTTTACATACTACTCTTTGAAGATTAAATTTGCCCCTTTCCTAAAAAGTTAGCCAGCTACAATTCCATGCAAAAGAATGACGATAAAGTGGGCAACAAAAACAAGAAAGGCAAAGGAAAAAAGAGAGCAAGAGAGAAAGATCGAAATAGAAGGCCCAAATCTTGGCTTTTGCGCATGTGTGAAAAACAAACAAGCTGTTTAATTACATCAGATTAGTCGAAAAATATGCCTTTTGTGTTTGCAAAATTCATTTTTAGCCACTCTTATGCTAATTAGCCAAAAACTAGTCCAAAGAAGAGGAATTGGTGAAAAATGCGTTTTTTTTCGCTACTAATGGGCTGTCACCAAAGGGTTAATAAAGTTACCAATCTTTTTAATTGGGCTCTTAGAAATGCGGCTCGGGCTCCTAACTTTTTAGTTTACGAGCCCGAAGCACTCCCCAAAAAATTATCGTGTCATAATGTCGTGGCTATGTTATTTAATGTAACAGTATGACTGCATGGAAAAATGGAAAGTAAGAGGCTTACGTATTCTGTCATCTCAAGCTAAGTGAACTAGAATCCATGTCTACACCTTTTTGGGAATCTAGAGAATTCTAGTTTTAATCCAAGCAAACATAAAGAAGATAGGTTGCTATTTTTTATTTGTTTACTACCACCCAATCTTACTTTCTGTCAGTCTGAGTAGCATCAACTGTGGCATTGGAATCAAGTTCGGCCCTGAAAAGAAATTAAAAACATCATAAAAGGCTCTAAAGAAAAAAACAATAAGTTTCAGAAGCAGATGACAAAATATAGTCACATAAAACATAGTTGCCAAAATAGTCAGTAGAACTCTTTGCTTAACAAGGGGAAAAAACAAAGGAAAAGAGACCTTTGATAAAGTGATAAAAGATCAAAGGAACATATAGGAGCTTACAATTTAAAGTTGCACTAAAGGAAAACACTTCAATAGCAATTTTCCTATGTTATGATGTAGAAAAAATAGTTACTAAGATAACTCACTTCATTATAAAGAACAAAGTGACACTTTGGCCCGCAAGGATTCGGATTGCGCATTTAGTGAAGGTGTAAAAGATATGCTTTTAATTAAGAACTTCACGCCTTCACTACATGTGCAATGCAATTCCCTACAGGCCAAAGTGCTTACTTAACCAGTATGTGATTTATTTTTTCTCAACTCTTGCATTTGTTCAATTGTAATATTATTCACATCTCACTTTATAATGGAGTCATGAGGACCCTAAAAAGTCATGTTATAAATCTTTCATTTTTCTTCTTAAATGCTTGTTTTAAAAAAACTCTGCTTATAACAAGAGAATTCATGCCATGTTTTCAATTCACTTCGTGTTATGACTTCACAAAGGTCTGTAAACTGCCAAGTTGCTCATACAAGGCCAATTGTGGGCTACATTGCTTGCACCCCTAAATCGGTTTTGAAATTCCCTGCTGGATGTCTCCACATAGGTTTCAAGACAAAAAGTATGCAAGTGCTGGAAACCAATTTTGAAAATTTCAGTACCTATTCCTTGACCTGTGAATAAAACATTAGTTGACAATAAAACTGACAAGATAATGAATAAGATGCTTTCTGGCAACTAGCTTTGACATTCAAGTCATCAACACTCCTTTTTTCAGGCACTTTGGCAGTTGAACTTACATGATATTTTCCAAGTGCGGCATCAGGGTCTGTTCCACTACTTGCAGTTCCTTTCCCTTATCCATGTGATCATCTGTTAGACATGCAACCAGTTAAAACAAGAAGTTCATAGGAAGTTAAATTAAATTTAATGTAGTTAACAACTAGGGGTGCAGGTGTGTATTGTCGGGCAATGGTCCAAGCAGTATTTCAAGCACAGTCAGGTTTGGATCATCTCCATGCGCTTTGTACAGCGTTTCCTGCCGGCCTCTCTCTTTATTTAGTCTTTGGATCATTCTTTTACCTCCATCCCTTTCCCCCTTTTATTTTTACCCTGATAAATCACTGTGACAGGTGCCTGGTGCTATTGGTGTGGGAGCTCAATGGGTTTACCAGCCACAGGCATAACTCTGTCAAGGGGCTGGCTTTGCCAAAAGTGGAAGCCCTTGACTATCTGCTCTACCAGACAATAATCTATGAGACAGTTACTATGGGAAAAGATCATCCACTCAGTTATATAAGGTTTTCAACAAAGATAAGATAACTGTGACTACTACTCTTGCACTACAAAATCTTCTCACCATGTTATTTCTTGACAACGTACTTACAATGTTAACAGTTACATTATTAGCGGGAATTTCCTTCTTATTAATACCTTGAAGCTGATGATCGCCAAACAAACTACCAAGACCAAGAGCTCGTTTATTCCTAAAATCTGCTAATAGTTCTCCTATTTCGTCTCCGGCAGCAGCCCTACGAGAATGAATATGGCCAGGGGAAAAAACAGTAAAAACCAATGTATCTATTAGAAACTGCAGATTAAGAACCTCAATAGATATGATATAAAGGACCAATGAATTGACCATTATTCTTCATTCAAAATATTTCTAATTGCCTCAAATTCCCTAGCTAGTTCATCACAACCAGCTGGCATTGACCAAAATTGGATGATGTCTGAGATATCTAGTAACATGACATCAATAGTTCCAGATAACAACAGAAAAAGGCACAGCAAAAAGAGAGGCCCTGTGGACAAGATTATGTTAGCTCCGCTTTTTTGATAGAACTGGAGAAAATGGCAGAAAATTTCACATGTTTTGCAAGGAATTAAAACAAAGTAAACAAACTACTACAAAAAAAAAACAGCAAAAATACAACTCAATGGATGACAACTGCTATTTGAAGAATATTTGCTAACTAAACATCCCTTTGAAGACTGAATTTGCTAAAGAACAGTCATATGAAGTCAGGAATTTAACATTGATCAAGGTAACCATGTTTTAGCTTGTTTTTACTCAGCCTCACCAAATAATTGTAAATCTTCAAAAGGAACTACTTTAGAAAACCTAGTTCAGAAAATAGCTTTAGAAGCTTCAAACAATGGTTTTGGATAGTTGATCTAATGAGTCTAGTTAATCCATGGTGCAGCTGATGATGAAGCTCACAAAATTAATTCCAAAATTATGTGTACCAGCAGAGATATTGGAATAATGTAAAAAGATAATAATCATTTGTACCTGGCTTGCTGAAATAAGTTCTTAAGATTTTCTTCAGAACCCAAGTAGCTCTCTGAAAAAAGGAATCCACATTATAGAACATTCTATATTACTTTTATTAACAAGTTAAGCATGGTAAATTTCACCTGCCTGATGTTGCTAAAAAACCATAATCACCAGTCAGAATAAAGTGACAAGACAATGATGTAGGCTGATCAAAAATGTGTTTTATCTCTTTTAATAGGCCTTTTGCATTAGTTGATCATGTGAGCAACTTTTGGTAAACACCAAAACAGTTCGCTTACGAAAAATTTTGTTAGCACGAGTTAAAAGAGCTTTTTAAATTTAGGTATCCTGTAAATTTTCAGCCGTATATCTCAAAAGTAGTGATTGCAACAGCCACTGAAAATTAGAAGGATTTGTATGAGAAAAGCAGCTTTTGTCACCCAGTCACGCTCGAGTGGTCTTCCATGCAATTCCATGTAAATTCTGAAATCTTTAAACTGTCATTAAATCTTTCCCTCACGCATTTAAGGGTTCAAGCTGGCATTATGAATATTAGGAGATTTGATTCCTGTAATGCTTAAGGAAACACTTCACAATAATTTGAAAATTTCAAAATTTATAAGGATTTGTATAGAAAACCATTCAAGCGTGACTGCGTGGCAAAAGTTGTTTTTACAAATCCTTCTAATTTTCGGCGGCCATTGCAATTGCTGCTTTTGAGATATACAGCTGAAAATTTACAGGTTACCTAATTTTAATATGCCCTTTCAGCTCATACTAAAAAAATTTTTCAAAAGCACACTGTTTTTGTGTTTAAAGAAAGTTGATCATGTGATCAACTAATGCAAAAGTCCTATCTAAGCGGCAGTCTTAAACAGTTTCTTAGACTTTAGTTAAATTAATGCTACACCACTAGAACACTAGTATTTACCTACCAATTGGCTGTACAATGGTCTCTTTATCCATGTCAACTTTCAGAGGCTGATAATAAAAGAGAGAGAGACAGGTATAATAAAATTTATGATAATCAGGTAAATGCAATGAGGACCTTCAGAGAGGATGAGTATGTTCTTTCCAGTATACACAGCTACTGGTTGTTGCAGACATAAATTAACAAAAAATATATAATAACATTATTATTATACTCAAACAAAAATGGACAGGTAATGACATGGTTCACAATTCAAATTTATGGGAAATGGAGAAAGAAAAATTCTCAATAAAAAAGAGATACATGTGAAAAGTCCCTAAAATAATTAAAGTAATTTTCAGTTGTTTGTTAACTTAACTTGATTGATTAAAAGCCTCAGAAAGGGAGTGATTCAACAGGGTATACCAGCAAATCTACTATACATGGACTCGCAGAAGTATAAAGGATGTTTCAAAATTGATATTCATACTGGAAATAAAAAAAGTATCTTATTATCGCTGTGTAGAAGTCATGGGTTATTTTGGCAGCAATATTTGTGAGGTAGAGTAACTTGAATTAAGACTGTAACACATACTGCCCGCTCTGCAAGAAATGTCGAGTAGATCTCATAGGACCATTTCTTCATCTCCTTTGGTGTTCCTTCTCTGTAGGAATCTGTAACCAGCCAAAAAAACTGCAAGAAAAAATATTAACTATCTGGTGAGAAAGGACATGGATATGAAATTTACAAGACACAAACCCAGATCCCAGGGACTCTTGAAGTTATGCCCTGTAAGAGTTAAACTGAAGAAGTTGAAGAAAGACTCACTACACATAAAATACTATAAATAAGTGAATTGCAGAGCCTCAAAAAACTGCGCTAAGGGCCAGTAGGTAGGTAAGAAGGAAGAAAGACAGACCTTTTTTTTCTTCTTAAAAACAAAACAAACCACCAGAAAAAAGAAAGAAAAAAGAAAAGGGTATTCAAAGAGGAATCAGACACCATATATCCTGTTCAGTACGACCTGTCCTTACAACTACACTACTGAGGATGATCATACATGATTTAAAGCCTTTTCCATAGCACTTCTGCCGGCAAACGCTGCTCAAAGCTGATGGAGCCATATTAAACACAAATTCAAAGATATATTGCAGGAAAATATCAAGGCTATTGACAGTAACTAACGCATTTAAACCAATGCTTCTGATATTCTGTGACTTCGCATAATAATTATTGACCTCAAATCGCAACTTTCTGCAGAATTCGTGAAAAATCCCAAAACTCGTATAAAAAAAAATTGCCCAATTTGAGAAAACTAAAATGAAATATTTGCTTTCATTTAAGGTTCTTCGCAATAAATTGAAACAATGTTTCAAGCAGGGCTTCTGATTTTGTGCAATGGTGCAATCACATTTGGCCTCAAATCGCATCTGATCGCACAATAATATTAGAGGAAAATCGCATTATTTGTAAAAATAAAAGAAGTTAAATTCAAGTAAAGTAAACGATAAATTCCAACTTTCATTAAACATTTTCCCAATTTAATGTTATTTAAGGTGATTTATCACTAAAGAAAGCCTTGCAAGACATCTGAAACCTTCGATTGTGGTACCTTTGGGCAGTCATTTTGATTTCAGAGATAAGCAGTGTGGTCAGCAGTGTAACTGCATCATGTAATATTTAACAAGTGTCCTTTTTCTTTCTTTCTATTTGTTTTCTTTTCCGAGTCGGGACAACTGGACTAATTTAACAATTTTGTTTTAAAATAAATGTTTTATTATAATTCTTTTACATTACAATTGCCTGTTGACCCATTCGCCCCCAAGCCGCCCGTGCGGATCCACGTCCTTTCTACCGCTTGTGATGTCATCAGTTTTAACGGTCAAGGACAACTTTGTCTGCTAACTTGTGCAGAGTGAACAGATCTTTCAAACCATACCAGAATGAGCACAATTCAGTCAAGGACACCGGAGAAAAAGGACAAAAACCATGTAACATTGACCTGATAGTCTCCATGAAAATCTTCTTCCATTGCCCACCTACCTTTCCTTTCACCTAATCCTAAGATAAAAAAAGCTTTCCTAAAAACTCTTCCCACCAAAATGAAGCCTACTAAATGCCCAGCAAGAGAAAAAAAAATGAGGCAAGAAAAGTGAAAAAGAGGGGAGGAGAGAAAGCAAAAAGTAAAAGTCAAGACTGCTGTGTCACTTTTAAACCCAAAAACTCTCACAATTTTGCTTTCCGTGCATGCCCGAACTTCGCAAGCAAACAGTTTGCATCTGGATCAGAAGGCCGGGAAGTGTATGACCAGTTAACAGTTTTGTGGTAAGTTTTAGCTCTTTATAGCACGACTGTGACCACAAAACCACTTGACTAGCTTCAAAATGCGTTTTTTGGCAAAATCTCCAGGAGCAAATGGGTTAAACAACATTAAAAATCGTACAATTTATCACATAATAGTCCTATCTTATAGTACAATCTGCCCCGAAATTGTGGCATAATTTCCGATTTTTTATCCAACCCTATGAGAAGGCCTGCTAAATGCATTTCATCATATTGAAAGAACATAAAATTATGCCCAACAGAGGTGATACAACTTGTCTGCCAAGTAGGTGTCAAAACAGTGTTTTCTTTCCTCAATTTTAGCTGTTATTTTGAAGTTAATAGTCCAAATCACATCTATTTTCTCTAAAGGTACTTCTAAGTTCAAAATTTATCGTTAAAAGCATTTCCTCACCTCTTAAATGGTCACTAAAACAACCGGGTCAGGTTCTGGTGGTTTTGTTTAGACGCTACCTTGTTGCTAGGCAACTGCATTTGCCCAAATCAATTGAAAGAGATATTTATGACCAAAGCATGATCAAGCTTTGCTTGACGATCCTTATGTGTATTGGGCATGCTACGCACACAAAAAATTTAAAAATCTTCACTCTGCTTTTCGTAAGGAATAAAATATTGACAATAATGGCAGTCATTTCAATCTAAGCACGACATGTATTTACAAGAAAACATTAAAAGTCTGAAAGATTGAAGTATTTTGTCCTCTGACAAGTGAAGGAACTGCAATTTCTGCATCAGATAACCTCCTGGTTGCTGACAACCTGTGCTGATGGAAATACCGTCTCTACTAAGATCTGGCCCTCAAGAGATTTCACAGGGCATTAAATTTAGTCCTTTAGATACTGAATCATAAAGGAACTGACATGTCACAGACGTTTAGCCTATTTCGTTTAAGTTTTGCCAATATCACTTGCTATGACAACTTGCCATGAAGAAATTTCTTCGGAATGGATCACAGCTTTGTGACCAACTATGTCTTCCAAGAGAGTGAGAGTAGACAACAATAATAAGTCTTGAAAAACTACTGGGCTGAAAAGTTTCAAACACCCTAATTTATTGCAATCCATTTTAATCTTCAAATAACTTTGCTCATCCACACCTTCTACTATACTTCCTATGTTATTTTTATGTTCCTTCACTGATTGAAGCAGTTATTTTTCAGTTTCACCCCATTATTTGTTGGCCAGTACCTAAAGGCTAGGTTTGGCTAAACTGCATGCTACAGGTCCTATGTGTATTACACTGAGGACCACAGAACACTTACCAGACTACTTGGATCACTGTTAGATATAAGATAATGTAGAAACACAGCAAGATGAGCTGAAACATAAACAAACACATTAAATACAAAATCAAGGATGAATAGTTTCCACCATCTTATCATGAATAGAAATTACGGTATTTCAAACCTCAAGACCAGCTAAATATTACTCAACTTAAGTTTATTACCTGGTTTATTCTTTAGCATGTCCAAACTATTAAAAGGACCATGGTCATCTATCTGTGGATCAAAACATACCACAAAAAATTGCTATGGGTGTTTATTAGGTAAGATTAGAAATGAACCAAACTTTCAAAGTACAGAGAACACAAACACATAGAGGCACTTACAGTACATGTATTCAGGACAAGAAAAACCTGACTATATATGCTGTCAACCTTTATCATATAATTTCTTGTTTCTTTAATTTTAGGTGTCTCTTGTTAGTTTATCTAAAACAGAAAGGAAGTATGCCTGGTGCATACAGCTGTTACAATAATAACGATTTCACTGCCTTGTACCTTCTCATCATCAGAAGCAAAATCATCATCTTCCATTGAGATAATTGAATTAATTGACTGTCCATGATGCATGACACCTGATTTGTTAGTCTCAGCATAACCTGACTGTGTATCATCATCTCCATCCGTAAAGTTCTCTGAAGTATCACTTCGAATTCTCTTTTTCATTGGTTCTGACAGTGTTGGTGTGGCTGGAGGAGAACTGGCGTTGATGTTACTTCCAATTTTACTCCTCAAGTCATCTATTTGTGCTGCTTTATTTTCATGGCTATATGGAACCCATGCCCGTGGAAGAGATGAGGTCTACACAACAAACATGAAAAAATGAATGCGTTATATTACTAAACACTATACTAACACTACGGATATAGATGTTTCTGGATGCAGCGCTCAGTGGTGTCATCCGAAAGAACCTATGCGTAAATCTATGGCTTTACCTCTGGACTTCAAGAATCCAGCATGATTAGTCTGGGGATTAAGTCAGTTTTGTGTAATGTATGTTCAATAAAACAAGGCAGTCTAATACCAGCTTACCTTTGCTAAAACCGAGGTGATTTATACTGGACTGCTGAAAGCAGTATCAAATAGTTCATCAAAATAACATTTTTTTTCACACCACAGGAATACTTTTTTTTTACTTTTATTTTACTTTTATTTGATATTTGAAACTTCATATATACTTACTTGACCCCCTGAAAAAGCACCAGAAAACAATTCAAGCTTTGTTTTAAGTCATAGGTATTTACCAGAGAGTTTTTCTGTGTTTTGCTGTAGTGAGTACCCCGTGGCATGGCTGATGTATCATCAAAGCTCTTTTTCTTGACATTATCTCTTGTAGAAAATCCTCTCTCAGAGGAGTTGTTTCCATTCATCATGGGAAATAAAGCATCTGGACTGGATCTCTGTCTTACATGAAGTGGACCCTCAGGTAGCTGTAGAGCAAAAATTTCATATCAAGCACTGTTTCCACCAACCACACTTCACATGTTCTAATTTTGGGTGGAACAATGACATGTTTTGCATGAACATTCATGTGCAAAGTAGGCAGCTGTTTGGGAGCTTGAAGTATATGACCTGATTTGTATGCACTCAAAAAAATAATCATTATAATTACATCACATTTTACAAGCGTTGATCTTGTATTTCAAGCAATCCGATTAGTTCACTATAATAATCTAAAACTAACATCTACCATAACTAATGAGGCAGTGTTTTTCCTACAAGTGAATAAAAGTACAGGCCTACATAAGCAAGGAATAACTCATTTATTTTTCCTTATGATGACCTAAACTATTATTGTCCAGTTTGCGAACATCAACATGACCTGACTACACAGACTTTGCATTGTTAGTTGCATTCACAGAACTAACGCTACCTGTAGACTTCAAGTAAAAATCAAAGAAAGACTATCGTCAACTCGTGGGTACATTGTTTAGAAAATAATCAATTAGTTATAACCTCTGGTTTTCCCACAGTGAATTTTAGGAAATGATAGGAATTCATATTATAAATATACTATTCTTGTTCTGGAAACACAATACTTTTCTTGCTGTTTATTGCACTTTAGTAACAGTTATTTAAGTATATATTTAAAAACAAAACAAAAAAAAACAGCAAAACAAATAAGCAAACAAGACAAAACAAAAAAGAAAAAAAAAGGAAGAAGGGAAAAAGAAGGTCCTTAGCAGGGTTTGAACCCAGTATCTTCGGTTTGACCCGACCTCACATAGCCACTACGCCATTGAGGATGGTCACATGATTTGACAAAAAGTCTCAAATTTAATGCCTTTTCCATGGAACTTCCGCCGGCAAACGTTCGGGGCAAACGATCGAGCCATAAAAACGACTCGAAGCAATGGGATGAAATTAAGGCTAATTGAAACCAGGCTACTGATAGTAAAAAACAATGTAAATGCATTTCATGGCAATGAAAGAACATACGCGATATGAAGCCGACACAACTCCTCCGCGAAGTAGGACGCAAAACATTAGCTTATGTTTTCTTATCTCAATTTCCGCTGTTATTTTAAAAAGGTAATGCTCAAACTCACATCCATTTCCCCCCGTGATCTTGGGGAGTCCTTAAGAAGAAGAAGAAGAAGAAGTGCCTCTATTTACCATACATTTCACCAGTCCGTATTTTATAGTCCGTATTTTATACCCAGTCCGCAGTCCGTAGTCCGCAGTCCGTGTTTTATACTGACCGCCATAAATTCATTCATACACACATAACCTACTACAGTACTACAAGGAAGGAGATCAAGCCAGCGTCGAAGTTGAAGGAGTCGAAGAGCAAATGCTCATCTTCTTGTCAAGTTTAACACCTGGACGGGTCAAAGGCTTTTGAATCGTACTAATTTGACAGATTCCTGCCTGTCTTAAATTTGGTAAGACCTCTACCCTAATGTATCGGTCAAATCGAAGCTTCAACATGCGAAGTGCGTCTACTACGAGTGAGTGAGTGACTCATATCTCAGTCCCTGCAATAACTCGTGATATGCTCACGCATACCCACGAGTTAAAAATAGTCCTCTAAGAGGACATGAGGTTACTGGCAGTGAATAGTCTGCACAAAAACCACACACTTGCATTTAACAAAATCATTCTTCAAGGCAGTCACGTTGTGTAGCGACTTCTAATAGGCACGTACACTTTTTGTCACTGTTACATGCTGTAAGTGCTTTATAGCAGGTAAGGTTGGTTTGGCAGCCACAGGCAAAGTTAAAACTTTTACAGATAGGGTTTTGGGACTATTGTAAGATGCTTTAAAAATTAATGCCAGTTGTTTTGAAACTATACAAATTTGTGACATATGATTGAATATTTACCCACCGTATTTATTCAGCTATAAGCCGAGCAATTTTACCCAAATTAAAGCTAAAGTTCAGTGAAATTTGAGCCCAAATGGGGGTCTTGGCTTAAAGCCAAGAGTTTTTGACAAAAAAATTTTTCCATTGCATTCAAACTCTACTAAATGGGGATGTATTCACTTATAAGCCGACCAAATAGCACTGGCAAAAGATCAAATTGATTGCATAAGTACAAATCTGAATGTTAAGTTAGCTAAGCACAGAAATTCAGTCCCAACTTGTCAAAATATCAGACTAAAAAGGGCTCACAACTAAAATCTCACATTGGTAAGCCTTGTACAACGAGGGAAGGTGTAAAACAAATGAAAGATGTCAACGAATTTGTGAACACTCCGCCATGTTTGGTCACACTTGTGTTTCGAAACATTTGCCTAGTTACTAAACAGGGACAAACACAACACAAACTGATGTGGTTTGTTTTGATTGAAAGACAATTTATGTGATCATTTCAAGTATAACGCGATGAAGACATGAAAAAAAACTGATAGCAGCGAAAAACCCAAAGAGCAATAATGTACGTTTTCATAGAGGTCACATTCTTTCTGGAATTGTTAAGTTTTACAGTAGTTTAAATTCTTGTAACGAACATAAGTCTTGGCTTATAACCAGGTGTTTTGGACTTATCTTTTGTTCTTGGTTATACTGATTCTACAAGTTTCAAGTTTAGGGTCTCGGCTTATAGCCAAGATCTGCTTATAGCCAAATAAATACGGTAGTAAAAGTGACACATTCGTGCTTGCATTTTCCAACACTATGATTTTCAATGTTTAATACTACTAACAATTAAAAATTATTCATTACTAGTAAAATTCAATCAACACATGAAGCAATATTACGAATAGATAGAAGTAGCAAAAAAAATAAATTGGCTAAACCATTTCAAGAATTATCGTAAGTCAAAAAAGAGCATGTTTCCCGTAATACGTTGTTTGAAGACCATTCCTCATGAAAACAAACACCTTACGTTTTTCAAAAATCCAAGTATAATATCCTATTTAACCTTTTTATCAAGCCCTAAGAACAATCAGTAACAAATTCCTCCTTGTCATAACAACACTTTACAAAACAGAGTAAACAAAATTAATGGGACATACATGAAGCAGGTATGGAACCCAGTCCATTCAGCTCCGAAGGTTACGCATTAGTACACATATGAGAACAATAGAAATGACCTTACATTCACTCGTTCATACTTTCTTATGAGGACAACAGCATGGAGCACTACTGGCTATAAGCCAGTAAGCTCAAAATAAGTCGCACAAACATTTAAATATCCAAAAAGGCAAGTTGACAAACAGTTTAAGAGTTTATCAGCAGAAAAAAGAATAACTCCAAGGAAAGCGTTATCATAGCTTGCACAAAAACCATGATATTGATTTCTCAAAGAGTTAAGTTCAATAATGCACCAAAATTGAGCTATTCTAACATAAAAATTTTAAAGGGCACATAAACCCAAAGTTTATCCCCTTAGATGTAAAAAAGTATTCTAAAAACGATTTTGCTATTATTTTCTGCCAATTCGATGTTCCTAAAAACATGGCGTTTTCTCCGGCAGATTAACTTCCGGTTAACTATATGAAATTACCTGTGACGTAACGAGTGGAACCAGTCTATTGCGCACCTTGATTATCCCTATGGCGACTTGATCGAGCGATAAGGAAGTACAAATACAAAGTGGGACAAATCTCATTTGAACAAATATAATAATACAAGTAATAGGTACTTAAATTATATAGTGCTATATTTCCTTTCATTTACGTTATTTTATTATTTTTTTAGGATAAAATTACTTCAATTAAATATATATTTTCTTCTATCTCGGAGATATTAGCTTTAAGAGCTACACTGTAAATCTGAGGATAAATAAAGGTGATGTATTAATTTTATACGTATGACTTGTTACCTCAATCCTAACGCTTCTAAACTGTCCCTGAGTCAACAATCTTTTATACAGTATTAGAAAAGATAAGAAATTCTTTTTCTTATTAAGCTCAGTTACATTTAATAATGGATCAACAGCATCTCCTTCTGAATGAAGCCAACAAAATCTTGCTGAGAAGCGTGACAAGCTCTCCACCTGACGGTTATTATACACAACCAACACGTACAAGTAAGAATGACTAAATCAATGGCCAAGAGCTAAGAGCATCAAATGGCTTATAAGCTGGGAAGCAGTTAAAGATTAATTGCTGATAAGTATAAATTTTATAAGGGAGAAATTAGCATTATACTTACAGATAACTTCTTATGCCTTTTTTTGCTGGGGCTAGTGATTGAACCTACACCACTTAGCTGCTATAGATTAATGCACAAGTTTGATTAGCAAAATTAATGTCAGAAAGCTGCACAACAACGCTGATTGGCAAAGTCTAAGCATAATATTTTAAGTCAACGCTGCCCTGTGAACTGAACCGTGGGGAAACCTCAGTGCTTACAGCTTAATAAAGATTACGATAGGGACTATGAATGATAATTCAACTACAATTCAAGTACAAGTACAATAGGACACACTCTTGTTTTCACACAAGAATTGTCCCAAATTACTGCTTATCTTGTTAGCTCAGATGCCTGTTTTACAAGTTAGGGTAAATGGTGATAAGTTGAATGATGTTCTCAATTTCACCATGGCATTACAAACAGAAAGGTAACCAAAACAGCACCTTTACAAAGAATAATAAATTTATTCGAAAAGGTCTCTGTTGCTGATTTTTACATAGGTGAAATAATATCAGTGTTTCAAAGATGCAAGTCCAGTATTCATGGTTTTTTTATTGCCATTACAAAACTGAGCAGTACTATCAAATCACACAGAAAAAACAAAAAGCAACAACAACATTGACATGTCCCTCAATCACCCAATAACAAACAGGTCCTTGAATTTAAAGGCTGAAATATCATAACCTAAAACTATGATATTTTTCACTTATCTAAGTAGGATAAACACATTATTGCCAAAATTATGACAGGTTTATGGGTTTAAAATAAGCAAAGTGATATTTCACTTACCACAAGCTGATCATTTGTGGGACGGGGCTTCCTTTCTGGTGGCACAGGTGGAGAGGATGGTCTCTGTGGTGAGAACTTGTCTGTGTCATCTACAGTGATAGGTGTCTGAAGGTAGTTGTCATACAGGGCATTTGGATCTTGATTCAGAGGCTGACTTATCCCATCATCAGTCGAAAGTGATTGACACCTGCTTGGAATTCGGCTTGGGGCCTGCCAAACTGTGGGAGGGGCAGTTTTACCAGGGGGTGCTGAGAATGGCCCATTGTTAGAGAGTGGTGGCTGCAAAAAAGACAAGTGTTAGTGGAAATTTGAAGAAGGCAGTACATGTGACCAGGCAGGGGATTTTGTACACTAGCAATTTACCATAGGCAAGATTTGTTTACTATCCGTATTCCCCATTTTCACATAGACCACAAAGCACCTTATTCACCCCCCAAAATCTTGCACAACCATAGTCTTTGAATGCTCTTGGGACAACTGTAATACCCAAGAGAAATTGGAAACAATGGTTAAGCAAAATTTGACGGGAAGGGGGAGGGGGGGGGGGGTAAACAAGGTGCATTATGACCATTTTTATCAGTTTTTTTGGTAAAGCACTCAACAAAGGTTGGCCACTTACTACTAATAGAGGATCATCTAATCAGTGTTCCCCTTATCAGGAGGTAAACGGTAAAATTTACTGCCTACAGCCGCTTGAAGGTTTACTAAAATTAACTATGTAGTTTTAAACCATTCGCCTAACAGTAACCGCCCGTGAATCCAGGTTTTCTACCCTTTGTGATTATCAGTTGTATCAAGGACAACTTTCGTAATGGTCTTTCAAACCATACCAGAATGAGCACAATTCAGTCAAGGGCACCGGAGAAAGAAGCAAAAACCACGTGACAAGGACCTGAAAATCTCCATGAAAATCTTGTTCCATTACCCACCTACCTTTCCTTTCACCTAATCCTAAGATCCTAAAAGCTTTCCTAAACACTCTTCCCACCAAATGAAGCCTACTAAATTCCCAGCAAGAGAAAAAAAAAAAAAAATGAGGCAAGAAAAGCGAAAAAAAAGAAGGGAGGAGAAAAGCAAAGTAAAAAGTCAAGACTGCTGTGTCACTTTTAAACCCAAAAACTATGTCGAAATTTTGCTTTCTCGCGATGCCCGAACCCAAGTAAGCTGATATTTTGCATCTGGATCAGAAGGCCGCCAAGTGTAAGTTTTAGCTCTTTATAGCACGACAGTGACCAGAAAACCACTCGACTAGCTTCAAAACGCGTTTTTCGGCAAAATCTCCAGGAGCGAATGGGTTAAGTAATGGTCCGTGTAAGAGGTAGGCAGGCGAACGGCAAAAGTGATTAAAAGGTGCTAACTTTTAATCATTAATTTCAATTAAATCAAGCGTTCTGATTGGCCGAAATCCAAAAATCGCCAAAAAAACAGTCAGAAACGTGACAAAAACACCTTTTTTTAGCTTTATTTTCCCCATTCCCCTGTCTTATAGCTCACGGCCAAGTTTCAGCATTGTTCTATGTGCCAATCAAAAGTTAGAGCGGAAAACGTGCAACACACACGCGACCTTGTTGCGACCCCATCTTAGCGTGACACTTGAGATGTTAGGAAATTTGTCTTTTACCTGAAGAAATCTCGTCAATTTCTTCGTTAAAAATCTGCATTTTTTCTTTATTGAATATTTATCTCAAATTTACTGTATTTTATCATCGGAGTGATCGTCAAAATGCTCTTAAACATGGTTTGCTGCCGTCCTCAACATGCCGAGTCACCATGTGGAAATTTGGGCCCGGCGTAGTTGTTTTCGTTGTCAGGCCGGATCAGGAGGAGATCGGAATAATTGTGGCACTAGAAATTGGAGTACAGCTGGGCATAAAAGGAGAAAAAGCGAATGATTTGTTGTTTTTACAAGGATGAATTTATTTCTCGAAGAGATGTAGAACACTTGAGCTTGAGGTAAGCTGAATTCAATAGATTTTCGCACCTCCACGCGCATTATGTGTTATTCATGTGTTTGCCCTTTTCGAAACTTCCATATTCCGTGTACCTTTACCCATCTCTCATTCGATTTTTTTCTCTCTAGTCTGCTTCATCAAGCGAAATGGAAGTTCGCCGTGGACCTTAAGTTAAAATTTGTGACACGTTTGCATTTTGTACCAATGTTCTGAGACGGAGAATACTGAGGCGGAAGCCACTTAGGTATCATAAATAGCTGTCACTGGTGTTTGAGTTTCTCTTGGTACGGAAGATCTAGCGAGCATGACTGTATAGCTTGACTTTATTTTTTCCAAGGATGAGAGAGATTGTAAGAAGGATTTTTATAGAGTAATATCAAAACCTTGTGAACAAATAAACTGTAGGAGAGCTTTTTCTGAAACCCAATTATCCGAACATGCAGGAATTTTTTCTATCTGGGCAACATCATCTTTTTTTCCAAAAGCAGAACATTTAGATAACATTTAGATTTGATTTTGTGTACTTGTTGTTGTTCTGTCTGGTGGCCGAATATGAACGCGCGACATTGGCGCGTTCGCCAGATTCGCCACGCGAGAGTGAATTTCTGCTGTTTACGATCATGGTTTTGACATCTCTTTTGTGAGAGCCGACGTAAATGTTGTTCCCAACGTCGCTGATTGATGTAACACTGTGCTCATCTTCGTGTAATTTCATATCAGTGTAACTTCCTCGGGTTTGGCGCATAGAAATCTTTTAAATTTTAGATATGTTATGTTTTTCAACATAACAAAGCAATAGACGAAATAAAAAGTTGTTCGAATGAGTCTTAAGCTATCTTAATTCAACTTTAAAATTCAAATTTCGCGCTTTTTGCTGTATTGACCAATCAGAGCATTCAGATTTAATTTGATTAGAGAAATTAGCGCCTGAAAAATAACTGACGCTATTGCCGCGGGCTATTGTTTTTCTGCCTGCTTCTTAGCTGGACCATTACTTAAACAATAAGCAAGTCATGATCCAATCTGATTCTAACACCGAAATGAATGATAATTAGCTTTCCTTTTACTGGGCCACACATTTTAGGAAGAGAACATTAAAGACAGAGTAAAATTATTGGAATTAAATATTTTAAATTGTTTGCGTAAAATAGGTCTTAAAATGAGGGAATGATGTTTCAGAGAACTTAGCCCCTAAATTTCCCAGCGAGAGCAGGGTCATGTCCCTCACTCCACTACCCCTCCCCCCCTACCCCCCCCCCCCCCACCCATAAAACTGCCCCTCTGGCACATATTGTTTGCCTTACCGGCCACAAATGGTCCCTTACCTGCTGAGCACAATACCACAATATCAGGTTAGATAATGTCTGAACATTAAAGATGCAACTTCTTTACTTCATAAAAGATTTAACGTTCTATACTCGCTGCTCCACCTCACGCTGACATTAATAATTGTTACCAAACAAACTTATTAACTGAATGTGTAGAAATGAAACTGATTCTGTTGTTACCTGAGATTGAAGTAAAGCACTAAGTTCTGCCTCAAAGGCTTTGATTCGAGTTGTTGATTCTGCAAACTGAATTGGTTATGTGCCATAAATACAATGTAAGGAAATAAGAACCAAAAGATAGAGCTTCCTTCAGTGCTGGTTTCCTTTGTGGTAAGGTAGAACCCTGCCGACACCGTGTTTACACGTATATGACCAAGCTGCTATTACAGCAACTTTTATTTGACCTGAACATCAAGTCCAGTGGTTTCCTCATCCTACAGACTCAACCATCACATGGTTGTTATGACCAACCATCGTCCTACAATTTCAGGTTGCCCAAAGGCAACTTTAAAAATAGTTGAGCTTGGAGCACTGAATTATAATACAGACTAGTTATAGGAATAAGTTACATAGCTAAAACTTGTAGTATTGAATATCATAATGTGATGCTGTCCCATTTCAGGGTCATAATAATGGAGCTCCATGTGCAGTGGTACATGTATACCATACACCAAACTATTATTGTTACCAGACATAAAAATCAGCATTAAATATTTTGTAACAAATACAGAGTGGAGTACCTCTTTCTGAAGCTTTTCTGATGGCCTTTTCATATATTCTTCCCTCGTTTTCTAAAAGGTAATCATTGCATATGTAGACCCAGTACTAAATGCAGCCTACATTTTAAGGCAGCACCTACCCAGGTAAACATTGTACATATACTGCTTGCCCTTACACCGTATGTTCATTAAGAACTAATCCTTAAGCCACTAAGATCTAAATCTGGCTAGCTAACAAATCAACAGGTAGCCAAGTCAAGTGTCATGTCTCAATAGAAATTTTGAAAAATTTTATAAATAATTATTGGATGAGGCTTTTGAAATGTCCAGAATAATCAATGAGGTCAAGTTAAGTTTCATCACTGCTGCCAAAGGACCTAGACCATGATGATTCCGGAAAAACAAAAACCAAATCTATGTATAATTTTATTACGTAAAATTTTACTATAAATTGTTTTGATGAAAATAATGACAAATACACCATCGCACAGTTTGGGAATAAGGCACTGCAATCAAAACCTACAGATTAGTTAGTAATAAGTTCAGACAATTTGGCAATCAATCTCCAGGTTTATCAGACAAGAATCAAAGCCATATGTAAACAATGCATTCCAAGCATTCCGCATGTATACATAACAAACGTTTGTCGGTCTTTTTGCGTGCAGTCGCACAAATCAACAGTGCAAGGAAATACTGTGCGTAATAAAAAGAACGTTGGATTCTTGTAGCCGTGCACGAGCAGGACTTAGGATATCATTATTTTGGCAGACCATCCTTTGGTTGAGAGTTGAAGGCAACTTGAGAATGAAGAGAAAAAGTTCCACATCACTCATTTTTAATGTTCGATAAATGTTTGTATTGAAACGACCTAAATAACTGAGGCTCTCTAGTAATTGAAAAAGTCTAGTATCATCCGTCACATGGTCCTGTCACACAACGCTTCACCGCGTATTCAAATTGCTGGTGGGTCAAATTTCAGCCAAAATTTGCATAAAGTTGTTTACACGAGCGCTATGCATCTTGCTTTTAAAAAAACTTTCAATAGAGTCGAGGGGTTTTCTTGATGTAGTGTTTGGGGAACCCGCTTACAAATTTTGATGAGCCACTCGAACGGGTAAGCAGGATTGTGACTAAGATTTCAAGTTGTCGGGTAAATACAACAAGTAGGCGGGGAAAGAAACAGCTAGGGGTTTCTTTTGGTTCTATTTTTCTTCTATTTTCCTTTGAAAGTAGCCGGGGACCACGTTCATAGTAGCCGGAGGAAATCCCCGGCCCCCGCCCCTTAATGACAGCCCTGGGTAAGTAAGCTGTTCGTCCGTTCGTGTTAGCCATTCAAAAACCTTAATAACCCATTCAGTCCTTCGATGAACCCGTTCAAACTGGTGAGTGAGCCATTTGCTTGTTTGTGTTAGCCATTCGGAAAACTTAACAACCCGTTCAGCCATTCAATGAACCCATTCAAACGGGTGAATGAGCCATTTGCAACCAGTTCGAAAGCAAGGCGTTTCCCCCCATTTATTGGGAAGCTGTTCGGAATGTTTTCCCGTGAGAGGTCACATATTAGCGAGGCTTCTCATTAAGTGCCGGCAACTGGCTAAAAAAACTGGCTACTTTAAATTCTGCCTACCTTTTGGGGAAAAACGGTAAGGTGACTGAGTGAAAGCTTGAAATTGCCTTCAGCTGCCTATTTTCAAACTTAATGGCCTGTTGACTGGTGGCTTTAGGTTCTAACAAATCCTTCGCAAGATGACTACTGTGGACCGCAAGCACTAGTTCACATCATCATCTTCAGTAACAGTTCATATATCTCTAGGTTTATACTGAATTCACCTTATAAAACTGTCTTTCTTGATCTAACACTCGCTGAATAGTTATTGTTCTCTCATCTCTGACAGGATCTCTGGGCATCTAATTGAAGTGAATAAAAAAATAAATGAATTAACATAACAAGTACCAAACAAAGGGTATTGATTACAGATGCCTGTATAGTTACAGTTTGTGACAGTTACATGTAGGAATTTATCATACTCCAACTAAAAAACTAATGAACCCAAGTTTTCCAGTATCCACCCTTCATCCGTCCAGGTCCATCCAAGGATTCATGGATTCAGTTTCACGTATATCAAAGAATAAGGTTAAAGAGACAACTTGACTCTTAAAAAGATAAAAGCAACTTACAGTTGCAGGTGGTGATGCAGATCCTTGCCTCTCTGCTGCAAACAAAAGGAAAATGTTACAGGGCTGTCACTAACAGCTGAGGCCCAATGACTTCTCCCGCCTACTATGAGTATAACCCCTATCTACTTTCATGGAAAACAAAAGCAAAATATGGTATGGGGCTTCGCTTTCATCAAGGCTTTTATTTTCAAGCATCCTGTCAACCAATTGACCGAAAAGTATTTTAACACCTCAAAACAAAGAATTTTACGAATGAAGGCTGCCTCCACCGCTATAGCCTGAAATTCATCCTATTACTTCAAGTCCTTTTCTCTTCACAACAATGTCTGAATTGACCGGCCATTAATGCCGTCCAGTGACTTCACTCACTACCCGAAAACCGGGTAGTGATTTTGATTGATTGATTGTCTAAACATTCGCATAATTATGTATAATTATGAAAAATTTTAGCGGGATTATCGCTTGATATTCAGCGGATTGCATCTCTGGTATTCTTTTGTGCAGTTCAAACATTTTGATAAGCTTAATCTTTATCTTAAACAACAAAACTGCCCTTGTCTTCGAAACTGAAACGCTAAATTGAACTGCGAATGAAGAATCATTGCAGAGAGTCGGTAGGTTTTTCATTTGGAGCCGCTCTGTGGTTTCGGCGGCGGGTGATTTTGTTTATGCGAAGTTTTTTGAGATCAATATTATGATTTGACCTTCTTGCTATTTTTACCATCAACTGTAATGATTCTGTTAGCTTTTGTTTCTTGTTTCCTTGTTTTTTTCTTCACTAAGGACCAAATAGCTTCTTTTCAATGAAAGCAAATCATTGTGTTTTTGAACTAAATGTTCTGTGTGTGTGTTTACTTCATTGCGTGATAGCAACCGAGTTTGATTATAGAATTCAGTACAACCGGTTCAGAGTTGTACTGCATGCAGTTGATAGTTTGAACGTTAAACATGAACTACGATCGAAAAAATAAAGCAATTCTGTATCATGCAGACATTTCCAAACGATATTTCTCAGTTTGCCACTTGAAAATCGTGTTTTATTTTTTGCATGAATTAAAGCAAAGATCAAGGAGTAGTGACATCACTGGACGTAATTAACGGCCCGTCGATTCAGATTTTACTGAGGGAGAAATAACAACTCAAAGTAATCGGATAAAATTCAGACTACCGCCGCTAAGGTTAGTTTAGTAAAACAAGTCACGGAAATTGTGAACTTTTCCTTCTGGTCGAGAAAGTCCAGAATTGAGACAGAAGCCCATGAAAACATTGTCATCCTGCAGTGCTTTGAAAGGAATAGCTGTGTATAGTTTTTCTTTTCCGTGTTTACTTCCTTTTCTTGTGAGGATCGGCTTGGATCACAACTTGCGTATTTTATGAAACAACTTATTTAATTTTAGTAACCCTTCAAGCAGTTGCAGGCAGTAAGAAGTGTTCCTTCAAGTGGAAAAGTTTACTGGTCACTGCCTGATAAGGAGAACACTGACCTAGCAATCTTAGTGACAGCCCTGTGTTACAAAGAAAACCAGTTATCCATTGAAGTAGAGTTACACAGTGTTCAAATAAATATTGAAAAGGAATATGTGAAAACTGCAGGAATTTTGATTAGTAAATTCCATCACCCACATTCACATGGTTATAGGAAAAACAAGAAGAGATCACAGGATCTGTACAAAAAAAATTAACAATCATTTCAATTTTCCTAAGTAACACAATCATCTAATGGATTTACAAGTCCCAAAACTGTGTTCAAAGAAATATAACTGCAAATAATAACAAAAAAAAACGTTCCTACACATGAGATCCACACCAAAACTAATCAGCAGTGGTTATATAACGGGAGAGGTGCATGTACTGTCATGACTGCTTAATGCCATAGTCCAATTATTATTTTTTTTACATTAGCTTGGTAGTCATCACTCATCCACAAAAATCTATTCCTGACAAATCAAATACACAAACTACTTGTAAATGTCTATAAACTACCTTGAACATGGGCTGGTGCTTTTCCTAGAAGAGTCAGGGCAACATATGATCCAGCTAAAATAAAATAAATACAAACATCAGTCTTATGATCAAAAAAAGATGCCAGCACTGAAGAGGGTTGTCCAATATACACTTGTATCTGCACTACAATGGTCTGTATAAGTCACGTTACAATCCATACAGATCACAAAACTTGCACAAGGTTTGTAAAGAGCTGTTTATGGTCTGTAAATTGCATCTCATTAGAGAAATATTTTCATGGTGTGAGAGGGTACGATACGTCAACTGCTCATAGGTCGGTAACAGTGCAGCAGTGACTGGCACTGCCAATTGTAAGTAAACTTTAACTTAGAAGATAAAAAAGATCATGTTTCTAGTCAAAGAGCTTTGGAAAGCATTTCACAACCAAATGATACAGTTAAAATTAAGTAATAAACGTTAACTTTCTTGAACTCAAGAAAAGTTGTGGCGTGATAGAAAAAAGGAACATGTAAATGTCAACCGAGGTAGAGCATAGAGCATGTACTGGATCAGGGTTATAAAGGATCATTCTGAGATTAACTTCAAAACGAGTGTCTGTGCATCTTCACTACCAATCACTTATCATTCCGACTATTTACAACAGAACAATGACCATCAACTAACTGAGTTCAAGATGCAATGGATAAGGCTCTAAATGACTTCTGATCTTATCATATGTATGTCAATTGTTTACTTTCATTTACAAGGCAGCAAAATAGTATTATACCAAGCAAATTAAGAAGAATTGCCCACTACATGTACAATTCTATTACAGTTTCCCAGTTGCATATAATAAATATATTATAATAGCAGTTTTTTTTACCCTCACACAATGTGTAATTATCATTTTTCTCAAGAAAATAATTGTATATCACGAGACAAGACTACAACTCCAGAGAGTCGATTATATTTCTCAAATACATACTCAGTAAAAGAAGCACTGAAATTTTATTGGGACAACACAACTGGGAATTTACTTACCTTTAATTAGGTTCACAACTTCAATATGATTGTAGTGCGTCACAAGAGTTCCATTAACCTAAAAAGAAGTTACGGTTGTGTCAACAAAAAAAAGTGATTCTTTCTTAACATAAGAAGCAATTTTGTTACCCATACATCCTGCATCCCTAACATAAATGCAAATAATATGAATGATGTCATAATTCAGAGCAAGTTTGAATAAAGTATCTTCCTTATTCCAGATTCCATATTCAATTTCTAGGCACAATTTAAACTTTTTTCTTTTTTTTCAACTGAGATTGTTTTTAGTGTGGAAACTGTCAATCATATAAGTGTGGGGTGCCTTTCCCAGAATATTTTACTACGGTAAAATGAAACCCAGGAAGACCTCAGAAAATATTTGGTGTTGTTGGTTTCAGTACACTGTAATACATCTATACTAAAGTAAGGGCAACAAGCAAAATTGCAACAACCACCACAGCACTTCACTCCTTTTCACTGCAGGCAAATACTTGCCAGAGGTTTGCTTAACAGGATCATTCTCCACCTTGAGGATACTATTGAGCCTCTGTATGAGTTCCTGTGGACCCATTTTCCATCAGATCATCAGTTTTTCAGGTGAAATGTTGCATATCAAGAATCGTTTTGCCTAGCAAAGCTGCTAGCAAGCTCCGTGCAACCACAACATTGACAGAAATGAGAATGGACAAGGACAACAGGAACGCTACAAAAACACTCTCAAGGTCAATTAAGACATGGGATTTGGAGGCACTGAATGAAGTTCAATGGAAAAACTCATAATTATTACCAAGCCATCCTCAACTTTCAATAAGCAAGGATCACCACCCTGAAGAAGAAAGAGCATGGCACAAAGCCACAACTTTCCAGGTTTTCAATTACTAATACAAGCCATAATACAGAGCCATTATTCCAAAAACAGACAATAATATTTTGCTTTATGAATAAACCATAACTTTTGCTCTACGAAAGAAGAATTTCTCAACAAACTTCTTTTGATTTATGAATAAAATTCATCAATACTTTAACATAGCAACAAATAAGAATTTCGTACCAAAAAAAGGACCACACTGACAAGTACTTGTAAAGTCATGTTAAGTCAAACAACAAAAAAATGTTTCAAAAGTGTACCTTGATAATCTTATCCCCAACTTGTACACCAGTACGGTACGCTGCTCCACCTGGCAGAAAGTGATTTATCAGGTGTTCAAAACATTGATGATAAGCATCCAACTCAGTGACACTATGTGGTTACTTCAGTAATTTAATATATAAATTTTATAAGTACAGTAGCATCCCCATTTTTTGAACTCTCGGTTTTTCGAAATTCATAATAATTTCAACCAAATCTACAGCTGTAACTTCCCTTTAGAAGTTAAGTACTGCAATTTTACCCGTGATTTTTCAAACCTCCCAATAATTTGAACCAATTTGCTTTGAAGGTGGTTCATAAAATTGGGATTCCAATCTCTGGGATTCCAATGTAAAAGTAACACCAACAGATAAGAAAACGTTTTACACACACTGTACCTTCTACAAATCACCAAGTCTGATTCAATATATGTTACAGGTCAAAATTAAATTCAGGTAAAAATTTTTTAACCTACATGTAGGTTGATTCTTTATTTCCTTTGGATAATTAAAGCAATCCAACAGCAACAAATGTGTGCGTAAAATGGAGATAGAGAATTTAATAAGTTTACAATGTACCAAGCAAGTGAACAAAGAGAAACAGTGGGCACCACACAAGTGCTCGAAGATTTAGCATCAGGTAAATTCACAGTCAGAAAGGATCAACTTTGGGATGATTCATAGAAATGCATAAATTTCTTGCAAGGTGCTCTCACAGAAAACCCATCCCCCAGTTTTCAACAAAATTCAAGAGGGAAAAGGTGAAGCTTATCTGCCAGTGTTAACAGAACATTTTCCTCACAGTCAAGTAACTTTTCAATTTGAAATTCATGATTTTTCTTCCAAGGCCTTCTGTTATGTTGTTTTGTGTGTGCGTGCAGGGTTGTCATTAAGAGCCGGGGGCCGGGGATTTTCCCCGGCTACTAAGAGAGTGGCCCCCGGCTACTTTTATTGGAAAACAGAAGAAAAATAGAACCAAAAGAAATCCCTAGCTGTTTGATTTCCCCGCCTACTTGTTGTGTTTACCCAGCAACTTGAAATCTTAGTGACAACCCTGGCGTGTGTGTGTATGCGAAAAAAAACCCTCTCCTCACAAAAAAATGAATAAACATCATGCAAACCTTCTTTCACAGACTGCACATAAACTGGATTGTCCCCTGTAACGGTCAGGCCATAGCCTTTCTCATCACGTTGAATGATGACACAGTGTTGGATCAAGTGTTGGCCTAAACACAACAAAATAATTACCACCCAATCATCACTTTTCAGCTGCAATATTTTTATAAATGCAGAGAAGATCATCACATGATTAACACATGATCTTCTCTGCATTTATCTCTTCGTCCTGCAGTTCTAATACTTGTACATGTATATGAACTTCATATACTCATCATCTCGTTATTTTTTTAAATTATCATGGAAGGGATTCCTTGCAAGAACATTAAAATTATTCCACGAGTGCGTGTTGGATATGAGATGGTAGATAGCCAAGAAGGCACATAGGGCCAAGTTTGGCTATAATTATCTCATATTTAACTAGTGCAAGTGGAATAATTGTTTTATTAAAAATGCCCGCAAAATAATGAGAATTCTTCCTGACTTTATTCACAAAAACAACCGATTTTCAGCTTGTTTTTAATTTTGAGCAGACGTGTACAGTTACCGTATTTGGAGAGCATGATATAATGGCTCATACAGCTGTATACCATGATGGCTAAGCCAATCAGCGCTCTAGAATTCCATTATCCAAAGATTCAGTTTTTAATAAAACAAGTTGACAAATCACATTTTTCTGAAAAGCACTTCAATTTGTTATGAAAGGCAGGAATCGTTAGAACATAACTCCATCTCTGACTGCAAGGCTTCTATATATTCCTTCAGGATTTTTTGCTTCTTTCTCTTACAAAATAAAAAGACACTATTTTAAGCATGGCCTTGGCCACAACGCATGCATCAGTTGTAGGTCATAAACAAAACAGCCAGTATAACAGCCAGTGCATAACAGATCTCTTTAGCTTGTATGTTGCATAATTACTTATCATAAGTTATTTGTTTTTTTATCTCTGTCTTAAAATATACCTCTCCATTATTATGAGAACACAACAAAAAAACAAAAAATTATTCTGCTAATGATTCTCTCCACTTCAATTTAGAAATCTTTCTTGCTCAAACCATTAACCATTTGATGTTTTAAAAAAACACACCACTGAAAACCACTTAAACCATGTTCTGGTCACCAAGAGAAAGGCAGGACTATCTGACATGTAAAATGTTGGTAAGCTCCCAAAACAAAACACATTCTTTTTTGAAAAAAGTGTGAAAATAATAACATAACTAAAATGCAAATTGGACTGCAGAGGAATTTTCTTGTTAAAACTATTAACATAAATTCTGTACTATAGTATGCAGAACCTCAAGGAACAAAACAACAACACTCTAAACTTGGCATGTTCCATGACAATCATTCACGACTGCCTTATAGGTACCACTTTCAACAGAAACTTTTGATGTGCCCATACCACTCTTCAACCAAATGTCAAGTGTAATGTTTTCAATTTGACTTGGAGCATTGCAAAAAAGAAAAAAGCGGCTTCAATGCTTTAACTTAAATTAAACTTGAACTGATGTACAAAGATTTGCATCTGTGAGCAAAGATAAGACCCAATCCTTGATGAACAAGTTGAGCAAAATGACCAGTGTCTTTACAGACTGCAATCCTATGAATTACATGCGTGACATGAGCCATGATGTATGTGGTGTAGGGTGCATGTGCTAGCATTTCTCTCTATTCAAAGCATATATCTTTCATTACCTCACATTTGGAACATTTTTTAAAATATTAATTTGTTCTTAACAGTTAAAAGCAAAGAGAAAATAAATTTGTAACAAGCAATTAAAGCAAGTTTCATTGTCAAAAGTACTTAAGGCATATGTTTCATTCATTAATAAGATTCAAACTCAAAGAGCCAAACAGCCAGCAATTTCTCCTGAACCGTTGTCATGCCTGAATCGGCCATACCAAGGAATACAAGACGAATGTGCATTGTAACAAAAATGTAAAAACAATATTTTTCATACTAAATTTACTAACTGAACGAAGTTGATTTAGCTGAGTAGCAAAAAACAGCCCACAAAACAACAGGTGATCAAGTTGTTTCATTAACATGCTTTACAAATTATCTGGGACTCGAAATGTTATAAACAATCACATGGCGGACCATTAATCGATAATAAGCCGCATATAAACTTTACTACATGTACACGCGAAAAAAGAACATTCAAGAGGACAGACGGGGAAGCTAAGGATGAGCAACGTATAAAGCGTATTACTTCATTAGATCAAATCTAACCTACGTGTACTGGAAATAAAATGCCACTTTTTAGATATTTAATAGACTGATGAGCAGGACGCTTCAAATACGTTCTGGGACAAACTGTATCGTAACATAAACAATTAGGCACCCACATAAAAATACAGGAAAATCAAAACTCAAGATCACAAACTAAGATACCGAAAAACAGCACATGTTCAAAATGGGATTTCTCTTACCATCTTGATTTTCAACAGGGTCCATGTTCATGATGGATCACCCTAGAAGATAACAGACGACTTGTAAATAAACACAAGTTCCCTTACAAAATGCTTAGAATTGCTCTCACCTTTAATTTATTCACCAATTCAATTCAAGAAACGACGACCAAAACAAATTCATTAACTGAGCAGAAAAATACACATCCTCGCAAAAAAAATTCCAAGTCCGCTTTCTACCTGCTTTGTTTCTTTATTTTTTTTACACTACTACATTTAGGTTGAAATCTTAAGCTTAAATTCTCAGGTATATTTTAAGCTCATAGTAGTTGCACTCAGCTGTGATCCCAAACAGAGCCCAGTTTGTTCAGCACCAGTCATTAAACTTCTCGTCTGGGAAAGAAATATTTTTTCTGCTGTAATGAAAACCAATTTAGCTTAAAAGTTAGCTTGCTACAACTTAATAAGTTTATTAGTGGACTCGCAAGGTGTCAACCACGATTAGAAACTGAACACAACAAAACCGGCACCTAACCTTTTAGCAGTATCAGCTGAAGGAGATAAACGACTTGAATGACATTCATTCTTTTACCGTCGACACATCGACAGCATCGCTGGAAATTCCCACAGAAAGTTGAAAATAATCCGACATAGTCCAACGAGTCGACGAAGAGTATACACCTCCGCCAAACACTTAGCTTCAGTTTTCCTTAGTCACCCAAGCCTTCAGTTAATTTAAGATCTCGGTATCCCAAGGAAATTTGACTTCGTTAACAGTAATGATAGATGCACTGATACCAATAAGTATAGCTGAATCCTTTTTGACTGGAGAATAATTTAGTCCTGTTCACTCTGGCGTAATATGAGGTCGACAAAATGCTCGAGCAAAACAAATCTGCTAATTTTCCAGCCCTCTTACAACCAATATGGCGCTCGGATTGTCGAGATGAATGCCCCTGATAAACACACCACAAATATGAGGCGCCCCGCAGGTCCCGTGTTGAGTCCCTTTGAGATCCCTAGGGATCAGGAAAAGGGTCTTACTTGCGGGTCTCAAAGACAAAAACAGGCAAGTCCAAAATCTTAGTGAAAACGATTAGGATACAGTGTTGCAAACAACAAAAGAACCCTTTATATATATTTTTTGGATATCACAGCTCACAAGTACGCCATCGCCCCCAAAAATTGAAGAGATCAATCGTTGGAAGGTTTAGGCTCTCAAAATAAAAATAACAGTTGAGGAAAACAAAGACCACTTTTGAGTACTGTGCTGGTGCAAGCAACTGAAAAACACGTGTCTCGCACAACCACGCTAGAAAGACTGCGCCAACAGTGGGAAATAACCAGAAAAACACTTAAAAGAAGATAAGCCACGATTATTTTCTAGCTAGCCCCTATGATCGTATCATTTTGAAAACGTTTTTATTTGTTTGTTTGTTCTTTTTTTTTGTCTCGGTTGTTCAGTTTGTCCTCCACGCAATCACGCATATTCATTTCTGTTTGAAAACGGATATGGATACCTCTTACGCTTGAAGAGAAGCCCATCTCCTGCCCTCAATCACGTGCACTTCATGTTTTCTCTTAACTTAATTCTTGGAAATAGCTGTTTGTTGAGAAAAAGTGGTTCCACCAAGTGTTTTTTTTCGTCCTGGTCTAACCAGATTTCATGTGTTTGATTTAGGTCCCGTTTATTAAAAAGTTGGCTCGGATAGAAGGATGACCCGCTTAGCCGCATGGTCACCATTTTAACCGAGCCAACTATTTTCCATATTAATACTTTTGCTCGCCCAGTCGGGTCGACTAGGTCAAGGCACTGGTCAAGGCGTCACAATCAGGGCATGCGCGAGCGCTGTTGTCAGCTCTTGGCTCGGGCAAAGGGGTCTACTTTCCTCTCATCTCGCCCTCTTTCCCAGGACAAATTTTCTTCATAGAAACGAGGCCTAAGTTCATTGAAACCTATATCCACTTGGGAGTCAAGAGAACTAAAAATGGTGCCCCGCCTGTTGTCGTTCCCACATCTTTTTACCCTTTTTTTTCAGGGTGTTTTGGCGGAAGTTCTCTGATATAAAGGTAATAAGAAAAAACACGGTTATTGTAAAATCACTACAGGGCGTTTTCCACTTCACGATTATGCATATCGGTGACGCATCCGAGACGAGAACAATTACCTCATTCAGCACGTGGCGTGTTGCAAGGTCATTCGTAAGAGCGTCGCACGGGTCCTTTAAACGAAGAGACGGTAAGGTCATAGTTGAAAACAATAACATTTATTGCCATTCTAGTGCCATTACCTCACTTGGAGTCAAGTGACTTACAACTAATAAACAGTCTTCAAACAGCAATAAAAATGATGAAAAATCACCTGAGATATTTGCAAGAGCTACAATTATTTGTAGTGTGCCCTCCGATGTTAATTGTTATTATAAACTATTATGGCGAATGAGGTTTACAGGAGAAAACATCCATATATTAATGACTTTTCGTAACATCTTGATTCATACTGTCGTTATTTGACATTACATAAACGTACCTGGCCAAAGTCGAAATTATAACTTCTGGCAATTTACGCTGAGGCACCATGTATTTCTTTCCAAGCTCTTATTATAAGAAAACCGTATAACGATCATGTTATGTTAGAGAAAATATACACCTCTACCACAAACTAATTCAACAAAACTTTTTCAAGACCCTTTAAGGTGCAATTTGCAAGTGTACATACTGTTTTCAAGGTATTTTAAAAATCCTTAAACTGCATGGCTACCATTTAGTGACGCTCTAATGTTTATGCGTACAGATAATGTTCTTCCTAATTACTGCACCGAGAAACTTATCTTACGATGTCAAATTTACTCCAGATGTACTTGACAGAGTACTGTCAGCTGAACATTCCTGGAGGCCATCGGACCAATGGTAAGCGGTCCTTTCCCTACCAAGGGTAGGTACTTAGATCAGCGATAATCTCAAACAGACTCAGTTTTATGATATATTTAACCCTTTTAGTCCCAAGAGTGACGAACATCAATTTTCTCCTAACAATATCCAAACATAGTTAAGAGGAAAGGTTATGATAATTAAAAAATTGATCATCAAAGAAAAATTCTTTGATCTTTTATCAAATTCTCTCAACTAATTATTTAAGGAAATGTTTGGAGATCAGTCTGGAGAATTTGTATGTGATTATTGGGACGTAAAGCTACTTCTTTCTGATCAATAATTGAATTCGGAAACAGCTAATCGTTTCCTATCATATCATTTAGTTTTTGTAAACTTTTTGATACATTTCTTTTACTTGTTCTTAATGAAGTAAGTATGTGTGCATTTATTTATGTATGTATTCTTTGACAGTTCAGTTTAAAGCGCCCAACTCTAATTCATTAGAGGAGCAAAGATAAATCCATTGAATGTAGATCAAACTTCTGAAGATATTCACTTTTTCAACGAACTACGAGGTATATATATAGTTGTAATAAGGTACAAAAGCGGAATGAGGGATTGCGTTTCACGATAACGTGTCACACAGTAACGCAATCCCTCATTCCGCTTTTGTACCTTATTACAACTATTTATATACCTCGTCGTTCATTTTGCTTATAATGCTTATTACCGCCAGTTTTGAAATGTACGGGTCATTCGTTAAGCCCGATAAGTGTGGTCATCTTCTGACCATACCAAACAGAACTTTAGCATTAAAAGAATTAAATATTCTGAAGTCTGATCTACATTCAATGAATTTATGTATGTATGTATGTATGTATGTATGTTTTCAAACTGAAAACAATATAGCTACACTTCCACATACTTTTCACAAAAATGGCTGAAATAAAATCAGCTTATAAATTAGACATTTTTTATACTGTTAAGGACTATTAATACTATTCATCCCCAATTAACGAAACTATTCTATCTTTGATTTTCTGAGTTGCTTTCCTTGCATTTGGAATAATATATCTCTCCGTCTCAGAGACATGAAGGTTTTCGCCATCGCTTGTTCCATATTTGAAGGTTATTAAGTCGGGATGCCGTCTTTTAGAAGTGATTTTTACTACAGAGGTCAGGTGATGTCTCTGTTGAATGTAAGCCCAGCCATCTCTCTTAGGAATCTCTCGTAAAATAAACATCTGAACGTCTGTAAGTAGAATGTAGCTGTAACAAAGAAAAGCAACAAAATAAGTGAGATATGGATTCAGAATATAAGCTGCCGATACCAGACTTATGTTGCGCTCTTTCATGGTCGCCCAGGAATAAGCGCAGTCGTCCGACTAAATGTCGCAGCTTGTAATGTGTAACTAATAAACTTTATCGTTAAGTCAAGGAGGTGCAACATAAAAACGTTATACTGTCCAGCGGAAGTAACACCAATGACCTCCTTAATACCGGGCGGGTGCTTCGCGTTCAAGAGTCATCGAGGCGCGAAGCGCTGAGTTGACTATTTTACTCTTAGAAAACGAGAGCGGTAGAAACCAACCAGCATACTACTCGACTCCAGAAAAACGTTTGTTTACATACACTGTGAGCAGAGGTTTCTTTCCGCTATAACTTTTAACATGTGTAGAGTCGTAGCGAATGTCAGCGACGTGAACCACTTTGTAAATACCGAAAATGATGCCGAAAAAGAAACTTCTGCTAGCAGGGTATTGCTAACACAACTTGAATTACGAAAATATTGTTTGTTTGTCACAAATATACAACTTTTATAAAATTAAATTTTAATTTTTTTCTAACCACTAAAAATGTTCATTCCGTATTTTGTGACAGCTTCAGCATTTTTCTGGGATAGCATTTATCATGAATTAGTCTATCTACTTCTTTCTCCAAAACATTGCCAAAACTATGTAGTTGAATAAACTGCAATTGTTCGTTCCAAAAGCCAGCTACTCGCCAGCTATCACGGAATAGATAAAGAGTACGTTGGCCAATTAGATTGCAGAATTCGTGATAGTATGGTAGTAATCTGAATTGCCGGTATGGGTTATGATTACTACGATTAACTATTGGAGTTTGTTAAACGCAGATTTGTTAGACACCGGTAAATCTCTGTTTTCTTTCATCAGTGCCTACAAAAACCACTGGAAAATCACCTTTTTGAAGTCTTGTTCTTTCTTTTAAATGTTTAATTTCAATTTTTTATAATATATTCAAATGTGACGTGCCCGAATGGGCTCTGAGTCAATAGCCCATGAGGCCGAAGACCGAATGGGCTATTGACTCAGAACCCATAACGGCGAGAGGAATAATTAGTTTAGTAAAATCCAACTAGTTGGTCAAAAATATCGAGAATAAAGAAATTTTAGCTAGTTAAAGCCAGACTTTAATCCTTTTTTTCCGCCAAAAAGCGCGCGCTTTTCGCTACTAGTGGGATATAACATATAGCCAAGTAGTAGCTCAACCAATCAGAAGGCAGCATCGATAATAGACCACTAGTTGGATTTTAATAATTTGGAATAGATTTTTGGCGACTGAGATGAAGTTAGTTATTTGCATTGCACAAACATAACAGGCAAGAAATCTAACTGGACGGAGACAAACCAATTGGTCATATAAAAGCGTAACCCAGGAGTTGAACACGAGAATACAGAGAACAAATCCGTCGAGCGGTTAGGATGCGGCTTGAACTCGCGACGCGAGACTAGAGCTCGACTAACTCGGCCACGGGACAGTTAGTGAGTGAATGACTCTGTCATGAGCCGGGAGGCACGGACAAGAACTACCATTTGTAAATTCTTGCAGCTGTTTTTGTTGCGATTATTGATTTAGTAAATTGATTTTTTTAGTCAATGTTATTTACAAGTAATGACATATGGCTGCGAGACATGGGCATTGAACAACACTATGATGGATAGGCTTGCGGTCGCAAGGCGTAAGATGGAATGCATCATGCTAGGCATTACCCTTCGAGATCGAAAGTGAAACACCTGGATCCGTCAAGAAACTGGCGTAAGCGATATCATCAACGCTATCAGGAAAGCAAAGCATAGATGAGCAAGTCACATCGCTTGGATATGTGATAACCGTTGGACAATCAGAGCAACAGAGTGACCCCCAAGAGATTCGACCAGAAAACAGGGTCGTCCAAAAACAAGATGGAGAGACGATCTCACCAGACAGTTTGGACCCGTATGGTGAAGATTAGCCAAGCTCTGCAGACACCTGTGGGATCAATCCAGGGATGGGGTTCCTCCGTCAAGAGTGAATACAAACCCTGATGATGATGATGGTGATGATTTACTTTTTCCTAAACCATCTGTAATACTACTAGTACCAGAGAACAAGGGACAGTCCGTTAGGTCGGAAGAAAAGGCGCGCCTTTTCTCCCGACCCAAGTGGCCTTCACTGGGTCTCTGACGATGATAGTACCATGAATACATCTAGACTGTTTACAGTCCCCTATTTTTCCGTAAGATCGTCGAAATCGAGCGCTTTGGGTTGCAGGCGGCCATCTTGGATGCGATGAGTGTCAAATCTACTTAGGGAGCGGGGGACGCCCCAACCCCCATGCTCTCGGTACATATAAACCGAGACGGCCGCCCCTACGGATAAGCGCTCGATCCTGACGATCTTACGGAAAAATAGAGGACTGTGAACAGTCAGCCAATTATCGTTTTCACTTAACTGACATGTTAAAAGATGATTTACCTTGGTGCTAGGAAGCCATTGCGCAGAATTTGATTACATTTATAGGATGATACAACATCCTTGCGTTGAAGCCATGTATTAATGTTTACTGCCTCCTTTCGTGACTCCTCCTCTGAACTGGCACTGTAATTATCTACATCAAAACAACACTTCAAGTTATACAAAAGCCTACTGAAAATGAACCGTTTATCCAAGATAAAAGTTGTTTCATTTTCTTTTGGTAAAACAATGTTTTACTAAACTAAGGCACTTCAATGTACTGGCTACAGCTATAACAACCCTAATTCTGGGTATTTTGTCAACAGTTCCAAACGGTTCAATTTTAAAAGCTCAAATTTGGCAGGGAACCATACGTTTCTATTTTTATTGTAAAATTGAGCTTCACGTAGTTATCGTGGAAGTAGTCAGAAAGCTTGCATGTGCAGGGCTGCAAATAACAGTCGGTCATCGGATATTGGCCGACAAAAATTGGTTAGTGCTACGCAGGCTAGCTCGTGGCCGGATCTTCAAAAAATCTTCGATCCTTTTGGACAATCCAGTTCAGTCGAATCAAGGAATCAAGGGTCTCCCCCCTTAAGCAAGTAGAAATATAATATTATGTTCTTGTTGTCATTGTTTCTGTACGAACAAAAATATATTTAATGCTTTAAATTCTGGTGTTAAAACCTTAACTGTCTTTTCTTGAAGTTTTTTAAAAGTGGCATACCACGTAATCAAGAGAAAGGATTTAGAAACGTGTTAGAAACGCTTTGCGCTTTTTGAAAACGATATGGTTTCATCGTTCGTGTAGATAGGTTTTCAGATGGCTCGCATGGCTCGCTGCCATGGCTCGCATGGCTCGCTGCCATGGCTCGCATGGCTCGCATGGCTCGCTTGTATGACTCGCATGGCTCGCATGGCTCGCTGGCTCGCACTCTATCCAAACTCATATTTTAAGGATATAAAGTATAGCATTTTTTTGGTGATGTGCGACTGTGTCTGTATGTACGACACGCTTCTCAATACTCCAGTACAATGCTAGAACTCGTATAAGGGAGGGTAGATCAATGCTTTCATGTAAAGTTCATCAAATGTTTTGGGGGAATTAAGTAACATATACAAGACCATGGTGCGTTGCTGGCTATCAACAAACTCAAGTCAGTCAATGAGCTTCGTCTCTCAACCTCTCTCACTACATAACTTGAATATACATGTAATAACGTACCGCCTTCATCATCCTCATCATCAATACTGAAAACTGGCTGCACATTTCTGTAGAGTTTGCTTTGTTTATCTTTATCACTAACATGTCTGTTCAAAGAAATACAATTTACTTCAAAATACCGTCAGACCAAAATGAATCTTCCAGACAAGAAACCATGCATTTATAGCAAAACACTGTGTGCAACAAACATTGTTATTTATTCAAAATAACGGGCTAACGTTGACAAGAGTAACTAAGGTGAATATGGAGGTAACGGTACAATCAGTCAAAGCTGATTTGACCTGCTTCCTTAAAAAACTTGCGTCTAACAAGCAATCATAACGGTTGTAACGAAAGCACTAATGAACGAAGGACACTGAGCAGTAACTAAAGCATTTACAAAATCACAGACTACAAAACGGCAAAATGCAAGGCCGAACTTACTACATGACTTACCTTTCTACAGGGTGATGAGAGTCAGCTATGTACTTTCCTATCTTTTCTCTTACATGCGTCCCAGATTTTATAGCTGACGATAGCATGCTGACTAGGCCACCCTGCAGTACATAACAAGCACAATAAAATTAAGGCTAACAGAAGGTGTTTTTAAATGACATACAAGAAAAAATCTTGCATTTACCTATACCTAAAGGCCCAATACAACTTCCAAGGATGAAAGAGATTAAAATTATCTCCGACATTCTCAGCCATAATAGTTAATTCTGAACTATTTTGGCGTTACCCTCAAAGTAAACTTTCAAAAGGGTTTAGTAGATAAACAGCATAGTATTGTTAGGCTGTTATAAACTAAGCTTTGAAGTGTTTTGCTTGCCTTTTGCAAACTTCTCTCATTTGATCACGGCTATCTAATTATTACTAGTATATTTTGAATTAAAGCACTTACTCTATATTCCCCAGGACTCTCTTCTCCTCTGGAAAGCTCATGAAAGCTCTGGAGATAAAGGGGAATCCAATCTGGTCAGTCTGCTTGATAAAATACCAGTTACTTTCAAATTAAGTGGGTGGCACAGGAGTCAAATCAGGAGTCGTTAGAATTTAAATTTTTTCACTCTGAATGTCTTCTTTTTCTTCCCAATGATAAACAAAAAAGATACTCCTCTATTATAGAACTTTCATACTTTATTCTGGTGACAAAGGTTTGCAGAGATGACATATTCGTTGTATGGAACTGATTAGAATTTACACTAACCTCGCCTTCTGAAAAACACTCTGGATTACACACAATACAAGTGTTGGGTGTGTGGTCTGCCAGTCCAGAAGACAAATCATCAGATAAAAGATCATGCAACGCTGAAAATATACGAAAAACTCATAATATACCTGATACATCCAATGCACATATCCACCAGGAGTGGGTGTAATAAGGCCAGAAATTTTGCCTTAGGTTTGTTGGCAAGTATTGGTTCGGTTGTTAACTATATAATTTACGACAAGACCCTGCTATTAACCATAGAGAAAAATATCTTGTAAACACAGATTCATTAATAAGTACTGAGTATTATTTTGAAAGAGGAGTATCTGAGTACATACATCACAAAAATAATATTGAGTAAAAAAGACCCTTCTCTATGTAAGGCACTCACTAGTATAATAGGTGAAGTGAACAATCAAGCAAATTTGGTGTTCTGATTGACTACCTGGCACGCCCTTTTTGTTTGCTCTGGATTCCACACTTCATCCCACAAGAAAGGACAAACCTTATCAAAGTTAATTTGTTCAGTCAAAATGAATGAATATTGAAGTCAGTATTTCTTGTATCTTTATGGACCAAGATGATTTCAGGCCATAAAAATACAAAAGACAACAACAACTTAGCCATCACTGAACAATCTTAACATCACATTTTATCAGTACCATTATTGTCAAACTCAGAAAACGGTCACCACCTGAAACATTACAGGAACATTTTATTTTGTAGTGACCAATCACAATAATCGCAAACCTCAAAACCAAAAACTAATGACTGTCACTGTTTGCGGTTAAGTTTTATAACAGCTTATTGGCTTTCTCCGTGCAACACAAGTGCATTCCATAAAATAATGTTTATGGCGTTGATGGTTTTGTGAGTTTCACAGTAATAATTATTATTAAAATATATATTTTGTTGCATACCTAGGTAACCACCACAGGCAATGCTCACATATTTCGATTTTTTCTGAAAACAAGAATAGGAACAAACAATTCCCTTCATTACCATTCGCTCAAAAATCTTCTTCATATCTGATTAGCTTAAGTTTTTCTTATACAGTTCAATAAATTGCTGTTGGACAACTGACGTAATGCAATGCCAGTGGAATGGCAGCTTGGCTGTTTTGGATGTATAGACCTCACAAAAATGACAGAAGATTTCACAGGCTATGTGAAGACAATAAGTTGAATTACTGCCTCAAAAAGATTTCACAAAAATACCACTCAACAACATTAATATCAACTTCTATTGGAATATCTTAAAGAAATAAAACACAGCCATGCCATATTTCGCATGGCACTTCTAGTTACCTGAAGAAAGTTAGCAATGACCATGTGAACGTACTGATCTTCTTCTTCCCGACCAGAGCCCATAAAACAGAGATGTTCCCCACTTGCAGCAGAGCCTGCCTCAATAGACTGTTTTTGAGTGGCAAACAATGCATTGGCAGCAGTGGCGAATTCTGATGGAGCTTGCAACATCTGTGATGAAAAGCAAGCAATGTATCATTGAAGAACAAGCAATATCTACCATATTATTAGAAGGAAAAAGGAAGAAATGCACTTACCAGGTTTGCATCTAAGTGAAAAGCGGTGGGAAGGTGACCACTGTTGTACTGATCAGCAGGCCTGCAGTCAACTACAAAGAATCGAACACCATCCTTCTGGATAAAGTAATAAATAAAAAATTCCAAATTTATATCTTTAATCATAATAATATGTTAGCGACCTTTAGAATCAGAGACCTTTGGAATTTAAGACAAGAACAACTACAAGTATGAGATTTGCACGATACTAACTTAAGTAAGTAGTGCTAGGGCATGAACCATCGTCATTTTGGCAGGAAACCATGATATCCATCATCATTCTTCTATGTGTTTCAGCGAGAGTGTCATAGTGGCAGAAATGAGTTATCAAGTGTTAGAAGTTTTATCAATATGCTATCAGAAGAGGGCTTAGCCTCCTTTAATAAAGATAACAGTGCTAACTTTTCTGGTAAATGAAAGTGAAATGAAGCTTTCCAAGGAATCTATTTAACGAGAATGTGCAAAAATTTTAAGTCAACATCCTGATAAGTGTAGTCGTTCTTGTCCTCAAATCTAAAGGTCTCTATTTATGACATTAACATCACAGCTCATTCAAAAGGGCACATTAAGCCAGAATTTTAGCATTTGCATGGGGTATGTGCACTTGTACTGTGGTATTATGACCTTAAATCACCAAAAACAAAAGGTAATAGCAAAAAAAACCAAGATAGAACTTACCCTGTCAGACTGATTGACTTCAACCAGTTCAGATACAGAAACTGGTAAACAGAGAGCTTGGGAAATACTACTGGAAGTGATTGTTTTGATACCAAATAGCTGGTTGTAATAATCCTGAAAGATAAAACACTGTCTTAATATCAGGGGCACCCAACGACTGTTTTCTGTAAAATGTCTGTTCCAAGAAGCAAATATGGCCTAGCATTTTCTGTTGCTTGAGATGGGCTTAAAATTTCTAGATGACCGCTCCATTCATGTACCATTTTCGAAGCTTATCTGATTAATTCCCTGTGATTTTCTGACGTTTAATTTTTCACATTTCACTCCCCAGGTTTGCCTATTTTTGTAGAAACAGGAAACCTAAAATTTTCGAATTCAACAATGTGATGGAGAGAGGAATCAGAAAAATTCTCACTTTCATAAAACAATAATTTGCATCTAAAATTTTGGGGAAAATAATACTGAAGTCCTTGCAATTTCGAAAAGTTAAGTTCCCCTTGGATGACCAAACAGATACAAATTTTATAGTGCAGCCTAGAATGCATATCTAGATATCTAAAAGTGCTCTGGATAGTCTAAAAAGTGTTTTCAATGTATTTAGGAGGAGACGGCCTTTCGGTGCCAATATGCAACCTACACCTGTAAAATTCTGCAGTACACTTTTTGTAGGCAACTGAATAGACAGAAAAATATATTTGCTATAAACTACAATTACTCATTTTAAGAAAAAAATATTATAAACCTTCTGAAAGTTGTAAGACATTCTTACTGTCTTATTCTAGTATCATTCATCTTCACAAATAACAGTAAGTCTATGAAGTTAAGTATCAAGTTTATGACAATTATGCTTTTGTAAGCACATACACTGTAAATAAAAAAATACAAACAGACTATTCTATAAACATTCTATAATAACCATTTTTGGTTTTTGGAAAAATAGCAACAATGTTTATTAGCAATTTATCGTTTCTTGATGCTATCTGTTATCTTTCTGCTGTGACTGATACTGTATGTGATAGATCACGATTAAAAGTTAGCCTGTATTTGTACTGCACTTGACCAAAACTTTGACATCCCAAGAAGGAGGTATGCAAAAAAGTCGTCAATATGCAACAAATGGTAGTATACTTCTGTAAAGAGTGCAACCAAGCTGAAGTAAATACCACTTTCATTCAAATATTTTAACTACCCTTATAATTTCTCTGTATATGGATCTCTACGATAGTCAGACACCATGATCATGATACCTTTCTAAAAGATTGTGGTGTCCTGGAAGCATAATATTGAGCTAATGAATAGAAGTCCTCAATGTCATCTTCCTCCAGTTGTAAAAGAGCTGAAGAAATTGTTTCTTAAACAGCAGAAAAACAGAACAAAGTGTTGTTAAGCTATTGACACCAACAAGATCCTAAACTCAGGAGTGGATCCGGGGAATAGAAATTCCAATAATGTGAGCATGAGGTTCTACTGGAATCCGTTTATTGAACTGCAGCCCAAGAAATCTGAAGGGGTAAGCTCTGATAAAGTCCTAGATTCTCGTTCCAATTTGTGTGGTACAGTGTATATGCTAGTGAATATGTTTGTGTTGAGTTTTGTGTTAGTACATGAAGATAAAATGTGTGTCTTCTCCCTTAAAAGAGTATTCATTCATGTGACTAGTGTGTGTGGCATTCTCAGCACATTAAAATCCTCCACACCCCTGTGTATGGACTTAGTAAAAACAACAACAATAACAACGGATATTAAGAAAAAGTAAAAATAAACAGTCTTGTGACTTCTTCCTCAATATAAACAATAGCTTTCTCCTATAAATATTCTTCCATAATTTCTAACAGAATTGATGAATTATATCATAACCTAGAGTATTCCTTATTATAATTGATCAAAAAAAATAATCATACCTTGTTCACAACTTACCTAATAATTCTGTTTTGCTTTCATGTATCATCTCAAACAGCATATCTCTAAAAAGCAATTTTTTTAAAAAAGGACATTGAAAAAGAGACTTTGTAAGTACTTTTAACTATGATTTTTTTTTATTTTGATGAGAATTTTTACTGTAGAGCTTTTATAACAGAAATCACAAAAAGCTATATATATGTAGCAAGAAGAATTCTTTGGAATGTTTGGAATGTTGTCTTTCATATGATTTGAAGAATTGTACAGATCTTGGAGGCTGTCATACACTATAGCCATAACACCCTCTTCAATCTGCATAATTCCTCAGATTATAACTACATGTAGCTTCATCCAATAATTGAACGGCAGCAAGCAAACTATGTATGTGACAATATTTGGTCCTGAAAACCCAAATAGCTGAGAATGAGCTGAACCTTCAATTAAACAAATAAACAAGGGTCTCTAGTTTGTTTTGCTTGATTCTACTTCACATTCAAGGAAACGCCCATGTAAAAAACCCAGGCTTTCCTATTGGTTTCTTTTGGAGATCATGCTTACTTTCACACCCGATTCAAGACAAAGAATACTTACGTTTTGGTTTAACCAGTGAATTATAAAATAAATAGCAAAACATTTTTTAATTTCCTCGAACACAATGAGTGTTTTCCACCATAAATACATGTACACCAATGCACCAGAGACCTTCAGTGGTCACTTGATCTTACATTGAATTTAGTAACTTAGTTTAAAACATACACACACATACACACACAAAGAAACCCTGTTTAAGGCTCAAAATAGTGAAATTGTGAGTTTCACTTAATAGTCCAAAGGTCTGGAAATACCACATACAGCATCAAGTACATGTTTGGAACAATCAAGGGAGTTCCCACCCACCAACCCCTAACCTTAAGGGAAAAAACCTTGCAAGTCTCAGCTTTTGAACTTTATCACATCTCACCTGCTATTTACCACCATGACAAGCATCAGAAAAAATACCAAAAAAGGGTCTGCTTCCAACAAGTACAAATCCCAAATGACGCGTAGAACTTCTGGTTCACATGCAACCATAAAAAGGCTACGTAGCTGAAAAACAAAAATCACACAGTGATATAAACCAGGTAGACTTGATAAATACAGGGTAGCCTATTTCATATCTCAAAGGCTGGTATCTAAAAGGGACCTGTATTTGCATGTTGTAGTTCAAAATAAAATTTAAGTCAAAATGGTTTATTTGTATGATTCTCTAATTCCTTTGTCTCCTAGCCTAATTAGTTAAGAATTACAATAATTTGGATCTAATTACTCATGAATATGAATAATGAGGGTTAGGAGACAAAAGAAATTGATGACATTAATTATTTAGATCATCAGGAATAAACAGGGTTAGGACACAAAGGAAACTGAGAATCAAACTGGGTTGAAAAACTTTAACCTGAATTTCATTTTAAACAATAACAGAATCACGTGGAAGTTTAACTGGTGTTGGTTGCAAGTACACCTGTACTGGTATTTTTCTGTACACGCATGTGTGAAAAAAGCTACAATTTGATGTAAATGATTGCACATTGTAAAAGAAACTTGATCAATATACCCCTTTGATACTGTGACTCAATGTTCACTTCCTTTGTACCCTGACATTACATTACACTACATTACATTATCAGGTGTGGTGTCATATAAGGATATTGTATATAGAATACTACTACTAGCTATTTCATTCAATACTGACCCATCGTTGACAGTACATATCAGGCCAAAGCTTCTTGGATTCCAAGAATGAGCATAGCTCTGGATCATGGTATTGTAATAAGAGTCTGAAGAGGTGAAATGGCTTTCCATCTCTTACACAGTCTCTACCAAAAACAATTAATAAATAAAGCACATTGAAAAAAAATTCATGAACCTCCTTTAAAATGCTTTTTGTAATTTTTAGTAAAGTTACTGTAGTAACTACCTGTGTTACCATAATCATCCCAGTCAAAAGGAGCCATCAGCCAGACATTTTACCAACTTCAGCAGGAATAATATTCAGCTATTTGCTCCCTCCTTTTCCGGATATCAAAGCTACCGGAATACTACAAAACACTTTAATGAGGCTGTGACTCTCAAAATCACTAACCTGCTAGCGCACAGGAAAAAAAATGATTGTTTGCATTTGAATTTTTGTTTAGCTAAAGCAACCATTCTCAGTGCCTTGTTTGTTCAAGAGATTATCCATTCCTTTTACAAAGACAATTAACAATGTTTCTCATTGTTCAAATGTTCTAAAACTGCCAGGATCGATCTCAATAGAAACTTCTCTGCATCCACTTAAAATATCATCAATATATCAGGGACCTTGTACTGAGTCTTTACCTGGGTATGTATTTGTAAAGCATTGCATAGAAACAGTTGTACACATCGTTCATAGGTAGATCTAAGGTCATCAAAGGTGCAAGCACTTCTGTTAACCCACTAGTGGAATGATATTTCTCATTCCGTGACTTGCAGTAGAAGGTGATAATACCTTCCATGTCTCTGGCAACCTCCTCTGCCTCATCTTCTGGCAGACGAAGTATAGCTGAAAACAACAAACAGCATAATGAAAATTAATTTAACGCTAACCAAGGCTGTGCTCTAGCAGTGCCCAAGGTCCCTGGCACCTAACGTTTACTCCCAGGCAACCAGAAAATCCCCGTCTTTGCAAAGAAAACATATGCTGGGCACCCTGGATTTTACAGGTTAAGAGTTTTTTTGTCATCATGGGTCAGTTTGCATTTCTGGATAGGAAGGAATGGGATAACTTTCCTAGACCCCAAGAGAGTTCAGAGAAAGGATAATTTGGCCTATTTTTGCCATGAAAGTGGGTAGATTTTCTGGTGTTATGGAATATAAACATATCAATAAAGGAGATCAATGTGCCTAAGGTCCTCGCTGGAAAAGTTACAAGCCCTATAAGTGAGTTTTAACTTTTCCTCATAAATTATAAATGACCAAACCGTATTCAATAACTCCAAAATGACCTTGCACAATTTTATGTTTCTACATAAGATCAGTAAATACATCTGAAATTAAAGCACCCTTACATGTATCTAATTTTAACAAGTTACGTTCACGGTGACTCGGTTTTTTAAAACGTGAACATTAAGAAAGCTTAAACGAGTTGCTGGTGTCAACACCTCAATGTTTATTACCTCAACGACATGACTTATTGCTACACTGCTAGGAAAAAACTGCACTTAAAGTTTTCAGTTACTATACAGTAAAGTAAGCTGCGAGCAATCAATGATAGATAAGGTGAACTCACTCGCTTGCTTGCGACAATCTTCACGAATCACATCCTGTTCATTTAAATCCAGTAATCCATCCCAACTTGATAGCGCGTCAGGTTTACCCACTACGTTTAAACAGACCTTCAAAAGTAAAGAAATGTTTCTCAATATCTAAAAATTTGTCAAGGATAGTCGTATTGGAGTTCAATTAACTTGTACCTTCCATACGTCCGCTCTATTTTCTGCTGGAATCTTCCTTCCTCGACACAGCTCACGCAATCTGTCGATGTCCTTTTGTTTTGACAGTGCCAAAACTAAATCTGTGTGCCTGCGAGAAGTCATAGGAGGAAATAGAAAGTTTCAAAAGGTATCCAAAATAAAGCTGATGATAAACATAAGGCTTAAAACCACTTCAATAGAAGTGTTTTGACGATTTTACCATCCTACATCGTCGATACCACCACCTTCCGCCATTTTGAAAACGTCATCATTGTCTGATGTCCCACAATTCTCTCCGAAATGACCCAGCAGAGGTGTAGGGACCGACAGGCACCCCAGACTCATATCGGCTTTCGGATCGGAAAGGGGTTCTAAATTCCGCTTTCTCGAAAAGATTCCAAATAAAAATGACTTACCTTTAGTTTGTGTTGTGTGTTTAACAGCAGTTCGTTCTAGAGCCATTTCGAAGCCGTCTTCAGTTCGCGTTAGATTTACATTTCACGACATTTCGAGTGCAACTCTAAACCTAAACTCGCCAAAACGAATTCGAAATGGCTCTAGAGGCAAACTTACTGTAAAACACACAGCACAAACGATAGAATAGAAAGGAACCTTACCTTTAGTGTGTCCGTTAGCTCGTTGCAAAGACTGCTGCTATCGCAACGATCGTCAAGTAAGAGTTGGGGTCAACCAGGCTTAAGATAAGGGAAAAAAACTAGAAACGACATGGTAAGGGGTTGGACATCGGGGCGGAGCCTCCCCGTATAAAACCTTTTTTAAACCGCCTCCGGGAAAAGTTCCATCTAAGAAGGGCGACATTGATTTGCTGTCTTCATTTAGCATGTTAACTGATCTTGCCCAGTTTTAACCTGAGATCAGGCGTTATTATTATTATTTTTTTGCTTGCTTCTTTGGCTCAAGAGGGAAAAAAGACATAAAGATCAGAGATAATAGGGAGAGGCATGATCTCAGGCTAGCCCAGTTTCATTGCCTTACCCTTTTATGTACCGGCATTTTTGGCCGAAAAGGTACCCCGTTCGTATACCTTCTATTGACAAATAGTACCCCTTTCGTATACCTAATTTAGAACTTTGCATCTCTTTTAACTGTCGTAAATGAACAGTCTTTAAGATGTAAATAAACCACAAAACCCAAACGGTTTCTCGACGTTTCACAGCCATAAAATGCATCTGTTAGCCCGAGGATTGGGCCTTTTTTACCGACCAAAAATGACAGATTTCCCTACCCTTTCACGCACTTCATCATCAAGTGAAATACGTACCTTTTCATATGCTTGAAGCCTGAAAAAGGTACCCCCTTTCCACGATGGGCATATAGGACGCCTAAAAGTGTATCCTAGGAACAGTTTTTGCATTTTTTTTATTCCCGGCGTTTGAGCTCAAACTTTTCAGGATGTCCTCGATGGAAGAACTTTGTATTCCAAAATATCGTAGTTTTTTTTTTCGATTTAAACGTTTTTTTGGCGGGAAAATGACGTCACAAGACACAGAGGACTGATCACGGCCTGTCTCATGATTCCACTTCAACTCAAAACAAAACAAAATATTTCAGAAGAGTACCGTTACAAAGTACCACTGCTACTGAGCCAGCCTTCGTTCTACCACATTTTCCCCGGCAGCGCTCCATGAACGTGGCATGAATACTTAAAGGAGCTGTGTCACGAAATTCAGTCAAATTAGTTAATTACAAAATGCCCGTTAAATCCAAGAGAAACATAAAAATAACTGCGTAAAACATTAAAGGAAGGTTAAAATAACATAACAGGACAACAGATGTCACGGATGGGCAAAACTGAAGAAGATTGAAACGGATTGAAATTAGGGTTTTTGAAAACTGTTCAGCCTAACAGTTTTTCAAAGTTTATCTCTGCTGTTTGTAACTTCAAAAATAATGCTCAGGAGACATACTTGTCTGTCCCGAATCTCTGACTTTGTAATTTACATGTAACATGTAATAGCGATTGAGGGCGAGTAATTGGCAAAATTAAACAAAATGAACTGGACTGCCGTGACACAGCCCCTTTAAGTAGAGGAGGTGGACGCCATCTTCGGAGACAGTCAGTTAGGTGGAAAGAAAAAGTGCGACGAAAGTTCTCAAGCATGGGTGAAAGAGCCCCAGCCCAAGCTTCAAACATTTCGTCGCGCCTCTTCTCCCCATCCAACTGACTGCCCAGGGGTCTCCGGCAGGTTAGCCGAGTGTCAAACTTTAGAGAACCGAGATTCAAAGAAATCATTCCACAACATGTCGCAAGGAAAAACTAACAATACATGAGGCAACTGGTTTACCAATCTAAATGATAAGCAAGGATAGATGGGGCTTGTTCTAAACAATCCAACCAATTCTAGTGCCACTGATGTTCTGACACGTGACATAGTTAAGGAGGTCCACCGAGTTCAGGCAAAATATATAGGTTTTTTTATAACCGATCCCCTTTCACGTTTCGATCCTTGATCCTGAAATTGTCAGGACATTTTGTGTCAATTTCTGCTGGAATTTTTCTACCCCATACTAAATTCCATTTAAGCGAATCAAAACTGCCACGATTTCTAAATACCAGAGAAAGCTCTCCTTATGTTTTCCTTTTCTTCTATTTTTCTTTTCTTGGAGAGGTGGGGGGAAGGGGCGGGTATTATACCCAAAGCTTCAGTTGTAAACATCCGTTGTTGTTGTTTCGTAATTGGGCTCATCTCAATTATTATTTGTGCTTAGTTGTAGACGATGGAATAAGATAAAGATTGTTGTAGTTAAAATAGTTTGCTGGCTAGTTTTTTGACGTTTTCGGTAATTTTGCAAACGCAAGACAGGTACTGAAACGTTCTCAAAGGTTTCAGGTCAATAAATAGTTTATTGATTTGGCGGATCCTTTCGTTAACGGAAAAGAGCTTTTATTTACAGTGCACTTGTCCAAGAAACGAGATCTCAAACGAAACGATCTCTGCACTTCAGTGAACTGTTCACCAAAGAATTCTCTATTTTTTAAGTTATGGGAGTGTCCAAGTCTAATCACCACGGAACATGTTTTTTCATTCTGGAGTCCGGTTAACGTCTTTTGTGAATCCATTTGGACTTTAATTTCCCGCTAGGACAAATACTAAGTGCAAAGGAGTCTGTTATACTCCGATATTAAACTTGACTTCCTGACAGTGTCCCAAGAACGAGCAGCAAAATGAAACCTAAAGAATTAAAAGAAAAATGGCCTCATAAATCAGAGAATATAAAGCGTTGAGGTGTCTCTGGAAGAGGTGATTATGACCGACTGCAGGTGCACGGGGGGTGCAAGGGTTTGCGCCCCGTTACGATCGATAGCTACAGTGTATACCCTTTCTTTTCGAAACTGCATAATTTGCGTATATAACTGCGATGGTCTTTCTTCAAATACTTCTTCACTCCGCAGTTCACATATATGATTTTCATATATTCATAATTCCATCATCATCCTTTCACGGGTTTATAACGAACCAATTCAACCACCTGCTCCCAGTTGGCTTGTTAGCTTAATTGGTAGAACGCTGCACCGGTATCGCAGAGGTCAAGGGTTCGAATCCCGTACAAGCCTGGCAGGCTTTCTTTTCGCAACTGCATAAGTTGCGTATATAACTGCGGCTTCAAATAAGTGTATACCCTTTATCAAGCCTTCTCGTCCTTTCTTCAGGTTCACGTTTTTACTGCTAGACCAGGCTCTAAAGGTAGGTGATTTACCGCAGGGTTTTTTGCACTCTAAAACATCCCAATCCCACATTTGAGAGAAAACGGTACTTTTCAGAACTCTTTCGCTAATTAATTACTGAACTATTTTTCATAGAAACGTAATTTTGAAGACGATTTCTGAGCTAAAATAGAAGTGAACGAATGAATAAAAGCAAACATGGCAACCGCAAGCTACCACCCGCGAATCTTAAGCCCCAAATATGGGCAGACGTAACCTGCGATCAGGGGTTAGGGCAGACGGATAACGTGAAATCGCTAACCGCAAACCGCAGTTTGCCGTTTGCCCCTGTCAAATGCGCCTTAAAAACGATTATGCCCTCCCCCTCCCCTAGAGGCCTACCAAGAGATTTACGGGAATCAATCTGATCAACGCTTGAGGCATATTCTATATAGCATCAAAATATTAAAACCAATAGCGTTTTTTAAAGGTTTATCACAGAAGGAGTAACTGTGGCACCGAGTCTTACCAGTTCCTCTCCGTCAGAGTGTGATGAGTTAGAAGGTGTCGGTGGACAGAAAAGATCTGCAAAAGATTTTAATATCACTTTAGAGTAAACCTCGATAAAACTGTGTCCGTTCAAAGGAATACACCACCTGTTCGTCATCCCAATCTATAGTAAATTGTGTGTACATTTGTATGGAATTATCACCGATATCAGTTTCCTGAATAGCGAAAAAGGAAGCAGTTCCGATTCAGAATGGCACCTTAAATCAATGACTCTTGGATTCTAAATCCAACTGTTAAAACTTTAAAATACTACTTTTGCAAAGTGGTAAGGGAGGACCTTTTTTAACAGCAGTGAAAAAAGAAAGCATTAAAGAAGGGACTAGAAGAAAAGACAAAGGCAACCCAACGCCTCCTTTAATTAAGAAATCAATCCTGCAGGTTACATCAGCAGAAGAGGGAGAGGGGCTTCTTCTCTAAATAACAAACAATGAATTTTCAACTCCTATCTAACTGCCTAAAATAAGCTCACAAAATGAAAGCATAAAAGTACCTGATTTCTAAGAGTCTGCAGCACCATCTCAAAGCTTGGATTTCCTTGATACGTCGGGGACTTGGTGCAGATTCCATTCCCTGGAAGAAGAATTATCCAAGTACTGACAGTAAGGAAAAAATCGTCCTGTTTTGGGTCACAGTCAATCAGTGATGCAAATGATGAAATTTCACTGGAAAATCATCGTTCGAGTTGTCTGATTGGATGAACAATTACATTCACACACGTCTATAGTCGTTTTTGTCTTCATTGTTTCAAAGAAAGCTCAGTACTCAAAGAATAAACAAGTAACTTCGTGGTTGGTTTGCTAGTAAGATTATTAATCATGAGTTCGCGATTCTTCACTACTCTTGAATAAAAATCGTACATGCTCACCAGCCATGAAGTGATCTCTATTTACTCCACATCAACACAAATAATTCGTCACATCCAGGGGTACAAAAAATGTGCAAAAACCTATCGTGGCTGTGCCGCTTGCTTTCACTCCCCTACAATACCGCCGGCTATATGCTGATTAAGACGTTACTGGTTGTCTCTAGATGAATGAGTATATGTGAATGTAGATACAATTTTTAAGAAGAGCAATTTCAAAAAATCTCTGCCTACCACAGAAACCTTTCTGTAGCAAATACAAAGATGTGCTCCACAATAACAAATTTGTCAACTTACGAGACCGCGAACACAATTTAATGTCAAGTTAAAATCTAAACCCTACTTTTGGCTTGTAATACAGACCAGAGTTGTTTGCCAGTTTTACCTGCATGCCGCTGATATAATGGAACTAAGAAGATATTCATATCATCACAAGACGTCAGAAGAGTTCTGTAAGGCATCAGGCTGCTACTCAACAGTGAAATTCCACCTAAAATAAAGGATATTTCGAAACGTTTCATACTGAGGTGAGTCTAGCCACCAATTCAGTTAATCCAGGAAAAACCGCCAGAAAAGCTACAATGTTCTAACATAAAATACAAATCATGAGTTGGGAGGGGTTGAAAGCCACATTACATTTATAGAAGGTAAATCCTCAGGGAATGCAGGTTAGGGATTTCATTGCCTAAGCAGTTGAATAACCTGCTCATCTCTTCCTCATTTACCGACTGTTTCCTGGGTTTTTACCACACAAATACATATGGGGAGCATTTTCAATCACCCTAAGCACCACATTTTCCCACTGAAAAAGTCTTTTACTTGATACAAAGCAAAAAAAGCACCTAAAAGTTGTTATGTTTTAAAATACGGACAATTTTAAGCAGCTATAATGCATTCAAGTAAAGTACCCTTCGATTTTCACTTATCAATTGCATTCAATTGGAAAATTATGAGGATTTCTCTAAGGTTAACAGAATCACACAGTAATTTCCCAAATGCACACAAGGATTTAAAATAAGGAGCCAAGGACCCAGTTCAGTTCAGTTCAGTTCAGGCCCTGTGCTTCTCTCATGCTGAACGTAATAATCCACAGCAGCAGGATTGGATCGGTTAGTAGGGCGCTTGATTGCAGAGCGTGAGGTCCTGGGTCCGATTCTAGGGACCGGAACAGTACTCGGGATTTTAAAATAACTGAGAAATGAAGGTACTACGTTTCCCCTGTAAACAGCTAGACCTTCGCGTGGCTGGCATGACCACGTAAAATGGTGGTCATGTCTCCAGTAGGAGACGTAAAAATAGTGTCCTCCTCAGTTAGTACTTAAGTGCTAAATACATTGACATTCAAATAAAGTGCTTTTTACGCCGGGGGGGGGGGGGGGGTCCCACCTCCACGTAAACAGGCTCTTAGAATGACATGGCAAAAAGGCACGACGTTTCAATCACTGCCGTGCCACAAGCATGAAGCCCGGCGAAGCTGTTCCGCCAAAGCCAATCCAAAACTGACTTCGCCATGCTTCTGGCGTGCTTAAGTAAAACTTAATTCAACACAGCACGGCAGAAGGCTAAAAAGCACAATATATAAACTGGGCCTAACAGCCTTTTGTAAATTAACTAATTCACCCCTGAATCGCCAGTAACCAACTGTGCGGATCCACGTCCCTTTAACCGCTTGTGACGTCATCGGTTTTAACGGTCAAGGACAACTAACTAACTTGTGCGGGGTGAAGAACCATACCAGAATGAGTACGATTCAGTCAAGGAGGCCGAAGAAAATGGGAAAAAACCATGTAACCTTTACTTTCATCTAATAATCCTAAGATCCTAAAAGCTTTCCTAGAAACGTTTTCCACCGAAATGACGCCTATGAAATGCCCAGCAAAAGGAGAAAATGGGGCAAGATAAGTGAACATGAGGGTCAAAAGTGCTCTGTCATCTCGAAATTTTGCTTTCTGCGCATGCCCAAACTTTAAAAGTTAATATTTTGCATCTGGATCAGAAGGCCGCGAAGGGTACGACCTATTATTGCCAGTGACCAGAAAACGGTTGGACTAGCTTTAAAACGCGTTTTTCGGCAAAATTCCCAGGACCAAATGGGTTAGATGAGATGTAGCCAACAAAACGGGACAAAAAGTAAAAGCAACAGTCAGCAAAAATCTGCGAAAGAGTTCTTTGTCTCATATTTCTGTATCTTCGATTGAACAAGAATTGAATGGCCAAGAAAAGTAATTATACTATCACGTACAGGGAAAATTCATTCAAGTAACACTAACTTGTCTCAAAATGTCAAAATGTTCCTCCCAAGCTGATGATATGATAGTTACACTTACTTTGTAGTTTTAGCCTGGAGTGTTGAAATAGAGTACTGGTCACAGCATGCATCGAGCTCAGGTTTTCGTGGTCAAAATCTTCTCTTGTGGATTTATTATATACAAACACTGAAAGTGAAAAGCATTCTCATAAAGATAACTTTTAGGATAAATAATAGAACACATTCAAAACATCTTGAACTGCACCCAACATAATTTAAAAAGTGTAGAGTCAAAATGATCCCATAGACAAAAGAATCATTATTTTTTTTTTTTAATAAATGTGCTCCATAACAAGAATACCGTACATGTAGTTTGATCAACCTAGTAAATTTTACAAGAGGCATTTTAAATCACAGGACTTATACGGCAACATGGAATCTGTTTGTTAAGTAGTTTCTGTCTTTAGTGCAGTTGCTTTAGTTTCCTGTAGTTGTTTGTTTAACACATTTTCATTTACACGCGCTACTGCCAACTTCAACAAACAACCGCAACTAGACCAATTTACAGCAACTTAAAAGCAACCACAACAACCACAAGCAGGGCGACTAAACCACGTACACCAAAGCAGAGAACTACAGCAACTACACGAACTACACCCATTCACCCTAGTCACCCTAATCACCATAATCTCCCTAGTCACAAGTTACTCCTGACACCCAAGTCACCTGTCGTGAAATATTTCCTTTAGCATTACGAGGCTCAAATCTCCTTTTAATTCATAACAGGCACTTTGAGCCCTTAAATGCGTAAGGGAAAGATTTAACTACAGTTTAAAAATTTCAGAATTTACAACGAGTTAACGGAAAACCACTCAAGTGTGACTGGGTGGCAAGAGTTGTTTTCCTCGTACAAATCCTTCTAATTTTCGGCGGCCGTTGCAATTGCCACTTTTGAGATATACGGCTGAAAATTTGTAGGTTACCTAATTTTAATATGCTTTTTCACCTCGTTTTAACAAAATTATTCGAAAGCGAACTGTTCTCGTGTTTACTGAAAGTTGATCACGTGATCAGTTAATGCAAAGGGCCTATTCCAGTGGCTCACATCAAATTCAAAGTTTTCACTAACCTATATTGGGGTAATTTTCGTCAGAATCCTCTGAGGAGCCTAAGCTGTTTAAGGAAAAAAGAAAACATGCACGGCAATCAATACAAAGCCTTTCTCTGATCAAATCAGCGCTACCCCAAGCTTGTGAGAAATGGATATTTTCTTTGCGACCTTTGTTGTTTTAGCGTCATCATAGCTTGAGAGCAAGCTCTCCATTTAAGAATCGCAGGATGAAAGGGTCTAAAAAATTGGACGTAAAGTTTAGCGTGTCTTTATCAGATATAAGTTATTAATGAGGTTTTGAATAAAAAATAAATTAGCTAAATTTGCATACAAACTCAAGTACAATAAGCTAAATTAGAACAGTATTGAATAGCTAAAATTTGAACGTTGATATAAAGGTTAGAAACACAGTTTACTCTCATATTTAACTAAACTAGGATACACTGTACACGAAACAGCACAACGTCTAGCAAACCACACAGCCATTTTTAAGACAATGCACACCTAGACCTAATATAAGTCTTATGGTGCTGAGTTCATCAACATTGATCACTTGATGGATAGCGTTTTCCTGAATATATGAGCAGTTCCAAGTAGGATGAGCCTCTAAAGCTTTTTATAACCCGTTGTTTCCGGTGATTTTATTGGTACAATTTTCCATCCCCTTCTTGATGAGCCCAAGGGCACCTATGACCGCTGGTATGGTTGTTGTTCTCATGCCCTAAACCCCCTCACGTCCTGATACTTGGATAGTTTCTCTGTTTGTTTCTCCATTGCTGGAGACCGACCTGACCTTTCAAACGATGTCCAGACACCTTAAGGTTGCTACTTTCACGGGCAGAAAAATAACACTAAAAGCTATTTAGAAATCACTAAAGTATTATACATTTTGTCTCTCTTCCAGATTCACAACTTGGATGTTACTTTTTTCCCTTTCTAGTACGTAGATGGCTCTTACCCGGATGATTCATGTGTTGCATGACCGGCAGATGAAGGCTTTAACATCTCAGCTGTTTTCAGAAGTCTGCAAAATAATAACAAACACATAGACACGTACATCATAAGAAGTATAAGATAATCATGAGCACTTTTCAACTGTATGTAGAAGGAGAGGGTTTATTAAAACTGCTTCATAAAACTGAAGTTGACACCTGTGGTGGGGTTTACAAAAACTCCACTTACAAAGAATTTTATGTGTTTGTTTTAAAGATAAAAGAAATGCCGCAATGTATTTTCAAGCAACCTCTCTGGAAATGTTCATTAAAAAAGGAAGCTTAACAAATTCCTACGAGACTTGTCCATTTCACCTTTTCAAAAACTTCTGATGAGAAGGACGAAATGCTAGCTAATCTCAATACAAGGGTGAGATTATTTTCCTTTCTTTTGCTCCTGTTGTTAAGGAAACTTAAACTTGCAAATGCGATATCAACGGGAAGCTCGTCTCCATCTCATCGAAACATAAAGGCGGTGCAAGACAAAGTAGACGAAGTAAGGTTTATTTCCAAAAATATCATGGAAAGCTGTACAATCACTAATGGCATAAAAAGACACGGAGAATTTTAATGCGACACTCTCATCAGTTTTCATGCCCGGCATTGAACTCGTTATTCTTTTACCATTATTCAGAGAAATCAGAATGGAAATTCAGAGGCTACAACCTACTGGTGTAATAAGGACAGGAAGAGCTCAACAAAACGAAACCTTAAGGAACAATAGCTTCTCAAAAATTCTTCAATCTTGTAAACTAAAATTATACCTTTGAATGGCCTATGAATAACAAGAGAGAGGCATAACTCGCAAAATGTAACCACTTGTTTTTGGCGAATTTTTCCCCTTCCTAAAACTTACTGGGAATGACAGAAAAAAATAACGAAAAAACAAAACACGTCAAAGAAAACAAATTTTCAAACCACGCAGTAAAAAATGTTAAGGAGACTTCTGTGACTACTTAACCAATATAGTAACAGTGTAGTACCTTACAACGTTGAGGTCTGTAAACCAATCTTGCACCACTAGAATCACATGACAGACAGTCAACAGAAATGTGACAATCTGTATAGACTAAAAAAAATAAAAATGAATAGCATCAGACTGATTAACATGGTACAACCAAGAACAGTTACTGTGATTAACATCCTTGGACAGTCTGAGTAGAGAATATATTACAATACGCGCAGTTCCAGACTATGACAATGGTTTGGCCTACTGAAAGTGCTGCAAAATAGCTGTTAGTAGATGAAGTGATTGCATGTAACATCAAGTCACGGGCCAGTTGCATAAATCTTAAAATAAGTCAAAACAGTAACATCAGCTAATGTCCACCGCAGACAAGCTTTTTATTTTAACAGAAGACATTACACTTAAGCGGGTCTCAGAAAATTTTGGCCCGATCTCGAAATTTCAGAAGCGTTTTTGATAGGTTTCGAATTCTCGTTTTAGGGTGATTTTTATGTCTCGGAGACTCCAATTTTTTTTTGTCCATGGGTCTTGGATTCTAGGATTTGTCGTTTTTTCTTTCGGTTTGGTCTTCATGAGTCGACTTTTTCAAAGTTCAGGGGAACACTTATCAAAGTGAGCTAGTAGATTAAAACGGTAAAACAAGACAAAGCAGTATATTGGTAGGCTTCCAATAGCTTCCATTGGCGTTATGGGTCATTTTATTTAGCTTTATTTGTACCATTATCACGAAATTTTCGACGCTAAGAGTTTCGGGCTCGGATTTTAGAAGTAATTAGTCTCGGGCCTGGAATTGATAAAAACGCTTGAGCGCTACTCTCGAATTTACCATTCTATAGCCCTATAAGACATTGAGTTAACATTAGTAACCACAATCTACTGAAAACCTTGAACCTTTGCGACAACTTATTACTGTATAAGTAAGGTAAGAGCTTCCATATAGTGGCCAAGGTTTTACAATAAATCGATTCATTTAATTAACACGAAGCTAATGAGACTGTACAATCATGAACGGCCTACCTGAATCTCATTGTAGTTTTCTGGAGAAGTGTATTCTGGAGGAATGTTGCGATCATGATGAATCAGGTGGTCCAATAATGCTGCACTCAGAAGTGGCTGGAGACAAGAAGCAGAAGAATATAATTAAGAAAATTACCAAATAATGCGATATTCGCAGAAAACGTTTCAAAAGACTGAAAATGTACGTAACAATAAATTTGCTTAGGTAAAACATTTCAGCAAAATTGAACCTTTTCTTGAAAAATGTCCTTAAAAGATTAGCATGCTCAACGTAATGGTCAGTTGCTTTCAAATATATCCTGTATATGTGCTCCAAACCAATAACCAAACTGTGAGGTATTTTAAAGTTTAGACCGTCTTTATGACCAATCACATTATTGGACATCAGGATTCAACACAAAGCCAATGACCCACAAACTAGTTACCATTGCTGCTTGTAGTATAATTATCTTATGCCTGATTGCTTTTTTCATTACAAAGCAAGTGCAAGTATGTAGAAAACACTACTCTTGCACCTTTAAAGCCAAACTTACTCTTAAAATGTGTAACCAAATGGCCCTTCTTGGGAATTGAAGATTTCTACGATTTCAGTTTCATGGGCAAAAGCAAAATATTCTTTACGATGGCTGTTACCTGTTAATACATCTTTGTATGTTCGTTAAAGCAAACTGAGGTCTTCAAGTCAAACCCATGGTCTTAAAATTAATATTGTGTCACTCCCCCATCAACAAGTTCCACTGTTTCTTTTGAAACTAGTTAACCTCTACTTGGAAATGCCTTATCTTCCTTTAATAAAGCTTTCAATCAAAAATGTGCTACATAACATTTCATGGTTACTAGAATTGACTAATATTCTCCTTCACTATTTTGTTCAATCATTTTCAGTTTCACTTTAGTTTAAAAAACATGGACATTCAGTATATTACATACAAGAAAAAATAGTAGAATAGTTGAAGGTTAAAGGTGATGTAAAATTGCATAAGTAACAAAATTAGAAATATTTTTCTGCTAAAGATAAAGCTCAAATTGAAACTGGGGGCCCCTATCTAACTTCAGATTAGAAATGCAATAACTGAGCAGCGTAGAAAACAAAACAAACTAAACAAGCAAAAAGCAGCAATAAAGGAACAAATAACAAGTGCAGTACATGTAGAGGTGAAGAATCAGTTATGGAGAAATGCTATCATTCCACCCTGCCAGATTCATATTGAATGCTGACCTGTTCATAAGTGGAAAAAGAGACAGGACATTTCAGCAGCATTACACTTGCACATAAATCTTACCTGAGTATCAAGCAGAATTACTCTTTCTTGAGTTACAGCCATGTCGATACCACGTGTCTGATAGGTTCCATCCTCCTGAAAAACAAATGCAGATGCTAATAATGATACATTCGAGGTCAACAAAAAAATCTGACAACGAGAAGACGGGAAGGAAGGAGAGTATGCTGTGCTGAACCTCCAAAGAATGTAAAAAAAATACCAGAATACTTATCAGAGAGATTTAGAATGACAGTTACAGCAAACGGCAAATGTGAAATGGTACTGTACTATGTGGCCAAGTTTTCTATTTACTTGTCATTTGCTATTCATTATTTATGCACGAGAATAACTTGTTTCTGATAATGTTCATCTGTCAGATACATTAATTTTGGACAATTTTTGTCTGTTCATTTCCTAATGTGAGAAATTCTCAACTTGGATCTCACGTTTGCATAACGTGACTCTAGATCTCTCCCCTCTAATATTGTAACATGTAAGTGAATTGAGGCGTGACGTAACAGGTCACAAAAGCAAAGTTAGTATTTGATAAACAACATTGTAATACTGATCTCTAGTGAAAATATCTTCTGTGCCTGCAAGTAGTTTCAAGTTATTTAGTTTTTGCCTTTATCCACTAATTTTACAACATAGTGTCAGGTAGTAGACATGGCAGCTTGTGGAACTGTGAGAAACTATTTATGAAAATCTAAGGACAAACTTTTTTCTGGTTGAGTTGAATCTTGTAGTGTTCATATTCACGGATGCCTTGTCCATTGAGGCTTCACACTAATGCTACTGATTTTCATGCAGTTTTAAATCTATCTTATTGTGAAAGGTAAAGATGATAAAGCAGACAAACTAAAGGTAAATTTGTTACTTCATTGTGCTAGACAAGAAGCTGTCAAGGAATACAGCCACTTAATTTATGTACACCGATAACAAAGAGAAAGATTGCAAACAAGACTCGCAAATTCAAGGAATAGTGTAAGGATGCTAGCTATAAATGTAATTTATGCACGACTAGTTAGACGATTGGAAATAACTTGCCGTTAACTTGCGAATTTGGCGCCCTTCAAGATTGGCTCATTTGAGATCTCATTGTGGGATGGGTTTGTCAGACAAATTGCAAGTGACACTGCTAAAGAAGCCAGATTTGACGCTGCAAACCGCTCATGGTTAATGCAGTACATTCGAGGAAGCTAAACTTCAGAAATACAAGCTTAACACACCAACATTTGTTGGTACAGAATGTTCACTAGAATTTCACCCTGCTTTATCATGATATGCACACACATTTTGGATCTGTTAAGCTGGATAGTGTCTCCGGTGCTTGAAAGAAATCTAGGAGTTTTTAAAATTACCCTCAAGATTACCCTAAAGGATGAACAGATCAAAGCAGACACTGGTGCAGAAGTTTCAGTCATTCCCTATGAACTGAGCAAGGAAATCCTCATAGTGAAGCTTACTCTGTGAGTTATCTAGACCTCGCAGGGAAGTTTAAAAAAAACCAGACAAACCTATTCCAAGAATTCAACCAACTTTAAAGGGGCAGTTGACGTCTAAAACCATTACAACTCAATACGAGAGTCGTGATAACTTGTTGTATCTTGTTGGTGATAGAAACTTTACACCATTGCAAGGTCGTGATGCTTGTCTAGACTTATAAGTGCTCATGTTTTATGAATGTGGAACTGATCAATACTCCAGAGTTAGAACCACCTGTGCAAGAAATGCCAAGGGTCTCCAAACTGATCCTTTGTTATGGGACTATGAAGATTGTTTGAGTGATAACCTGGTAAGCTACCAATTGGAACAAAGTACATAACTTTAGGAAGCTGATCTCTTAGTTCCTCCAGTAAAAATTCCACTTGCACTTCTTGTATCAGCACAAGAATAGCTCACACAGATGGAAGAAGATGGGAATATTATCAACGAAGAGGAACACTGCCCTTGGGTTTTACCTATGTTAGTGATTGACAAAAGGAACGTGAAAGAAAAGAGCACTCCACCCTCAAAGAATGATGTTCAAAGAGATTTGTATTGACCCAGGGCATCAACCTAAACAAAGCACATAATCCAATGGCCATGAAACAGGCAGTTGCTAACCGGCTTTCATGTGCTGTGAGTTTTGCCTACCTTGATGTATGCAGTGGGTATTGGCAGCTCCCAGTGGATGATGAAAACTCAAAGCTCTTGACATTAAACACTCCCTGGGGTCAATATCGATTTACAAGGCTCCCCTTTTATATCTCACTGGCCCCGGAAATCACCAAAGGGAGATGAACAAACCCTTTGAGGGGGTCCTGTGGAGATTATGGTGGAAGATTTCCTGATACATGTACATGGTGAAGATCAAACAGATGATGATTGTAAGTTATGACGAGTATTGGATAGGAGCAGGGAAGCAGAACTGAAGTTCAACCCTAAGAAAGAAAAACTTTGGGTTTCTGAAATAAGCTATGATGGACTTGTGTTTTCTGCTGACGGCTTGAACCAGACCCTAAAATCCAAGCACTCAGTGTCAGACAAGGTGTGCCTCAAATACTAGGGACAGTCAATTACCTCAACAAGTTCATTGAACAAAAGTTAATCTGCAGCAACTAATTCCACAACTTACCCAGAAAGATGTAGCAATTTGTGCAACAAGAGGCGTTTGATGAACTGAAGTCTGTCAACACTACTGCCCCTAGGTTGGCATACTCTGACAAGAGCAAAGAGAAGTTCTCAATAATGATTCCAATTGCACAGACCTTAGAACAGTGATCATAAAAAAGAGGAAACTGGTTGCTTTCAGTTCAGAGACAATGATTTCCTCTGGGAAGATATATAACAATATTGAAAGAAAGCTGGTAGCTGAAGTTTCACATGTGAACAGGCAGAGAGTTATTGAGACAGACCACAAACCAAATCCCTGAAAACCACTGAATGAGGCCCTTCCCAGACTACAGATTCACCAAGTGTGACCTTGAGGTACGATATGGCCCAGGAAAAAAGGTCATTTCAGACTGTCTTAACAGAGCACCTCCCAGAGAAACTGAACAAGACAGTGCAAGATATTTCAGGATTACCTTGGAAAGTTGTTTGAAGTGACCTGTTAGTAACTGACTTCTACTCAAGGTAATTTGAAGTAGAGCTACCAAACCATGTACAGGCACTTGTCTCATCAACAACTTGAAGAAAATATTTGGGAGGTACAGTACAGCAACAGACATTTGTACAAAATTAGTGCAAAAATCAGTATCAGATGGTAGGGTGATAAATGATCGATTTGAATGTTGACAGTAAGCCAAAGATGATTGAACAATTCTACTTTGAATTAAAGAGAAGGTTGGGTTCTCAGGACTAACTCTTTTTTTAACATTGACACAAGCATTTTCACAACTTTGCTTGAAGCTTGTGATCCCTGTCTTAGCAAGTGCATCTTTGCATGAAGTAAAAGGATAGATAATGGAGAGGGCACACTTCTGGATATTCTCCATGTCATTGGCAAGGTAGTTGGAGAGATTAGCAAAAGCAGCAGCTCCATATTCAAGTACAGATCTGACAAGTCAACAGTAGACAATAACAACATCATCTGGATGGACTCCACTCTTCTTAAGATTTCTCAGGGTGTAGAGCCTTCTGTTGGCTTTCTTGATAACATAATCGCAGTGAATAACCCATGGTGGATCTTTGGTAATGTGAACACCAAGCAACTTAAATGAATCAATGGGATTTGATATACATGCTAACAGTGGCAATGGGCTGCCACACACAACTGTTACAGCAAAGAAAGTTGACACTAAACTCTTTACATTTTTTGGGATTTAAACCTGTGGTGACAACCTTAGGCACAGAGGCCCATGATTGTTTTGCATGCACACCCCAACAATGGGTTACCATGTGAAATGTGTTTTTTGGCTTGTTCAGAGAAGAGTAGTTTCAAGTTATTATATCAGTTTTTGCCTTTCTCCAACTGATTTTACAACATTTAATTTTATCCTAAAACCTCAAATCACTTCCCTTTGCCTTTAGTATGGTCATGGAAGATTCAAGCAAAGAGAGCTTTTTTAAAAAATACATGTAAGAACATGATAGAACCACAACGTTTCAACATTTCCAGGTGCTCTTTGCATGGTTTGACTTGAGACAACTTAACATTCACGTTTGACAGTGTAGCAGTGAAAGCAAAGGTAACAATATAACTTGTGTTAGGCTAAAACTTTAAAATACTCACTTGTACTTGTCTTGTTTGCACAGGGAATAAGCATGACCTGCAGGTTAAAAAAGAAATTTTATATCTGCATCAGCAAAATGAGCATAAGAGGCAAAAAAAAGGCAGTGCCACTTTGAAAGAATATCCAAAATATCAATTTTTACAAACCTTGAAAAAGGTCCTGCTCCAGCTACCACTGAGAGAACAGTTGATTTACCAGCACCTTGGGGACCAATGACACCCACCACTAAGAAATCTGTCTGGTCAAGAAGCACCTAGATAGAAAATTTTAAATCAATAATATTGATTTACCTTCAGTTATAACACACACACACATATATATACATAGAGGATATTACATGGTGGCGCGAAGATATGTATTTTATTTTCGAGTGGCAAAACAATATTTTACGAACGAGCGCAGCGAGTGAGTAAAATATTGTTTTTGCCACGAGATGACATCAATAAAATAATAGAGGGAAATTATCAAAACTACGTCATCGATAAACTCACGTGTGAGATTATGGAAAATAAACCACTCGTGTCCCGGATGTAATTTTTATGAATTTTATGAGTGGTATATTTTCCACTAAAACACTCTTGTCTGTATAATAAATAAAGGAGATATTATTGGGAATTATTCCATAAAGACACAATAAGAAATTTAATTTGGGTAAAAACAGTGTTATTTTGTACGAATGTTTAACACCATTTTTGGCATGCTCAGAGACCCAGTGGCAGGTAATCAGGATGCTGGGATATTAGGGACAAAACCATTGAAGGTTAATGTAAAAAAAAATCTTGAATGCAGGAACTGCTTCTAGCTAGCTTCATGCCAGGAAATATTGAATTTTCTACTCCTAATTGGCAACAAGAAACATATCGCAGTGTAGTTAGAAAAATCTTTTTAACTAGATAATATTGAAAGTGAATTTTTGGCTAGGTATTTTGCTTGGGCTAGTTTGAGTCTGGGATTGAAACAACAATTTGTGCAATAATATTTTAAAGAAAAACAAGGAAATTTACAAATCATCTGTGTGGTCTATTGGACACACAGAAGAACAGTAAATAGCTTGTATTTAAAACGTCAGTCGGTACAGCCTAAATTCTCCTTTCTCATGACTTGTGTTTGTAATAGTATGAATTTTAGAGATTAGAGGGTGATAAAATGTGAGAAATTAAGAGGAAACAAAATAATAAATAAGTAATTACAATAAAATCCTTTTTAGACAGTTAATTACAAAGACCACAAACTGGATTTATTGCAACATACTATTGTTCCAACTCATCACCTCAACAAGACTTTCAATCCTAACTATTCAGAATTGTAATGTGCGGTATTCTCATTAATAATCAAGAGTTTAACATTGAAAAGACAAAGTATATCCTGTCTAACTTAATTGCAAATAGGAAGCAAATGGATGAGGAAGTGATCTGCTCAACAGTAGGACAGACTATACTATGAGCAAACAAAGGTGATGAAATAAAACATAAAAAATTCTATTTTTTTTCTCTTTTTCTTTTTTATTTTTCAGCTGCTTCCATTGATCACATAACTGTGAGAATCACATCCACACTTGACCAAAGAATTTTTAATTTACTTCACATGATTATTAAAGACAATCAAGGCTTTAGAGTCCAACTGCAGGGACACCTACAAAATTTTACTCTACTGTACATTACATGTATCACAGATGATGGCATACCTCTAAAGCACTATCATTCCACTGAAGGTTTTCATCCAGTAGTTTAACAAGTTGAGAAGTATTATTGGGTTTATGAAGACCAAGCTTAAGGGATGCCATATTAGCAGTGAGTCCTTCAACATTACCACTGGCTCCTACAAGAAAAAACGAAGTTTTTTTTCAATTTTCTGCGGTTCAGGCACCACAGCTACACTGCCATAAGTCAGCTAATAAAATTATAGTCACTTTACTTTTTTATATTTACTTAGGTTTGCCAATTTAGGTTCGCCTATTTTGGAAGGATCACAAGAGCGCTTGACACCAATTACTATGAGCCCACAACAGTCCCTCCGGCGTGAAAGATAGACCATCACATCTGGGGCTACATCCCCTACTCTTAACAAACAATGTGCAAGGGTTGTGAGAAGGGGCCAATGGTTTATCATCCTTATCCAAGAAGACTTGAAAGTTTAACTGTTTGCAGATGTCTAAATACAAAGACAACACTTTCTGCTCACTTTTAAAAATATTTTTTAGACCCTAAGTGTTAGTCTGGCCTGGGTTTGAACCAGTGACCTCCTGCTTGGCAAATGGGTGTTTATACCGGGGGGATTCAACATCCTTGACCTTCGCACTCTAGTCAGAAGCTCTAACCACTAACCTACTGAATGAAGACTCAATGGAAAGCAACTACTAACTTTTTCTGTGGGTTATGACATACAGGCTGCCTCACACAGTCATCCAGTCAATATTAATTACACAATCGCAAACAGCGCAACCCCACAACTAGAAAACCTCCCGCAACCAACACAACCGCCATAATGCTACAAGTACAACTCTCACAATATAAGCAACACAACTGCCTCAACCAGCACAATCCCACACCCAGCAGAATACTCTCAACCAGCACAAATAGCACAAATGCAACTAATACTATCCCACAACCAGCAGAACAACCACAACATTACCAACACAACTCCTACAAGCAGCACAAATCCCACAATGTCGGTCATTGTGACCCTTGTGGTCATTTTAATCTTTGTGACATAGTTGTGGTCGTTGTGATCATCATGGTCTTTGAGCTCCCATAGCTTTTGTGGTGCTCATGCTAGTTGAGGTCTGACAGGTCATCATGGTGCTGAAGGTCACTGTAGCCCCTGCAGTTGTGGTTTTTGTGGTAGTTGTGAGATCCTTGAGGTTGTTCTGATCGTCATGACTGTTTAATCTTTGTCATTTACTCTTTTTGGTCATCCTAGTCCTTGTGGTCTTTGTGGTCCTTGAGGACATTGTGATCCTTCTGGTTGATAGGGTTGCAAAGATAGTTGTGCCCCTTGCGGCTGTAGTGGCCGATGTGGTTGTTGTTCAAAGTGTGGTTGTGGTCCTTGTGGCTGTCGTGGTACTGGTAATTTTAAGTCCCTCTGGTTGTTGAGGTACATGTAATTGTGATTCTTCCAATCCAGTCATCATGTTCTGTTTCAAATGATTTAGGTCAGTGGAACTCCGGGGGGGTTTACTCTGCATATGAAGGGGGTGGGGATGCTCGTCAGAAATTTTGAATTAAACCCGTATGAAGGGACCGGGGATGGCATGGCCCAAAATTTTTTGACCCCTAAAAGAATTAAAAACACAGACAAATGAGAAAACTTGGATTATATCAATGGAGAAATAAAACCGATATCAAAATATGGCCCAATGTTTTTTTTTTACGTAAACCCTAAATGAGATCTTCACAGCTTTATCATGGCATTTTGCCCAGAACACCCTAAGGAGACCCCGAAATTTACACCCCCCCAAGCATCCCCACCGGTTTCATTTGCAGTTTAATGCTTTATAACTTTCAAGTTTAATACTTGTAACTGTCATTTGACACTTAGTTTATGTATTTTTATCAATGTAGATATAATCTTCACCTTCAGATGTGTAATTTTACTTCTTTTTTTGATTCCTTTTTTTCTTTCAGTTTATTTCTTTGATGTGCCTTTCTTGTATTTCTATTTATACACCAGTTATTATTTGGTTTATGGAACATTTATTTGACTGTATGGCTAACTTTTCATTTCAATTTTTGTTGTTAGAAACCTCTGACATTAAACTGGATTTTATGGAAAGTAAGTTGTGAAGTGCCGTCTAAATTAATTCAGAGCACAACTACATGTTTCATTATACCTTTTGCTTTACAATCAGTGCCTTAATTCTTTTCCTCAGCTGCTGATTTGACAGCAGGGTGAATCCTTGAAGAGAACTACAACATCAACATCTTTCATTGTCTGGATGATATTCACACCCTAGATTCTACTAATCCTTGGACTTACAAACACAACCTAGATTAATATATTGTGTTCACCTGATAGCTATTTAGGGATGAGGGCATCCCTCTACACCCAGACAAGCCACAGGGCCCCTCCACACCAATGACAGTGTTGGGTATTCCATTTAGAATCTTATTTGCTTCAGCTGCACTTAGCAGGATGTGCACTCGACAGGAAAAATTTGATGATGATCACTCCCTGCTAAACTACTGGACGCACAAATGGCATTACTCAGAGAAGGAGTCGGAATTTTTAGCTGGCAATCTACAGCGTGCCTGCAAAGTGCATGTGTAACCCCTTCTCGCCACATGTCTATCTAAAGAAGGTTGAATCTGCATCCAGCACTTCGCAGAGAAGACCATCCCATAAAATTTAGATCTATTGTGATGGCTTGAATTCTTTCAAAGTGGGAATGGGTATAGTTTTCTTTTTTTCCCTTCTCCACGGGCCCAAGTGCTGGACCTTCACTTCTCCAAGATGTTGCAGGTTCTGTCTTATGTGGAGCTAAATAATAGAGGCAGAGAGTGCTCTGTAGGAAGGCGGTCAGAAAAAATTTGACCACGTTCATACCCTGCTAAACTCCTAGTCAAACAAATGGCATTGAAACTGGCAAAATACAGCATGCCTGCAAAGCAGTCTCTTCTGATCACACTTTTCTCCAGCATAAGGTTTCTTTGAGCCATTCCCCCCCCTCCCTACCCTTTGTTGTTGTTGTTTTTTTTTCTCCACAGATATTCTTCAGTGTGACAGATGGCTTAACCTGAGATCAGGCCCAATTTTAGCGGTTCTCATACATTCTCTCTAACGGCTACCACTAAAATTGGGCCTGATACAGACTCTCCCACGTTTGTGCTCGTTACAGCCAGATTTTGGCCGTAACGCTGATTGGCTGTTAGAACAATGCCATAAGATCTGATTGGCTCTCGGAAACGCCGGAAGTTGAAAGCACTTATTCCTCGTGTGGTTGTTTTCGTGAATGATCCATCATCGGCAGAGAGAAGGATCAATTTTGCTGTCTTTTTAATTGTTTTATGGTCTTATGGTAGGAAAAGAAAATAGAGCCTGATCTCAGGTTACGGATGCCTGTGTGTGCATATGCGTGTGCGTGTGTTTTTTTTGTTTTGCTTTATGGAAGCCCCTGGACACCCCAGGCACCTACTGTAGCAATGCAGTTGTTAACACAAGAACTTGGCAATAACAGACCTGTAATATGATGCAAAAAATCCACACTTCAAGTAAACAATAATTTAAGAACATCAAGATTTGAGGTTGTTTAGGAAAATCTTTTTAAAGTTACATGGCTGTTTGCAGTTTTTATGCAAATTACATTCTGGGTCAAGACTTAACATGCTTGAGTATTGTCATGCATGTATATAGATACAACATTTAAATGACTATGGCAGAAATGCCAACCTCTGGAGATCTAAAATCTGGAGACTCTCTCTTTTTCACTACCCCCCCCGGAAATTCAATGAACTCCCTCCTCCCCCCCCCTTCCACAACCCCGACAAATGTGGCAATGACTTAGGACATTATATAAAGTCTTACATGAAGTACAAACTATCAAAATTCGCGATCAACGTTTCATTTGATGCCAGAAATAATCTTTGTCAGTGACTAAACAGGAGCAAAAATGCCCCAGAAACCGTACTACAAATAAGAAAAATTCAAGTTTTGAGCTAACATGGGCTAAATCTCAAACTAAGGCACAGAAAAGCTCAAAAGATGATTTTATCCGGGAGATATGATGACCCGTACGGGAGACCGGGATCGATTGGTGTCGTATCCGGGAGACTCCCAGATAATCCGGGAGGGTTGGCATGTATGCTATGGATAAACCCAAAACATGCAGCAAGTGTCAATTTTATGGTGAGCAAAACAATTTTCATTACCAGTAGTTGTGCTTGCTGTTGCTGCAGCTATACTGTGAGAATGGCCATGCCCAGTTCCTACTGATCTGTCTGGGCCTTGGCTTGTCGCTTGGTGATCTAGTAAAAGTGTTTTGCTTTGCACTGCTGGTTGCGCTGCATTTGGTCTTGTAACTCCTTCTTTTGGTGGTTCCCTTCAAACAAAAATCCAGTGATTAGTACACTTAGAATACAATACTACCAAATTGACTCTACATGTAATTACCACTAATTTTCTGCCTATAGTAATAAAGCAGACATAGATAGCATATAATTCATCCAAGCAAAATGTATCCAACAGATACATGTAATCAACAAACTGCAAATGTAAATCCAGATTAAACAAGCTCCACAAGTATTTTGGGCAAAAACTAAATTAAGCTAATCCAATTTCAAGAAAAAGTTTCATTTTTTTGTAAATGAAAATCAGATGAAGAAGTACAAATAATTATTATTATGCAACTATTAATAATGTGAATTGGTTTAGAACAGGCACTGTCTCACTGATTGGTTCAGAGAAAAGTCTAAATGAAGACTGAAAACAGAAGAGACATCCAGAAATCCAGAAATAAAACTATTATTATGTTATATAGCCCTTCCAATATGTAACTGATCTATAAATTATCTACTAATCTCTCAACAAAACTTTGAGCTACATTTGGCACATAAAAGAAACAAAGGGAAAAAGTTGGAATACAGGGAAGCAACAGTTCAGAAAACATTTAAAATGCAGGTTACTTTTCATAACTCCAGCAAACCTGGAAATTACTTTAATTGAATTTGCCTACAGAGCTTTTTTACAAGAGCTTGTTGTTTTTATACTTATGGATGAATAATTATTCATGAGTTCCTTGGTACTTAATTCTTTGCAAAGTGGGGTTACTTCATTAGTTAATATTATTTTGCTGAAATCTGCATCGCATTTGAATCACTAGAAGCAAATTGTGATTCCCTTTGTCTCCTAGCCCTAATTATCCATGAATTAGGGCTAAAAGACAAAGGAAATTGAGAATCACCCGAGAATAAAAAATTTTAACCTGAATTTAATTTTGACCCATAACATATGCACTCGTATACCTTGCCAGTAACTGTGCTCACATTGTGGGTGGCTCTGCCTAAATTAATGTTGAACACTTGGTATAGGATTTAATGGAGCCAAAAGCAATTGTGGAATTGCACATGATATACACATTGTAGGAATCCTACTGATGAACAGCTATGACTTTAGATATCTTGAGCAAACACAATTTGCTGTCTGTCCTCGCTGAACATATAATTTAACACATTGTATACAGATGTATAACAGGTTAATGTTTGCAGTTGCTTATCAACAAAACTTTGTGAAAACAAACTTAGCCCAATTGTTTCTGTGGCCATTTTAGCTGCCACATAATGCTTTTTGCGATGAATTTCAAGAGCAGAAGTCATTTAAAAGGAAAATTGGAAGCTATCTGGATCACCAGCTTCAAAATAAGGGCACCAGTAAAGTGTACAATTTAGGTAAAAGAACATTTTCCATTGCATCTCCCTTTACAGACCTGTTTGCTTCAGTTTGCTTTCTATTTGGTGGCAGAAATAATGTAAAAGATGCTTGCTATAGGCAAGTATAAAATAGGACAATGAAACAACAAAAAGGAAAAGAAAGAAAAAGCATGTCTTTATGACCGGATATTCACAGTGGGTCCTAACTCCACCCATCTGGCCAGTAGGCTTAACTTGGAGTTTCATGAGGTTTTGCAAGAAAGATACTTCTATTAGTAATTAATGTACATAAAAATATTACCTTGGCTTTATCAATATTTGTTTCACAGGCGTTTCTTGTCCCTAGTAAATTAAAAGCATTATGTACCAGAGATGTTGTACATGTATTATTACTGACTGTGAACAAAATGCTGCACACAATATACAGTAATGCATCATGTTATATATTATTATTACTATTATATTATTATTATTATAATTATTATTTCAAAGGCAGTAATGAGGGGGGGTCTCTTCACAAACAAAACTTTTCTATGATATTCCCTATATCCACCCCAACTGTTAATTAGCAAGAGTACAAATGTGGACTCTTCATTAAAAGAGAATTAGGCAGTGGGGAATTTCTGTCCAGAACTTTAGGGCAGTGGGGAATTTCTGTCCAGAACTTTAGTGCTGCATGTTGCAAAAAGATCAGAGACATATGATCAACGAGATTAGTGTTGGTCGACAAGTGACAAACTGTGTCAAAGAATACATGCATCTAAGTGATGGAAACTTAATTCATTGTATGATCGCACAGGAAAAAATAACGGATTCCCATTTTTGGATATTTTAGGGTATTTAATATCATTGTATCTTCATTGTAAGACATTTACACACAACCAAAAGGTTCAAAGTTTCCAACCAATTACCCACCCTGTGGGTTGAGCAGCCACTGACAAGTGTAAAATTAGTTTGAAAGGGGTATGATTTGTATTTGCTTTTTATTTATTCATCATCAGTAATAATTATTTCTTACAAGGTTGCCCATTGCATGAAGCATTAAGTGCATCAAAATGATAAAAGGTACATAAACTAAAATATTCATGCAAAATAAACCAAGCAATGTAAATGTTTCGCACTCCGTTGACAGCTATAATTAATTTTACTTTGTTGGCTTTCATTAGTGATAAAGCCAAGCACACAAAACTTCAAATTATTTAGCCAATAGTGACTTACTGTGCTTATCAAGCACTCTGTCATAGAAAATAGTGTGATTTAGACCTCACAGAAAATAGGAAAATAGTTCTCCCTAATCGGGATTACGCCTAACAGAATTGTAATCATTTTCATAATGATGCAGAAAGCTTGTCCATTTCATTTCAATTAATTCTGATTTTTAGCCTTTATACTAAGTCAGCCTAAATGACTTGTATACCATTATTCTCAGTTGACTTGTGGCTAACTGACTACTTGTACATGTAGGTGCAAGGTGGAAGTTACACCAAATAAACTAGTTCAAAACAAGTGGTGGGTTCCGTAGACAGTTTTTTCCTAGTATCTTCAAATTCAGTAGTAACCAAACTCGCAGTGCAAAACAGTATAATAATAATTACCCTGTCAGCCGTAGGCTTGGTAAGTATAATGGGAGTCTTCATTGGTGTCATTGATGCTGGTGACACCCCTGATGCACCATCACCTTTACCCTAGAATTAATAACAATAAATTCATGCATTTTGCTTTTATAAGAAAGCATTTCCAACAATGGCCAAATATCTCTACAGAATCTTATTTAAACATCTACAGGATATACTCACAAATTATAGATAAAAAAATGGGGTGTCGCTCAGAGCACAGGCCAGGATACCATTGGCATGTGGATTAAATTATGGTACTAGTGATTCCACCTGTGCAGATCACAGATCAGACAACCAAATTACAATTTAGGAAGGTAATCAAAGGCTAGTAAGTTCGACCCATGTTTTTACAATGATGGCGAAATATTCCTTTCTGTTCCTACTTGTCTCAGTGGAACAGCAACTTAACCACCCAGATTTAGGAAAGCCTGTCATTGGCCAAGTATTGTAATTTGGTTGTCTGAAGCAATCTGCACAGGCATCACTACTACTGTATTTTATCCACACGCCACTGGTATCCTGGTCCGCGCTCTGAGTGACACCCCATTTATCCATACATAAAGGGGAAAATGACTGACCCGAGGTCGATTCTTGTGCTTAAAACAAAAAATGGAAAACGGAAGTAGATTTTTGTTTTTTGTATTTTTGGCAAATAAAACAAAAAACGGAAAATGAAAGTACATAAAATGGAAACGGAGGCTGATTTTCGCTTTTTTGTACTAGTTTGTTAGTAAAATGGAAAATGAAAAAATAGAACTTGACTTTCTTTTTTCTTTTTTCCTTAGCCTAGAATTAAACTGAATGTCATTTCAAAAATTTTGGTAAATTTTGAAGATCTTTACATTTTTCTTACATATATAAATAGGTATGGATGATCTTAATTAAAAATTCAATAAAACGATGTGTTTTACATAAATTAAGATTTTGCATCGATAGAATTTTAAACAGGAAAAGGAAACTAAAAGATGGGATTAGCTTTTTCTATTTTTGAATGTAAAATAGACAATGTAAAATACTGAGTGGCAGGACACATTTTGTTCCTGACAAATTTTTAGGGGTGATGAATGGTCCATTAAAATTTTTAACTGCTCGCAAAATTTTACCTTTCCTCGATTTGCTCGCAAAATTTAAATGAGTGCTCGCTTGCTCGTGCTCCCAAAATTTTTGCAGTTGCGCGCATGCTCGCTTTCTTGTCAGTATTGCTCGAAATTGTGTAAATCCTTCTTTGGGTTAAAGTAAATGCAATTCTGTATGGTGCTTAATTCCTATAAATATGGCTATTAAAGTCAGTGGAAATGCACGCAATAAATGACAACGATAAATAATAAATTAGCTAATCTAGCTATATATGCTTATATATGGTTGTTATATATGGTTGTTCTTCTTGTGACCTTTGCTTTCTTATCCGTACGAACACACACGTGATGAAGTGAAGCGAAAATGTGAAGTCATTTGGCATCAAACACAACTGTAATTGGTTAGATCTTGATAAGGTGTCACTCAAACTAGCTTATAAGAACTTGGTGTGCTCTAAATTAAAACCCCGTTTTAAAATATTTTCTGTTTTATTTTAAAGAAAAGGATTTCCATATGGATTGCTGCAAGTGGAAAATATGAGAAGTGCTCACTGCTCGCAAAGCTAATTCTTTATCTCTGCTCTTGCTCGCAAAAAAATCGCAGTGCGCACAAAGACCATTTGTCACCCATATTTTTCTGTCAAGGCAGCATGGCATTCAAGTTGCCACCTTTTGCCATCACTTCTTAAAACATATTTTCATTTTGCAAAGTACAGATTTTCATTTTGTTTCATTTCATGTTGTTTTGCAAATTACAGTAAGCCATTTACACTGTAAAAAGGAAGGTATAAAATGTACCAGAAAGAATAAAAAAAAAATCCAGAGTTGTTGTTTTGATCATTAAATCAATATGTTTGTTTGTTTGTTTGTTTTTTTTCATGTGGTTATTACAGCATACAGGCCCTCAATCACCAGGTTTGGCAAGTGTGGTTTTCATATACACAACATATATTCAAAATTAATGTGACTTTTCACTTTCCACTTGAGATCAGTCTAGACTGTTGTCAAGCCAAAAGCTTATCATAATTTCTGAGATGTCCATCAAAGCTGGTTCTCTCGTCATTAAGGTTTTAAAATTATTCAACACTGAGACTTAAACATTTTTATCAAATCCAAGGCCAAGACTTTACTTTTAAAAAATCCGAGCCAAGGACTCTAAGTGCCAAAGATTTCGAGGTAATGGTACTAATAAAGCTAAGTAAAATGTCAGAAAATGCCAACAAAAGTGAGCAGTTTCACACCAATAGTACTGCTTCAGCTAATTAGCCTGACACCAAACCTTGCTTCTACTCAGATCAAGTACCATGTACAAAAAACACATTGTCAGTTAGCTAGGAAGGCTCATATATTACTGTAACAAGGCCTTTTTGAATACCAACAAGTTATTTGAGCTTGTGTAGCCTCCATGCGGCTTTCATTGGAACTACTCTCCATTACTGAATGGCGCTCGGAGTTAAACAAAAAAAAGAAAACTTTTGGCATTTTCAACAATGGAAGAGGCACCAGTGAACAAGGGTGCGTCAGTTTCAAATCCTTCTGGGAAGCGGCAAAAGCGAAAATGTAAGTTTAACAATTGCCATGTTTTACAGCTGGCTCTAGCTAACTGGATTTCGAGATTTCTGTCTTAGCTTGTAATCTAAAGCAGCTGGTTTTGCACTGCGCATAACATTGCAACTTCAAAGGGAGCAGTGATTTTCATATGTTGCCTAAAAAGAGGTAATTATGGCCCTTTTGTAGTCCTAAAGAACCAAATTATTAAAATTTGAGTCCCCAAGACGAGTCAATTTTTAGCGAGCCCGTGATTCCAAGGCGCTTCTTTCAAATGCCAAGATTTCAAGATCGGGCTAAAAATTTCCAAGACCCACATTTTTTGAGGTACCATTCTATACCCGTTCATTAAATACACAGTATTTTCCACGGAGCTGAGAGATTTAGAGTGACGTTTACAGCAAACGGCAAACATCAGAATTTCTTAACATAGAAAACCTGCAGCTAAAAACAATCCAAAACAATCATTGTACACAAAAATAACATAAAGCTACTAATTTTTGGTTAGAAGTAATGAACAGTAAAGCACAAGTTAAGGGAAAACTTGGTCACTTTCCCACCGCTTTTAGTGTATAATTCCGACACTTCGCTTGAGGTAAGTGTGTTGTTGTTTCCTTTTTCTTTGAAATTATGGTCTGTTTCAAGGCATGGTGAGTGAACGTCCATGCATTAACTTCACAGAGGAGACTAGGTGAGTGAAAACTTATCTGGCCTAGTGCAATTTGAATGTTACTAGCCCAGATGGCGAGTGCTCCAAAATTTTAGTTTCCGACCCTGAAGAAAATAAAATGAGGGCTTCGTAGCAGTTAAAACATTTCCTTGCGAACACGATATCTATTCAGAAGTTTTTAAGAGCACATTACATCACTTTAACCTGCTCATTTATTGTTTGGGTTGTAATTTCACAGAATTCCGCCATGGTTAAAGAGGTCTCTCACAGCGAGAGAAAAATGAGAAGAAGGAAGGCAGTTCTTTCTCCTGCCTTTGGGTCATTTTTCCCCTCGCCGACTGAGAGACCTCTGATCTGTCTGTTATAAAACTAATCGTTATTAAGTTTGGATACTATATTCTTAGACATCTAAAAATCAAAACTATATAACAGTATTTACCCTTGACGACCTGTCTCTGTAGCCCCTTTCTCTTCTCCGTCCGCCTCTTCCACGGCGAAATCCTCTGTCTTGGTCCTCCATGTTGGTTGCCCCAAAGCACGTCATGTAAGAACAACCCCAACCACGTCTTTAAAAGACCCTGGGAACGACTCCAATTCTGCCTTGCGTTTCCTTGCGTGACCTCTCAGTTTTGCAGAGCAGTCCAACGTTTACTCTCACACAAAGAATCAGACTTAAAGGAAACCCCAGCCTCACTGCAGGAACATTATCGCTTATCACCCAGTGGTTCCAAGTTTTGAGCCGCGATAGTTTGCGTATCGCGTGACTGGCACTGTGATTTACTTCCGTGAGTTGCAACATGAGGGACAATAACTGCACCTTGTTTAACGACCAGCAGCATTATTGTGTAAGTGAGTCTGGAAGTGGACTTAAGTTTTCAGTCAACTCTACAAGAAGTTAACTAATCAATGTGTACTTAGCTCGATATAGACAGTTTCAAGACATATTTCAAACACAGACAAGTACATGAAAAAAAATGTCACTTGCTTATTCCTGCGCTCAGCGCTCGTGGACCCAACATCTTACTGAACTTGATGGATGGATATAATCGGTTTTATTTATATGTGATTATTCACAAAGGTTTCCCATCACTGTGAATATGCAAAAAAAATGTACTTGATTTTAAATTTCAGACGGCGATTTATGCTGTGAAGCAAATTGTTTCATCACTGGAACTTGTCGGAAGGTCGGTAAACCGATATTCTGTGCATGTATGCATCTATTTTTTTTTAATCTCTGATATCACTTTCATTAATATCTCGGCAAGATCGTGATCCTATTTCGCAAGTAGACATCCCTAAAAACAAACCAAATGGTTGGCGTGGTGCTGTTTTCCTTTCGTGTTTTACGTGCTTCGCATTCTGGTGCTTTCAGACAGTAATAACATGTTATTGACCATTTCCCCTAGGCGCATTGTCTGCATTCATCTAAACCGAACATGCTGTAACGTGAAAATAAAATAAAACTCTTGGAAAATTTGAAGAATGGAAAAATTGGCACATCGGCTCTATTTTGCATCCCAGTCGCGTTATCGTTTGCTCAGGGATACCCAAAGACGGTTTCTTCCTAAGTGCATTGTAAACACTTTTTAGGCAACCTATAGTACTTTTAGATATCTATAGAAATACATTCTAATCGGCGCTATAAGGGCAACTTGAGTCTTTTCGAAATTATCAGGGATTCGGTATTATTTTCCCTAAAACTTAACATGCAATTTAAGGTTTTAAGAAAGTGAGAATTGTTCTGATTCCTCTTTCCATCGCATTTTCGAATCAGAAAATTTTATGTTTCCTGTTTCTGCGAAAAATAGCTTAATTTGGGGAGTGAAATGCGAAAAATTAAACTTCAGAAAATCGTAGGGGAATTTATTAGACAAGGTTCGAAAGTTGTAGATGAATGGAACGGTCATCTAGAAGATTCTAGAAATTCTTAGCCCTCCTGAAGGTACAGAAAATTCTAAGCAATTTTTGCTTCTCCGAACAGAAATTTTACGAGAAAAATGTAGTTTGGTGCCCCTCTTTGCTGAACACTTTTGTCAGAAAAAGACAGTACTCTCTTACATGCTCTTACCTAAAGTAACTTGAGCTGGCTGCTTACGACTAGGCTGATTTTGCAACAAAACGGGAACGTCAGTTGACGACGGCGCACGCAAATCAAATAACTGGTTTGACGGTTTGACCAATCGCAGAGCAACAAATTGAGCACCGGAAGTAGTGTTTAGTCCTTTCCGCGCGCTTTCCGTCGTCAACTGACGTTCCGGTTCTGTTGCTAAATCAGCCTAATGGCAGTTTCCCAGACAGCCGTGATACGAAACGGATGTGCAAAATATTAAAAATATTGATGATGATAATCATAATCTTGAGGAGGAAACTAACATGTTGTGCCAATGATTTTGTTTTGTTGAACCGTTTCTAGCTTGTTTATAATATTTGTTATTTGGCTGTTCAAGACGTACAAGTACTTCAACCAGGTTGGTTTTGTTTTTTATGGCTGTAAATTAAAATTTAAGAATTTACAGCTTTGTGCTAACTAAATCATAATTCAATATTAATACATACCTCTATCGATGAAAAAAATGAGGATCGGTAACTTACAATACAGACCAAGAAACCAAGGTTAATAAGATGTTTAGTATATGGCTTTCTGTTAGGGGAACCAAAACAAGTGCAGGACAAGCGATTTGACGTCAGTCATTTGACAAACGTCAGAAAAATAACGCTTTTTGGGCTCACGAAAACAATAACATATCACAAAGGCTTTCCACTGAAAGAGAAAGCAAGATGCGAATGCGCCATGTTCAAAAGGTTTATTCAGACAAAATTAAGAGCACTGCAAGTTTTAACGCTGGAGTTTTTTGAAAAGTGGACACTGTGTCTGGTTCGAAGTCGCTCACATTTTTCTTACTGCAAATGGCAAAGAATCTTGTCAATACGATCAGACCCAGGTCGAAGGAATCGCTCTATTTGCTTTCTTTTCTCGTCTTCTAAACTGACTTCTTATCACTGACTTTAACTCCTCATCTTCAGTAAGATTTACGATTAAGTTTCTTCATCAACTTCGTTCTGAAATAAACACAGACTAAAATCCTGGAAGGATGAAGTCAGCATCCAAGTCTTGAGGGTTTATAGCCTGATATCATGCCCTCTCCCTGTTATCCCTATATGTCTCTCACGGGAAGAGGGCGTTATTTTTTTCCCTCTCGAGCCAAAGAAACAAAGAAGCAAAAAAGAAAAAATAACGCCTGATCTCAGGTTAGAGGGTTTACCGACAAATGATAACTTTCTTTAAATTATTTTTTCGCGTTAAAAAGATGTAGAGCCGCAAAATAAGCATTTGCTTGAGCGAGTAAGGTTAGGAGGAGTTAACTGTATTCTATTGAATGTTAAGAGCGGCAATAATAATGATTATGATGCCTTGCTGACGATGATGATGACAACTCAAACATTCTTATATTTCAGCGTTTGATCTTAGCACTTAGTGTTGCAGCCCTTGGTGAAAGTATCAGTATCTTGATGGTAAGTAACAGTAACAGATGCTCGGTTTGTTACGTGGTGTTAAGAAACTTGCCAAACTCCTGCGCCATCGGAATTGATAAAGAACTTTGGGCTTCGACGTGCAGAACCAAAACGTATGGGAAAAGGGCTCAGTTCGCATTGTTCGCCCCGAAGATTTGGAATACATTTCCTTTAATATGCGACATTCCGGCACGGTTTATTATTTACGAGGAGATTAAAAACTTTTCTTTTTTTGATAAATTTATGAAGAGTAATTGTAAAGAATATTAGTTTTAATTTGCTTTCTTAGTTTTGTGAAGCGCTTCGAACATGTTGTGGATGTGTGCGGTATATAGAGATTTAAGGGTCGAATAAAGGTTAAAGAGCATTAAAAAAAAATACATGTGGCCAACCCACTCCACAGGGCAGCATGAAAGTCACCATTGCTGGGACGGCTAGAGGATTTACTGAAAATTTGTTTGGTACTCTAGCAGATGGCCGCTTTAATAGAGGTTCAATTGTAATGGTAGTTGTAGCTGGAGCGGCAGCAGCTAGCTGAAACCGTTGACCTTCGGCATATCTAATTCGCGGAACCCACAGAACCTACGGAATCCCCCTTTAATGTACTAAAAGCAGAAAATACGTAGCTGAATATTATGGTTTAAAGCCCTCCCCAGGGTATGTACATGTATCCGTATATCTCTCATCTCTTTCGTTGTTTCATACAAAAATGGTCACCGGTTTTGAGAAATGATACTGAGTCGGCCATAGACAGTATTCCGATAAAAAGTTTCCAAAAGAAAAGTGCACTCCGTTAACTGCAAGCAGCCTGTACTACAATTCAGTTCGTCCTTAATGACCACATGGCTGATAGCAGGCAAACTGTTAGAGACTGTAAACCAGAAATCAAGTCAAGCGTTCCGCTCACTTTCTTCTTTCGGCTTTTCTGCATTGTGGCCAGCCACCGACACTAAGGGCCTGTTTACATGGAGGTGGGGGACCCCAGATAGGTGAGGTAATAGGGAGCTTAAGCAACAACGAAGGCGACGGCTACGAAAACGTCACTCTAAAAGTGAAGTCGCACCGCTTTTAACTTTATCGCGCTTATTCCAAAACGTGAAAACAAAACGTGAAAATAGGCATTTTCACGTCGTAGTAGTGCAGTGACGGCAAAGAAATGTACAAAAAAGCGTGATACACGTACAAAGTTGTTGTTTGCCAATCTAAACCAATTGCTTTTTTGCCGTTCTTGTTGACGTCGCCGTCGTCGTTGCTTAAGCTCCCTAATATGCGGCGGGTCAAACCACGTATCATGTAAACGTAATCAAATTAAAATGAGAGGTTATGTGGACAGGCGGGTTACCTACTAAGGCGGGTTAGGGACGGACCATTAGAAAAGTTATGGGGGGGGGGGAATTTTCGATCCGCAGGAATTTTTTCGTTATCAGATTCCTTGTATGAACTTTTTTTAGGCCATAGCATGAATATTTTTTAGGGTTAAATGGCTTGCAAGAATTCTTTTCATTTAATTTTCCTTTGCGCGAATTTTTTTTTTTACTTCACCCCCCCCCCCCGATAAGTTTTCTACTGGTCCGTCCCTTACCTCACTTACCTGGGGTCCCCCACCTCCATGTAAACAGGCCTTAAGGTGAATAATTGTTTTAGTGTAAAATAAAATAGTGAGGTAATTGAGCACAAAAATAATGAGTTTTAACACATTTAGTGTTCAAGGCAACGATTACAATTTTGGCACGCAATGACTGAACGGCCGTCGCGTTTTCTCGCCGACAAATAACACGTTTTGAAGGCATTTGTTTAACTCTTGCGGGGAAATTTCTTCAAAAAGAGTTATGAATTCTTCTTGCATTTATCACCATTCTGTAAAAAGTTATTAAATCAAATTTTAAGCTTATTTATGAACATGTCAGCTAAATAGAGTAACGCAAGACTTTATTTTCATTTGTAAACCAAAAACGTTTTCACCGGTTTCGTCGATAAATTCAAGTAAAACAGACAAAGCTTAACCTGTTAAAACTTAGGCCAAACCGAATTTCGTAACCTTCTTCAAGGAATTTAGGGAACAGCTTGTTTAATTATTTTTGAAATTTCTTTAGCTTTGTTTGTTAACGACAGAAGACCGGAAAGCCATTCTGATCGTAACCTACGCGAGTTTGCCGTCGCTCGTCCGGAGGAACTGGAGGTGAATCAGTGAATAGCACTGGATATTCGGACTTTGAGTAGCCAATCAGAGCGCGCCCCGTTTTAGTATATGCTAAATAGGATTATGTCAAGATCACGGAAGAAAAAGACGGCTTAAATTTCTAATAGTGGTAAAAAGAAATCTCAACCTCGTCCCCAGGGCGCTTTTCCCTGGCTTTGCGCCCTGGGGACGAGGTTGAAGAAATCTCTGAAGTGCCTCGTGGAAACATCTTTTATGCAAAAAATGAGAGCAGACTGAGCTTAGGACTCGTGCCTCCGAAACCTCTTTTCCGACTCTTGTGTGATGGGGCATAAACCGCGTGTTTACATCGTTTCCATGATAATTTTGCAGACTGGTGACTTACCTGTGGGTAGGCTAGTGCCCATACTACCCTCGGTATCAACATTGAGAATTTTTATACTGTATTAAGAAGAAGAAATTCATACCCTAGAAACAGTTTACGCAATATTCAGGTACATGTATGTACTTTTTTGTTTTTGCTTTATTTGAGGTTCCGTGACCTGTGGGTTCCCTGGGGTCCATGAATTAGAAATGCCGGTTAGCCTCTTTCTGAGGCAAGGTTTTACGCGATGTCTAGGCGGTGGTTCCAGCTTTGGAGATCACATTCTGTTTAATTTTGCATATTTCAAGCCTTCATGGAGTTCCAAACTAAGAAACAGGAAAAAAAGTGACAACGAAGTACTATTGGCCTATTTCCGGTTTTTTCCCTTTCCGTTCTAGCAAAACAGTTCACTGTAGTCATTAAATGACTAAACATGTAACTAATTATCACCTTATTTTCAGACTGGCGTTCCCCAAGACAGAGGTCCTCTATGTCAAACACAAGCTTGGCTTCTCACGTATTTTGGTAACTGAAATGTTAACTCTTGAAATATACACAAAATCGCCTTTTTAAAGGACATACTGTATAACACATGTACAGTCACTTAACGCAATTAACATTAGAGTTCGATGTTTTTTTCGCATTTAGTCCAGCAGAATGATGAAGCATCAAATTTGGCACAATGATAGTTTATGACATAGTGAAGAATATTAGATATAGACCACATCGAGATCCATCCCATAATTCCAAATACAGTAGATTTCATTTCTTACACCAGGATTCCAATAAATGGCAATGGAGATAGCTATAGATAATTCTAACATGACTCCGAGGTTTTAGGGTCAAAATTGCAAATTTTCCACGACTCCATTGCCTCACAATTCCCAGAAGAGACTTGAGCCAAAGAGATCAAACCATGGAGACAAATGGCCAGAAAGCTTCGGAGTCATGTTAGAATTTTCATATATCGAAAGTGGGCTATTCACACTATAGAGCGTTTTCACTCACGTGGCCACCATCTTTGCAAATTTATTAGAACAAAGAATTTGAAAGGATTTGTTTGCAACACCGACATGGCCGCCGTTTCATTGTTTTGGAGCACCAATACATCAGCCGTAACGTCATGTGAAAATGATTTATATCAGCTTCATAACATTGAAAAAAAAAATGCAAAACGTTCTTAGCATATAAGTTGTATCTAAGTCATCTAAGCGGTAGCTGTCAGGTTTTTTGCCCGTTTTATTTATTGTCCCTAGTGCTTGGAGTTTTGTTTTGGGTTTGCTGTATTACTTTCAACATCTGGAGAGCTACAAGAGGAGACCGAGCCAAGCGACTGGAGAGGTCAGTCAGTGACTCCTTCTTAAACGTAAGCAAAGGAAGCATTTATAAACCGAATTTTTCTTTACATTACCTTTTCATAGGTACTATCATATGATCTCCTGGGGCGTTCCGCTAATTTTCGCCAGTCTTCCATTTAGTCAAGACGTTTACGGACCAGCAGGGCCCTGGTGGTGAGTGGAGGAATATTCCGACTTAAACTCTGAGAAAAGGTGTTTTCAATTTGTACAGAACACCTGATTCCGGAGGAGCATGAATAGTTAGATGTATTGCCGAGGAATATGAACTCGTAAAATGGCAACATTTCGTGAGGTCTGATCCATGGCTCAAAATTTCCCAAATTTTCTTCGAACTGGCTAGAGTAGACTTATTGCGTCCGGAAATAGATTTTCTGATCTCTTGGCAGTCAACATCACTCTGTCAAGCCAATCGAATTGAAAGGAATTATCTATTGTATATAGTTGATTGCTTTCCTCCGGGTACTGAATGACAACTACGTTTCTTGGTGTTTGTTTCGCTTTCAGACCCTGTCCACATGAATCCGGGTGGAGAGGGGGTGGGGGGGTTGGCTGAAAGTGTATACTTGAGTGAATAAAATAAAACAGACCCGGTTTCAATCATGATAGTCTACACGACTTCGCAAATCCTTCGAATCCAAAAAAAGAAACACTGTGGAGAGTGCTTTCAAAAACGTGTGGTTTGGGTCGGCGGATTCGATGCTTTCGTGTGAAGGGAAGGTAAATTCGTGCAACCAAAATGTGGAGCGAATATTTGGTAACCGCATATTTTTTTTAGCACAAACCGGCCTTTCGTTCACATGAAACCAGTTACTGATTGGCTCATAGAAACAGCATCTTTTAGTAACCGCTTTCCAGATTAGATTAAGACACCTCCAACACGAATCCAAGCGTGAATGTACGGTTTCAAAAATGTCCAGATTAGTGTGGACAGAGTTGGACAGGGACTTAGTCATGATTTTGCTTTTTATCAATGACAATATTTACCGACAATAAACAAGCAAATAATCGATAACAACTGTTATGTTTTGCATTTTTGTCCTTCCACTTCTCGTTGATGTCTTGTTACATTAAGCAAGTTCTCTAACAAAGTTTGTAGCAATTTTGTTGCACCATAAGTAATGCGCAGCAAGTTGCACGACGAGATGTTGGCAAACCACATGATGTATCCAACGCTGGTGCAACGAAAAAGTTGCAAAAAAAATGCTCGTTCAGGGGATGGTACACTACAAGGCAATTCCTCTTGCAACATGATAAAAACTGAAAACTTGATACAGTACCTTAATAAATGTGCTTTCTCTTTATAGTTGGATTGCAGGCGATGTTGAGAACAGCGCCATTTGGAGGATGGCAACGTAAGTTAATAATACGACTTTTAAAAGTGAATTCAATCACTTGCCAATGGAGATTTATTTAATTATCTATTTATTTATTTATTCATTTATTTATCTACCATCAAGAAAAGGCAAAAAAAAGTTCCTGGTGGCAGGGCAGCCTAAGGAAAAAAACACTGGATTTATTGATTATACTCAGACTGCCCATTTACGAAAGATGGAAAATATAGACTGAGGTTAATTATAAGTCAAGCAACACGTACAGCAAAATACTCGGTTTTTGGCTTATCAGAAAGGTTACGGGTTTTAGTGAAAGTGTCATTCAGTCACGTGAAGAAGGCTGGATCATATGGAAAATTTATCAAACAGATAATCAGGTCATCAGTAACATTTCAGAATTGGCATCTAAGACATTTGTGATCTTCAGATTTGTTTACGTTTCCCAGGTACTATATTCCTTTGTTCATTTGCATCATTGGTCTTTTCACTGTCTGCATGTTCATTCTTATCACACATCGACGGCAGGTGAGTGTGAAAGTATCTACAGTAAAATTCTTTCGTGGCATTAAGTTTAAAAAAAGAACAATTCAATCATGAGAGATCACGTACTGAGAAAGGGTAGAATTAGGGAGATAATGATATGACATCACTACCTCCGATCAAACAATCTGCTTTTTAGCGTCTACTGTAGTGTTGGGTGTTCATGATCATCAGACACAGCAAGTGCTATATATTTATGGTTTATTTTAAGTTTCTTTTGCATTTCAGTAGGTACTGTTGTACTGTGAATCTCGGACACCTCTTAACGTAAATCCTCCATTAAGCCCCCAGGGGGCTTATTTATTTCAAATACACTTGAGGGCGAGCTTAGTAGAGACGCGGGGGGCTTATCTAAGTTAGCAAAGACGATAGAATCAGTTTTCCGTAAAGAACTATAATAGAAAGAAGAAAGGCCCAAGTACAAGAAGTTGGAGGTCATGCAGCCGTAGCCTACGTGTAGCCGCACCCTTCCCCCGACAAAGGAAAGGCGGAGAGAGGGAGCTCGTCTGCAGCCAAGGATCAAAAACAACTCCGACCTTTTGGTAATTAAACCATCCCGGATCAGTCCACATGAAGTTTTACAGTCGTGATTGGTTGATACAGTCTTGACTATCATTTATTTTCGTGAAGAATAATAAGGGGGAGGGGAGCGGAGGGGGGCCTCAAAGAGAAGGGGCTTATTTACTTTCTTCCCCTAGAAAGGGAGCACTTAGTACAGAGAGGGGGCTTATTTGAGAGAGACGGGGGGGGGGAAGGTCTTAAGAGAGGGTTTGCGGTAAGTAATAAGGATTCCGTATATAAACCATTAAATTGGCTCAACTTTGGCTTAGACTATAGAAGCTCGCCTATTTTATATTTAGGCACAACGCTGGCAGGGTGTCTACAGCGGAAATAATGCCACAGAACATCAACAGAGACAGGTTTGTTCAGAGTTTGTGGGATTGTTGTTGTTTTAACAGGGGGCGTAGCTACCTCTACTGCGCATATACGCAGTCGTACCACCTGCTTCCTCGAAAAAATGTCCAAGATTAATAAAGAAAACAAAAAACAAAATAAATATATAACAGACGGAAAATGAGTCATGGCAAGAATAGCCAGCCAGATAGGCGTTATTTTCTAGTGCCTTGTGTTTGACTAACTTCATGTGGTAAATTCCATATACCGAAACAGCACATAGTATGTTCACAGACATTCCAATCTGCGTGCTCCTTGAAATGGATGGGAGTGTGGTGTGACACAATTTTAAAAGACCATGTAGAGGTCTCAAGAGCATTGGCCTAGCTTAGTCACCTTTTCTTAGGTCCACACTCCCTAGTTACTGTTAATGCTCTTCTACTATAGAATTCTACAGTATGTTGCACGTAACTGTTAGGATCTTACAGGTAACTAAGGTGTTGTTATTCTACTTTAGTTATGGATGAGAGATGTTAAATCATTGATGGCATATCCAGTTATCTACTTTCTTCTGTCCCTTGCTCCTTTTATCCACAGGTACGTTACGTCAAATTGCGAAATGAACATAGTTTGCAGCGTAATGGTGCCAAATCGCGTATTTTACCTTGACAGGGCCTAACTAGGAACATCCCCAACCCGTTGGACTTTTACGTTTGTGGTTAAGAGCTGGAAAAGTTTTTAGGATGGCTAGTTTTTATTAAAAGGGAGCCCTTGTCATTACTGTGACTAATTTCACTGTTACGACTGAGGGCCTTAGTTTTTAATCGGGACGGGGGGATTTACAATCAATCATTTATTTTAACACGTTACGTCGAGAAGCTAAAAAACGTGTATAAATAAAATCTATAATAATTACAGATATACTATGATATTATTCCATTTTAAAAACAGCTCAAGAAATATATAAAAACTTAGCAATAAAAACATAAAATATAAAAAGCTAACTATATACTAAAAACGTTAAAGGAAAACAATAAAGCTACAACCTTGCAATTCACTTTTGAAGTCATTTGCATCACTTGAAAGACGTTCTTGAAAGGGCAAACTGTTCCATAACGTAGATAAATAAGTGAAAGAACTCTTTTTATATTAAGATTAAAATTAGGTAATTCCAAATTCAAGCCCTCGCCTCTTAGCCCATACTGTGTATGCCTGTATTGAAGGCTTCCAATATAAGTAGGTCCCGTACCACTTAAGCTTTTATGGTAGTTTGCTTTGTCTGTGTCAGTCGGTTGCATTTTTAGAGTCTCACTCTGCTAAACCAAGCTCGACTAAAAAGGCATCCAGGCCATGAAAACCAGCCATTGAATAGCCTGCGTTGCAGTCGGCCCACGCACTCGTCTAAACCATTTGTATAGTCCATACACAGAAGGTTTAGAGCGTCGACGACGCAGGCATGCAACCATTGAACTACAAAAACGATTATGGAAAAACTCTAAAACAGAACAGATTACTTGCCCAGCCCTTCTCTCTTTTAAAAAGCGTTGCTTTCCAAATTTTATCACTGACTTTCACAATTCACCAATGCCATAATTTTAAAAGTTATAAATTACAAAGCTGGAAAGTAGTTAAAATATTTCGCGACGATGCGAAATCGCAAAGAAAGACAACAACTAAGTTTCTAGAAAAACTTAACTATGTTCCAACTGCCAACGAAACCAATAGAACCATTTCTCTGTCAAAATTAAATTCCTGAATGAAAGGCATAAGAGATCTGATCAAGTTCTCGTAAAAACTGGGCCTCTGCAAGTAGTAAACAAGCTGCACAATTAAGCAATAGACCACACTTTCTATGGGTTTACCGGTGTCCGGTCGTTTTGCTAGCCCCTGTAAAGCGCCTTGAACATAGGATAAGAGCGCTATAGAAATAAAGTTATTGTTATTTAAGTCGTTTCGTTGCGTAATGAAGTTGATCCGCGGCAAAGTTATAAAGTCCGCTTTCGCTGCATCATGAAGTTGATTTGCTGCAAAATACTGTTTTCGTTTCGTTGCATACTAGAGTAAATTTCCTTCAAATAAAAGTCAAGTTTCTTCATGCCTTGATTTTATGTGGATGATATTTTCGTGGAATCCTTCTTCCAAAATCTTTTTTCTTGCCGTAGTTTCAGACTTCGGTCAGAAAATGCACAGTGCGGGTACTAGAAACAAACCCAACGACTTTAACTTAAATCATGACCTATAAACACTTTTTTAAAAATATTTTATTGAAAGTAAAACACAAAGAAGAAAAAAATTACACGGAATAAATAAATAAATAAATAAAAAGAAAAACACTTATCTAGTTATAGATATTACTACCCATCTACCCATAACAACAAAAATCGCTTGAACCAAAGGAAAATCTGCCGATATCTCGGCGAAAACAAATGGCCACCTATAAATGCTCCAAGGTTTGCTGGTGTTTATTTGCTGGTGATTATTAACTCAAGGAAATGGCATTTAACTCGCTAGTATTATCCGTTTGTTTGACATCAACGGATGATTCGAACCCATGGCCTCTGTTATAGTGCTGCAGTGCTCTACCAACTGAGCTATGAAGACCCGTACATTTGTACGTAATTTATTTAGTTTCTTCTTTTTTTGTAAAGCACTTGTAGAATAACGGCGCGCATAGCTTTAAATAGGCTGATCATATGTAGTGATTGTATAATTGCATTTGTGCTTAGGTGTTTAGTTGGTGTGTGCATGTGTGATATGTGATAATTATTGTAGTTATTGTAATTGTTGTACTTTGGAATAGATGAAATAAATAAATAAAAATGTGGGGTTTGTCACGCGTCCCTGCCCCACGAACGTCTGCTGAACCGAAAGATAAATTCGTTTCCCATTGTTCACAAATGTCAGCTGGAGAAGAAAGCACGTGGTAATCCACTGCGCATTCTAAATCTTCCATTCCAGCATAGCCACAATTCCTTGCGAATCTACTGCGCATCCTAAATCTTCCATTCGCACTTAACCACAATTCCTTGCGTTTGGTAAGAAAAAGTGATTGAATGCCCCTATAATGCAATTTTTTGCCCATTAGAGAGTTGCCTCGTTCGCTCGCTTCAGGCAGCAATGAGCAGAACCTGCTCAGTTGTTTTACATCTGAAAAAATCAAGACATTCTGCTCTTGTAGGACAGGGACGAAAACGCAGGCCCAGTCTAGCGTCACAACACTTCTCTCTCAGATTGACTCTGTATTGACTCTCCCTCAGTTTGACCACTGCTAGTGACAAACATCATGGGTTTTGGGAGTGAGTAGGGAGGGTATCTCGCTAAGCAGTTGTACCTCATGAAAAATAAAAACCGATATTTTTTCTCTCTTCCAGAGTTTACAACATTTTTTCGTCTAAGCCAAACTTCACTCTCATTCTTCTTCACGTTATTTCTATTCCATTAACAGGTAAGTTAAAATGCTACGGATTTGCAGTTAAACGGTGAACAGTGTTCTCAGTAGAGGGGAATGATGGTAAGTTACAATTAACTATCTCAAGAGGAAGTTGGGACCAGCAGCATGTCAGCGTCTTGGAGAGGTTTCTACCTTATACAGAGTTAAGGAATGGAAAAAAATAGCAGTCTTGTTAACAAAGGTTGCCGTTGGAAGAGAGAGAGAGAGTTGAAAGAACCCGTAAATACTTCGCTTCGGCAATTTAGTTCACTTTGAAATCGGCTCGACGTTCCGTGGATGTTCACATTAAGGTGATGTTAAACGAGACGATTCGCAACGACGATTTTTAGCGCAACACAGCCTTGCAACATTGTAGCGACATTGTTTCGAGCAGTTGTAACATTGTTCCAATATTGCGACGCTGTGTTGCGTTAAAAATCGTCGTTACGAATCGTCCCGTGTAACATCACCTTTAGGGAGATTAAGAGTCACGTTTACGGCAAACAGCAAACGTCAGATTCAAGTTGAGAATTTCCCAGAATAGAAAATAAGCAGATAAAATTCAATTCTTATTATTCTTCTTATGGATAAAACTGGCTTCTTTGTAGAAGTAATAAACAGTAAACTACAATTAAGGGGGAAAACTAGTAGGTCACGTGGTACAAATTCACGTTTGTCGTTTGGCGGAAACGTGAATCTTAATCTATTGCTTTATTTCGCCCTCAGAGGTATTTGTAGACTTTTGCCGTACGTTGAAGATATTTTATTGTTTTCTTTAATTTAGGTCTAATTAATGCCTTTGCATTTGGCTGGAACAAAGAAACACTGAGAAGACTTAACAGGGATAATTTTAAGGTAAAGCCGACCATTGAAGCTCTTTCTTATTATTTTTTTCTTTTGACCAGCTTTTGTCAAGTCTCCACTCGATCAACTCGGGTGTTTGATAGGTAGGTGTACCTTCTCAGAGGAGAAACATTCATATCACAGGCATCATCGCAACGACTTTATCATTTCTGTGCAGTATGTGTGTGTTACTTAGACCATCCGTTCACTGCATGTTTTTGCATGTCTTTTGTTTAGATCCTCTATAAAAAATGAAATCAGGAAATTTCACGTCGTAGTCGTGTAGTCACGGCAACAAAGCGTGCGAGAAAGAGTGATGCGCCTGCAGACTTAATGTTTTGCATATTAAACCAATCGTTATTTTTTGGGCGTTCTCGTCATTGCCCTGATCTGATCTCATCATCGCCCTGATCGTCTTGTTTTCCCATCTTAAAAGCTCTCCATTATCTCCAGTTCTGCACTGCTCAGCTGAGCCACCGCGCTGCTTAACTGTACGTCCCTTTTTCTACCGATATCAGTACGATTGACGTCAATAGCTGGTTAATAAGAATTGACTGAGGGTTTTAAGCCAGTCAGGAACGAAGAAATATTTTGAACAAGTTGGTTATTTCGGACACGATACAGAATGAAATGATGATAATGATATTTATAAAGATTTAGCCAGGGCTAAAAGCGAAGCTCTCGTTACTATACTTACAATTTACTCACACAAAAATAAAATCGTGTACTTCTTAACGGCGACGGCATTGAGAACGACAAAACAAAAACAACAATACGTTCAATTAGCAAAAAACAACTTTGAACATGCAGCACACTTTTTTGTACATTTCTTTGCCGTTGTTGCTGCACGACGGCAACGTGAATCTTTCTAGTTACACCTTTTATGGGGGAAATGTTTTATTGCTGCTTGTGTTCCTGTTCGCTTTCGTTTTCACTGCCGCTCATTTTCACCTTAATGGCCGCTAACATTTCTCATTTCCTCACCACCGCTATAAAATTTTCATGTGTTTCTAGCGAAATTCGTCTCCTTTGTTTTTGTCTCTCGCTCGAGCTTTTTCTCCGTTATCTATGTCGGCCTAGGCATTAAAACTTAGTCGAAAAAGAGACTCCGCTGTGTTGTTGTTTTTTCTCGTCCTGGTGGCCAAAGTCTGTCATCAAACACAGGTTGCGGTCTCCACTCAAAGTGAAAAAGGTCATTTCACATTGGTTATCCTGTGGCGCGGACGTGACCACCAAAATTTCTCGGAGCCTCGCTGAGTAGAACTCCGCTAGCAATGATAATAGTTGTACTAATATTATTGATAATAATAATAATAATAATAATAATGATATTGATAAGAATAATAATTGTTGGTTTTCACATGATGTCACTAAAATTCAAAATTCAAAACTATCTAATATCCTACTAAGATGTTACTTTCATGATGTATTAGAGGAGCTGAAAACTAATTTTCCTTAACATTTTCGCTTCGAAAGTGTTCTTGGTTTTGTGATAGAGGACGCTTGAATTTCTAAGCTTTTCGGTGACGCGGCATTAACATGACGGCCGATAGAGCTGTCATGTAGCAGGGGCACCCAACGACGATTTCCTCCTGAATGCATTAAAAACACTTTTTAGGTTTTCCAGAGTACTTTCAGACCTCTAGAAATACATTCTAAGCGGCGCTGTAAAATTTATATCTGCTCGGTCATCCTAGTCTTTTCGAAATTACAAGGGCCCTAGTATTATTTTTTCGAAAATATTCGAGTCAATTTAACGTATTACGAGTGTGAGAATTTTTCTGATTTCTCTCTTCATCATATTTCAATCCAAAAATTTTAGGTTTCCCGTTTTCTACGAAAAATAGCCTAACCTATGGAGTGAATTGTGAAAAATTAAACTTAAAATCGTAGGGAATATAAGCTTCGTAAATTGTGCTTGAATGGAACGGCCATCTAGAAATTTTTACCTGTCCTCAGTAATAGAAAATTCTAGGTAATATTTGCTTCTCCGAACAGATATTTTACAGAAAACAATCGTTGGGTGCCCCCCATGTAGGTTACCAAAGTGACTTCTTTCTTTGAATTTTGTTATCTGAACAGTTCATGTGTATATTATAACAACAACAACCCAGGCACTTGATTAGGTTCATTTACAGTGTATAATCTATCAATATTCTTTGCTTATAGGTGGCCTTGCAACAACATTTCGCTTTTGGTAATGCCAGAATAGAGTTATCAATGGGAGAGCACAGACTTGGAGAACCCACGGAGGGAGTGCAACTCGATACAAACGCCCTTCCTTTGAAATACCATAATCCCGGAATGGACAACGACATTTAGCAAATTTGGGTCTCGAGCTGGACTGCTGTTTTACCTTCTTTGAGCATAAAAATTATTCTTTGATAACAATAAATTACAAATTCGGGAGACCTGAGGCATCAGCAGGGTACGCTGTTAGGAATCCGTTGGTCGTTTTTTGTTAGAAGCTGTTAGGATTTCTCTGTACAATTAGCAATGTTGTAGACTACGTCATATCAGCACATGACGTCAACATGTAGGCGTTTTAACTGCCCCAGCGCAAGTTGCATGCATTCTACTCAGGTATAAACTGCAAACATTTCAGTTACGTGCTCCTAGAATTCCTAGAGGTGCCAATGGACCTTTTTACCGATACGGCGGCCATATTGAGTTAATTCAATTTAAGGAGTATTATAGGATGCCCAGGGGGCATGAACACATTTCGTTTGTATTTTCGAGCTCTTTTCGGGACATTTTTTCTTTAAGTTTTCTTAGAATAAGGTTGTAATGGGAAAAAAGATCCTTGTGCCGTGTTTGGATGTAATAATGTTCGCCTTTTTCTAGTTTAGTGTTAGAAATATGGTCTTTCACTGTATATTTCTTGGGAAAAAGGCGATCATTATTACATCCAAACACGGCACAAGGATCTTTTTTCCCATTGCAATCTTATTCTAAGGAAACTTTAAGAAAAAATGTCCCGAAAAGCGCTCGAAAATACAAAAGAAATGTGCTCATGCCCCCTGGGCATCCTATAATAATCCTTTAATCGAATTAATTCAATATGGCCGCCGTATCGGTAAAAAGATTTTTTTAAAATATTCGCCGAAAATACTTCATGCTAGACGGGGATTTGCCAAGTCCATATTAAGGTAAAAATACTAAATGACCACACCGCCTTAGAAATTCTTTTGCTAGGAGGAACGTTGATCAGGTAGCTACCATCCATTTAAAAGGGTTACTGACCTGACACGTTTTAGAACGAAGAGAGAGTTTGTAATTTAGCTCTGATATTTCATCACAGTAAATTGTGAAAATATTAATTCATCGAAGTCTAAGCGCAGAAAAAAAGCAGAAGCTACTGTTAAACAGTTACAAAGGGAAACTCCAAGAAAACAATTAGAAACTCTGAATGAATGAATTTCAGTTAACTTATCATTTTTTTAAATCGCCCCGTGCACTTCAAACATTTGTACGATGAAACTCTTTCTTAAATGACAAAACAAGTTAACATATTGTTCAAAAAAGCACTAACTAAAGCTTTTCATATTACAGCTGTAATAATGATAATAAAAAAATTCGATGAACTTTTACGTCCGATTTCAGATGCTGTGTGAGTTGTAACGTGTTCTTATCATGGGTGCATCTGTAGCACATTAGGAACACTGTCTATTTTGTAGCTGTTTGAGGACAATAATTATTTTTTTTATGTCAGTTGTGCTGTTATCACGCAGATTATTCAACCAAAATATTTTATACTAGGTATTTGTTTCTCGTCCAGACATTTAACCTGAGATTTATCTTTTTCTACCGTTTACAAAAACTGTACATCGTTAAAAATACAACTGTAGTGACTTGATTATAACTAAAATGTTACATTTCTTTTATGACAAATGGATTTCTTTACAAATTTCTATAGTTGACGTTCTCGTACCTTCAGTTTAAAGCTCCTGGCTATAAATAAGACAGGGAGCGAAACTGGAAATGTTGACAAAAAATCCTGGCTGTCATGTTTAACGTTATATATATTATCCTACTACATGAGAAATTTCTGCAATTTGATTGGCTTAGAGCAGTGGTATTTCAGCTTAATTTGAAATACCTACATGTGAAAATTACAAACCTTTTGCGGGAAGTAGTATAAACAGATAATAGCATGATTTGTACGTGATATTTGAGATAAATACCAGTCGTAATATTTCAAAATTGTCTCAGATTTCACTTGCCTAACGGCTCCTGAAATTACGTATAACAATTTCCACATATCACTCGTGGTATTTATGACAAATATCACTACAAATCATGCTATTACCTATACTAATAAAGCATGTTTAATTGGTATAATGCATTAGGGAACGAAATGTGTTAGCTACTGGTTGCTTAAGGGTGGAGGTGGTGCGGCAACTGGAGTGGGAGAAGGGGCATTAGCAGCAGATTCATTTGACATTGCTGAGGACCAAGATGAATCATCATTAGGTCTGACTTCCGTTGTCTGTCCCACAGGATATTCTCGAACAAGTGGCTTTCTTGAACTCGGACGGTGCTGCATGAAAGCAACCTGTAACAAACCACAATATAATTACATTCTGTCTTTTCCACAATTATTCTGTCTACTTTGTAAATCCGAATTTAAGTAAAGGTGATGTATGATGTAGGCATCACACTAAGCCAACCCTCTGTACCCTTCAATTTGTATTGTCATTAATTACAAATACAATCAGACCTCCACAATGTCGTCGCTGTATCTTACTTGCTTTGTTAGCATTACTGTTCAGGGCATTTGGTTTCTTGGGTGGAGATGTGCTACTGGTATCCTGCATAAACCCTTGGCTTGCACCAGACCTAATTCAGCTGAAATGTTACCCTAAACTAGACTAAACTCCCCAAATTCCTTCCTATCCCGCAGTCATTGTTTTCCCGCGGCTTGCCTATTCTGGACTTCAACTAAACGATAAGTTTCCTAATACGCTATTCTAGACCCACACTCTCTGATTTCTATTCCTTATCAATAGCTGATAAGGTGATATTTCTTTACCGAATATCACCTTATCAGCTATGGAAGTACAAGTGTCACTAATCCCTGACGGTTTTTCCGTTAAACATTCTATTCCTTATCCCTGAGTAAACTGCTTGAAAACCGTAACCCTCACAGCAACACATACCCACATAGCCCATATATGGCAGAAACCCCCGGTCTTCAACAGGCCACTTAGTTCTGGCGGCCCCCAGCGTGTCTGTTTTGGAGAGTCTCGACTGTATCTACAACATGCAGCATGAAAAGGTGCATTGATGGAAAAAAAACTATTGCAATCACACATGTACAACCGCAACAATGTTAATGACGAAATGAAGTAACTTAAGGTTTTCAGAAGTGCATCGGCATGGGTTGTCCCTTTCGTTAACGGCCGCTGTCATTTTTAAGACACTTAAAATTTGACCTGTTATTGAAAGTGTTTCTATTAAAAAGAAAGACCTTTTATATTCCGCTCTCTCTCCCTTACCACTACACTACCACACCGACACGCCAAAATTGCGAAACATTTAAGTACATAAACAACCAAACTATCGTTGCTAACTGATACATCAATAACAGGTGACCCAAACCCATTCCATAACTTTTAACGAAAATTCAACTTCGGCTTCAACGTCGTTCTTTCTAAGACTATTTAAAAACGTATTATTTGCCTTACGGTATTGTAACGTGATCCAGGGTGTATATTACATCTATCAGGACTAAAGGCTTCGTTACAAATCGTGACATTGACCGTTAAAAATGGCAACGACCTTTTACGAAAGGGAAATAGGCATCGGCGTCCAAACTCGAATAATTTTGTTCTCTGTATTCTGTTTTCACAATTTATCTGCCTGGTAAATTCATATTGTATCGTTTAATCTCTCTCTCTTTTTTTACCTTCACTTGCTCCACGTTGAGCCTGTTAAGCGTTTCCTTGTCCATGCCAAAGACAATAGCATTTAGCACCCCTGTAAATAAATGTCCATGTTAGTAAATTTCATTCTTCTAGAATTCAAGGTAGTTCTATGACTTTAGCAAGCTCATTAATTCATTTACAAGACAATTTTAAATTATACTGTTTCAGAATAAGTACATTATGTATAAACGTATACTTACATCTTGAAGCTTAATATATTTAATACTGGTATATTGTAAGTTTATATTTATTTTCCTTTTTTCTCCATAAATTGTAAATTAACTCTGAAAAGTCCTTGTGGAGAGTTAATAAAGCTACTACACTGTACTGTACTCAGTGTACAATAGCCACGTTTATTATTTATAGTGCGCCCTTTCTATATAAATAATCAAAAGCGGATTACAATTAAAAAAATCACAAAAATTGAGTAAAAAATAATAATACAGTACTGTCCAGTACTGAGAGCATCAAAGCAAAAAATGAAATGGTAAACTTTAATAAACTATTATTCAGTTTCTCTTGTATTTGCTGTATACCGAATGGTGTCTGAACTGTGAGCGTGCAATGCTCAATTTTAAAAATGTTGTGCCCTTGTAGTACACGAATGACTCGCGTTATCGCCAAGTGTTTTGTTGACAGCTAAACTGATTTTTAAAGCTGATAACCTTAGGAAAACAGATAAATAATACAGACAAAAAATCTGTACGGTTTTCGGCTTGAACAAAAGTAACAATGAAGGAGAGAATAAGAACACTTTGATTCCTGCAAGAGATTGTAGTTCTAAAACTGTACCAAAAATCTTAACAAAATGCCTTAGAAAATAAACAAGTCTTACTAAACGTTTAAAAGGATCAATGCTTTTAGCTTGCCTTACTAGCAAAGGAAGATTGTTTCAAAGGACTAGGGCCGCCACCATAAACAATCGATCCCCCATAGTCTTTTTCGTTCTGAACCGCGGACTTTCCAGCAATACGCCATTATCTGAATTATAACACTACTATAAATATTATCTGTTAATTATTAATTATTACCATTATTATTATTATTGGTCATTTATTAAATGAGGTAATAAAGGCACAAGGTAATGGTAATTAAACTGATCAATTTTTTAAAAAAGCTTAGTTAATTGCCACACTTTCGTTTGCTAAAGGGAGGACAGAAGCTTGCTTACCGACTAATGGGCTGAAAACAACTTGAAGTAAAAGCAGTGTGAAGTTTGGTTCTGAATTGACTGCATTGTCTATTCTGGAAATAAAAATTACAAAAGCCTTCAAATCGTGAGATAAACATACTTCATCTCAAAGAAACGTAGCTCAATATGAACACGCATTAGATTATGCATAATAACAAGGAGGGTCACAATTCACATGTATGCAATCCTTTGCTATTAACAGAGTCACGTGCAAATATTTCCCCTTTTCCTTCATCACAAAAAATTCAGTGCCAAATTTTTTCAGGCGAATACATTTCAAAGTTCGCGAAAAAAAACCTTAACATCCTCTACCTTTATTCGACAGGGCAAAAACCTTTTTTGCAATTTATTTGTCAACAGAGGGGGGTTCTAAAAGTCTGGTTGTGCTGAAAAACAAACCAAAACAAAACTGTCGTCAATTATGAGCCCTATTGTGACAACAGCATATGGGTTACATTCAGGGCTTGTGACGCACTTTACTTCTTTCACACATAAGCGTATTCCTAATCTTTTGATAACATCTGTGTCGATGTGGTCAAACGTTGCTTCTTTAACAACTATGTTTCAACATCGACCTTTCAGTCACGTTTTTATCTCCTTCGACACAAAAGTGACGATATCGGCTCTCAAATGCTTCTTCGTGTCTTCATGGAATTTCTTTTTTTCCATGCCTGTACATATAAATTTTGCATTAGTTGGAACATGAAACACACGGAGGATCGAAGACGAATATCTTGCGTAGTCTGCGTAGTTACAGGAAGTACACACTTCTTTCCCTCAAGTAAATGTGCATTTCCCAAGTAAATACATAGTATAAAAGACAGTTACATGAAAGAAAAAAGCTTACTTTTATCTTAACAAGTATGCAGACCGAATAAGCAAAACATGGCAACCCAATAACGATAGCACGTACAGGTTTTTTGATGTCTGTCTCAATTTGGTACTCTGTTTCTCCAAATAATCCTCCTCTGCCTTGATTGCGACCCTTACTCGGAATCTATCATTATCATTTTAAAGATGTAACAACGTATAATTAATACGATCGGAGCAAAGCTGAGTGGTTTTTTTAATCTTTTCTTCCTAAACAAATGCATTCTTGACAACAAGTTACTATGCGAAATTTTATTCCTTGCAGGCTAGTGACTCTTTGCCCTGCCACTCTTCTTCGGCCCGGCAGATACATTCACCATTGTTATTACTCGCTATGACCGAGGTGACCATTGCGGTAAGGTTGGGCTGTATTAAAACCTTGCCTGTTTAAAGACTCTCAGAACCATTCAAGCCTCGCAATGCCGTATTTAAACCGTCTGAAAGACCCCAGCCTAGAGATCAACATCATTCGATTGTGAGCCTCATACTAACCTGTCTATAAGAGGACATATTGTGGTCACCAGATAAACAACAGGGTACCACATGAGTGGCTTAATATACTCCTTCATCAGAGCCTTACAAGCAAAACGTAAGAAAAAATAATTTCAGTGATAACTACGATTATCAATTAATTCAGCCTAACATTCCCGGCCGGGCTAACATTCAAGCTGAAGTTGTCGACGAAAAAGTACAAAATTGAAGCTACGCACGATTGTTTTCTGATGCTTTGCACACTATCGCTTCTTTGCACTTTTTGCAAGTTTTTGGGATGGTTTTCACACAAAAAATCAACGAAGTGGAGTGAAAACAGTGACAATCTTATAATAATCCCCCACAATTCTTCTACGAAAGGATTTTTCCTTCACCCCTCTCATAACCAACCGTCATTTATGACAACAAGAGCAAAGTGTCAGAGTTGTAGAGCAGTTAGCTACAACCCCGTACAAAACCTGTTGAGATTGATTACAAAAAAACCTACTTTTTGCACTCGTCCCGACAAAAATGCTTACCGTAGCCAATTGAATGGTCGTCTCCCCCTACCCTCCCCTCCCCTCCGAATTTGTTCTGTTTAGAGGAAAAGGGAGTATAGTGCGAAATTACAAAGCCATGGAATGTCTCAAGAGTTTTGTCCGGGGTTGTAGCTGGGCTGCAGGTCCACTAACCAGATCCGTTTATCATGGATTTAACCAAAAATATGCTGATTGAAAGTATCCAAGCTTTTTCCCTGTCACCATTTGATCAAATGAATCGAAACGACCCAGACAATCACATTTGGGAAAGCAACGAGTGCGTCGCTTAAAAAGTGAATTTGCGTTCTCTCAGTCTTTATCGCGATTATTCCTACTTACTTACTTTGTCAAATGTACGCGAACCCTCCGAATTTGAATTCCAAGGGACCATACTTAAGTTCAGAAAGCGAAATAAAATTTCGTCGTTGCTTGTTTACGTTCTCCATAAAACACGAAATTAGGTAATTTCACATCGCAGTCGTGCAAAAACGGTAAAAAAAAGTACAAAAAACCGTTATGCACGTGCAAAGGTGTTGTTTTGGTTATTAAGCATATTGTTTTTTCAGACGTTCTCGCTGTCGTCACCACGTTGAATCTTAAAGTCCCCCTAAGATTGGATACTGGCTTCTTTTCCTGATCCCAAATTACAGCTTTCTAAGTTTGGTAATGTGGAGAGGTAACATTTTAAGATTCCCTTTAGGAAAAAAAGGTGCGCTTGACTCCTTGGCTTTGTACCCTTTGTTTCTCTTCCCCCCCCCACTTCTCCCCCACCCCTGGCTAGGCCGGCATTCACTACACTTATTTATTTCTGTGGGAAATGTTTTTAAGGAAGCTCAAAGGATTTTGAGATTATCTTCAAGTAATTACAGGAGAACAGCCGTTGAGGTGCAGATGCCAGTTAAACAAAAACCTACAGTTAGATCTATTAATTCTTTAGGGAGTAACAAAGTACAAAGTTAAACTTACTTTATTTCTCTCAGCTTCAGCACTATACGTACCACCCCAGCGTTGAACCTGAAGGAGAAAAGGTCTGTTACCAAAACAAGCTTGTTGGCCACTTGGCGTATAGTATAAAACTAGTTTTTTTGTAACTGAGGCTGAAGTTTAATAGCTCAGAGCACTTGCTTAGCCCTATTATGAAACCCCCTTTTCCAAAAAATTTACTTCATCTCAACAAAATATTGCTTGCCCGTCAAACAAGTTGTGATTAAAACATACTAGCCTGGATTGAGGGTTGCTCCACATGCCCCAGATTATTCGACTGCACTTTTACTGAGTTACTTTTGTGACGTTCTGATGTTGTAAACATTAAGCGCCGTTTTCAATTTAGACAATCCTTAACACTGTTTACTGTGAACATTATCAAGGATGCATAATGTGCAGACTAGAAAAACGTTTGTGCCCTTGGAAACTACTACACACAACACTTAAGTCACTAATCATCTCTAGCCTTAAAATGGTAAGTACTGCAGCAGTATTGCTTACCTGTCTCTTGATTGTAATGAAGATGTAGGAATAAACAACAAACAACCCAATGATGCATAAATACACAGGAATATAATAGCTGTGAATGAAAACACAAAAGAATGCATTTGTATTTAGCATCCCGCAGTTCTTTAGTAACATTACACCAGTTTAAAAGATTACAAATAGTTCCACAAGTGTCCATGATTTAACCCTTTGAAGGAAGTATTCTTAATACCGCATTTATTCGATTAACCGCCCTGGGCGCTTATTAAAGTTTTGGACCTTGAGAGTGGGTGCTTATTCGAGGTGGGCGCTTATTCGAGGCTGAGTGCTTATTAAATTTTCAACATTTTTCAGCAAATGTAGTATGCTTATTTTGTAACCAAACAATAAATGGTAACAACAAAACGAGAAGATTTAACAAAGCAAGGTTTCTGTGATACTCTGAAGAAAACTCCATCTTTGGGCAAGTTTCTTATTAGTACTTATTCAATTTTTGGGGGGTGGGAGGGAAATGGGGGTGGGCACTTATTCAAAGCTGGGCGCTTATTAACTTTTTCTGCCTTTAGGATGGACGTTTATTCAAGGTGGGCGCTAATTCGAGGTTGGGCGCTTATTCATTTTTAAGTTTAACTGAACAAAATGAACAGATACAAAACTGAACTTTGAGAGAGGAAGATGCTGCTATTTACAACCTGACCTGAATCAACAGGTGAAGCACATAACCTTATGAGTCTCCCTGTACATCTAAGTCCCTTGATGTCACTAATTTAACCCACCTGCCCTTGCGAATTTTGAGTGAAAATCCATTTTGAAGCTAGTCAAGCCATTTAATTCTGGTCACTGTCTGGCTATAAAGAACCAATTAACTGCCGAAAATGCTGTCTATAGGTTGAGCACTTGACAGCCTTCTGTTCCATTTGCAAAATGTCAGCATTCAAAGTTCAAGCATGGTAGCAAAAATGCAAAATTTCGAGAAAGAGGTTAGGTTTAAAAGTGACACAGCAGTGTTGACCTTAACCCATCAACTTATCTCCTTCTCTAATCTTTTACCTTTCTTGCCCCATTTTTTTTTTCTGCTGGGCATTTACTATTCTTCATTTGGGTGGGAAAAGTTTTCGTAAAAGGTTTTAGGATTGTAGGATAAGATAGAAGAAAGAGCAGACCTGGGGGTGGGTAATGGAACAATTAAGATTTTAGCAGAATTTTTGAGTCAACTTTACTTTCCAGTCTTTTAACCCATTCGCCCCTGAACCGCCCGTAACCGCCCGTGCGGATCCAGGTCCTTTCTACCCTTTGGACGTCATCAGTTTTAATGGTCAAGGACAACTTTCTTCGCTAACTTGTGTAGAGTGAAGAGATCTTTCAAACCACACCAGAATGAGCACAATTCAGTCAAGGACACCGGAGAAACAAGCAAAAAAACCACGTGACATTGACCTGAAAATCTCCATGAAAATCTTGTTCCATTGCCCACCTACCTTTCCTTTCACCTAATCCTAAGATCCTAAAAGCTTTCCTAAAAACTCTTCCCACCAAAATGAAGCCTACTAAATGCCCAGCAAGAGAAAAAAAAATGAGGCAAGAAAAGCGAAAAAAGAAGGGAGGAGAAAAAGCGAAAAGTAAAAGTCAAGACTGCTGTGTCACTTTTAAACGCAAAAAATGTCGAAATTTTGCTTTCTGCGCATGCCCGAACTTCGCAAGCTGATGTTTTGCATCTGGATCAGAAGGCCGCCAAGTGTACGACCTGTAAACCGGTCTGTGGTAAGTTTTAGCTCTTTATAGCACGACAGTGACCAGAAAACCAGTCGACTAGCTTCAAAACACGTTTTTCGGCAAAATCTCCAGGAGCGAATGCGTTAATTAAATGCCTGAATGAGCTGATAACCACAGACCTTTTTATAAAGACTATCTAGCACTTGAGTGCTTAATAACTGTGAAGCCTTCTTAGGTGGGGGGGGGGGGGGGGACGTTTGTCCCTTGTCTGAATTTTAAAAGCCGTCATTTCAAATTCATATTGAAGATGAGGCCATGTTGCTAGTTGGAATTTTATCTAGGCCTCAACTAAAGATAGCAAAAATTTTTGCTTTAAAAACCTTGGCAAGACACAGCTATTTTTAATCATCTGGGGACCCCTCCTCCAGTATGTTATTGATCCCAATTTTCAAACCGATAAAATAAAACTTTCAATTGATTCAAGAGTTGGCTTGTCACAAAGCCCTTTTATTTGTCTTCTATTTTAATTTTTGATGTCCAAGTACAAATTCAAACGGGTACAAATTATGCTTGGACATTTTCACTTCCAAGAGGAAAAAAGTGAAAACATTGAAAAAAAATTATGGTAAGCACTAAAAGCTGTAAGAAGGATTCATTTCAAGATACATGTATTCAGCATAGGATTTCATCCATAGACCAATATCAGAATAATGATTGGATCATGTCACCATATACAGTGTATAATTGGCAGGGGTGGGGACCGGGGGGCGGGGGCGGGTCAAGGGTTTAAATTTCTTATAATCATTAATATTACAAATCTTAGGACACTGTTTAAACTATACTTACGTAGCAAACCTCCAAGCTACACTGTTATCACTCTCCTTAGAAATCCAACTGGAAAAATAAACAAATTAAATTACCTTGTTGGTCTTTAAGAGCCATTATGGGTTAACTTGTTAACAGGATAAAGGGGTTAGGTGCTGGTAATGAGCAACACTGGTGAGAAGTAACGAAAAGTCTGAAAGTAAGCAGAACCAAGCGAGGATGTAACCATGGCAACCACACTACATGTACCCAGGCCTTTCACTTGAATAGCAGTTCTCAATCTGAGGTTATCCAGTGGAATCCAGTGGAGAATCCATGACATACCTGAAGAGGCTAATTAAGGACACTGCTCCTATATAACCATGAAGGTGGGAGGGCAGAGCTATCAATCTCCCACGGGCAAAGACAAAGAATACAACTGCCAAAAGGTGGCAACCATGAGGAACAAAAGGGCAACAACCAAAATACTGATGCACATAATTTTAGAGGAAATCAACAGACTTGCCCCAATCTTTGGTTATATATATGTTACCGGTCAAATTGATTTCAGGTCAATTTTGATTTAACCCCGGTAATCATTCTCAATTTCCTTTGTTTCCTAGCCCTAATTCATGAATAATTAGGGCTAGGAGACAAAGGAAATTAAGAATTATCAACCTAAGTTAAAAAATTTTAATCTGAAATCAAATTTGAACTGTACCATATATAATAATCTCATAAAAATGAAACAAATACAAAATGTTGCACTGTTATCTGCTTCCTAAAATAACCACTTCATAATATTCTAATCTACTCTTCAAACTAGGATATTATTCAATGCTACATGAGAATCTCATAATGAAAAATTCCATAAATATGTAGACAAACAGCAAGCTTAAAATGCTTATGACGTCAGGAGCAGATCCAGGAATTTTTTATTGGGGAGGGTGGGAGGGGGGGTCCAAACTTTGGTTCAGAAAGGACTGTCGAACTTTCTAGTGGTAATTAAATTACTTCTCCCCCACACTCCCTTCCACCAGTCGCAGTTGCACATCATAATTTCTTGGCCCCTTACACTGTACTTGAATTTTACTTGTAAAGGATGCACCCCTGGAACATCCTCCTCTTGTGCCATAATTGTCGACCAGCTGAGAAAGCAGAGAGGACCAATCAGTGAATGCCAGTCACCATTGGCACAAGAAATACTGCTTTTAAATCTGCGAGCAGAGGTGAACAGATCATAGGAGGGCACCCCCCAAAAATTACGTTTTTGAATAACACTGGAATTTAGTTTAGTGGCAAAATGCAACACAGGTTTCACTAAAAAAATTAGCCAGTTAAAAAGATATATACAATCCTATGATACTTACCACCAGGCACCTGCTGGTCCATAATGATCATTAATAAGAGGCAGACAAGCTACAACAAATGGAATACCCCAAGAAACAAGGTGGTAATACCTAGAGGTGGACAGACATGGTACATTAATTTTTTGTATCACATATAATAAACTTGCAAATACTTGAGGGTTCGAAAAAGCAGCCCTCACTTTGACCACACTTGCTGGTGACTCTTCACTGGAGAAATAGAAAATGTCATGCTTTGATCAGCCCACTGAGATCAAAGTTTTTGTAATGTCGTGGTAAACATTTCATATCAGACAATAAAGCAGCCAAGAAACGCTTTAAAAACTGTTTGGAAACATTTTAAACTGAGTAAAAAAAGAGAGTAGGAAATGGTTTGGAAATTTGTGCTGCAAAAGTTGAAAAGGAAAATTCTTGTTCAACGTGAACAACTAATTCTTTCATGTGTTTGTTCAAGTGTGAAACATGCATGCCAAGTTATGTGCAATTAACATATTTTTAAGGTTTCTCACGGAAGAAAGTGAAATTTCAAATAAAAAAGATTTTGGTCACGTGCTAGCAACAGGTTATTGGTGTTGAGAACTTTGCCCCGTTCACTAGGGTTTCCAGATCAACGAAAGCTACACTAAGACAATCAGTAGAGTCGATTGTATTTAATCACTTGGCTCACTTGTATTCACTCGTTACAGCAGTTGTGCAAGAGCTACTCTCTCAAACATGGAAAAGAACGCTCGATTTCATACTAGTATACATTAGATATGATTGGTTGTTGCTAGGCGATAATCAGAAAAAGGTCAATCAATTCTTGCAGCTAAAGTGTTCATTGTCTCATAAAATCTAGACCTAATTTAAACATCCGTGTCACTATATTGTCACGTAACATGAAGTCTCCGACACACTCCCCCATGCAGCATTGCATACAAGGGTGCATTCAATACTCAGGAGACTGAAACATCTATTTTTACGATTCCGAAAATAATCAAAGGCTAGATCGAAAACTTCGCTAGTAATCACTCTGTTCAAGTTCAAAATTGTTCAATTTCTTCATTATAAGCAATCTCCTTTATTCTGGCAGCTGCCGCAGCCGCAGCGGTTCTTCTAGGTCTGAAAATTGGCGCGTTATGGTTCAACCGCCGTTCTGTTCCTGCTGGCACTGTGGGTTCGCACTGCAACTCCAACGGGTACAGGTGCTGAACAGGACGCTCTATAACTCCCTTACTGGTTCTCAGCTGCACTGCACGGATGTGGCCGTCACGTCCTGGGTAGGTCTGTTGGACAATAGCTAGTGGCCACTTCCCTCGATTCTTGCTGTCTGATCGTACTAGCACAGTGTCGCCAACTCTGACTCGATAATTTGCCGTTTTGTGTACCAGGTTGTGGCGCTCTCTCAGGGCGGTTAGGTACTCACGTTGCCATCGGTTCCACATGTGGTCTTTGCAGGTCTGCAAATATTTAGCTCGCCTCGCGCAAATTGGTCTTGAATTCTCCAGGCCTGTTCCTCAGGAAGCTGGTTGGTTCGTTGGAACATAAGGCTAGCCGCGCCAGGATGGGCAGCTCAACATCGCCTTCAACGTAACCGAGTGGGCGACGATTAACCTGAGTCTCTACGTCCAGGATTACTTCATTCAATTCGCTCCAGGACAGTGTAGCTCCCCTATGACCTTGTACATCGCTGTCTTCACAATTCCGATCAGGCGTTCAAATTGGCCGCCCCACCAAGGGGCGCGACTTAGGTTGAATTTCCACTGTATGTCATGGGACTCCAGGAATCCTTGCAACTGCTCGTCGCCGTACTTGCTTCAACCACTTGGCAGCTTTGACAAACGTGCTACCATTATCAGAGTAAATGACAGCCGGACGCCCTCGTCTGGCTATGAGGCGTTTGAGACATGGCAGGAACGCATTAGTTTCCAGGTTGGGAACCAGCTCTAGGTGTACTGCTCTCGACAGACTGCAAGAGAATATCACCAGGTATGCTTTCCCTTCTCGTTTCTGGCTCAGTCTGTAGTAGATTGGTCCCGCAAAGTCTGTTCCGATGACTTCAAAGGGAGCCCTGCCATGGGTACGGTCTGTAGGTAGCGGTCCAGGGGGTGGTACTGTTAAAGGTAAAGCTCTGAAACGTTTACAGCCCCAACACGCGGATCGCACAGACTTAACTAGCTGTCTCAGAGTTGGGATCCAGTATTCTTCACGGATTGCTGCCATGGTGAGGGATACACCTCCATGTAAGGTCTCGGCGTGCGTACGCTGTACAAGCTTTCTTGTAAATAGGCTACCAGCTGGCAAGTAGACTGGGTACTGTCCTTGAACTCTGCCATGACATTCGAGCACCCCGTCAGCATTTGGAACTAGGTTGAGTTCACGCCTGGTCTGTTCAAAGTAAGGCTTTTTCGCGTCTTGGGACTGGACCCTTCTTATCCACCAATTCTTTGACTCTTGTATGTCTTCGCTAGTTAGTGGTCCTCTGCGCGCTCTGTGAGTTGTGAAACGTCGCACCCAAGCTTGGATGCGTAGAGTTCGACGGAGATCATGTCGCTCGAGGAGTTCGTCGAACACGTTTCGTTCTTGTTTAGGTTGTACGTTTCCTAGGCTAAGCACTTCTCTGATTACTTTCGCCTCTTCTTCAGAAGCTTGAGTTTTTGCTGTAACTGGGTTCTCTGGCCAATTTTCTGGATGACGCAGCCATGATGGACCATTCCACCAGAGCTCTGCATTAGTTACCTGGCCTCCTCGGCTCGCTAAGTCTGCTGGGTTATCGCTAGTAGGCACGTGTCTCCACTGAATCTGTGGGTGTTGTTTTATCTTCTGCACGCGGTTAGCGACGAACTGTCGGTACAGACCATTTCCTAGTATCCAGTGGAGGGCGACGGTGCTGTCCAGCCAACCGTAGACCGTGGGCTCAGGTAAGTCTTTCAGCGCGTTTCTCACGTTCACAACTAAATTGGTAGCCATGTGGGCGCTGACCAACTCCAACCTTGGTACGGTTAGGTTTCTTTCGGCCAATCTTGCTTTCGCCACTACAAGGGTTTGTGTGATTCCATCTTCTTGGCGTACGACCGAGTACACCGCTGCTCCGACTCCATGGGTCGATGCGTCTCCGAAGACATGTAGCTCGAATGAGAGAACTGGTTGCTGATGTGGTGCAATAGGTCTTCGTATGGTTACTTCGTCTGGAAGTGAATGTTCCCACTTAAGCCATCGTACTCTGAGATTCTCTGGGATAGGTGCGTCCCATGCTGCTTTGTAGTCGCACACTTCGCGGTAGATTTGTTTGCCTTGCAATGTCACAGGGCTAACCAGGCCGAGAGGGTCATACACTTTCGCTAGTTTGGCCAGTACTTCGCGTTTTGATATTGCGCTACTTGTGTTTACGACAGGAAACTGTACAGCGATAGTGTCCTCAACCTTGTTCCACTTGACTCCTAATAGTTTTGATTCACTTGGCTTGACTTGCAACTGTTGCTTGGCGTACGACTGCTCTTCGGTTTCTGTGGGAGAGTTGGCGCTCTTTTCACGCGTTTTAAGCTGGGTACTTTGTATTTCTGTTTCTTGTTGGCGGCTATCTTCTTCAAGCTCTGGACAGTTGGAGTGCCACTTGTGTAGCTTGAATGTGGCGTCACTCATGATCTCTTGCGCTATCTCTTTTCGCGCTTTAGTTTGCTGCTCGTTTTGACCGCCTGTTAACAAGTCGTCTACGTAGAAACTTCGGTGCAACCGTTCAGCCTCTTCTGGGTATCTCTGCGCCCAGCTATCGAAGTGGTATTCAAGCACACCGCCCAGCAGAAAAGGCGAAGGGCCAAGCCCAAAGAGCACACGTGTGAACCTGTAAGTCTCCACTTCAGAGGTGCCGTCAGTCTGCCAATGGAATCGGAGTGCATCTCGTTCGCTCTCATGGATTCGAATCTGTAGGAAAGCTTTCTGTATATCTCCGCTAAGACTACTGGGTAGGCTCTCTGTTGGACGAGCACGTCCCATAGTCTGTTCTGAAGTGGGGGTCCTGAGTACAAACAGTCGTTCAGGGGGGGGAATTGGGTGTCGCTCGGGCAGAGGCGTCATAAACAATTCTCATCTTTGTGGTTTCAGCGGACTTGCGAATTACGCACTTGTGAGGGATGTAGAACTCCTTTTCTGGCTGGGAAACAGGGGGTGCCTTTTCGATAACTCCTTCAGTCAGCTGCTCCTGAATAATATCATTGTATTTGACAGTAAGATCTTCACGTTGGAGTTTTCTGGTCAGGTTCTTAAGTCGCTTGAGGCTGCCTTCCTTGTTTGAGGGTAGTGGTGAGTGATTTGCCTTCCACGGCAAGGTAGTCTCGTACCAGCCCTCTTGCGAACGCGTTAATTGCTCTTTAAATTCTTCGTACACCATTGCCTGGTCATGATCGGCCACGTCACGTAATCCCAAGACGTCTAGTTTGCACAAGTCTTCATAGTCGCTTTGACTTGTTTGGGTAAACAGCATGATGTTTTTGTCGAACTCCTTTCCAGGGGACATAAGGAACCATCCGAACCTGGTGAGTTCCGCTACGGGGGTCATTTTCTCGTCCGATTCTCGGTTTCGTTTCAGTTTTGATTCTGGCATACTCTCCGCTCCCAAGCACCACGTGGACCGGAAGAGATGCTTTCGTGTCATCATCGTTGACATGTACGCCTTTCAAATGTGAGTACTTTTCAATTAGCGTGCGATAATTAGGGTTGTCAATAGACAACAGTTCTGTCTTGTTTACTTTGGTCGCTTTGACTGACAGCGAATATTGATGGTCAACAGATTGTAATTCAAGATCGTAGACTTCTAGTCTGGCAACTTTTGAAGACATTAGCATATCGATTGTTTTTGTCTGGATATCAGCAGGCTTCAGGCGAAGTAATTCGATCAGTTTCGCTGATACGTATGAGCTCCCAGCTCCTGAATCGATGAGTGCTCGACATTTAATGCCATTGACTTCTATCACGATGACAGGAAACAAACCCTCTCCGACTTGGTTTGTAGTCAAGGCGACCCCTCTCGTAGGTGTTGGCTGATTAGTTTCTTGCCTGGGTACCTCACAAATGGACGTGTGGTGACGCTTGCGGCATTGCTGACAGGCGGATTTGCTGGGACAATAGACGGCGCGGTGGTTTCCGGCGGTGCAGTTGAAACACAGACGTTTGTTGAGGAGAATTTGTCTTCGATCAGAGACATCTGTCACTTTTGTACATTCGACGGCTTTGTGATCTTCGCCGCAGTACACGCAAGGCCAACAGCGGGGTTTTAAATCGGAGCCACGACGCGTGTGGTAAATTCTTGCCTGCTGGCGTAAGTTCTGTTTTGCTGTTTGTTGTTCTGTTTGTTCGCGCTGGTTTGTATCTGCCGGATTCCTCCTGGTCCACAATCGAACTGCCTCTGAAAGTTTCGCAAGGTCCCAGCTTTCCCAGCTTGGGTCGATCCGGACGAGATCTCCACGGATCGCTGGCAATTTGTCTAAAGTCATGGAGGCCGCTCCGTTGACCTGTTCCAGTTTGTTTAATGTCTGTAGAGCTTGCACGCAATACGTTAGCTTTTCGCTAAATCCACCAATTTTCCTCGGGTTTGCGCTTGAAATTGAGGGAGATCCAGAATCTCTTTGATGTAGGCTTTGACGATTTCTGACTCCTTTCCGAACCTCTCGTTTAGGATACTCTTCGCCCGATTGTATCCCTCTGCTGTGAAGGGCAACGCCTCTATCGTTCTTTTTTACTTTGAAGTCCAATAGTTCTCGAAGGTAGGAAAATTTCGTGATCGGTGGAACGCCTGTTTTATCGATTGTTTCAGTGAACTGTCCCCAAAATCGTGGCCAGTCTTTGTAGGTACCGTCGAACTTCGTTATGGTCAGTTTAGGCAGCTTAGCTTGTATGTCGCTTGGCGTCGTCATCGTTTCTTGGGGGTGTGCCGTAGCTTGGATTTCTGCCTGCATCTGTATCTTCGCTTTGTGGAACTTAAGTTCTTCTTGTTTGACAACTGCTTCTGCTTCTCTTTTTCGGTCATCGACCCATGTGCGCATTTTATCCACTTCGTAATCTGCCTTTTCCAGTTGTGCGTCAATCCCGCTATTCCACGCCTCGATGTCGGCAATCTCTTCCTTCGCTGCTAGTTTTGTCGCCTCCACTTCTAGACGCATTCGATTAATTTCTGTAGTTAGGGACCGTAAGGTGGAAAGATGTCTCTCGATCGCTTCTGCCTTCCCTGCTTCTACGATGGTGTTCGTTTTTCCAATGCTCATTTTCAGCTGTGTGACCTTGATATCCAGATTTGCTTGGGTCGCTTCCATCTTCGCACGGGCAGAAAATCAGGACTAATTATACTTACAACAGTTGTTCTTATCCTTCTACAGTGCCGTTGCCGGAGGTGCCACTTGTTGAGAACTTTGCCCCGTTCACTAGGGTTTCCAGATCAACGAAAGCTACACTAAGACAATCAGTAGAGTCGATTGTATTTAATCACTTGGCTCACTTGTATTCACTCGTTACAGCAGTTGTGCAAGAGCTACTCTCTCAAACATGGAAAAGAACGCTCGATTTCATACTAGTATACATTAGATATGATTGGTTGTTGCTAGGTGATAATCAGAAAAAGGTCAATCAATTCTTGCAGCTAAAGTGTTCATTGTCTCATAAAATCTAGACCTAATTTAAACATCCGTGTCACTATATTGTCACGTAACATGAAGTCTCCGACATTGGTAGATTCCATTAATTTTTCATATTAGTGAAGCAGTACACACACACAGATTGCGGAAAGTAAAAAAACCTGATTCATAGAATAATTATGCCATTTTCGTCACACATGAATCAGTGATGTCATTGAAGACATCTACATTCAAACACTGGAAAAAGACAAGCAAATATCTCCCAATAATCAATATTATTGATTCTTTCAATATGATCCTGACATGGTGGGATAGTGGGCGGGAAAATTACCGGAAACAAGTGTGTTCATAATGGGTTCCAAGAATTTGAAATCGCCAGCTGTTACTGAACTTATTCATTATTGACAGCTGGGAAAAAAATAAGCCTGGAGGAAAAAAGCCTAGAGATTTTATTTTGAACCCTGTACTCATATGCAATTAGATCAATAATTTGAAAATTAGCTAATAGGAGAACACATGCTAATTTGCTGACAGTCCTGTGTAAGCAGTGGTACTAAATAGCAGCTTTTGGGTGTAAGTGACACTTCCATCATTATTTTAAAATTCTTTTTGCACCTTCTAATCACATCTTGAATTATCTGTCATAACTTTTCCTAGCTTTTATGAGTGCCATGAATTCAGTACAGTTATTACTCCCAAGGTTTATTAGGCACTAATTTCTCTATGGCCTTTAGAATGACATAATGTGTGGCTGAGGTGTTGAAAGTTGTTGAGGACGTTGTGTTGAAAGAATGGCTATAGATATGATCAACCAAACTCAGGCTGAGTAAAAATGATTTGCCCAGGGTACACACATATTTTTAAAACAATAATGCTCCTACAGTGTACATGTACAATTATGATGGTGACTATGAATAATAATTATTAGAATAAATTTTACATTAAATTGTGACTGCAAAATTGCATATTAAAGGTACTAACTTTTCAAATTGGTCTGTTTTCACCATCTTTATCACATTCCAGTATAAATTAAAAGTGATGCAGCAAACCCACAACAAGACTGAAAATCCTACAGAAGTTACAATAAATTAACAACTTATATACTATAATAATGAAATATTTGAATATAACCACACAATTATAAGAATCAAAACATAAGTTTTTGAATTAGGTTCAATGCCCATATATAACCACCTCCCATAACCAAGCACCTTCATAAAACAAAAAAAATTTTCCAATCAAAGTCTTTGTTAGAACTTCTCCTAAATGTTACAGGTCAAGCTTAAATTCAGATAAAAATTTTATACTTAAGTTGATTCTCAATTTCCTTTGTCTCCTGGCCCTAATTCATGAATGATCAGGGCTAGGAGTCAAAGGAAATCAACAATCAACTAATAAAAGGTTAAAAAAATTTACATTAATCCGAATATAATTTTGACCAACTCTTGTAGGTAATCAACTGCCATAACCAACCACTAAATCTTTTTGGGTGTTTGTTTAGGAGAGGTTCAACTGGAGATTTAAAAAAATTCACCCTGAGTAACAATACTCGAAGGAGCCTATACTACTGTCAGTTAAAGCTCAGCCACATACCTGTAAAAGAGAGTAACCACGCCTGGAAGTCACACAGTGAACTGTCATCTGGGGGAACCCCTGTCTGAATTAAGAATTAAGTAGAGCATGGACAAAAAAATTGACGACGGAAAAAAATTGAGGAGAGAATAGAGAGGTAAAAGGGGAGGGAACTGCATTCATGCATATTAAGTAATTTTTGCTGCAGTTTGTTTCTGACAGTATTTGATCTCAGATGCAATTCAAAAGTACTCAACATTTTCTTGGACCTCTGTTGAAGACTTAACCTTTTCATTGCAGCTAAATAACCTTTCAAAAAAGATTTTAGTTTCCTTGGTTTTCTTGGCTTCCATAAATGATCTCACACCTCCACACTTGAGTGGTTGCATTTAAACAGTGTTACTGGTTGATAAAAGGGAAAATCAGATAAGTCTATTCATAAACAATTACATGAATGTTTCAACTATAATAGGTAAAATGCTAAACTGTTACCAGTTTACAACCACCTGCTTTAACTTAAACCTATTTTAATTTCGTACAAGGCAATGACACTTAGAAAAATCAGTGAATGAGAAAGAAAATGATTTTGATGGGCATATTATTATTTGTACAATAACTTGTTACCCAGCAGTTTTCATTGTGGCCCAGAAAATTGATAAGGTCCAGAGAATAGTTCTAACTAGAACAGAATAAGAAACAAATACTGGAAACTAAACATACAGTGTAACAAGGTTATAAACGAATCCCAACTGGCTGTCCTAGCTAGGCAAACTGGTTTAAAAGCTATTTTTCAAGCATGGCAAAGGAGTTGAACTCAGGACTTCTGAGAGCAAATCCAACTGGCTGAAATACATGCAGGATCCATGCATATGGGGAACTTAAACTCAGGGCCTCACAGCCTCAGGTACATGCAAGTCCAGCACTCTATTAATTCTCAGCCAAACATGATTTGCCTCCTTCTCATAATTATATTTTCCAAAATTTATTTTGACCACTATAAGACCACTAACCTAACCCTGGAATGATTCAAGGACCTGACAGACTTACCAGCAAAAAACCAATGCTATCCAGACAAGCTGCCAGGCTCAGAAATAAGATAAGCCTCTGCAATAAAAAACAACAATTATTTTAACAGATAAACAGTTACAAACAATGTCAGCTGGCCAAAAAGGGTAACTGACGGTCAAAATGGCAAGTAAAAAGAAAACAAAACCAAACTAAGAAAAATTTTTTTAAAAAATGGAATGAGCTCATCACTCAGTATTTAAGATAGAAACAAGTATCCCCCAAAGGGGAGGTGAATAGTGGTGGATATATACCTAGACGTGAAGCGTCAAGGTATATATTTAGTGGCGCTATGAACTGACACTGAGAGGGATAGTTGTTTTAGTATAATATTTACCAAATCAGTTGGATAAAAATCAAAAAGGAATTTTTCATAAATAAAAAACGTCACTTAGGGACAGTTTGTTTATATTTTAATTGACAGTGCTTTGGGGATCATTTTTTATAATTTTGTTGCAAATTCAGTCAGAAAATTTTTTTCTACCGACCAGTAAACATCAACAACCCAAATTTGTCTCTTTCTTGGTATTTCTTGGAGCAGCTCCTTCATTTTCCGCTAAAATTTTAACTTTTGAAACTGTCGCAAAACGAGGAGCCATTTTGAATCCTGTCCCAAAAGAGTGAATATTCAAGGATATTCCAAGTCACGGGAGCAAATCAGAATGCGCAAAAATAGTTATCCACTGATTTGGTGAATACTATGCTAATTAATATCAGTCTTGTCCAGAATAAGAGCCAGATGCAACTGCTGCAGATTGAAGAAGGCTCAAGTGCAGAAATATGTTATACATGTACAAAGGGAAGGCAAAGAGATTAACAATAAAAAATACAGTTCTTACTCATGAATGAATACCAGATGTTATTATCATTATTATTATTATTTAATAACAATGCTAACTATTAAAATCCTATTTACAATAAATGCATTTTGAAAAATATATGTTATACATGTACATTATTATTATAATATGCACAAAAAAATTGCTCAATTCTGATTAGCTGAAAAAGGAGTGCAGCTCTCATGTAACACGACTGCAAATTTGTAACATGAGTGCAAATTACAAATGATTTCTGATTGGCTAAAAACACAAAAGAAACCAATGAGAACCAATCAGATTAGAGCTGTTTTAACAACAAAATTTAAGAAAAAGGCCATCAGGTTTTCAGCAATTAACGATTTTACTTTTTTGCGTGCAAAACAACAATAGAACAGTTAAAAAATATTCCAAAAACCCAAACAAAGTAAAAAGTACGTCTTTGTGGCTGAATGTATTGAAAATGTGGTGCTAAGAGAAAAAAGAAATCAAGGAAA